ATATACCGTCCCGGGGAGAACCCCCGGACCCCCCTTCTTTTCATCTTCCCCATATACCTCAACCCTAAGTACTGGGGGCATATACCGTCCCGGGGTAGAACCCCCGGACCCCCCTTCTTTTCAGATTCCCAGAATACCTCAGCCATCTAACCACAAAGCTAACAAACAGACCCTCTCCGTAACCCTCCTCCTCACGAGCCTGGCCTCCCCAACCATCCAAATCGCCCCAATCCTGGCCTTCCTCTTCACCACCGCTCTCTTCCTCACCATCGAATCCCACTACGCCACCCAACCCATCATCCCACTGCACCTTATCCGCCAGCGCCCCGTGCACCTAACATGCCTCGCCGGCCTGCTGACGATGATGGCCCGCTGGGCCGTCCTCTTCTACACGCCGGTGTACGCCATGGTCGTGCGCGACTGGAGCCCCGCCTCAGCAGGGCTGATCCTGGTCCCCACGAACGCCGGCTTCGGCCTCGGCGGCGTGCTCGCCGGGTGGCTGCACATCCGCCAGGCGCAGAGCTACTACCTCGCCAGCCTGCTGGCCTACGCCCTCTTCGCGCTGGCCGCGCTGCTCCTCGCCCTCCTCGCCGTCCCGGCCGCCCCCGTCCTCGCCGTCGTGGCTGCCACATTCCTGCATGGGTTGGCCGTGGGCGCCCTCCTCAACTACACCCTCTCCCACCTCCTCCATCTCACCCCCCCGACCATGCATTACCTGGTCGGCGCGCTGGTCGGCATGAGCCGCGGGTTCGCGGGCAGCTTCGGCTCCGCCATCGGCGGGGGGTTCTTTGTCCGGGCGTTGCGGCGCGGGCTGGTGCAGGGGTTCGCGGAGCACAGGGTCGACGCGGAGAGGGAGACGGAGCTGGTGCGCAAGCTGGTGGGCAGTCCCGCGTTGGTGCAGGGGTTGCGCGGCGTCGAGAGGGTGGTCGCCGTCGCGAGCTATCAGGCGGCGTTGCAGCGCTTGTTTCTGGCCAGTTGTGTGCTGATTCTGCTTGCTGCGGGGGCGCAGGCCGGGACCGGGTGGAGGGGCACTGGGAATGGGACGGAGAGTGGGGGCAAGGCTGGGGATGAGGGCGAGGAAAGGGACGGGAGGGTTTAGCTTGCGGTGCTGTGCTGGACTTCTGCTTCGCGGCTGGTGGGCGTTCCCGGGGGAGAACCCCCGGACCCCCCTTTCTTTCAGCTTCCCCGTATAACGCCGCCTTGGCCCTTCTCTATAGATTATGCTGGACAGGGGTTGCGGGTACCGGGGAGCTGAAAAAAAGGGGGGTCCGGGGGTTCTCCCCCGGGACGGTATATCCCCAGCACTCAGATTTGAGGTTACTGGGGAGTTGAAAGTATGGGGGATCCGGGGGTTCTCCCCCAGGATAATATATCCCCAGTATTTAGATTTAAGGTTATTAAGGGATTGCAAAGAAGGGGTTAGGTTTGATGGTGGGGAGTTGAAAGTAAGGGGGGTCCGGGGGTTCTCCCCCGGGACGGTACCCCCCCCCAGTATTTAGGATCAAGGTTATTAAGGGGTTGCAAAGAAGGGGTTAGGTTTGATGGATTTGCTTGCGAGAAAGGCCGCCTTGTATATATCATGTTCTGCGCAAGGTCCAGCTTGAGGGGGCTGGTTTATCACAAGCTAATGGGCGGTTGCACATGTCAGTCTCATCGCTGGGGTGGTGTTACACGTTTTGGTGTTTCCCTATGACCTGCAAACTTTTGGACCCGTGTAAACGCACCTGCTGCTGGAGAGGGGTCCTCGAGCCGTCTGGGTGTGGTATGTCAGCCGTTCCCCAGTCCCCACATCATATTGAGGCAGTTTCGTCCAAAATCCACCAGCAACCTCAACCGAACAGGTCCTCCTCATCATGAGGTTCTCATCCGTCGACATCGCCACCTGTAGCTTCCTGCAATGCCACGCGCTATTTGCCTTCCAGACCCAGCTCGACCCATCGCAGCTAGAGGAAGCCTTCCGGCAACTCCTGCAGGCGTGGCCAGAGCTCCGAGCCCGCGTCAACCTGCAGCGGACCGGGTCCTGCCCCTCGAAGAACACGGCGGGACATTGGCAGTCGCGGGTGATAGACGCACCGCTACAGGACTGTATTTCCCTCGACCAGATGACGAAGCAGGAGCTAGACGCATCCGAACAAGCGCGCTTGGAGGATCTCTTTCGATTCGGCTGGTCGCTCCGCTCGGTGTTGTTCCCGCCGGTTGTTCGGGTGAAAGCGGTCCATTTTCGCGACGGGTGTATTCTGAAATTTATTCTCCAGCATGTCTTCAGCGACGCAAGCGGTAGGCTCACTACTTGTCCTATCTCGCTCGAAGATGTTTCTAAGCTGAATCGCGATCTAGGCCTCTACCGGATCATCGCCGCGTACACCGCGATCCTGCGGGGCGAGACCATCGAGCCAGTTGTGGACGAACAGCGACTGAACAAGATCGTATTCAAGCGCCCCGAGGAGACGAACACGAATTATTCGCAGGTTGGCCGACTGCACGAGTCAACAACCCAGCAGTGGGCCACCGGCTGGCTCGGCAATATCATTTTCGCGCTCTGGCACTGGCTGGTCCGTGCCACCGGTGCATACAAGCATCGTGCGCGGCGCGCCATGCACATCCCCGGTTCGGCGGTCGATCGCCTTCACAATCGCGCAGCACAGCAGGGGCTCGCGGTGACGCGACACGATCTCGTCATGGCCATTATCGCGCAGGTGCGAAGCTTCCCTTGCCTTTAGAGCGATCGACCTCTGACATGATGATTGAATACCACTCAGGCCGCCCTGCAAGCATACCCCCACCTGGACCCGCCAGCGATAGCATTCATCTACAACTTCCGCAGACACCTCGACCAACCCGTGCAACTACAGAACACTTCTTGGCTAGTCTCGGTCCCTCTCCCGGCGCAGCCGAATAAGCCCCTAATCCGGGACGATAGTGACGACGACGAGGAGGTGGAGAAGGAGGAGGACGATCGACTCCTGACCCTAGCGTCCTGCGTCCGCGACGCCGTCCAGACAGTCCGCACCCCGGCGTGCCTGGAGCTCTTCCGCAAGGCCCACGAAGCCATGGGGCCGTGGCGGCCCTTCCGTCCGGCCTTGCGGCACCCGAATCACCCACATACCCTCGTCTCGTCGTCCTCCCAGCTCCCCTGGTACAGTCTCTGCTTGGGCGGCGGACCCGAGACCAGGCCGTTCTACGCGAGCATGGCCGTCGGTTTGGTCGATCTCTTGGGGTTAATTGGGTTGAGTGTTCATGATTGGATCCTGACGTGTAAGGATCGCGAGGGCCGCGGGTTTTGTCTGTATGGGTCGTTGCATGCGGAGCATTGGGCGGAGTTGGGGCGGGTTGTTGGGCGGTTGGTGGGTGGGTGAGCGGCTGGGTTTGGCTTGGGTGGTAATGGTCCGGATGGAGAATCATTTGTCTTTGTTTGGGTTATGATGGCCTTGATTATCTTTGGATGAGCGGTGGTAGCAATAATGTACTCCTGGTTGTACGGGAAAAGTATGGTCGGTGAAGTTATACGATTCTTTATCTCAGTTTGGCTTTTGGTATGCACATCGTTTTGCACGGATGACCTGGTCGTGAAGGTTTGGTCGATTCTCGGGCCAGGTGACAACGACTCGATGGATCAAGTCAATTCAGGTGAAGCTTTGAGTCGGTACTGGACAGAGTCTCAGGCGCTTAACCAAACCGGGCAGTTCTCCTTGTGAACTTATCAAACAACGGATTCGCAAATAGTGATGATGCAAATATTTACATTTTGTTGTTCGAGTGCACTCGCCACCCTTTCCTTCGTCTAGAACTGCGAAGAAACAATATCAGACCAGATCAGGCTGCCTCGCACAAGGCTACGATGTCGTCGGGGATGAACGGCCTTAAAATGTCAATCAAAGACGTCAACGGGATCCAGTCCAGCGTGCCGTGGATGGTCTCGATGGCCCGTCCACTGTACAGAACCCGGGCGTAATGCTCCGAGTCGGCCGTCTTCCTGTTCCGTTTGTCAGCATTCGCTCTACCGCCACCGACTTCCAGCTAAGCTAATTTATCAATGAATCAATGCCACGTACCAAATCTCAAAAGCGACGTTCGATCCCATCCCCGGCCAGCGCAGCGCTCGGATCCCCAATGCACCAAGCACCGGCCCCAAGTCCCCGTCATGCACAAAATTGTGGCTGTAGACCAGAGCCGAGCTGCCACTGGCCACCGCTTCCAGATGCTGCACAATTTCGCCGAGGAACAGCCCCTCCACAAGCTGGATGTACCGTGTGGCGTTGGCATTGTGTCTCCACCAGTAGTTCCACTCCCAGTCACCAGCCCGGAAAACCTCGTCCGCCTGCTCCTGGGTCACGCACTGGGACCCGTCCTTCAGGCTACATGGCAGTTGGTAGCCGTTGCACAGTCGGCCCTGGAAGTTGTCGGCGAAGTGATCAAAAGTGGAGGTCCAGCTCGAGGTGTTGGCATCGAACATGTCGGCTAGCGTGGTGCGAAGTGACGCCGTGACTGCCAGATGCTCTTCCCAGACCGGAGTGGACTCAATGGCGGACAGTAGATTGCTCCGTGCGGAACAAGAAAACCCCTGGTCGACGGTATCGATGCTAGACGCCTGCTGATGCAGCGGCAGGGACCCCTGGTAGTCCGGCCACACCCCTCTCAGCACTCCGCTCGCAGATTCCTGCGTCAGGGCGGAGCTACTGCTGCGGAGCCACACTTTTCTACCATTGTCCTCGTTCGGAGCCGACGGGATGAGCTGCAATCGCTCCTGGTACACTTCCCGAAGATCGCGACCGTGTCGGTATCCGTCCAGGAAGCCTCCGACCGTGAGTTGCGGATATTGGCAGGACCCATTGACGTAGCTGTCTAGGAACGGGTTGGTCGGATCGGAGTATGACTGCGCGTATACGGCGAGTGGAGAGAGGCTTCCGGACGTCGGCGCAAGGTACAGGAAGGGCTGCACGTTGTTGCAGTTGTATGCTTGGTTCTGCGCCGAGTCAGTTGACTTGCTGGAAATATCAAGATGGAAATACCGACCTCGCCGCCCGGAAGAATATTGTAGGGGGTCCTGCGTTGGTGTCGCTGCAGGTATTCGAGGTAGACCAAGCGGCCGGACACGGACCCATTGGCAATGGGAGGCGGTAGAGTGTAGGTGTCGGCGCGGGGGTGCGGCATTGAGCAATAATTGTAGACCTCCTCAGCAGACGGCGGGCTGGCCTGATCAGCGGGCGCGGAGTAGATGCCCCCATAGGTTCCCAGCGATGTATTGGTGATGAAGGTGGTGTGATTGAGTGGCGGATAGAAAGTGTCGCGCGCCGCGACCGAGGAGGTCCAGAGGGTAAACAAAAGGGAGATCATGTCGCTGAGGCCTTCATAGATGCTGATCGACATGGCCACGCCGTCGGTACGGGCGCCAATGGTAGCTTTTATAGCACGTCCGCCAGATTTTCTCCGAGCTGTTCACGAGTCGGTTGTTTAGCGAGGGAGTTCACGAAGGGGTCGGATTCTGAGGGTGGAGGTTGGGCGTTGCGGGGATCGACAGTGAGCTGCCACTCCCAAACCGCGATTTCCCACGTGGGCATGGCGGTAGCCAAGGAGATGGCGATCGGATTCGCACGTCCATGATGTAAGTTATCAGATAGGCTAGGTCTTGGGAATGAAAATCAACGGTTGTTAGCGACGAACGCTAGTTTACCCACGGACCATGCATGGGATGATGAATGGGAGAGGTCAGAAGAGAGAGAATGGGAGGGAGGGAGGGAGGGGAGGGGGGAAAGGAAAAGGGAAAGGGAAAGGGAAAGGGAAGTGGAACTCAGCACAGTTGGCGGGTGAAGGTGGCCGATGGTGGGCGAGGGTGAGGAACGGGCCGGACGATTCCAACTCCAGTCCGAGAGAGAGTCGCTGACTGACTGACTGACTGACTGACTGACTACCTACAACCAAACCCCGCCCCAATTTGCCTCGATCTGGTATGGTACGGTATGGTGGGCAGTCACGTGGCACAAGATAAGCAAAGGAAAAGCAACTCTTGGATCGGTGCTTGCTTGAATGGACTGATGGACTGATGAGTCGTTGGACTGTTGGACTGGACTGATGGACTACACTGTTCACAGCCTCCCTCACCACCACCAAATCATGGACATGGATGGGAATCACCTCTCCCCTCCTGCGTCTTCGTCTTCATCTGCGACTCCGGCTACTCCGGCTACTCAGCCTCCGCAGACAACAACCATCGCTGAATCTACCACTTCTCCTCCCTACTATCTGCCTCTCCATCCCCATCAGCAGCAACCGCCACCCTTCCTCCTGGTGAATCATGTAGACAAACCGCAACTTTTCCCCCAGGGTCAGGAGCAACCCGTCTTCATCAAGAACGAGGAGGATCAGTCCCCATCCGAGGAATCCATGCAGAAGTTGAAAGTCACCCTGCCGCGCTTCCAGTCAGGCCGACCGATATCGCCCGCCACCTCCGACTTGAGCGACTCCTCCACTCCCGCCTCGGATGACAAGGCTCTGCTCTCTCTTCGTCTGCCTTATGATACCTTTCTGAAACCAACCCTGCAAGGAAGGAGTCTGGATGCCATTTTGTCGCTCCCCGTCTCCTTGCGCGACAGTCTGCAACCGTACTTCCACCACTGTGAGTCTCCTGCTCACGCACCAGATAGAACGGAGGTTTCCTAACTCCCGCAAGTCTCCACTTCGTGTGCGCGCACATGTTTTCCCTTTGGCTCCGAGGAGTTGTGCTTGTGGTGGTGGCAACAGGCCATGAATCAGCCCGCATTCCTGTTCATCCTTCTCACCACCAGTGCCATCCATAAGTCCGCCTCGGAGACGATTGCAGGCGGCGTCTCAGTAGCCGCCCAGCAGTCCGCCCAGCACGCCCTTCTCTTTCGCGTCAAGGCATATGAGTTTGTGCGCCAGATCTTGAACGAGTCCGAAACCGCTGCTCTGGAGACCACCGCGTTCGTCGTGGCCCCATTAATATGTGTTGAGGTCAGTCTTGATGGTTCCGGTTTGGAACGCTGCTGATTGTCGATTATCTAGGCGGCCGACGGAAATCGACAGGCTGCAGATGCTCATGTGCAAGGGCTCAAGAGACTGGTCGAGCTACTTGGTGGTATTGAGAGCCTGGACCATGCGATGGTCTCGCTTTTCTATTCGTAAGGCTTCCTGTTGTGGAACCTGACCGTATTGCTGACTTTACCCGACTCAAGTGCGGTACATGTGTATGGACTTCTCACCGGCTCGGAACCAGCCTTTCCCATGTCCGAAGAATGGAAGCAGAGAGTCCTCCAAGAGGTTTTCGCCGTCAAGTCCGAAGAGGATTCTCGAGGTCAATCATACTTCGGTAACCGCTTCTTTGCGTCGTCCTGGTCCGCGGGACTGGACCCCAGTCTCAAGCTTCTTCTCCAACATTTTCAACACTTGATGGTGCACTACAACTACGCGCAGTCATCCTTGTCGAAATCATCGGAGAACAACTTCGCCCTCCTGACCGCATACGAGCTTCTCGCCACGACCTACGTTCTCACCCCGTCGGACTTTCAGGATACGCTGCGCATTGCGATGCGGATCTACCTTGCGCTGCGACTTTGGACTTTTCAGGGTTTGCCATGCATGAAATTTGTGTCCGAAGAGCTGCAGCACAGTCTGTATACAACACTCCACCTCCTGCAGAGAACGGCTCCGGATCTCTTGTTTTGGATTCTGTTCGTGGGAGGCCTCTCCTCCGTCGGCCACCAAACATCCGCATGGTTCAAGACTTACCTCTCCATCACCGCCGGCCAATTGGCCGTGTACAACTGGGATGCCGCATTGGCTTTGCTGGAAGGCTTCTGTTTCATCTACCGGCCAGCAGACACGATGGCTCGGGATCTCTGGAACGCCGTTCAGCAGCGTCAGGAACAAGAATTTTATCCGCAATGACAATCAAACCACCATCGATGAGATGGACAACTGAACTAGTTCGATTGTATAGAGCTACAAATGGGCTTTGGTCTACAACCCCCTCCGGAACCGAGCTGCGGCTAACACTAGCGACGCCGACCGAGTGCTTAGCGACGTATGATCGATTCCTTGCGCTCACCCCGGCTCACAGCTAGCTCTCCTAGCTGCTGTCTTGCTGAAAGACCAAGGCACATCCTTCCTCTCAGTTCGGAGTGGTTGGTCGCGAAATTGATTCGAAGCTAAGGCAGATCTAGCGACTCGCTATCGCTCAACTCAGAATGTGGAAAATTATCACAACAGCTCACGACCATACTCCTTGAGCAGCATAGCACAGGAAGGCGGGTGGGCCCAGTTGATGGCTGGCATGTTGGGGGCCAATTCTGCCCCCTAGCTGTCAGTAATTGAATACTTTAAAGAATCCGTCGTTGACTCTGCATAATTGCGGCATTCCAAGCTATCATACTTCTTCCACGTTGACGTCGCCGGTATTCTGAGGGGAAGAACAACAGAATATCAACCTTGGCAATTTTTGCGATCCAAGGATACACGGGATCCAAATCGTCCCCCGATCAGTGACTTCAGCTCGTCGGGGTGTCGAAGGAGTGCGCGGATTCGAGTCCGCGTTTATTCTACTGCGTTACGGAGCCAGTCCAACGTTTATCCGACCAGGCGCTTACTGGAAAAGGGTTGATGGCGGGGTCGCGGTGTTCTGCTCTCTAGTGCGGTGCGGTTTTCTCCAGTCGGGCAATGAGAACTTCCGCCCACTACCGGAAAGTCAGTGAGGCCTCGAGAGGCCCACCAAACGTTCTTGCTACTCGTACGACCGGTGCATTTGGGTGGTCGTCGGTGTTTGCTACACTGTGGCCAGCGTGCGCTGACTGAGTCGAATGTTGATTTCATTGGACCCAACTTGGGTACTACCCGACTATCGGTGCAGGCAGCGCGGACTTCCTGCGCACATGCTACATTTAGTGCTTACCAGCGTCTGCTAGGATTCAGGCGGAGGCTTTTATGCGCCAGCAGTTGAAATGCGACCGTCCAATGGCTTTGTATGGCTCGCGCAATTCTACCTGGCACACCACCCATATCCACGATGTTATTGATAAAATCCATCGGGCAGGGCATTCGAGAACATCATGGTCAGAAGGCAGGCACATCTTGCGCTTCTAGTTCAACAAACGCAGTTATTGACGAGAGACTGTAGGGCGATGGCTTCCAAACCACTTTGGCCTTTATGTTTCGTAAAGCCAAATTCATTCCGATGAGATCTGAACCCGTCCTGAACTGTATAGAGATTACTTCTGATCGTCACGAAAGGAACAGTAGACCACCGCTCGGGTGAAGAGGGTGATGCACCACTGTATCGAAGCCGTCGCGGATTGGATGCAGCAATACGCTAAATGCTCCGGACATGGAGACGTCGGCGTGATAGAAAAGGGGTAGTTCAGACCCGTGAAACTTTTTTGTTGCCTCCGGCGGGCACTATTCATATATATTTCTACATGAGTACAAGTGCATGTCAGATCTCTAACTTGTGTCCCACATTTTCCCTTCTCTCCGTGCGATGCTCATTGCTTCAGACAGGGACTGTTTCATTCCCCACCTTTCTGCAACGCATCAGGTCGGTGGGAAGGGGAGGGAAGGGGAGGGGGGAGGGGTGGTCCCGTTGTAGGGAGAGACAGGCGGAACTGGACTTGAGGGAAACGAAAGCTGCAGTGAGCTAAGAATAAATTAATTAGGCTCGCTCGCTCGGAGACGAGGCCCAGAAGTGGAAGTGACAGCAGGCAGGGATTGTTCGATGCGGATCCAGATCGCGTCGAGCTCCCCTGTAATCTTATCGCCTCAATTTGCCTACCATGACCCCCCTTTCCGCAGGGTGGTTGATTATTGCGAATGTTGAATGCGAATGCGCCAGTCAGGGTAAACGGAAGCCCTCCTCCAGGTGCGGGGTCCACGGTGGCAGTTGGAGTGATACTGGGGAACTGGAAACTGGGAACTGAAAACTGCCATAGAACAATGCGATGGTGCTGGACTCCAACTGAACCAACTGAAAGCCCATTGACTGGGTTCGAACCATGGAAGCGACAAGCCCGCGATTCGTCATTTGTGATTGTCGCAATCTCACCTTCAGATTGCAGACCGCCAGAGATTGGCTGCCAACAGAAAAGTGGCTCATCCAGTGGATGCTCCCTAGTAGGAGTCAACCAATCAGTGCATTTGCTTGGCTCTGCACCGATCGACCTTGACCTGGCGGTGGGTTTCTGCCGTCTTCCATTTTACACCCACAGTTTACGAGAACACTCACTCACTCTCGGCTGTTGTTTTTTATCGTCATCAGCCACTATCCACTATCCACCATCCACCAACGCACCATCCTTTAGCTTTCCCCCATGCACTACCTACTCATATCTGGGAGGTTGGTCACCAGACACAAGCAAGCAAGAATTTCTCCCTGATATGCTAGTCAACTAAATATAGCGTGGAAATGGCAGCAGATCAGCAACTCTGGTTTGCTACGCGGTTTGCCGGGCTTCAGCCCGGGTGGATCTCTTTGTTGATAACTTGATATTAACCTTCATTACCGGCTGGGACCAACGGACCCAGGGTCCTCCCCTCTCCACTATCAAGGCCATTGGGCCGCGTTGGAGAGAGAACATAAACTCTCTCCCATCGCCTGCCTATCGCTTGCCTGCCTATCACTTTCCGTTCGCTTGGGGACGACTGGCCCGCCTTTCTTTTCCGACTGTCGTCATTTTTCAACGCCGCAGCCCGTCTCCACTTGATCGTCGCTTTCACTCTGCCTTGACTTCTTGCACTGCCATGTCTTCCTGACATCTTCCAGCATTATTAGCGAGTCCCAATATCTAATCAAGCACCTCTCCCCCGCGCTCGTCCCGGAAGATAAACACAAATCTCGCCATGGGGCGAGAAACCGGCCATCGACGGCGCCCTTACCCGACCATGTTTGCCCGCAAACCCGCCAACCTCCTCGCTCTGATCCTCCTCTTCGTCATCGGCGCCTCCATTTTCAAAGTCGAGCTGGGAAACGGTCCCTTCGACCCGAGATCGCTCTATCGCTTGGATCGCCATCATAAAGAGCCCGGATACTGGGACTGGGAGACTACGACACGCTTCTCGCGCACACAGAACTACAAAGTCGACGATGACCATATCTGCGATTCGTTCCCGACCTATCTGCTCCCGCGCATCCAGGTGGTCCTGAAGATCGGCGCTTCGGAGCCGCAGGACCGCGTCAACGCTCATTTGTCGACCGTCACGCGGTGCATTTCCAACCTGATTGTGGTTTCCGACCGGGAGTCGGAGCTGCAAGGCCACCATGTACACGACGTGTTGGCCACGTTACCCGATTCCTTCCGAGCGAACGTGTCCGATTTTGAGGCGTACGATACACTGCAGAATGGCAGACTGAAGTCGGTGGCTGGTCCCCAGGGGTGGCGACTCGACCGGTTCAAGTTCCTGCCCATGGTGGAGCGAGCGCATGAGATCAACCCGAACGCCGACTGGTTTGTCTTCATCGAATCCGACACCTATGTCGTCTGGGACAACATGTTCCGTCTGCTCGACCAGTTCAACCCCTCCGTTCCGTTGTACATGGGATCCCCGTCCCCGGGCCGGCCACTGGACCACGACGAAATCTCCTACTTCGCCTACGGCGGATCCGGCTTCGTTCTTTCCACCGCGGCGGTGAAGAAATTGGTGGCACGAGAAACTGGCGCACACGGAGAATATACACAGCCACCCCTCAGCGAGCAATACGAAGATCTGGTTAAGGCGGACTGTTGTGGGGATTCGATCCTCGGCTGGGCCCTGCACGAGAAGGGTGTCGAGCTCTCGGGCTTCTGGCCCATGTTCAACCCCCATCCATTGCATGGCATCCCTTTCGATGATGTGCACTGGTGTCAGCCCGTCATCAGCATGCATAAGACGCTGATTTCGGACATGGCTGGGTTGATGCACTTTGAAAACCAACGCGATCGCAGTGTACGTATTGCACCTCCGCTTTGCTTGAGATCTTGACTAATATTTGTCTGGTAGGAACCGCTTCTGTATGCCGACTTGCTCGAATACCTAAAACTGGGTACCTTCGATGAACGTCTCGACTGGGATAACGGGGACTGGGGCGGCTGGCAGGAGCCTCCCGAGTCCCCCGGCCATGCCTCCTTCGATGCGTGTCGCGCTGCGTGCCACGACCACCCGGAGTGTCTCAGCTTCACGTATGACTCGACCGGACACTGCGTCTTCGTGCGGACCGTGCGACTGGGGGCGAAGAAGTTGTTGGGGGACGCCAACACCCGGCTGTCCTCGGGATGGGACCTGGAGAAAATCCAGCACTGGCGCAATACCCATCAGTGCGAGAAGCCACTGTGGGTGAAGCCAAGCACGACGCGCAAGTTTTGAACGGCGGGGAGAGTCTTATCAGGGAGGCAACGGCGTTGGGACTTTTCAGGGATGGGGTTTCTCACGGCTTTGACGAATGTAAATATGAACTGATACCTCAGCACTGCACATGTACACATCTTACGATAATATAATTTGATACCTACCGCACACTAATCAATCGATTTGTCTGACGAATTGACCAATTTCGAGGGGATAATCAGTACGGGAGGGGGGGAATGAAGAACTTATCGCCCTGCGCGCCACTTGCCACTTTACCGGAAGGGGACAAAGTTGCGCGGTGCATTGCATATCTTATCGTCTGCAGTCGTTCGCTTATCGCCTTTGCCAGGCGACATCGGACCAGTCACTATGGCACGGTGCGGTTCCGCGGACTATTGGCTGCCATTCCGCCATTTCCGAGGTTCCGATGTATTGAAGTGCAGTGTAGGACAGCGAGTGGAGTGCAGTGAGGGTCTCACAGCGGGTTCCGAACTGGGAAGGAGATGCGCCGACAAGAAGTACGTCTACAATTCATAAATCCCTCCAGCTTCCCCGCATTCCCTGCTGTCTCGAGCTTCCTTTTCTCTTCCTCTTCTCACTCACTTTCTTCTGTCTTCTTCTTCTTCTTCTTCATCATCACACAACACAGATCTCACATCATGGTCTTCACTCCCCATCCGTTAGCCATCCTCTCCGAGGAGGAGACCAACATCGCCCGCGATGTCATTCTTGCCCAACACCCCAACACAGTCATTGATTTCCGAGAGATCTACTTATCGGAACCCCCCAAGACTGAGCTCCTGGAGTTCCTCGCCCTCGAACACTCCGGTCGCCTGAGCCCGACCTCTCCTCGTCCGGCTCGTCTGGCCTTGTGTCAGTACGATGTCATCGGTTCCGATCACATTCCTTCTTTCAACGAGTCGGTCGTGGACGTTGGCGCGCGTCAGCGAATCAAGCACAAGATCGTGGGCAAGAAGCACCATGCCTCGTTGACTTTGTAAGACTGTTTTTTGTCGTCCTGCTCGTGAGCCATGCTAACCGCCTTTTGTTGCTAGGAGCGAATTTGATACCCTTGTCGAGCGTTGTTTTGCCTCCCCTCTCTTCCAGAAAGCCCTCGAGGACTTCGACCTGCCTGCTGGCTTCGAGGTGACCATCGAGCCCTGGCCCTATGGTGGATTGGACTACACCGACGAGCCACGCCGCTACTTCCAGGGGTTGTGCTTTGCGACCAACAAGAGCACTAACAACCCCGATGCCAATTTCTACTCCTACCCGTTGCCTTTGATCCCGGTGATGGATGCGCTGACCCAGGAGATCATCCGGGTCGACCGTCCGGCCACTGGTGGCAAGGGCGACGGCCTCACCCAACAGACTTTCAAGCGTGACATCATCGGCCACTGCAAGGATTCCGACTACGTGCCAGAGCTGGTCCCGGGCGGGATGCGCAAGGACCTCAAACCGCTGAATGTGGTGCAGCCGGAGGGCCCCTCCTTCAAGATCACCAACGAGTCGCTGGTCGAATGGCAGAAGTGGCGGTTCCGCGTCGCCTTCAACCCTCGCGAGGGTGCCACCATCCACGATGTGTGGTACGATGGTCGCAGTGTTATGCACCGTCTGAGTATCAGTGAGATGGTGAGTCGATTAGCTGAATGGTGGAGACTTTGCGAGTGCTGACTGCGATAGACTGTGCCGTATGCCGACCCCAGACCTCCCTTCCACCGCAAGCAGGCCTTCGACTTTGGCGACGGTGGTGGTGGCAACATGGCCAACAACCTCTCCATTGGCTGCGACTGTCTAGGTGTGATCAAGTACTTTGATGCGGTCATGACTGGTGCGGATGGTAAGGCGCAGAAACTCCCTAATGCGATTTGCTTGCACGAGCAGGACAATGGCATCGGCTGGAAGCACTCCAACTGGCGTACGGGTCGCGCGGTGGTCACCCGTCACCGCGAGCTGGTGGTGCAGTTCATCATCACGCTGGCCAACTACGAGTACATCTTCGCCTACAAGTTCGACCAGTCCGGCGGCATCACCGTCGAGTCGCGCGCAACGGGTATCCTGAATGTGGTGAACATCGATGCTGGCAAGACGAGCGACTACGGCAACGTGGTCAGTGGGGGTGTGTTGGCGCAGAACCACCAGCACATCTTCTGTGTCCGCATCGACCCGGCCATTGACGGAAACAACAACTCGGTGCAGGTCGAGGAGTCCCACCCGGTGCCAATGAATGAGGCCACCAACCCCATGGGCAACTACTACAAGGTCACCAACGAGACGGTGGAACGGGCGGGCTGGCTGGACGCAGCTCCGGACCTGAACCGCACGATCAAGATGGTTAACCCTCACAAGCTCAACCCCATCAGCCAGAAGCCGGTGGGCTACAAGTTCATCCCTCTGGCGACGCAGCGGCTGTTGGCCGACCCAAACTCGATCCAGGCTCGGCGGGCGCAATTCGCCCAGCACCATGTCTGGATCACCAAGTACCGCGATGGAGAGCTGTACGCTGGAGGCCGGTACACCCTGCAGAGTCAAGAGGAAATCGAGGGTGTTTCGGACGCGGTCAAGCGGGGCGACTCGGTCAAGGACACCGATGTGGTGGTCTGGAGCACGTTTGGCATTACGCACAACCCGCGTGTTGAGGATTGGCCTGTGATGTAAGTTCACTCTTCTGAAGTGGAGGATAAGTGGATACTAACGAGCGACAGGCCGGTCGAGATCTTCCAGCTTATGATCCGCCCTGCGGACTTTTTCACAGCCAACCCCTCGTTGGACGTGCCTTCGGACCGCAATGTCTCGTCGCGGATTGTGGATAAGGAATGCTGCCGCAAGGCTCACATCTAGGGTGGGGTGCATGGGATGCATGATTTATGATACGAACTGTACTGTATATATTTTGAAGGTTGTGTATTTACATGATTTGGTTTATCAGCACGTTTCCATGAGGTCCCTAGTAGCCTAGTAGTTCTGATTTTTGATTGAAGAAAAGTGGGGCATGGGGGCATGGGGGCATGCAGGGCTGATATAAGATTGCTGCCTAGAGTCTGGATAATTGTGAATGACGACTTAAATTGATCGTCGATAGTTGCAGCGTCGAGAAAAGAATGCACCTGCACCGCCAGCCTCGGATTTGCTCGGAACGACGGGAGGCAGGCAAAATTCCCATTCCGCGGTCCCGTCGCCCGCGCCCCCGATCGCTTTCCGAACTTTTCTTCCTCACCCTACCGCTGGACTTTCTCGTCTAGATTGCATGCAAGACCCTGCGGCACACGATTCGGAACTCGGTATCGTGTCATGACTTTTGGGGTGGTTTGATTGTCGCTATATGTGATACCGAGATAAACACTTCTGGAAAACGGTGATCCATCCGATGGATACCGAGCAGCAGCAGCAGCAGCAGCAGCAGCAGCACCAGCATGCTAAGCGAGAGCTAGACCGAGGGGGAGGGGGAGGAGCAGAGAAAGACGAGCAGCAGTCCCCGGAACCCCCTCGGAGCAAGAAGCGGGCTAAATATACGTCGGTTGCTTGGTGGGTAGTCCTTCCTTTTCTCTTTGCATTTTCCTATTCTTTTTCCCTTTGACTGTGAGCAAGGGGTCGGGGAGCATGGACTCTACGCTACACTAACATGCGCATACTTGCTTCCCCCTCTACACCCACCCCACACACGCAAACCAGCCCCTTCACCACCTCCTCACCACGCCATTATAACCACTGCACACAGATCACACCATGCTATAGCCACGGCTAATAAAGGACAGCAACGAATGCAAACGCCGCAAACTCAAATGCAGCGGTGAGACCGTCTGCTCACGCTGCGCACGCGACCAGGTGCGCTGCGTCTATGCGCCGAGCGTGCACGCCGTGCACGCCGTGCCGTCCCTGCACGCGGCGCAGTCGATACATTCTGTTGGGTCTGGGACGGGGGTGTATACTTCGTTGCCGAATACGCCGAGGCCTAGGGAGGAGGATGGGGTTATGGATCGGTGGGTTGATTCTCTATCTATAGTCGATGGTTGTTTAACTACAGTATACGGTGGCTGGGGTGGTGGTAGTGGGTTGCTGATGCTGACTGCGGCAGGGTCCTGTCGACGCGATTGCGCTCGGTGGATGCGCAGATTGAGGCACTGCAGCGGGAGATGCGGGCTTTGGTGGGGAGGTTGAGGGTTTTGGAGGGAAATTCCTCAGGCATGGGAATGGGGGCCACTGCTGTTGGTGGTGGTGGTGCTGCCGCCGCCGTAACGACCCCCGCCAACCACATCCCCACCGCCGTCTCGACCGTCTCCTCCACCTCGGCCAGCGCGGGCCTCCATCGCATCATGAACCGGCCCAAATCGCCGACGTATATTGGTCCCACGAGCGCGGAGTTTGGGATTGCCGACAGAAAGCAGTCGCATGCGGGGGCGGCTGAGGAGGAGGAGGATGAAGAAGATGAGGACATGGAATCCACCGCCGCGCCGAGTCCCATCCCCATTGCCGACGGCGAGGGCGATCCGCTCCGGTGTCTGGGGTTGACCGAGGCGTTGCGCCTGGTGACGGTCTACGAGCATACGGTCGGGCTAATCTACCCGTGCGTCGATCTGGACAGCGTGCGCGCGTATGTGGTGGATTACTTTCGCGACGATCTGTCGAAGTCACCGGCTGTAGGGGTCGGAGGCGGTGCGGAGGATGATTGGTTCTTTGCGCGCGATGCGGAGGTGTTGAAGATTCTTCTGGCCACCGCGCTGTTGGCGGAGTCGCATGGAAGGAGTGAGCGCGCGGCCCTTTTGGCAGATCGCGTGGAGGATCAGTTCGCGATGCGTATGAAGGTGCCGGAGGTCGATATGAAGGAGTTGTTGATTTTGGCTTTACTCGTGAGTGATTTGATGTGCCTGGAGGATGCTAGAAAGGTACGCTGATACTGCCTGGGCAGTCAATCTTCCACTCCTACCGCGACGACGAAGTCATCGCCTGGCGCACCATCGGACTCGCCGTGCGCGGCTCCATGCAGCTGGGCCTGCACTGCCAGGAGACCTGGCAGAAGACCGGGGGTGTGTTTCCTGGGGAGCTGCACCGCACCTGGGCCAGCCGCCTATTCTGGTGCATCTACGTGCTGGACCGCAAGTGGTCGTTCGGCACGGGGCTCCCCTTCGCCATCCAGGACGCCGACATGGACACCAACCTGCCCGAGCCCGGCACGACCACCCCGTACCTGACGTGCATGATCTCCTACGCGCGCCTGAGCTCCAAGATCTGGGGGCTAGTCGTGGGCTGGCGCACGCGGCCCCGCGCCGCCACCACCGACTACTGCGCCTACCTCGACTTCCAGGTCCAGCAATGGATCCAGTCCATCCCGCCGGAGCTGCGCTTCGACCCGGCCCACCGCGCCACGGCGCGGGGCGACTCGCCGACCCACGCGGACAGCATGATGACCCTGCAGGTCCTACTGGCGCTGCAGGCCAACCAGCTGCGCATCCTCGTCTACCGCCAGTACCTGCTGAGCGGCGAGAGCATCGAGGACAGCGTCGCGGGCGCCTCCATCGCCGTCGAGACCGCCAAGAGCACCGTCCACATGCTGGACTACTTCAGTCGCGTGTCCGAGATCTACTACCAGCGCCCGGAGCCGTTCAACTACTTCCTCATCTCGGCCCTGGCCGCGCTGTTTCTGGCCGTGCTGCACGGCCCCGTCCGGTTCTCCCAGGTGTGTCGCCCGGAATTCTACAAAGCAGTGGAGATGGTGCGCCGGTCATCCACACGAGCACGCACCTCGCGCCGCCTGCAGAAGATCATCCGCAGCTTGAAGATCATCCGCTTGAACCTGGGGAAGGAGGCGAAGCTGCACGCTTCCCTGAAGGGTGGAATTCCCCAAGAGATGGCAGGGGACTATGCACAGGGGTACACCATCCATCCCTCGATCCGGACAGAAACAGGGGGCCAGACGCGAACGCACCTACACCCTCAATCTCAACCCACGCAGCGCTCGTCGAATGGAGTGTGGTCGTTGGCGTCGACGGCGACGGATCCCGCGCCTGCTGTGGCTGTGGATAACGGGTGCGAGGATCTGACGACTTTCTTCGAGATGGCGGGCGGGCTGTACTTTGATCCCCGGGTGCAAGCGGGCGGGGAGGGCGTGGCGGTGTTGGCCGAGGGGTTGGGCGGGGAGTTGGCTGCTGAGGACGAGGCATTGACGAGGGTTATGGCGGATCTTTTGTAAGGTATTCTTATTTGAATTGACGGGGTCTGGGGGATTTTCCCCAGTATCTCCAAATTCTATGATGTGTCAGGATGTGAGTTGGTTGCAGGATTATGATAGACGAAGAAGGGGGGTGGGGGGGGGGGTCTCCCCCATATGATCAACGTTGTTTTTCATTAGTAGCAACAGTGTAAAAATCAGGTGGAAGTAGGTAAAAGGAGGGGGGTCTGGGGGGATCCCCCAGTATATCTAAGCCTTGATATACTAACAGTGTGTAAAGTGTCCATATTCGAATAGCTCATTTTTCAAAGTACATTTTCTCAGAGGTAGTAGAAGACATCGTTCAAAGTAGTTAAACAGAAGGGGGAAGTTGCCCCCCCCACCCGGTTTATCTAGATTCTATAAAAACATGTTCTAGCTTAGATATGAATATTCAATTCTATAGGCCTAGTCGTTCTCATTTCCTCGTTTCATGCTCTAGACAACATTGTCAGTTTGTTCATCATTCTAATAATGCATGTCGAATAGAAAATGCTCGTCAGCCAAGTTCACAACCGGGGCCAAGCTTTGTCTTTTCCCGGGCACGAGAAAACTATTTCGGCAAGCTTGTCATCCGGTCTAAGAGGAGTCCTACAGATTCAAATCCGAAATGATTCATGGAATCAATATACCCGAGGTATATCTATGCCATTACTCCGTAAGCTTCAAGTCAGCACTCCATCGGAGCTGCAGCTACACACTCAACATCAGCCACCCTGCTGCACCCCACATTCCACTCTGTACGCCGACAACTGGTGGAACTCAATCTTGAACTCTCTTTTGCCCAATGCTTGTCCCGGTGGGATGACCAGTCACCATCACCCGAGATGTCGACCTCGGAAACTCCGCGAAGTACTGTACAAGCCGATGAGATCATCGGACATGCGCGTGTTGCGGGCTCGAGGCACGTGCGCATGCACAGTTCTGCAGGATGACAGCCAAGGCTGGCAATGTACAGAGACCGAGATGGTGTGCTTGGACAGCGAATGCATATTGCTGTAAGACCTGCCGTCTGCGCTTGTGGCGCCTACTCCTGTTTCATACCTCACTACCTAGTAACACATTCTGGATGCCACATCCATTCGTCCGACAGGTACGCTGCCGTTAGACCCCTTCATTTCCACCACTGTTTGGGTTCAATGTGTAAGCTACCAGGCATAGAACGGATTTTACAGGCAGTAACCCGGATTTTCGTAAGGTCTTAACTGTATCGGTAAGACCGTCTGTGACACCAGCTCCCAGTTGTGCCATTCGTTCTCGGAATCAGTTGCATGCTTAATCTTGTGTGCTGCGGTCCTGCCAATCCTCGGCAAGCTTAATCTCAAAGCTATCATCCACTGCAACTATTTAAAGATGGAACACACGGTGAGTTTGACAGCACAATAGTCGGTCCACGTGTTTCATCCGTGAAGTGTACTGACTCGACTCTGCACGGATGCTTCCAAAAATGGATAAAATGCCGGCTCACGGGCCTCTCCAACCGCCGATGCGAGCAACCTGTAGAAATGTTGAAGAATTGAGGCATGGAACTGTCTTTGTAGTATTGTAGGAATGGGAAGTAGTGTGGATGTAGATAGTTCCAAGACTCATGTCACAGAGCAGTAGACCCCCCGACTTCTGCAGAGTTCTGCAGACATGGAAGTGCAAAGTGCAAGGTTAACCACAGCCACTACCGGATTACCCCACACACTAAGAGTGCCGGCATGCACTAGTTAGTCCCTTATCACTTGCCGTCGACAACACCACTCCTCCACCAGTCACCTGCAGCACCCCTCCGGGATTTTGCTATTTCTACTACGCCTTTTGAAACCTCCAAAGTATCACGGAGCCAGCTCCGTATCTCCAACTGTCTCAACTGTCGCACCTGTCAACACACGCCGCACTGATCCGGCGGCACGACAACCCCTAAACACCGAACAATTGACAGCCTATATAACCTCCAAGATGGCCGAAACAAAGCAAGCAACGATCGTCACACCTCAAACTCGCAACCACCATGTACTCCCTCCTCACTGCCCTGTCGGTGCCGCTCCTGGCAGGTCTGGCTCATGGCTACGCCAATCCCGGCTCCTGCTCCGGCTCCTGCAACGTCCATGACCCTGCCCTGATCGTCCGCGAGTCGGACGGCAAATACTTCCGTTTCTCGACCGGCAACGAGATCTCCTACGCCTCCGCCTCCTCCATCAACGGTCCCTGGACCGCCATTGGATCGGTGGTGCCCGCTGGTTCCAAGATCGACCTGTCCGGCAACACTGACCTCTGGGTATGTCGCCTCCTCGCATCACTGTATTGGTGTATGACTGCATGGCTGCATGACTGCACACTGTACACTGCTTACTGCTCACTGCTCACTGCTCACTGCTCACTGCACCATGCTAACCATCCCAGGCCCCCGATCTTAGCTACGTCGATGGAACCTACTACTGCCTCTACTCCGTCTCGACTTTCGGCTCCCAGGACTCCGCCATTGGAGTGGCCTCGTCCACCACCATGGAGCTGAACACCTGGACCGACCACGGCTCCGTGGGCGTCGCCTCCTCCTCCTCCAAGAACTACAACGCCATCGACGGCAACCTCCTCGTGGACGGGAGCTCATACTACCTCCAGTTCGGCTCCTTCTGGGGCGACCTCTACCAGGTTAAGATGGCCTCCCCCCTCAAGACGGCCGGCTCGGCCTCCTACAACATCGCCTACAACGCGACGGGCACCCACTCGGAAGAGGGCTCCTATCTCTTCAAGTACGGCAGCTACTACTACCTCTTCTTCTCGTCGGGCACCTGCTGTGGCTACGACACCTCCCGCCCGGCCCAGGGTGAGGAGTACAAGATCATGGTCTGTCGCTCCACCAGCGCGACCGGCGGATTTGTAAGTTTTCGACGGAAGAAACCACGTTGAGGCGAGGCTGACCCGCGCAGGTGGACAAGAATGGCAATGCTTGCACGGAAAGTGGTGGCACGATTGTGCTCGCCAGCCACGGCACCGTCTATGGACCGGGTGGACAGTAAGACTCCTCTCCGGACGGACATGATGAAAATTGCTAACTGGGATAGGGGTGTGTACGATGACCCGACCTACGGCCCTGTCCTCTACTACCACTATGTCGATACTACCATTGGTTACGCCGATGACCAGAAGCTGTTTGGCTGGAACACCATCGACTTTTCGAGTGGTTGGCCTGTTGTGTAGGTGACTCAACCAGGGGTGAATCAAGTTGTAAATAGGTGGAATTACAGATGTAAATAGTTTAGTTCTGGTACTGAATCCCAATTCAAGAGTGAATCAATCACTGCGCCAGCAATTCCCTCGTACCTGCCTAAGGCGTCGCGGTCGCGCCTGCCGTGTCAGCCATGCCGCTGCTTCCCACCACATCCATCCACTTCTCCATCTCCCTCGTCAACACCTCAATCCCTTCCCCCATCAACTGCGTCAACGGTTTGTTCACATTCCTCCGAGGATGCTCATGCCAGGGATCCAGCACCAGCTTGTTGACATTGAACTTAGTGACTCCCACCTCGACGCAGGCTCGACACAGCTCCGGGGGGAAAGTCGTTCGTTCCGTGCAAGACGAGTCGCGCCCGTCCGTTCAACGCTCGACGAACCTGATGGAGCCTACACGAGTCAGTCCGGAACACCCAAGCCTCCCTCTCAGCGACCGACCGATTCATGTCCAACTGTGGCCCCCTTGGCCCATAATCCCCATGCAGGTTTCCCACGTTGGGAGCCAGAAGATCAACGCCAGCGTCGAGGAACTGTCCCACATCTTCTGAGGTGGTGGAAATCCCTACAGCTGCATTAGCAGAGACTGACAACTGCGCCTGAAAAGGTACCCTCTAGGTCGCCCGTTCCCACAATCCCATCCTCTCCTCCTTCGATGCGCCCGGTCTCGGCCTCGACCGCGATTCCCCGCCCGTGACAATATTCTCGCAGCGCCCTGGTCTTGGCGAGGTTCTCTTCCTTCTCGTAATGACTCATGTCCACCATGATGGAATCGAATGGAAGATTGTCCGCGACATATTGGATCTGCTCCCAATCCTGCGCATGATCGAGACGGACTGAGACCGGCACCGAGGCGCTTTTTGCTGTAGCGGCAGCCGCGTGGATTAGCGACGGGGTTAGCTCGAGCGATGAAGGAAACAACTGCAGAATCAGCGGCGATCTGCGGTTCTCGGCCGCCCGCACAAACGCCGTGATGTGCTCAACATTGTAGCTGGCATGGTGAGCCTCCTGCCCGGAACAATGCTCATTGTCCCTGTCCAGTGGCGTCACACAGTCGGCGGTATGAGAGATTTTAAATTTATGCTTAACTATTTGCAGCGACACTTAGTCAGTCAGTCAGTCACAGCTAAACTAGCAACCTCCCCGACCGCATGACATCGTGCATGCACCCCGACCATGGTTACCCCTGCCTCGATACGAGTCAGTCCCTTACCCTTCCGCGGGCTTCCACTGGCCGAATCTCAACCACTGCATTGGCTGACGAAAGGTGGATTTCTGTTCGGCTTTTTTCGCTGGCTCCACTCCCGCGTGAGTCGGCAATCGTTGAACCTCGACACGATCTGTCACCCCAGCCCATCCGCAAATTGTTCCAGCTTCCACCCCCTGTTTGCCCTTGATTATTATTTTTGTATACGGTAGCGCAAACGCTGCATATTGCCGCTCATGCTTCCCGGATGATGTGAGTGAGGCAACATGGCCGATGCTACGCAAGGGAGTTCGCGTGGCATTCGGAAGCCGCGAAAATCCCGCGGCCGTGGGTTGCGGGCCACCACTGGATGGTCAGTCTTCCCAATAATCCTTCCGATCCGTCTGAGCACTGTTTCTCAATCCTTGCCGCCTGTCCGACCGACTGTACTGATGGTAAAAGTCTGATCTGCAAGAAGCGTCATGTCAAATGCGACGAGGTTCGTCTTCCGACCAATCTGCGGTCTGCTTGTGCTGACATGAACGCAGGCTCGCCCACAATGCGGTCCGTGTGCCAAAGGCCAGCGTGACTGTGTCTATGGCACTGGCACCACGAGTCATCCTCAACCTCCCAGCTCGGGACCAACCACCGCTCCTGTGCTCGCCATCCATGGAGCGCCCTCAATAGAGCGCCTGCCGGTGCGAAGTCAAGTGCATGAGCCCCTGCAGGTCTTGGTCGATGCTTGTCAGCATCAACGTCCCGCACCCGAAACAGGGCCCTTGGCTCGTCCCGCCTCCATATCAGCATCGCCAGGTGTCTCAACAACGAGCCAGACGCTGACACCGGCCTTCCCATCCCATCAAAGTAACCATCTCACTTCGCCACCGTCGACTCACGATTTAGCACCGTCTCCTGCAACAGATTCCTCCGTCTCCTCAAGACTAGCCCCTCTCAGCTGGTTCGAATTATTGGCCAACGATGCGGTCAATGCGGATCGCAGCCTGGTCCTGTCTCCTGCGCCGGGGGACTCGTACCGACCGGGAGACCATCCCACCGGAGTGGTATCCTTGAACAACTTTCTCCCACGCTCCAAGAGGGAGTGCGAGAGTTTTCAGGCGGCAGCTTTCAGACGCGACCCGGAGCTGGAGAACCGACTACCCACGTCAACCACCGACGAGCAGCCCGTCCGCCCCGATCACCCTGCCTCATGGTCCACCCCGGCTCCAATCGAGCTGACAGAATTGGAACACCTGCTCTTTAGCCACTTTGTGCGGAATGTGAGCCGCTGGTTCGACTTCTACGACCCGGGGCGCCACACAGCGGCGATAGTCCCTCAGCTTGCCGTAAGAAACACGGGGGTGATGAAAGCCCTTCTAGCTCTTTCGGCCCGCCACCTGTCGATTTGGCATGCGAGAAAAGACCAAGGGCGGGGTGCTGGTTTCGTTATCCCTGGATCCTCGAAAAGTTTTGCGGATTTCCCGGCCGTGGATCGCCACCTTGCCGTTCAGTATTACTATGAAACCTTGAATTACCTCAACAAAGCGATGCAGTACCCGAGCTACGCGTCCAGCCGCGAGCTGATATCGACTGCCTTGCTGATTAGCACGTATGAAATGGTGGATGGATCCAACAGTGACTGGGAACGACATCTGAAAGGGGTGTTTTGGATCCAACGATTCCAAAATAACAACGGCGACTGCGGTGGCCTGCGCCAAGCGATCTGGTGGATTTGGCTGCGACAAGATGCCTGGGTCGCGATGCGCCAACGGCGGCGTTTGTTCAGTTTCTGGAAACCCGAGCGGCCCATCTCCTCCCGGACTGCCCCGGAGCTAGCCTGCTTTGCATCGTATCTGCTTGCTCAATGCATCAACTACGCTTCTCAGGAAGAAACGATGTCGAAGGACATTCAGAGCCGGCTGGAAAGAGGTAACGAGTTACTCTGTATGCTGCAGGAGTGGCAGGATCACTTGCCGGCGGAATTCAATCCCCTTCCCACTGTACAGTACACGGATGTCTTCCCACCCATATGGGTGCATCCTCCCCCGTACGCAGCTGCTCTGCAGATCCATAGCCTCGCTAAAATCCTTGTTATCTCCCATCGCCCCCCGACCGGTGACTTCCAGGACTACCGGGCGGCACAGAAAATCCTGACGACCGCCGTGAACACGATTTGCGGCATTGCGCGGACCGTAGCGGAGGACGAGCTTGCCGGTGGACTCACGGCGCTTCAATGTTTATTTGGGGGTAAGCTCCCTCTTCCGGTGCGAAGGGCAACTCACTGACTCATGTAGCGGGAATGAATGTCCACGCTCCCCATGAACGAGCCACATTACTGGATCTGATCGATAAATTCGAGCGGTTAGTGTGCTGGCCCAGTTATTCGCTTCGGGAGACCCTCGCGGCGGAGTACGCCAAAGAGAGCCTGGCTGGATCCGTGGGATAAAATTCTCGGGTTGGACCTCGGCAATCTCCCTAATTGATCATTAAGGCCGATCCTCGGCTATCCACTCCCCCACATGGCTTGCGACAGACACGCCGTCATACCAGAGAAGACCCAGCACGCCAGGGCAAGAACTTGAATAGTGGGTTCGGGTTATTTGACTGTGGCTGCTCTTACCTTCCGAACCCATTTTTGAGATCTCCGGGTCAGGGTCAACGGATTAAACTCGGGTTAGATTAAGATTTGGAGACCATCTGCGTGGACACTGACCCTGCAGGTGTTACGTGAGACTGTGGATGAAACTGTGTGCCCACAATTGAATGTATAATAGAATGAGCTACGATATATGAAAGGACAGAACCTTGTTGGACGTGGTCGCGCGTTGTCATGCTGATGGCTTATGGAGTATTCTAGTCTATAGATTATATTATACGAAAGGAAATATCAGTCGCATAAGTTCAGGCAATAGTCACGGCAGCGAGTGTAGCGATGGGGACTACTCGTAGTTTATTGTAAGGCTGGCGATTAGGGGTTCGACCTCGAGCCGAGGCGTCGGCGGACCCGGAGTCGATCCCCGATCGCGGGGAATTCAAGCGATTGCGTTCTCCGCCCTACGACCCAGCGAGCAGCGAGCAGGGACAAGGACCAGTTGACGTGACGTCAAGTCAAATCCTAGCCTGACATGCCACATGCTAAGCCTCGAGTCGAAGTCGACAGTGGTGCTTATCTCGCCACGTCTAGGGACATATCTATGGATGATTCCCAGTCAGCGCAAGCAGTGGATACAGGTTCTAAAGGTAGACCTTGTCCTACAGACACTTGATCTTTACTCGTCGCTCCATCGCACAGCGATCGCAACACCACCCTTCCACCCCCCAACCGACCCGCAGAATCATACCATCATGGCGTCTTCCTCCAACACCAACCCCCACCCCCCTCGCGACGAGGCCCCACTGACAAACACACCCACACCCCACCCCACCCCTACCCCACCGTTCGTCAGCACGATGCCCCCCGCCGACTTCAGCTGGCAGATCACCCTCGCCGGCAAAGTCATCGCCATCACCGGCGCCAACCGCGGCATCGGCCTGGGCATCGCGGAGGTCTGCCTCGCCAACGCGGCCCAGCACGTCTACTCGCTGGACCGGATGGCCCCCGGCGAGGAGACGCGGGCGCTGCAGCAGCGCTACCCGAACTTCCACTGCTTGGAGGCGGACGTGACCGCCGAGCCGAGCGTGGCGACGGCGCTCGACCGCATCGTCGCGGAGACGGGCCGGCTCGACGGGCTCGTGGCCAACGCGGGCCTGACGCAGCACCAGCCGGCGTTGCAGTTCGCCCGGGACGAGGTGGAGCGGCTGTTCGGCGTGAACGTCTACGGATCCTACTCCTGCGCCCAGCTCGCGGCTCGCACGTTTCTCGCGCTGGGCATCAAGGGCTCCATCGTTATGACGGCCAGCATGACCGCTTACCGACCGAATCGTGTACGCTACTCTCAGCCCTCGACCCGAGGCATGTCATCAGCATCCGTCGCGCTAATTGAAGATGTATGTGTAGGCTGCCCCGTCCGCGCCCTACGGCGCTACCAAAGCGGCCGGTGAGTTTTTCTTCTCCTTGAACCCCGATCTCCAAGCCACCCCAGCTGATTTGGATGTGTGCGTGTGGGGGCAGTGCGCAATATGTGCCACACCCTCGCGATGGAATGGAGTCCCCACGGCATCCGCGTGAACAGCGTCTCCCCTGGGTTCGTGCGCACCGCTATGACTTCCTACGTCGAGACCGCGCCGGACTGGGCCCAGAAGATGGAGAACTACGGGGGGATGCCCCGGCTGGCGGATCCGCGCGAGCTGGGCGGTGCCTATGTCTATCTGTTGAGTGATTGTAGTTCGTATACCACGGGGATTGATATTCCGGTTGCGGGGGTGGTTGGGGCTTGGTAGTTAGGGATGAGATTGAAGGGGAGGGAGGGTGAGGGTGGGAGAAAGGCTGGAGTGGTTGTGGTTATGGTTGTGGTTGTGGCTGATGATTCTGGTAATGATCATCAGGGTACTCCGTACAGTCCAGTACAAGACCACGACTCTTCTAATGCAGTCCTGCATGTGTGAATGCCAGGGGTCCACGGCAAGCCAAGAAGTAAGCGGCATGGCTGTTCGTATTCCGCTGGCCTATCCGCGACGACGGCGGGGGTGCGTCCAGCCTCGCACGCGGAACATCCACACGCCTTGTTTTGCGGCAGGGTCTGGGGCGTGGGCGGATTGTCACTGGCGTGCTGTCGGATACGGGGTGATGCCTCAAAGGCAAAGACAACCGATAGGACGGGGGTAGTTCAAGTGGTTGCAGGGCAATGTTGGCCCTCACATGATGTCTGGCATGTACTGTACTGTACCCTCCCCTCCCCTCCCCTGCCCTACCCTGGTCGGCGCTGCGGCTGAGTCTACCCACGCTGTGTTCTTCATCTCCTCGATTCCCCCCTCTCCAGCTCCCTCCGTCATCCATCTAGACCAGACCCTTAATGTAATACATCCTCATCATAAGGTTCCATGGCCCAAGAGATGGACAACCACGAATTCCCCTTCCTCGAGGAGGTTTTCACCCCGACGGGACCGCCCAAGATCGAGTACGTCCCTCTCCCCACCACTCATCCACGTTAGACAGTGACATGTTAACAGAGCAACCAGCTTCGTCTTCGTCCACGGCCTCAACCCCCGCGGTCGCGTCGACCACCCCTACGAGACATGGACCCACGCCAACGGCACCTTCTGGCCCCGCGACTACCTGCCCCACGACATCCCCCAGGCCCGGGTGTTTGTGTATGGCTATAACTCCAACATCACCAGTCCGCAGAGCATGTCCACCGCCGGCGTGAAGGATCATGCCAATACGTTGTTGAATTTGTTGGACTTGGAGCGCGATCCGAATATGGTATGTTCGCTTAGCTTGTTGGGAGGGTAGTGGGGAGGGTAGTTGGGGGGTTATGCTGTTTTTGAGAGGGCATGAATGGAGGCTGGGTCGAGTGGGGAAGGGAACTACTCAGGCTGTGCTGACGTGGGTAGAATGTACGACCGCCGAAGATTATCTTCGTGGGACATAGTCTGGGAGGGTTGGTGATCAAACAGGTACGTTTTGCATATTCCATCCTGTGATAGACCTTGAGAAGGCGTTCTGACCGGTTCTTGTGCGGTGCAATGTGCTTACGGCTGCTCCTGCTGCTGACAGGCCCTCTTAAACGCCCACGAAGACCCCAAGTACAACGCCATCCGCAACAACACCTACGGGCTGGTCTTCTTCGGATGCCCTCACCGCGGCACCAAAGGCGTCGAGCTCGGCAAGATCGCCGCCAAGGTGGCCCGCTTCGTCGCCAAGGGCCATGCCAGCAACGACCTGCTCGACAGCCTCGAGCACAACTCGCTCTTCACCCGCCAGATGACGAGCCGCTTCTCCCACCAACTCGAGGACTACCGGGTGATCAGCTTTGTGGAGGGGAAGGAGGTGCTCCTCGGTGGCGTGGGGCCTGCCTCTGTCAGTCATGTATGTATCCTTTGAACCTGTGTACTCGTTCTCGACGGACTTGCATCGAAACGGTCCAGGTACTCAGTGCGCTGATGTGTCCAGCTCGTCGTCGACGAAGAATCCGCCGTGCTGGGCCTCCCCGGCCAGCGCGAGACCCGCCTCAAGCTCGACGCCGACCACTCGCAGATGTGCAAGGTGGGCGCCCGCGGCGCCATGTACAAGATGATCAAGGGCAACATCAAGCAGATCGCCGACCAGGTCCTGGCCACCGAGCAGGGGTACATCCCTTCCGCCGCCAGCACCACCACGCCCTCCCCGCACCCCGCCCCACCGCCCATCCCGCCCCGCCGCCCCGTCAACAGCAGCATGCCCTACCCCTCCCCGCAGAGCCCCCCGCCCGTCCCCAAACGCGTCACTGGCGCCTTCTACACCGCCGTCGACACCGACCCGCGCTCCCTCCAAGCCGCCGCCCTCAAGAACACCTGGCAGTGGGACGAGGCCCGCAAGCTCGAGTACGCCATCTTCCAGGAGCACCTGCGCCACCTGGGGGCGGACCACCACAGCACGCTGGAGGTGGGGTACCACCTGGCGGAGATCGACCTGGAAGCCTGCTACTACGCGAAATCCGCCGAATGGGCGCAGTGGGTGGCGGGCAACGCGCAGCGCGTGTTCGGCGCCAAACACCCGCTGGCGATGAAGGCGGAGAGCCTGCTGGGCGAGGTGCTGGCGCACCAGGGCCAGGGCGCGGAGGCCGAGTCGGTGTGCGCCAACGTGCTGGCGCGGCAGCAGATGAGCCTCGGCGAGGACGCGCTGGACACGCTGCTGACGCGCCGCCGGCTGGCCGTCGCCTACGGGGTGCTGGACCGCCGCGCCGAGGCCGTCCAGGCCCTCGAGAAGCTGACCGACCGCCTGCGCCACGTGCTCGGCCCCGCGCACATTCGCGTCTACGGCGCCCTGCTCGACACCGCCGAGCACCTGGTCGCGCTGCGCTCCAACGACCCCACCACCCAGCTGGTCGCGCGGCGCTTCACCCCGGCCGCCGCCGACGAGATGGGCCCGGCGGTTGCCGCGCTGTCGCACGAACTGACCCAGCTGCTGGGCGCGTCGCACCCGCTGACCATCAAGAGCGTGCGGCTGCTGGCCGCGAGCCAGATGCTGGAGCCGGACGGCACGGCGACGGCGTCGGAGACCTTCCGGCGGGCGCTGGCGGCCAGCGAGGAGGCGTTGGGCGGCGAGCACCCGGAGACGATGGCGATCGTGGCGCTGATGGGGGTGATGTACGCGTCGCAGGGCCGGATCGGGCTGGGCGCGTTCGGGGGCGCGCACCGCTCGCACACGGAGCTGGCCGTGCCCTGGCTGCTGCGGTACCTGGGGTGGTGCGAGGCGCGCATGGGCGTCGACGCCGTCGAGGTCCAGTCCGTGCTCGACATGTTGGCCAAGCTGTACTTCGAGGCCCGCGATTACCTCCAGAGCCAGGAGTACTACGAGCGTCTGGAGCGGAGCTACCGCGCCGCCGGGCGCGCGATGCCCGAGCAGAGCGCCAATTGGTTGCAGCTGTGTCGCTTGAATACGCAGTATTTGACCCCTAAGAAGGAGGTCGGGTTGCAGGGGTTGCTGCGGCAGTTTCAGCGGATGTAGATTTTTGATGATTTGGAGGGGGGGGGGGGGGGGGGGTTTGGGTGGGGTGGTGTGTGGGGGGTTTTTTTTTTGTGGGTTTGGGGGGGGGGGGGGGGGGTTGGTTTGCTGCGTTGTTGCGTGTTGCGTCGGTTAGGGATACCATGTTGATAATGAGTATACATATCTATTTCATGGGGTTTCGTACACAGATGGCAGACTGAGCGGGTCTGGACCATCAGCCTCAAACTCAACGTTGAGACTGGATGCTCTATTCTGCATCACTACTGTATCTTAAATGCTCTTGTTTATAGGGGTACGAGATACCTGCAGCTATGCGGAGCAAGTACGATCTGCACGAGCCAGAGGAGGATCTTTATGGTTAAGTGACTGCATAGCTGCTGCGTACACTGCATGCGGCGCCACACTCCCAAAACAGCACGCAGAATTAGGTGCGACAAGCTTTGATCCATGATGTCGCGACCAATAACTTCTCGTACCAGTCGCTGGATTCCGGCATATCTTTACACAGGATTTAGTCTTTCCGGTGGCCGGAATACCCTGCACGCGGGGGAGAGATTCCCGAGAAAGGCCGAACCACTCGGAAATTCTGGGTCGGGCATTTTCAGATCGTAAGCTTTGTGCGATCGAGATTTCCCGCTGTTGCTTGGGCTAGGGATGATTCTGTGCCATGGAATCGTTGTGCGGGTGGGGAGGATCCTCGAGGTGACGATGCACCCCGGTGCCAGGTGGAGGGCTGCAATGACGTGTGATGTCTGGCCCTACAGCTCTTCCGCTTGACGTATCTACCCTGTTGCCAATACTGGAGAATTTTCAAACGTACGACCTGAGCAGGTTTATTCTTTGCTGTCGAGGTGACTCCGATCTCTACACCCAATGCAACCACTGACCCCGAACAAATGTGGCTCAACTGCAGATACTACGAAAACAGACTACAAAAGGGAAAAGCAATCAATCCAAAATCATATTATGGTTGTCCATTCAAGGAGCGATTATCGTAGGGCAGGCCCTATCCTATCATAGGTGTATCATACAAGCGCAATCCGCGTCGTCATAAGGTTATCATCATCGACATCATCGACATCATGCAGAGCTTCTAGTTGGAGATCTTGTCGGGGACGTTGCGGCTAGTCGCGATTAGCTTGACCCTTCTTACATAGTGTGTCGCGGGAAGAAAGCTTACCCGGTGGAGCTTTCGAACTTGTTGCGCGCAAAGTCGGTGGCCTTCTCGTTGGTGGAGCGCAGCTTCTGGGGGTCGGCGCCGAATCGGCTCTCGATATTGTCGACGCCTGTTGTTGGTTGTCAGTGAGGGGTTGGGGAGTGGGTGGGTGCTTTGTATCTCATGAAGGCAGAAGCAAAGCAGGAATTGGCAAAGTCAAGGACCCACGGGCCATTGGCGAACACGTACCCTTATCGACGTAGTCTTCCTGGTTGTTGTTGTTGTTGCTGCTGCCGCTGCTGCCGTGGCTGCCGCCGAGCTTGGATGCGAGTCCGGAGAGTTTGTCCATTGTGGTTGATTTGGGGGTTGTGAAGTTGAGTGCTGATAGTTCTGTGGTAGTTCCGTGATAGATTGATGGGATTAGAGACGACTGAGGATCAATTCACTGCTTTATATGTGCAGTGTATCGTTGGGATCGGCAAAGGTTGCACTGGTGGTGATGTCATGGAGATGGTGGTGACGCTGGTGACGCCATTTATGCTATGCACCGCATAAAAGGATTATGTCTCTTGGCTGACATCGGGCTGACATCAGCTGCACTTATGACTTCTGTCAGCTATGCACCGCCATGTTTATGCACCAGCCATCGCATTAGCCATCGCACCAGCCACAGCCAAAAATACCCCGCTGAGTCAGCGCTAGTCGCTCGGGTTGCCTGATCGGGCATGGACCACTTGGGGCCTTCTGTTTTGTTGATTCAACGCACGAACACCCAATCTCCCCCCATCTCCACTGCTGTGCACTGCTTTCAGGGGTTGAGGCTCTCTAGTCTCAAGTGCTGTTCGCCTGTTCTCCTCTCCATTGTCTCCATCCTCCTCTGTCCTCGTACTCGTTTACCACTCCCACTCATTCGCTTATGTCCATCCCTATTCGCCCACACTGCTAGCAGGTGCTGGTGCTGGTCCGTGACATCATGATCGAAATCATAAACATCCCATCTAGGGATAACTTCGGAGCAATGCTGCTGCCTGCGGTTCCGATGGAGCTGGCCGACTCACTGCCACTCCGGTCCCAATCACACTCTCTTGCTCGCAAGTTTCTGACCCCTTGGGCATTGCCAGCCGGCAGTCGGCTTCTAGCCGATTAGTGAGCAGCCATGCAGACCCATCTTTCAGCTCAATTTCTTTCGGCCCCAGTGGAGCTGCATCGCCCAAGGCTTTCCGGGGGGTCCGCAGATCGCCTGGTCTTCTCGAAGAATATAAGGGAATTGGGCATTTCGCTTTCGCACCTTTTTCCTTCCTCTTTTCTCGCGACTTGATCTGCCTCTCTCCTCCCCCCTTCACTGGTCAGGTTCCTCCCTGTCCGCGCTCCCCCTGTCGATCATGAAGCTGTCTCTTGCTGTCGCGGCAGCGGCTGGCGTCGTCCAGGCCGCCTCGCTGCCTCCTGCGGCGGTCGAGGTGGCTGTTCGGGCGCTTCCCAATGCCCCCGAGGGCTACACCCCCGACAACGTGACCTGCCCGTCCACCCGCCCCAGCATCCGTGATGCCGACAACCTCTCCACCAACGAGACCGAATGGCTCAAGGTGCGCCGCAATGTCACCCTGCAGCCCATGAAGGACTTCTTGGGGCGGTTGAACCTCAGCGGCTTTGACGTCACCTCCTATCTCAACACCCACGCGAGCAACATCTCCAACATCCCCAACATTGCCGTCGCCGCCTCCGGGGGTGGCTACCGGGCGCTGACTAACGGCGCGGGTGGCCTGAAGGCCTTCGACAGCCGCACGGAGAACTCCACCAACACCGGTCAGCTGGGGGGTCTGCTGCAGTCGGCTACCTATGTGGCTGGTCTGAGTGGTGGTAGCTGGCTGGTCGGGTCGATGTTCGTCAACAACTTCTCCTCTATCAGCGAATTGCAGGCCAGCGACCGGGTCTGGGGTTTCTCCAAGTCTCTGCTCGAGGGCCCTAACTATGACACCATTCAAGTCCTGAGCACCTACGAGTACTGGGACACCATCACCGACCAGGTGGACGGGAAGTCGGGGGCCGGTTTCAACACCTCCTTCTCGGATTACTGGGGCCGTGCCCTTTCCTTCCAGCTGGTCAACTCCTCCAAGGATGACGGCGGTGCTGACTACACCTGGTCCTCCATCTCCCTGATGGACGACTTCAAGAACGGCCAGTACCCCATGCCTATTGTCGTCATGGATGGCCGCAACCCCGGCGAGGTCATCGTTGAGACCAATGCGACGGTCTACGAGGTCAACCCGTGGGAGTTCGGCTCTTGGGATCCGTCTGTCTATGCCTTCGCTCCGTTGCAGTACCTCGGTTCGAGGTTCGAGAACGGCAGCGTGTCGGAGAACGGCACCTGCGTGCGTGGCTTTGACAATGCCGGTTTCATCATGGGCTCCTCCTCCACTCTCTTCAACCAGTTCCTGCTGCAGATCAACAGTACCGACATCCCCACGATCTTCAAGACTGCCTTGACCGACATCCTGGAAGACCTGGGTGAGCGGGGTGACGACATTGCCGTGTACTCCCCCAACCCCTTCTACGGGTACCGTGAGGCCAGCGAGGATTATGCCACCGCTGCCACCTTGGATGTTGTCGATGGTGGTGAGGATCTTGAGAACATCCCGCTGCACCCGCTCATCCAGCCCGACCGTCACGTGGATGTGATTTTTGCTATCGATTCTTCTGCTGACACCGACTCCTACTGGCCCAATGGAACGTCGCTGGTGGCCACCTACCAGCGCAGCTTGAACAGCTCCGGGATCGCCAACGGCACCGTCTTCCCTCCCGTCCCGGATGTGAACACCTTCGTCAACCTGGGCCTGAACAAGCGCCCGACCTTCTTTGGCTGTGACCCGAAGAACCTGTCTGGTCCTGCGCCGCTCGTCGTGTACCTCGCCAACTCGCCGTACACCTACGAGTCGAACTTCTCCACCTTCAAGCTGACCTACTCGGACGAGGAGCGCGACAACGTCATCACCAACGGCTACAATGTGGTCACCCGCGGCAACGGCACCCTCGACTCGAACTGGACCTCTTGTGTTGCCTGCGCCATCCTGCAGCGCTCGACCTACCGCACCAACACCACCCTGCCGGACATCTGCACCACCTGCTTCAACGACTACTGCTGGAACGGCACGACCAACAGCACCGTGCCGTCGGAGTACGAGCCCACCCTGTACCTGACGACCAGCGGCTCGAGTAAGAGTATGCTGCACCGCTCAGCGGCCGGTTTGGCCTTTGCGGTGACTATGTTTTTGGCTTATTAGATGGGAGTGATTTGGGATGGAGACTTCCTGTACAAATGTTGATAGTCCTGGATATCTGTTGATAGTAATAGATCGATGAAGACACGATTGATTTTGGGTAGTGCTTTAGTGGTTGGAGTTGAGGTCCATAACGAATGAAGATTTCGGTGTTATGTCTTTTGAGATCCGGCACGCTTCTACTGACGTCATAAGCCTCGGCACCTCAGATTTGTGTTTCTCAAGGATGTTCTGCTTAATCTGGGATAGTGTTTCATCTCCACGGATGTGTATCCTTTCATTAACCAAGAAAGAGGCACCGGAAATACCCACCCTCAGACATGGTGGCTGGTTTAGTCGGGCAGCCTCGGCCATTGTATATCAAAGTGAGCACGGTACACTTCGAACGTCTTCTAATAAAGCTGATGAAGTGCATCTTGTAGGGATAGGTTCACAACCACCGCACGATCGTCTTCACACACCTTTTGTGAACAAGATCAGACCATGCGACCGACCAGCCATGAGGCCCGCGACAAAGAGTAATGGAACATTTCGGTTGCCGGCATCACCGAACACCACCACAACAAAGGCCTTCCCTATGTTCTCCGTAACAGACAACACATGAGAACACTGAAAGACATCTGCACAAGAGCGTTTTCCTCCCCCAACAAGCAGACATGCGAGATATAAACCCCCTTCTCCGCATATCCCCCTTCCTCGCCCCTCACCCAATATCCCCACATCCACATCAAACCCAACATCCCACAATCAAGAGACACAACCAACCCAAACCAATGTCACACCTCGTCCCCGAGATCCCCTGCTGGCGCGACCGCATCACCAGCCGCCTGCACCCGCTCGGCGACTACGGGCTGCTCGACATCGTGCAGCAAGTCCCGTCGGGCACGGGCACGGACCCGGCACACCCCGTCGACATCCAGACCTTCGTGGCCTTCCTCCGGGGCCGGCCGTTCTTCTGGTTCATCCACGGCCCCAGCACCGACCCGGGCTGGTGCATCACCAAGCTGCTGCTCTTCTGGCGCAGCGCGCTGGCGGACCCCAACTACCGCATCCCGGCGGCGATGATGCTGGCCGGCGGCGGCTGTCTCGGCGGCAACCAGGTCATGTTCTGGACGTTTGAGGCGCGGGGTTCGCACGCCGACGCTGACGCTGACGCTGACGCTGACGCTGACGCTGACGCTGGAGGTGGAGGTGCTGGCCACGGCCAGGCGCAGCGCGTCGCGACCCGGTGGCAGCGCCAGGGCCGCACCCAGTTCGATTGGTGGGCCGATGAGTTCCTCACCACGCGGTTCTTCTCGCATGTGGCGGAGAATGTGAATGCGGTTGTGTGGCCGTCGCCGCCGTTGGGTGCCTCGCAGGATACTGAGGGAGAGGGAGAGGGAGAGAGAGAGGGAGAGGGGGAGTTCGATACTGCTACTACCGCTTCGCGGGAAGGGACGCCGCGGCCGCTTGAACCCATTGCGGGGGATGCGGGTGGGTATTCATCTACCGACCCGGAGGATCGTGGCTCTGCTAACGCTCGTGGAAGGGCATCCCAGGCGACGCGCGCGAACACGGTCTGAATGATACCGACGACGATGTCCGCTGCGGCGTCGGAGACGTGGCATAGTTGCGCGTCCACGGAATACTTCTCGGCGGAGTCGAAAGGAGGGTAGACGATAGATCGGTGTTCTGGATGGCTCAGCTCCAGCGCCCTAGGGCTCTGGGCTCGAGAGTTGGTACTCCGCGCTGTGATTGGTGTTTTCTTACGAAATAGAATTCAAACTTCTGGTTTACATGTGTACGCACTTTGCTGTGACATTCCTGGTTTATCCTTGATACAGTTCATAGGCTTCGCATTCGAATCTTGTTTGTTACTGGGAGATTGTCGGATAGTGGGGACTGGGGTTCGATACACACACCACGCCGTCTGCGCAGTTTGGAAGAAAAAGGGAAGAGGGAAGAAAAGCGAAGACATGATTACAAGCAGTGCCGGTTCATAACTGTCAGCGTCGCTCATCCGGCCACGTGATTCCAAACTGGAAGGCCTTTTCCCACCTTGTTTATATGCGGCAACGTAGCTAGTCCAACCAACCAACCAACCAACCCGACCACTAAGAAAATTAAGAACCACGTTCCAGAAAGCCTACCCTGAGACCTCAAATCGCCGATGATAACCAAACATTCTGACCAGGAACCGGCCGGCCAGTATGCTAGGGGTGCGGGGCGATCTAGCCCTCAAGCTCCTGCAGGATAGACAACAAGGTAGCCTGCTTGCGGGCCGGGGGTTGGTACTTCTGCGGGTAGCTATCCCGAGCGGAGCAGGAGCGATCAGCCCTGGCGAGACGGCAGCCGGCGCAGCACGCACCCCAGTAGCCGGGCAGGTGGAACGCGTCGCGGAACACCGCACCAGTGTCGTGCGTGCAGGGGTCGCGACAGAGAATACCGCGGCTGGCAAGCAGAAGGGCATCGACTAGGCGGGAGGAAGGGGATCGGAGCTAGAGGGGGGCGAAAAAGGCCAGGACATCACATTAACAGTGTTGGGTAGGGTAGGGCTAGAGGACGGACCTGATCCACGGAGATACTGTCCTGCGCGAGCCAGAACTGGAAGACCGGGAACATGTAGACCGCCCGCTGGGTGTCGTTGGTCAACATGGCCGCCAGGGCGCGGTGACCGAAGGCCGTCATGCGCACGAGATCATAGGGCTGGCCGGCGGGATTCGTTTCCGCTGATGTCTCAACCACCGAGAAAAACTGCTTCGAGTCGGGACAGACCGTATTCGGATCATACGGAACCAGCTCGGGGCAAAGGCCGGGACCGGGTGCAGCCATGTCAGAAGGGCCAGACTCAACGGCCGGGAGCTCAATGCTCATGGCGATCAAAGTAGTCAGATATTGGGAAGGGGGGGCTGGGAGAGGCGGGAAGAAGCTGGACGGAGCTGGACGGAGCTGGACGGAGCTGGACGGAGTTGGACGGAGCGGGACGAAGCTGGAGCCCGAAGAGAACTGTAGACCGCGGTGTACAGCGGGGTGCCGGTGCGGAAGGATTGCTTGTACAATGGTGTACTAAGCCTGATGGGAAGAAAGACCGAGAAGTTGACAGAGGAGAGGAGGAGGGGAGGAGGGGAGGAGGCGAAGATGGATTAAATAGATGAGAAGCGGCGGACGGAAAACCAGACTGGGTGCCTTGTTGGGAAGTGAATGCTTTATCTGAAAGCAGTCCCTCTACAAAAACCTGGTTCCCTAGTGTTTCTTTTCTTGATAGCTGCACCACCCAGTAGGTAAGACCGTCTAGCAGGGCGAACAATACCTCTAGTTGATTTTGACCATGTCCCTGGCTTACTCTTCGTTGGAAAGCCCTTAAAACCTCACCATATTACCATCACCATTATTATGATCTTATTGTATAGCCTCACACCTGGCGTTCACAGCTTCGAGGGCAACTCTGAACATGCGATGATTCCTTTCGTGTGCTTGGCTCATCAAGCCTCCTCAGTCCTCAATGTCCTCCGGGTCTGAATTTTTGTAACTCTCTCGCTTGTGTAAGGGACACGCACGCTCGTCCAACATGGGAATTCAAGTCAGGCGGAAATGACCTCGCTTCAGGAGAGTGTCGCTGCACTGCGTCGAGCTCTAGCGACAGCAGTGGCTCACGATACTGGAGTTCGAGACAAGATTCAGAACTTGGTGGGCGATATCAGACTAAGCTTCCTTGGGTGTCCGTTCTAGTCTTATCCTGGATGCGCTGCGGTTCGAAGGGATGTACGAAAGGTTCAATAACGTCGATGCGGCACATGATGCCACGTTCACGTGGCTGTTAGGAAGCCAAACAAGAAACTGGACCACCAAAATCCCGACTCCCAGGAGGCTCTCCACGAACGAGCCCGCCGCAGGTTCATTGGCTGGTTTGAAGAGGGCGACGGCATATTTCATATTTCCGGAAAGCCAGGGTCGGGCAAGTCCACTCTGATGAAGTACATCTGCCAAGATAAGGCAACGGAAAAGCATCTCGAGCTGTGGTCGACAAACAAATCCCTGGTGCTAGCCAGATTCTTCTTTTGGAAGCACGGCCGGATGCTTCAGAAGAGCTTTCGCGGGCTGGTGCGAGAGGGCTGATGCATTCTATTCTGTCTCCATGGCTGGAGCTCATACCTCTGCTGTTTCCCAAACAATCGCAGGCTGCCTTGAGCGGGTCATGACCAGTAATCGATGATGACCATGAGGTGTTTGCGGCATTTCGCAAGTTGAGAGAAACGGACAGTGTTTATCTTACCCATACGATAGCCATTCTTATTGGCGGCATAGGCGAGTTTGAAGGGGACCGTGTCCAAACGATCACGGGATACTTGAAGCAGAGAGATTCCCTGCGCAACCCGTCCAAGTACGACTCCACCATCTCAACGGCGAGTATTTCTGTTCGCAGCCGGTATTTCACGCGACAACGCTGGCGTCCTCCCTGCCCCTCACCGTTTTATTCCTACTCTATGGTGGCAATCCACGAACCTACTATGCGCTATCTTACGAGCCCCGTCGGGATGGAAGGCGAAGACAAACATCCGCCACGGTCTCGGTACCAACGGGCGACCCTCAAGGTAACCTACAGTCTTTGGAGCTTGGAGCTCCGGGACGAAACACTTTTGGCGCAGGGAAGTCGGTGGCTCACTTGTCTTACCGAGAAGTTTGGGACCCGCATCTCCTTGCGACAACTTCTGGAAGTCCTGTTCCCTGCTCAATTTGTCACTGCCTTGCAGGAGCTAGTTGATTGGCATCGTGCACATGAGGAGACACTGACTTCAGAACAGCTGGTGGAGATGCGAGAGCTCTTTGGACCGAAGGTGCAGCCTTTGCTCACTCTGGAGGCTATTGAGGAGCTGTATCGGGAGGAGCAGTCGGGCTGACAGTGTTTGCAGCATGGGTGTTTTGAGGACGGAGCGCTGACTGAAGGATATACGCGGATTTCCATCTCCAGATGCGCGAGATGAGAATCACTGTGCGACTTTGGGTTAAGGGTGGGTGAGCAAGGAAGAAGGGAAGTGGCTGGTTATGGCTGGATTTCTTGACTTAGAGTGGTTTCCATATAGACTATCTAGTAGATATCAACGTGGCTTCTAGCAGGTGGTGTGGAGAGTATCCGTACAGTGCAACAATATACACCATCGCAGAAAGTCCAGTGGTCGAGGCTCGCCATTGGTGTTGGGGATGACGCCAAACGATGTTTCGTTCCCTTCCCCGCCCGAGATCGCCGCTGCCGACCGGGAAATGAACCCCTCACTCATCTTATCATCTCCAACCACCTCATCTTCATTCTTCTTCCACCATGACTGTAGATACACCCTCATTCACCGCTATCCCAATCCTTGACTATGCTCTCGTCACTGCTCCCACCACAAAGCCCCAGTTCCTCGCCGATCTGCGCCATGCGCTGGTCCACGTGGGCTTCTTCTACCTCGTCAACGCCCCGATCGCGCCCGCCGTCCGCGACGAGCTGATCAAACAAACCACCGCCATCTTCGATCTACCGCTCGAGAAAAAGCTGGAGATTGAGATGGTCAACAGCAAACACTTCCTGGGATACTCGCGACTAGGGGCCGAAACCACCGCGCGTCAGACCGACTACCGCGAACAATTCGATGTGCGTGCCGATACATCATGAAGTTCCTGTACTGTATGTATGGACATACACCACTGACCAGTCTCGCCAGTTTGCGACCGAGCTCCCTGCCCCAAGTCCAGACGCCCCCCTTTACCGCAACATCCGCGGCCCCAACCAGGTACATTTCTACCTTCAACCCAGTGTAACCACCCAACTAACTGCACAGTGGCCCGACGAATCCGCCATCCCGGGCTTCCGCCGCGCCGTCGAGGCCTACCTGGCCGAAACCCATCCCCTAGCCGCCGCCTTCCGGGGCCTCATCTCCGAAGCGCTCGACATGGCGCCCACGGCCCTCGACCGCTTCTTCGAGGACCCGATCCAGCAGAAGCTCAAGCTGATCAAGTACCCGCCTCCCCGCGATGCGTCCGAATCCCAAGGCGTGGGCGCGCACAAGGACTCGGAGTTCCTCACGTTCCTGCTGCAGGCCACGCCGCACACGGGGCTGGAGGTGCAGAACAAGGCCGGGGAGTGGGTGGCGGCGGCGCCGCTGCCGGGGTCGCTGGTCGTGAACATCGGGCGCGCGCTCGAGGCGATCACGGGCGGCGTGTGCACGGCGACGACGCACCGGGTGAATTTGGCCAGGGAGAATTTCGTCGACGCACAAGGAACGTCCCTCGGGCCGCGCTTCTCCATCCCCGTGTTCCAGGGGATGAGCCTGGATCTGTCGGCGGAGAGCGGGGCCCGCGCCCTGGCGATCCCGGCGCATATCCGGGCGCTGGTGCGCGACGAGACGGTGCGGTCGGACGCGGAGGCGACGTTCAACCGCATCTTCCAGGGGAGGGTGGGCGAGGGCACGCTGATCCATCGGGTCATGAGCCATCAGGATGTGGGGCGGCGGTGGTATCCTGCGTTGCTGGACTGGGCGCTGGCGGAGTATGAGAAGTAGTCACCTTCCAAGACCACTTTAGGAGAGAGAACGTCCCGTGCAGTGGAGTACAGTACAGTACAGTACAGAAAAAGGCAATGGTCGATCATCCGCCACCTGTCAGTTGGCCCGATCAGCTGGTGGTCCCGGCATCGGTCTGAAACTAGGGTTCGTATTGCGAGGTTAAGCTGCGCCTGCTCGTATTTCTGGGCTAGTTGGACCCAATCAGAAGCGCGAACTTCCCGCGATCGACGTCCCTGCGCTTGCCCCGTGCCCAGCATGCGTGGTGGACTGGGCTAGCTAATTTAAGTCGCTTGCTGTCTCCGTATACTTATACTCCCATGCCCCTCTGACTTTTTCTTTCTTTCTTTCTTTCTTTCTTTCTTCCTTTAATGTGAAGGAGTGAATACTATGGCCCAGCCCGCCAGCCACGGGGGCGTATTCCCCCGCGCAAAGAGCGGCCAATGCCGCGCCCACCACGCCTTCTCCAGCAGCACCGCGCGCATCACCATCGTCTGCTACGCGGTCTACCTTGTCCTGTTCCTGGGGCTGTTCTTCTTCACCGCCGCGCGGTTTCTCACCAGCGAGGACAAGCGTAAATCGATAGCGCAGTGGCTGCTCCTCGCCCTCGCCGTAACATTCATGCTGCTGTACGCAGGGCCCCACCCCCTCTCCCAACTCAAACCACCCTAATCGAATCAACGAGACGCAGCGCCCAAACCCTGGCAGTAATCATGACCACCCTGAGCGAATGCGCCGTCCTCACCCCGGCCGACACCACGCAGGCCCTCCTCCCGATAACCTGGCTCCTCGCCCTCGGCAAACTCGCCCTCTTCGCCCTGATCCTCCTCCCGCTCTGTCGCCGGCTGCACCACGGCGCAAGCCACAAGACCATCGATCGGTGGATCCGCATCCCGCATTCCGTCCTGATAGCGGTGCTGGCGGGGTTGCTGCTCGCCGCACTAGCGGTGCAGACGCGTCTCGTCGAGCGCATCGTCCACCCCACGCGGTATCCGTTCGCCGAGCTGCAGCGCTGGCAGCGCACGGAGAAGCGGCTGTGGGTGGCCGTGTTCGTGGTCGAGGTGCTGGGCATGAGTCTGGCGGCGGCCCGCATGGGCTGGGCCGTGTGCTCGGCGCGCCATTTGCGCCGTGGGGTGCGTTGTCCTCCTTCCTCCCTCCTTCCCTTCGTTTCTGCCTTCGTTTCTGCATTCCTGTCTTTCCCTGTGGTGTCCTGGGACGTTCGAGAGACCACATACTGTTTGATCTTACTGGGGTTATTTGGTGGTAGGCTCTGCTAACGTCCGACAGGAACTCGGCATCTTCATCCCCCTCCTGATCGTCTCGTCGGTGGGGCTGGCCCTGACGGATCTGGTCGGGTACGTGGAGGGCCCTGCATTCCGGACAGCTGCCACCGTCGAGCAGGAGCGGAACATCGTGAGCGGCCAGCAGGCCCGGATGTACGTCGAGTACTTCTTCTACGCCGGGACGGTGCTCGCCGCGGGAGTGGTGGTCGCGTCGCGGCGCTTGGGGACGGCCGCGCGGGCGAGTATGTCCAGTGTGCGGGCGAAGGGGTAGTATCTACCATACTATACTTTATATCTTAATCTTAAATACTAGATTTGCCGTCCTGGGGGAGAGCCCCCGGACCCCCCTTTTTTTCAACTTTCTGGTGAGGCTTATCTGTAGTAGCATTACATAGTTTTAAGTATAATATTGATAATTATTATGTATTATAAACTATACTCACCAGAATGCGCTTTTCCAGGAAGACTGAAAGAAAGGGGGGTCCGGGGGTTCTCCCCCGGAACAGTATATTCCCCAGTATTCAAGATTAAGTATTTACCAGGAAGCTGAAAAGAAGGGGGTTCCAGGGGTTCTCCCCTGGGATGGTATATTCCCCAGCACTCAGGACTGAGCATTTACCAGGAAGCTGAAAAGAAGGGGGGTCCGGGGGTTCTCCCCCGGGACGGTATGCTCCCAACAACCCTAATCTTAAGTGCTTGGGGGTGTACCGTTCCGGGGGAGAACCCCCGGAACCCCCCTTTTTTCAAATTCCTGGTAACACTCAATGAAAAACCCTGAATCAATTAAGATGACCGTCAATGCTACAACAAAAACTACATTAACCACTACACAATGACCCCCAATCCAGCTAAGCACGCGAAGCACCTAAGCACTCCCCCAATCCACGACCGCATCCTCCCCGGCCTTCTCTCGGATCAGCCGGTGGCTGAGATCCCACAGCGCGGCGCCCAGCACCGGATCCGACGCCTGGCCGGTCTCCTTGCCGGGCTGCGCGACATCGCTGAAATAATACCCGTTCCAGCCGTTGCGCTCGACCTCGGGGCTGGTCGCCGCCCACAGCGCGCTGAACGAGCCCTGCTCGACGTTGCGGCCCGCCGCCAGCATCACCTTGGTCAGCAGGTTCCCGACGATCCCGGGGTACGCGTCCTTCCACTGCTGCTGCATCGCCGTGTTCACCTGTCCTGATCAGCACCACTGGCACACTTTCAACCACCCAGCCAGCGAATAGGGGAACGTACCGCGCCAGGATGCACCGACAGCGCATAGATGTTATCCCCGTTGGGCTTGATCACCCGGTCCAGCAGCCCGTACTTCACCCCGAGGATGATCGCCAGCTTGGTGCGGCCGTAGAGCTGCGTGTTGCCGACCTCCGGGTTGTTCAGCTCGGCGAGCGAGGCGAAGTGCACGTTGGGCGGGGCGTTGCGGTGCTGCTCCGAGGACTCGAAGACGATGCGCGGCGCCGGGGTGTCGGGCAGGTTCGACGTCTTGCGGAGCAGCGGGTAGAGCTGGTTGACCACGTAGAACTGGCCCAGCCAGTTGACCTGGAAGTGGCGGTCGATGCCGTCGGCCGTCTCGCCGTATTGGTTGGCGTTGATGCCGGCGGAGAGGATGAGCTGAGCCGCGTGCCAGGGCAGGTGGTTAGTGGCGTCTCTCGCCATGCCAGTGAAGTGACAATGGCTACAGGAATGGTTGGGGCAGTGGGTGTGGGTCTACCAGATCTAAACGCTCTTCTCGCTGGCGGATCCCCTCGAATACCTCCCGCACCTCCTTCAGGTTGCCCATGTCGCAGGACACCCATTCGATCTGGGCGCCCTCGCCGGCTTCCTTCTTGATGGATTCAATGGCCGACTGCCCCTGTTCCTCTTTGCGGTTGACCATGAGGACGCGGGCGCCGTTGAGGACGAAGGCGCGGGCGACCTCGTAGCTACATTCTTCGCTCAGCATGATCAATTGATGATTGATAATCGGGGTCGCTTACCCGATCCCCAAGGCACCGCCGGTGACGAGCGCCACGCGACCGGTGAGGTCGTGGATCTCTTTTCTGGGGCCGATGATGGGCTGGAGGACTGACTGCATTATGACTATGTATGAATGTGTATGTGCTGAAGAATGAAACTAGAGGGTTGGGGGTGTTGGCGGCATATCTAAATAGGCGGGTGTCAACACGGCGTAAGTATGATATCAGCCCTGCCGGCATCCACTTTTCCTGTTCGGGCCAGCTTCCATCTGCGAAACAGGGCACCCTGACGGTACGAGGTAGACAAGTGCTGCATATGGTGATTATTGCACTATCAGCTTCCTGGTAATACCCAGTTCTAAATACTAGAATTTACCGTCCCGGGGGAGAACCCCCGGACCCCCCTTTTTTTCAACTTCCTGGTAATACTCAGTTTTAAATACTATAAAATTTCACTGTCGCACTGCCATGGATGGCATTCACGTGTATGGTTGATCAACACTGATCTCACCAAGGGCGTTAAGATAAGAGCTACCCCACCTACGTCATCACCAGCAACCAGCGCAGTTCCTTTTTATTGCTCATCTCATCTCCAACAATCGTCCACAGACATCTCTCAAACCCCATCCCATCCCATCCCATCCCCTGCACCCACAACCACCACCATGTTCACCAGCAACAAAGCCCCAACCCACAACCACCGCCTCCGCATCACCGCCGGCCCGCGCTACGACCCCCAAACCCACCAACTCGTGCACGTCAACGGACCCTCGCCCATCCGCATCCGCAGCCCGCACCTCACCGCCGACATCTGGGTGCGCATCAAGGAGTACACCGGTACTGCCCCTTTCTCCCATCCAGGCCACAATCCACTCCACAATCCACGCAATAGAAACAAGAAGCAAAAAAAAAAAAAAGAAAAGGAAAACCACCCACCGATTCTAACACAGAAAGTGCAGGCTACCCCGACTCCTCCCCGAAATCCCACCCCTACTTCACGCACCCCGCCACCTCCGCCAACCGCTACAGCATCACCCTCTCGCTGACCTTCCACCAAGACCTCAACGGGGATGACCTCCTCTTCGGCAACGACTTCGACCACCCGATCCGCGACTACCTCCCGCCCGGCTTCGGCGCCGCCTTCAAGGTCGTGAAGACAATGCTCGACCCCTCCATCGACGGCGACGCGTACGCCGACAAACCCTACCTATACAGCCCGGCGCTAGCATCGTGGAACCAGTTCCGGATTGGGGAGGCGATCTCCCCCGCCCGCGGTGAAACCAAGACAGCGCCGGGCGCGGATCCGCTTGTCCTGGAGGGGGCGGAGGGGTCCGGGGCGGAGGTGCGGGAACGATACGGGCTGCCGGGGGAGGCGGCGGCGCGGACGAAGCATTTCCGCGACGAGGAGAGGCGGCGGGGGTTTGTGTTCGAGGCGGGGAGAGTGTACGAGGCGGACTTTGGGAATCCGTATCTGGATTTTGAGGGTGTGTTCCAGTTATATCCCCCCCCCCCCTTCTTTGTCTTAGGGTTGGAGTATGGGTGGGTGGGAAGGAGAAGCTGAGCTGACGGCGCCAGAATTCGCGATCCACGTCCCCGGCATCACTCTGAACATCAGCAAGTATGTCAGCGAGAAGAACAACGTGCTGCGCTACGTGCTGAAGAACCGCGCCACCGGGCAGGAGTACCTCGTGATCGGGTTTACGGTGGTGCTGGACGGGGCGGACGAGACGCCCGAAGGCGCGGATGAGGTCGATTAGACGTCCACCACGGCCCCGCAATCCGAGTACTAGATTTACCGTCCCGGGGGAGAACCCCCGGACCCCCCTTTTTTTCAGCTTCCTGGGAAAGCTCATCCTGGTAAACCTACAGTGTACTACGTAATAAATATAGTGTCAGATCTAGACTGTTTAGTGCTACTACAGAATACCTTACCAGGAAGCTGAAAAAAAGGGGGGTCCGGGGGTTCTCCCCCGGAACGGTAAACTCTAGTACTTAGAACTAAGTCTTACCAGGAAGTTGAAAGAAAGGGGGGTCCGGGGGTTCTCCCCCGGGACGGCAAAGACAACCTAAGATACTGATAATAAACAATTCCCGGGGGAGAACCCCCGGACCCCCCTTTCTTTCAGCTTCCTGGCAACCTCAGTTCTGAGTGCTGGGGATGTACATCCGGGGGCGAACCGCTTACTCCCGCACCAGCCCGGTAATCCGCGCATAGACGGTCGGAAAGCCCCGGCGGGTGACCTGCAGCACCGTCTCGGCCACCATCTCCATGTCCGCGGGCGTGGTGTCGAACAGCTCGAACTCGAAGCGGCGCACCAGGTACGCCAGCGCCAGGTACAGCTCGTTGTACGCGAGACTAGCCCAGTGACCAACCCAACGGTTAGCTATCTCTTTCCTGGATACACCCCCCCCCCCCCCCCAAAAGCACAGTTGCAGAGAGAGACCGCACTTGATCCCCACACACCCGCGACTCCCCTTCGAGAACGCCACCATGTACCGCTTGAGATGCTCGCTCTTCTCGCCCTGCAGCCACCGCTCCGGGTCGAAGGTGTCGCCGTCCGGGAAGAGCGTCGGGTCGCGGTGGATGAACCACGCCGAGGCGCCGAGGACCGTCTGGCTTGTTAGCTTGCTTGCTCTTTCAGGGTAGGGGTGGGAGTGGGGACATACCCCAGGCGGCAGTTTGTAGCCGTGGTAGACGAGCGTCTCGGTCGGCGCGACGCGGGGTAGCCGGATGATGGGCGGGGCCAAGCGGAGGGACTCGGTGATGATGGCCGTCTGGTCACATCGCTTCATCAGTATCTTTCGGGCAAGAGTGGCAGGTCTGCGGGGTGCAGTGTGTGGTGTGCGCATGGGGCGCGACCGACCAGAAACGGCAACTTCTCCAACTCGGTCCAACTGGCCGTGCTCGTCGGCGTCGGCAGCACGGTCCGCAACTCGGCGCGCAACCTCTCCACGTACTCCCGCCGGCTCCCTAGGATGTACGCGGCATACGTCAGCACACTCGAGGTCGTCTCCGTGCCCGCCAGCAGGAACTGCACCGCCTCGTCCTGGAAGCGCGCGCGGGTGCGCTCGCTGGCCGGGATGCTGGGGTCCGACAGCTGCGCGAAGATGGTCGCGTGCTTCGCGGGTTTGCGGTGCGTCTCGGCGGCGGCGGCGGCTGCGGCGGCTGGGACGGCCGACTGCGCGGACAGCGCGTAGATACTGGCCAGATAGTCGAGGGTGGCGGCGCGGCTCGGCTGGAGGGCGGCCAGCCAGCGCGGCGGGATGCGGCGCAGCAGCGTCGACAGCAGCGGGACGAAGCGGTTGAGGTGGCTGGTGGCGGCCAGCTCGTTGACCAGGGTGCGGATCTCGCTGCGGAAGGTCGCATCGTCGAGAAACCCCTGGCTCTGGCCGTAGGAGTAGTAGGTGATCACGTCGGAGGTCATGGCCGCGAAGGCGTCGTCCAGCCGCACGACTGTGTTGTGGTTGTGAAACTCTTGCAGCCGCTGCATGAGCTTCAGCACGCACCGCTCGGTGATCGGCGACAGCGACTGGATCGACCGCTTCGAGAAGAAGTGGCTGATGGTCGCGCGCCGCGCGTGGTGGTGCGCGTGGTCGATCGTCGAGAACAGCGAGTCCGGCATCCCGAACTGCGGGCCGTACTGCGGCGTCTTGTTGCGCCGCCGCGCGCTGCCGCTGTAGATCTCTTCGTAGAAGGTCGGGTCGATGATGTGCACTTCGTTGGGGCCCACGCGGACGATGGGGCCTGCGGGGGGAGAGGGGGTGAGAGTGGGGTTGCAGAAGGGGACGAGGGCGTGGTGAGGAACGTACCATACTGTTTGTGCATTTTGACGAGTTGGAAGTGGTACTGGCCGTGCTGAATGCAGTTGTAGTAGAATTCGTAGAGACTGCTGATGGCTGCCAGTTTGGGGCCCGGCACCCGGCGTAGAGGATGCCAGTACAGGCGATACAGGGTCTGCAGGACGAGATACGCCAATAGCCCGATTCCCACACGGGAGACATTCGTCGCGGTTAGTACCTCCATGTTGGCGTGTGTGAGGATAGACACGAGTCGGTGGGGATCGTCGCGCAGAGAGCACGTATATATAGACCCCCCTCCGTGGGTGGAATACGAGTGTAGGCCCACGAATGACCGGCTGATCTGTGAGACTTAATCTGGACCCCCGTCACGATGGTCGAATCACGGGTGGACGGACCCCTACCACGGATGCGAGATGGTTTCCCCGCTGTGTGAATGCTTCAGGGTAGCCCTATCATCGTGGTCGGATTACTCTACCCCGCCTCCAGCGTCGGAAGATAAGGCCATTGTGCAGTGCGGTCCAAGCTCCGCGTGCCCTAAGCTGTCACCTTTATTCTAGCTGCATGTGATGACTGCAGGGTAGTTGCAGATGCTACCTCATTACGGAGTACATAGTATCAATTAACTGTTTAAGTGAACCAGCTGAGGGGTTGTCCGACCACGTCATAACGCGGGGTTGATTGACGATCAGTGGACGGACTACGTCTTTCCCTCTCCCCCAGCACAACAACACTTTCTACCTACTACTTCACCTGTACTACTTTACTCTTCACTCACTACCTTACATGTACCAAACCAAACTCACCCACCCACCACAATCACAAGGGGGGTCCCCCGGGAATCTTTCATTATAGATATCTTAGGCTGCCTAGTCCTACCTAAGGACCACAGTTTACCGTTCCGGGGGAGAACCCCCGGACCCCCCTTTTCTTTCAGCTTCCCAGTAACCTTAGTTCTAAGTGCTGGGGGAATGTACCGTCCCGGGGGAGAACCCCCGGACCCCCCTTTTTTTCAACTTCCTGGTAACAAACTCACCCCCCGACTTCACCCGCCCAATCTCAAGACATTAAGATACTATACAACTTTTACCCCTTTGGCTGGTACAAAAGATAAATCACGTCCCCACTAGATAATAATTCAAAACAATACTCCATCCGCCCAACATCCCAATCCCACCACAAAACAATCCTATACCTCTACTCCCTCCCCCTCCCCCATCCCCGATCTCGCTCTCCTCCACCCAAACCCCCACAAATACACCCCCCACAAACACGGACTAGCCACCACCCACACCACCGCCATCACCACCGCCATCCACCCGATGCCAATCCTCTCAATCACCGGCGCCGCCCCGGCCGTGGCCCCAGCACCCAACAAACACCGGACGAGATTATTCGCCGCCACAGCCGTCGCGGGACTACCCCTGTTCAGATCGACGATGAGGGTGCTCAGGGCGGTAAACGCCCCGGTCAGGAGATGACTGCCGACGAAGAGGGTGAGCACAGGCCCCGCCAGCGAGACGCGGGCCTGCATGACCCAGCCGTAGGCGACGAAGACGAGCGCCGCGGCGTAGGCGAGCGGGATCGCGACGGTCAGGCGCGCGCGCTCGATGTCGAAGGCACTAATGTCCTGCTGCGTGTTCCTGATGATGCGCAGCTGCTGCGCGTGCGCGTGCCGCCGGAACGTCCGGTCCAGCAGGAACCCCACGGTGTACCGCGAGGTGAGGCTGCCCAGCCCCATCGGCAGGTAGCACAGCCCGATTTGGATCGTGTTGAAGTCGTAGTGGGTGGCGAGGGTTGTGGTCAGTGTGGTTAGCACGGCGGCCATCCCGGCGTAGAGCAGGGCGCCGTAGGTGAGGATCAGGGCGTTTTCTTTGTCGAGGACGAGGCGGGCGGAGCGGAGGGGGTTGAGGCGTTGGGGCTTGGGGGTGGTTCGTGTTAGGATGGGGGTGGTGATCGAGGTTGTGGAGGTTGTTGTTTTGGATGTGGATTTGGTGGTGGTGGTGGTCGGTGCCAGCGCGCTGAAGACGGGACGGTTCCATCGCGCGGCGGGAATCGAGCCGTTGCCGACGACTGCGCGGCACGTCTCGGGCAGAAACAGGGCGATGGCTGCCAGGAACACACCAGACAGAATCGTCAAAAACCAGAAGATCCAGCGCCAGCCGCAGAAATGGTCGATCAGGCCCCCGATCACCGGTCCCAGGGCCGGACCCAGGGTCAGCCCCATGCTGGCGTAGCCGATGTATTTGCCCCGTTCGGCCCGCGTGGAGACGTCGGCCACGACGGCGCTGCCCAGTGCGATGGTGCCGCTGCTGCCGCACGCTTGCAGGCAGCGGAGGACCATCAGGGCGGCGTAGTGGGTTTGCAGCGCTAAACCGATGTTGGCCCCGAGGTAGATCACAAAGCTGACCAGGTAGGCGGGGCGGCGGCCGTGGGTGTCGGAGAAGGAGCCGATGAACGAGGGGGCGATGCCTTGGAAGATCTTATCACGGGGGTTAGGAATGGCGGATGTGGTGGGTGGGAGGGGCAGCATACGAGGTACATCATGACGGTGAGGTTGATGCGCGTGGAGGAGACGTGCATCGCATCGGCCAGAGAGGTTAGGGCTGGGAAGTAGACCGTGCTCGACAGGGGAGAGATCAGGCCCGCGAACGAAGCGGTGATCATCAGACAGACTTTCTTCCGTTCGGAGAGGATGCTGTAGGGGTCGTCTGATGAGGCATCGCCTCGATTCTTCTCGACGTCATTTTGGACGTCGTCAGTGGTGGACAGCGGTGGCTTTTTTGTGTCTTCCGTCGAGGAAGACGCCATGATAGCGATGATACGATGTTATCTGTCTACAGCCTAATAAGCTACAGTTTCTCTCCGTTATCTTTATACTGCCAGCGGTAACAGATCCATGCCCGGTTCCGGCCCGTTTCCGGCCACCCAGTGGATCTGCTCTGAGCTCGCACCAATCACACCCGTCATTCATCCGGTCGGAGTTAAGCCTGGCGTTCTCCAGTGCCCGGCCCAGGCTAACAATAAGAGCATAGCGTCGAAGAAACGAGGAATGATTTAAAGCCGCAAGGATTCCTCTTGCGAAGGCTTATCTCTCTTACCTAGTATATTTCCCTCCGATCGCAAACGAACTACAACTACAAACATGACCTGCGAAGCCTGCCGTACCATTCCCCCCGTCGTCGCCGAGGGCTACACCCCGAAAGGCACCTACGAGGGCGTCGCCGGCCTCAACACCTGTGCGCGCCATCCACCTTAGTTCTCGTCACCACCACCACTAACCACCACAGACATCACCGGCGCGCAGGACGCCGCCTACGGTCTGATCGACATCTACGACATCTTCGGCCTCTCCAACCAAACGCTGCAGGGCGCCGACCTCCTCGCCGCCCGGCTCCACGCCGTCGTCCTCGTCCCGGATTTCTTCCACGGCGACAAGGCCGACCCCGCCTGGCTGCCGCCCGACACCCCGGAGAAGCAGGCGGCGCTGACCAAGTTCATCTCGACCCGCGCCTCTCCCACTGACGCGGTCAAAGTGCTGGAGGCTGCGGTCGCGGTCTACCGGGAGCGGTTCCCGCGTGTGCAGGCGTGGGCTGCGACGGGTTTGTGCTGGGGTGGGAAGGTTAGTTTCACACCCAGCGTTGTTCCATCGAACCACATCCATAATGATGACGATGAATAGGTGGCCGTTCTCGCCTCCGGACCGAACACGCCCTTCATCGCATCGGGCCAGGTGCACCCCGGGTATGATCCACTCTTCTCCCTAATGCAAGCAAGACCCCATGGTTGACCAGTGCAGACGCATGGACGCGGCGGACGCGCAGCGGCTGACGATCCCGCACGTCGTGCTGGCGTCCAAGGACGAGCCCGCCGCGGTGGTGCAGGCGTATGCGAAGACGATCGCCGCGAACGGGCTGGGCGGGCACGTGGAGACCTACAGCACCATGTGGCATGGCTGGATGGGGGCCCGCGCCAATCTGGAGGCGGAGGAGAGTCTGGCTGAGTATAAGCGGGGGTACGGATTCTGTCCTTGGGCTTTTTAGTTCTGGTTGTCTTTTCATGAAAGCATGCTGACTTCGCGATAGGTATAACCAGTTGGCGGATTTCTTTGAGAAGTATTTTCAGAAGGTTGGGGCTACAGTTCAATAATGGTGTGTGGGTTAGGCGTGGGAGATATATAGATATGCTGGCATGAAGTCGCAACACGGAGTGAAACTCGGATTACAGTCCTCCCGGATACCAGTGTCATCACCTACACTCTTTGATTGTTTGAGTAACCCTAACCTGAAATTGCGCTAGGCCAATTCTGACACGGAGCCGGAAGATAGATAAGCTGTGTATATATAAAGATAACAGACCAGTAATATATTTGTGACTAAGATCTCTTAGACTACATCTCTTATTTGATTCCTGGTTCTTTTAGAGAGAATGCAGCCTCTATTTGACCAGTGGTAGCAGTTACACAAAGAAAATGGTCCTAAAACAGCTCAATCAACACTGAATCTGATCCACGAAATGCTGAAGTGATGGAAAGCTTACTTCTTCCCAAATGACCTCGGCTGCTGGCTGCGGTGAACGCGCATTCCTCCGGCTGCGATCCAATTTCCAGCTGTTCAGCAGTCTCGAAGCTTCCAAATCAAAGAAGTCCGGCCTCAGATAATTCTGGTATCAATCGTGGCACCATAAAAGAACGCTGGCGTTCGCTTATTTTTCAAAATTCATCTCCGGCTACCAAGTATCTTAATTCTCCAGTGGAATAGGCATGTCGCCATTGCCAAGCAAAAATGCAGCACTATTCTCACGTGAACATGCATGTATGCGTTGTTCCAACCAGAGGTTTCTATTCTCTTCCATTCTCTTCTCTTCTTTCGAAAGAAAGTATTTTCTCTCTAGATCCTTTCTTTCCTTTGAGAATATGAGCTATCACTCTAGATCGATATCACACTTTCCGAGTTTCCAGAGCGGAAGTTACGGAGTTTGTTGGGAGTGCAGTGTGAATAGAGGCGTGATCTAAAGAAAAGAGCAGGGGGCCAACAATGCCCCTACAATCACAAGTTCAGGTGAATGGGGCACCAACTGCCCCAAGAGCCATGGTCTGGGGTTCGGATGGTCTGAAAGAAGAGGAGATCAGGCTGCATCAGGTTATGAACCTGCTGCACTCTCTTGGGCCCTTTCACGGAAAAGGACCAATGGATCGAGACGACAAAAGATGCATCGACAACCGGTATTCATCCCAAGAAATGCGTCGCGCATTTCTCGATGGCATATGCTACCTCTGCGACATCAACACAACGGGAGGCACCGTGACGGCGGCGGCATTGCGGAAATACTATCCCAATTCAAGCTTTGATCGATCTGGACACGAGCACATTCAGAGTATTCTGTACTTCGCAGCGAACGAAACGATGCTACCACAGGTTCGCAGCTTTGTAAGATGGCTGCTGAATTATCTACGTGAAAACCATCAAGGTAATCGTTATCAAATAGTAGCAACAATATTGCGCAAAGCACTTGAACTTGGAAGTCAGAGAATGACGTCATACTGGGAGAAGATGAGAATACATCTAAACAGTTGCAGGGCGAACCTTCGAGTGCTATTGAAAGGCAAGTACAGGCCAAGAGCAATTGGGTTCGATTATTGGCATTAACACTACTTCTGCTATTTAGATCACGATGCTTATACCTGGATCCAAGATATTGAACAGGAATCGGACATGTTTCGCTTGTCCAAACTATGCTACGAAGGCCGTGAGAGACAGCTCGGGAAAGTCAAAGAAATCGCGATGGAGGATAAAGATATAGCGGAGCTCGCCCACTATATCGGGAGACTAGGGGCACAACAGTATGCTATTTCGATGATAGTCACGGCGTGGAGGAAAGTGCCAGATTTAAGGCGGATTATAAAGCCGAAGTTCCTTCCGGCCGCACAAGCTCGTCCAATCATACTTCCTCCAGCTGCGGGGGATTTCCAGGAAACGTGTAAGGTTGTCTGCAAGAGCTCGCACCTATCGGCTCCCGAAGGCCGAATTCTTAACATGCTCTTATCCGACAGAAATTTTACATCAGATGAAGCTCTGAAAGATGGGCTGGAGCGACTCAGAAGCTTAACCACACGTGTACATGCCGAGCTCCTCATTGTCGATTTCTTCGGTCGGAAGAAGCTGGAGTTTCTCGATGACGATAAATACGTGGGATGTAGCAAGCCAGCGTGCTACTTTTGCTACAAGTGGATAACGCTTCATCCAGCTGGATTTGTGCCTCCTGCGACGCATAACAAAGTGATACCTTCCTGTCGCGGACCAGACGTTGATGCGGGCGAGGATCGCAATGGCGGCGGCGCCAGGGTTCGCAGTGATCTGTACACCAGAATTGTACCGAAGATCATTCGCGATATTGAACAGCAACTAAACATCGAAAGTGTTGGCAACCAAGTTCGACATCAGTCTAGTAACGGATCCACTCGGGCTCCCAGCTCCATATTAACTTCAAGACTATAGAAAGCCGGCTCGGTCCGGCTTGTCTTGCTACGGGTCCGCCTGCGAAAATATCTCTTTCAAGTTACCACCATTTCTTAGTTTTATCACTATTTATTATTTTCCGTCTGAATCAGAATCTTCTATAGTGTTTACTGCGTACAGATCTTTGATCATAATCGCAAACTGCATCTATCTATTGTACTGTAGAACGTGGGCTGTACACAAAACCCTCAAAGTGTAACAAAGTCTAGAAATACAAGATAACCAGAGCTGAAGTTGAGGTGAGCAGAAGCAGTTGTATTTACAGCTTTACAATTTCTACTACAAATGACGGGGCTGCAATAGCCGCCAGAAGAGGGGCAGCCCTAATGCCGGTATCATATCGTCTTAGTACAACAAGGCGAGAAAACCAAAAAAGGGTTATTGGAGGCTCTCAAACCTACACGACCAATTGAGCAAAGTAAGCAATTAGGTTACCCAATTTGAATTGGTTAAGTTCTGATAAATCCCAACTCGCGTTGTGGGTAACATGTTTGTAAGAAAGACCCTTCTAAAAGCTTTGTCAGCAAAGAGGCCTAAGTACGGTTTACTTTCGCAGCAAGCAAAGAAATAATACAGTACAGAAAGAGCATGGCAAATTTATAATGTCACCAAACTAAATCTAGCTCATTACAATATTTCCCCTTCCCACCAACTGCAAGTACAAGACCGCTGGGTAAGACCTTAGGAGACAATGCCTTCTAGTTGAGTAGGGCGGTTGTATAATAGGCACTGTAGCAGGTTTGTCTTACTAATAAAGGTTTTTTGTCCCATTGTTATTAGGGAAGAAGAATATAAGTGGTTTAGAAATAACTATAGAAGACATCACTAGTGCGCGGAACAGTGCATGGACTAGGTTTAAATTTGTGAATGAAACTAAATCTCAAATACTTCGGCTGAGTCTCACTGCCACGTGTAATTCTGTAATCTGAGCAAAATATAAGTATTGTAGATTTCCCAAGATGAAACGAATATGACTGTTTAAATACTTTGGGTAAATACAACAGTTCTGTACAAAGATAAAGGATACGCGGTGTATGGTTATTCCGGCTCCGTGTCAGAATTGGCTTAACGCAGTTTCAGGTTAGGGTAGTCTGTTCAAGCAAATTGAGTGACACTGGGAAGCTGAAAAGAAGGGGGGTCCGGGGGTTCTCCCCCAGGACGGTATACCCTGGTAGTTATAACTGAGTGTTACCAGGAAGCTGAAAAGAAAGGGGGGTCCGGGGGTTCTCCCCCGGAACAGTATACCCTAAAGCACTCCTAAAGCACTTGAGATTGAGGTTATTGGGAGCATACCGTTCCGGGGGAGAACCCCCGGACCCCCCTTTCTTTCAGCTTCCTGGTAACACTCAATCCCAATTTCCACTGCATTATGAATAATGCATCATTTATACACACATGGTCAAATCCAGTGCCGGACGCGCGGCTGACACATCGGCTAGCAGGGCTAGTGTGTTCCACCACGATTGGCCAGACCGGCTCTGAGCCCCACTGCATCGACCAGTCAGACAACGGTCTGTCTCACGGGACTCGAGTCACATGACCGGCCTCGGCAGCCTTTCCCTGCTTCACAACAGCCTCTCTCAAGCCCTACTCTGCGCTCCCCGTCTATAACCCGTTCCGCTATTGCTTCGACGAGCACATCTTCCACCTCTTCCACCTCTAGCCCCAACTCCAGATCCAGTAAGATCCCCAGATCTATAGATAGCCCAAAGCCAGACCGCCATCCCGTCAGCCATGCCCCCTTTACCGGCTGCAACCCCGTGCCAAGCGAAGCGAAGCTTTGCAGTGGGGGCGCATCCGCCGCTGTTTCAGCTGGTCTTCCAATAACTGGCGGCCAAGGGGGTCGACCAGAAAAATGAATCATGGGATGATGGCTGCCAGTTGCCCCGTGGTTCCAGCCCATCTTTTCCCCCGGAACGCAACTTTTTCTCCTTTTTCTCTTCCTTTTTTTCTTCTGGTTTCTTTCTGGCAAGTGCCTGGCCTCTGCGCCGTGACCGTGGCCTCTCTATTTTTGTCGCTCTGACAATAACACACCGCGGCCTTACCCTTACCGTCGTGATCTGTCGATTGGCATCCTGGCTAGCCTCGTTGTTCAGCAATTTCCCCTCCCCTCATCGCCACGAACCGCCGGTGGGTCGATCGTGCGGTGTTAGTGACTTCACTTGTCTTTCCCCGGCCGGTCGTTTTTCTCCACGTTCCCGTGGGAGTTTCTTTTCTCTTTCTTTCTTTTCCTCCCCGTCCCTGTCCTGTCCTTTTCCTCCTTCCTCCACGGGGTAATTCTGAACCGCTGCTTGGCTGGAGGTCCACGTACAGCATGTGAGTATCTCATCGTGTGCCTGGCATCACACCGACCAAAACCTCCGACTGACCGCTCTTTCCGACGCAGGAACCGCGCCTAACACCGCATCCTGATTATGCCGACATTCCACCACCACGACCACCACGACCACCACTATGTCCAGTTCAACCGAGACCCTCGACCCGATCCACTCCAAGACGAGCTCCACGCCGGACTCCCACCCCGCCGATAACCACCCCGACCATGACCACGGCGTCGACGAACGGCCGTTGACCGGCCACGACGGGCCCCAGACCGGGGGCGGCGCGCACCAGTGGGGGGTGCTCTTCAAGGCGATCAAGGACGGCACCTCGCACCTGGCCGAGAAGCTGGGCCGCGACCCGGACGGCGGCGACGGGCTCGACTCGGCCTGGCACCCGGAGGACTACGGATACCAGGAGGACATCGAGATGCGCGACATGCTGGCGCCGGGCGAGGGCGTCGCGGACGACGCGTACGGCAGTCAGCTGCAGTCGCTGCTGGGCGCCGACGCCGCCATGCTCGTCAACCGGCTGGGGCTGGCGCGCGAGCTGCAGGCCGGCCTGCCGCCGCGCACCGCCGAGGAGGCGGCCGCCGAGAAAGAGGCCAGCCTGGCGGGCGGCGTGCTCTGGCACCTGCTGGGCCACCAGATGGGCCACGACCCGGAGAAGACGCCGACGAACACGACCGCGATGACGGGCACGACGCTCGTGGGCACGGACACGGACACGGGCACGACGCCGGCCGAGGACGACGCGCTGGGCCCGCTGCCCAGCGAGGTGCGCCAGCGGCGCAAGAAGAAGTGGTACGCGGACGCGGACAAGGACCCGCGCAGCGCCAAGGAGCGGCGCCGGGCGCGCGAGGCGCGGCTGGCGGAGAAGATCGGCTCGCTGCTGACGCGCCAGCGCTACCTGATGCAGCTGTGCCGCGTGATGATGAAGTGCGGCGCCCCGACCCACCGCCTCGAGGAGTACATGCAGATGTCGGCGTTCGCGCTGCGCGTGCACGGCCAGTTCCTGTATATCCCCGGCTGCATGATCATCTCGTTCGACGACCCGCTGACGCGCACGGCCGAGGTCAAGCTCGTGCGCATCATCCAGGGCTGCAATCTCGGCCGCCTGGGCGAGGTGCACAACTGCTACAAGAACGTGCTGCACGGCAAGCTGTCCGCCGAGGAGGCCCTGCCCGTGCTGGACGACATCCTCACGCGCCAGAGCAAGTGGCGCACCCCCTGGATGATGGTGCTGATTGCCGGGCTGATCAGCGTGGCCGTGGGCCCCTGGGCCTTCGGGGCCCGCCCCATCGACATGCCCATCATCTTCATGCTGGGCCTGCTGATGGGCTTCATGCAGTACATCCTGGCGCCGCGGTCGGCGCTGTACTCGAACGTCATGGAGGTGTCGATCGCGATGCTGGTCTCGTTCCTGGCGCGCGCCTTCGGCAGCATCCGCCACAACGGCGAGTACCTGTTCTGCTTCCCGGCCATGACGCAGTCGGCCATCGCGCTGATCCTGCCGGGCTACTCGGTGCTGTGCAGCAGTCTGGAGCTGCAGTCGCACCAGATCACCGCCGGCTCGATCCGCCTGGTCTACACGATCATCTACTCGCTGTTCCTGGGGTACGGGGTGACGGTGGGGCTGACGATCTACGGGCTGATGGACGACCACGCGAGCGAGCAGACGACGTGCTCGGCGGAGAGCCAGCTGATCTACGGCAACACGTACATCCAGCACTTCGTGTTCGTGACCATCTACGTCGCCTTCGCCGGCATTGTCAGCCAGGCCCGCCTGCGCCAGCTGCCGTTCATGTGCACGCTGGGCGTGTCCGGCTACGTGGCCAACTACTTCGCCACCACCTACCTGAGCAGCCAGATGGCCAGCATCATCGGCTCCTTCACCATCGGCCTGCTGGCCAACCTGTACAGTCGCGTGTGGCACGGCCACGCGGCGGCGGTGATCGTGCCCGGCATGTGGACGCTGGTCTCGTCCGGGCTGGCGTCGAGCGGCTCCATCGTCGCGGGCCTGCAGTACGCCAAGGCCGTCAAGGAGGGCACGGCCAACGCCTCGGCCAACTCGATGGTCGAGTCGCTGTTGAGTCTGGGCGTGAGCATGGTGCAGACCGCGCTGGGCATCACCGTCGGGCTATTCCTGTCCGCGCTGGTCGTGTATCCCGGCGGCAAGCGCCAGGGCGGCTTGTTCAATCTGTAGCGTGTGCTTCGCTGCATAGCTTGTCTTCCTCTTCTTGTCTATAGTTTTCCGGTCTGTAGTCCTTGTGCTCGGCATCTACGGGCCTAGTGGCATTCGCATTAGCAATTGCATTGGCATTGGCATTGGCATTGGTGTTCATCCGCCTGTCGCATACCCCCTCCTTCAGCTTCCCCCCACCCTTCATTGTAAATCCTGGGGAATGTACCGTCCCGGGGGAGAACCCCCGGACCCCCCTTCTTTTCAACTTCCTGGTAACCTCATTCCCAAGTGTTGGGGAGTATACTGTTCCGGGGGAGAACCCCCGGACCCCCCTTCCTTTCAGCTCCCCGGTAACACTCAATCCTAGTCTATCGTCCTCCCACCGTAACAGTCGACTAGCCAGTGGCCACTAGCCCTGATCACACTACCCCGCAATACTGCGTAAACCCCCAACGTCCGCTCTCCACCACGTGGAGGGAATAACAGGTCTACCCTGGATGCTACGTGTGTCCCTCCAGTACATTGCAGCCGTTAATACTTGCTATAGATACGCTTTACCGGGAAGGTGAAAGAAAGGGGGGTCCGGGGGTTCTCCCCCGGAACGGTACATTCCCCAGTACTTAGAATTGAATGTTACCAGGAAGCTGAAAGAAAGGGGGGTCCGGGGGTTCTCCCCCGGAACAGCAAATTCCCCAGTACTCAGATTTGAGTGATACCAGGAAGCTGAAAGGAAAGGGGGGTCCGGGGGTTCTCCCCCGGGAATCGCTCAGTATAGGACGGGTGACGGTTGACGGTTGAGTTTACAGTTATGGTTAGCGCATGGCGAGAGGAATTGTTTTCCCGCTATCGGTCGCGTGGGGCTAGCTTAATTGCTTATCCAGCAATCTACGTAGATTAAAAGATGACATCGAGGCTAGGGATGGCATCTGCAGGCTAAAATGCCGTGCGAGCACGTAATTCCCACCCCATCCTGCAACATGCAGAACCGCCGACTTCTCGACCGAGACACGTTTTCTGGGTGACGGTCTAGAGCACGGTTATCTGCACGCTGCAAGGCGTGTCGTGTCGGGGGCGGTAGATAACTATATAACAATTTGGAGCCATCCCTTGTTTCTTGTTTTGACCGCTCGTCCTCTCCCTCTTCGACCAGCCGATACTGTCCAGTACAGTCAGTACCTTCACTGGTATACTCCGGCGAGAACCCTGCTGCGTCCACACCATCCCCCACCATTCACCATCCATCCCAACTCGAAAGCATGTCCGAAAAATCCCCCCCCGCCGCAACAGGCCCCTCCCCGCCCAGCCCACCGCCGTACCTCTCGCCGTCCCCCCCCTCCCCCCAGGACACCACCCCCGCAAAACCCAAATGGTACCGCAGCACGACCTACAACGCGCTCATCCTGGGGCTGTGCAACTTCCTCGCGCCGGGCCTGTGGACGGCGATGAATTCCTTGGGGGGCGGGGGGTCGGAATCGCCGTACCTGGTGGACGCGGCCAACGCGCTGACCTTCTGCCTGATGGTGGTGTCGTGCCTGTGCGGCAGCGCGGTCGTGCGCGTGATCGGGGTGAAATACACGCTGATGCTGGGCACGGTCGGCTACGCGCCCTACGCGGCGGGGCTGTACACGAACAACCGCTTCCACAGCTCGTGGCTGCTGCTGCTGGGGGCGGCGCTGTGCGGCCTCAGCGCGGGCGTGTTCTGGCTCGCGGAGAGCAGCATCGCGCTCGCGTACCCGGAGCCCGGCCGGCAGGGCTTCTTCCTCGGGCTGTGGCTGTCCTTCCGCGTCGGGGGCCAGATCCTCGGCGGCGCGATCAACCTCGGGCTGAACGTGCACCGCAACACCGCGGGGAGCGTGAGCTACGCCGTGTTCTTGGTGTTTGTGGCGCTGCAGGCCTGCGGCCCGGTGGCGGGCATGCTGCTCACGCCGCCGGAGAAGGTCCAGCGGCGCGACGGCGTGCGCGTGCAGCTGCGGCTGGCCGAGGACGGCGTGCGCGCCGAGCTGAAGCACACGCTGCGCTTGCTGGGGGCGCGCAACGTGCTGCTGATCGTCCCGCTGATCGCCCAGGCCATCTACACCGAGGCCGTCATGTTCACGTACCTCGATCTCTGGTTCAGCGTGCGCGCCCGCGCGCTGGCCAGTTTCCTGTCCGGGTGCTTGGCGCTCCTGGCCGGGAATGCGCTGGGCTATGTGCTGGACCATGCGCGGGGGAGTCTGAAGGGCAAGGCCCGGGGCGTGTTTGCGGTCGTCATGACCCTGCAGGGCGGCGTGTGGGTGTGGGCGACGGTGATCACCTCGATCTATCGGGAGAAGGACCAGGCGGCGCTCGACTGGGCGGATCCCGGCTTCGCGAGGGGCTGGGTGCTCTATCTGTTCTGGGTGGCTATGTTTCAGGTGAATTATATGTTTTTGTGAGTGGCCTCCCCCCCTTCGGGGTTTGCGTGGGCTGACGCGGCGGGCAGGTACTTCGTGATCGGCAACCTGGCCCGCAACAAGGGCGAGGTCGTGCGGTTGTCGGCGCTGCTGCGCGGCACCGAGTCGGCCGTGCAGGCGGTTTCGGTGAGTTTTCCGGCTTCTCTGGATTGCTGTGTGAATGTGCTGACGGGGTCCCACGGCAGTACGGGCTGAGCAGCGTCGGCATCATGGCCTCGGTTGGCGGCACGTATCTCAACTTTGCGCTGTGGGCCGTCTCCGTGTACCCTGCGTGGCTGGTGGTCCGCCAGATTGGCACCACGCTGGGCGATCGGAAGAGGGAGAGAGAGGAGGCGCTCGAGTAGGTTCATCGCCTCGAGGCACAGATGGATATGGATCTACGGATACGCACGGTTAATGGAAGCCCTCAAGCCGAAATCTCAATCTACATATAGCACAGTGAATCTATAGACTAGACACCGCTTAAACCCAAGTACTGGGGAGTTTACCGTCCCGGGGGAGAACCCCCGGACCCCCCTTCTTTTCAACTTCCTGGTAACCTTATTTCCAAGTGTTGGGGAGTATACCGTCCCGGGGGAGAACCCCCGGACCCCCCTTCTTTTCAGCTTCCTGGTAAAGATCATGTGTAGTGAGTCTTCATCAGGTTGGATATACTGGAGAATTGGATTGAGTGTTGCCAGGAAGTTGAAAAGAAGGGGGGTCCGGGGTTCTCCCCCGGGACGGTATATCTAGTACTTAGAATCGAGTATTACCAGGAAGCTGAAAGAAAGGGGGGTCCGGGGGTTCTCCCCCGGGAAACGCTGGCTATAGTAATTCAATTGAGTTTAACTAGCAAGCTGGAACTATCAACGAGAGACCGTAATACAAGCAGAGCTACTCGCGATCGTCGGGCGTAAACACCAAGACGCGGACCTCGATACTCTCGCGCGGCTCCTCGTGCTCGGTGCCGGGGACGACAAAGGCCGTGTGCGGCACGCGGCGGGCGCGGCCGTCGGTCTTGCTGTCGTAGCACTTGATGAGGGTGACCCAGTCGGGCGTCTGGGCGTGGCGGTAGTACCACTTGGTGGCCGGGTTGGCGCGCACGGCGTAGGTCTCGCCCTCGCGGTCCGGGTAGATCAGCTTGATGGGCACGAGGTCGGCGTCGTCGACGGTGTGCGCCTCGGCCACGGCCAGCGGGTCGCGCCGCACCGGCTTCAGCGGCCGCCACACGTTGATGATCTGGTGCCGGCCCTGCAGGAGGGTCGCGGCCTCGTCCGGGAGGTGGTGCCCCACGCGCGACACGGCCGCCGCGAACGACTGGTCGATGTGCACCCGGTGCACTGGGGTGCGCAGCTGCGCGTGCGCGTCGGCGGCCGGGCGGCGGATCGTGTGGTCGAAGATGTAGGTGCGCGTTGCGCCGGTGCTGTGCGGGTGTCAGTTGGGGTTGTGGGAGGGGCGGAGGGGATGGGGGCATCGCGGAGGGAAAAGGGAAAGAGATGGGAAAGGCGTACACTTCCTTCAGCAACCGGTCCACCTCCGGGTAATACACCCGCTTGATCTGCTCGTCATCCAGGAAGTCCTTCTCTGCGCTGACGTGCGGGTGGAACTGGAAGCCGTTGCCGTCGAGTGTGTACTCGGCTTCGCGGCCGCTGACGTCGTGGATCGTGGTCGGCACGGACTCGGACGGCCGCTCGAAGGAGTCGGCTTTGCCGGCGTAGTTGGGGCGTAGGTGCGAGCCGTCTTCGACCTCTTTGATGTAGTTCAGGACGGTGTGGACGTCGTGGGGGGAGGTTTGCGGAGAGGTGGATTGGGTCTGTGGGGGGAGGGTGTTGTTGGCGGAGGCGGGGAAGGAGGGGATGTCGCCGGTGGGGAGGTGGACTGCTGCTGCGGCCATTTTCTGTCTGTGTGTTTTGGAGTGTGGTATAGATGATGCTGTGGTGGAGGTGCACTGTGGTGGATGTGATGAGAGCTGATCTCCGCCGCTATCCACGGTTATATATGCTTCATCATGCCTCATCAGATCCCCGGTGCACGCACGCAGCATTTGTCAGACAGAGCACGTCATACCACGCTGATAAATCCACCCACCCTTTCACGGCAATTGGTCGTCACATCTCGCACGGATGATGCAAACAGCATAGCATCGTACTCGTCGACATCCATGTGATGTCGGGGTGCTATCGACAGGGATGCCTGGGAGGATGCCAATGACAAAGAACGCGGGGAATGCTGATTTCTAATCCGCTGCAAGGAATGCATCCGACTGCTCCGTCGCTTTGCCCCAGGATACCTACCTAGTACGCAAAACGGCGAACGCTACTATGGGAAATTATGGGACATTCATGCTGGGAATGGTGGTCTGATTATCAATCTATCTAGAACTCGTGTACCCTCACTAGTTTGGTATGGGTTGCTCCATCCTCGGTCACGGCTTTCTCCTCCTCCAAATGATATCCGCCCCATCGGGGCAGCAGCACCGTCCAGACGTACCAGTACAACACTCCAAATACGATTCTACATCCGTTAGCATAGGATGACAAGCAGAGGCAAGGAGTGGGGAAAGGGGAAGGGGCAGAAGCATACACGCCAGTGCCGACAATCGCATACGTCGCGTAGAAGAAGCCCACGTCGCCCTTGCCGCCCTCTGGCGGGAAGAATGGCGACGCCAGTAGGACTAAAGAGATGAGCACGCGCAGCCACACAGCAGGCAACCACGCCTTGAACGGGCGCGGGAGGTCAGGCTCCTTGTAGCGGAGCAGCAGGAGCCCCAACGTCACAGCTAGACTGAAGAATTGGCCCGGATAGCCTTCGACATCCAGGATGAAGTTGTAGACGTCGCCTTGGGGCGGGAGGGCAATCACCAGCACGGAAGGGATGTAGTGCACGATCAGTCCGCCGAGCGGTGCTCCGAACGGTCGAGAGGACGAAAGCACCTTCGACCAGGGGAGGAAGCCCTGGCGGGCGATCTCTTGGTTGACGCGGGCCTGATGACAATCAGCATGACACCTACAGAGAGGGTGGGCACCATACCAACGCGAAAGTGACGACCATGACGTTGCCAGCGGCAGAAATGGCAATGGCCAGAGGAAGCAGCGTTCTCCCGATCTGATTCCCGAACAGCCGCTCGAACAGCAGCGCTGCCACGAGTTCTCCGCTGTTCTTGATCTCCTCGATCGGGACCACCAGGAAGTAAGAGATGTTGGCCAGAAAGTACAGCGCCCCGGCCGTCAGGAGCGCCGCCGGACACACCGTCTTGAGGGTGCGCACGGGATCGCGCACCTCGTTCATGACGTTGTTCAAGTTGCTCAGCCCAGCGTACGAGTAGATGACCTTGAATAGAGACGTGGAAAGCAGATTCCAGCTCCAGTTGGAGTCCTCCCACAGCGAGTCCCAGGAGCTGAACACACTCCCCCGCTCGGCCCCAAACGACGCATCCGTCTCGCTGGGCGGACGCACGAGGATCACCCAGATGCCGGTCAACGAGATGGCCCCGACCAGGAAGATCTTCAGCCATCCCAGCACGTTCTGCACCCAGATGCCCGTCCGCAGGAAGAACCCGTGCATGATTGTGACCGCAGTAATCAACCCCAGCGCCAGGACCTTGTGCTGCAGCTCGGTCGGCTCGACGTTGCACGCGAAGAAGGTGTACTTGGCGAAGACGATGCAGTTGCTGGCCGTGAACCCCAGCAGCACCGCCTGCACGGCGATCAACGTCGACGCCAGGAAGCGCGGCCGCGGGTAGGTATATTCCAGATACACCTGCGTCTGTCAATATTGAACCGTCCCCTCCAGAGAAGGCAAACTACCTTATCGCCGCCCGAGCGAGGCAGCATGCACCCGTACTCCAGCGACACGGCCAGCCCGCACGCGGCGAGCACGGTGCCCACCCCCCAGATCAACAACGACAGGCCCACACTCCCGGCGGACTTGACGATCGAGCCCGGGGTCGCGAAGATGCCGCTGCCGATGACGCGGGAGATCACGAGGATGTACGCGCTCGTCCAGGTGAGGGTTTTGGGGTTGTTGGTGGCCGGTCGGGCGGCGGCTTCGGGGTCGGGCACTTCGTCTGGGAAGACGGGGGTGCTGGAGAGGCCCAGCAGGGGCTGTCGTTCGGCTTGGGTCATGGTGGATCGGGGGCTGGATTGGTGATGGGGTTCCGTATCCCTTCGCGATGGGAGGCTTTAGATACAGGACGAGCTTAGATACCCAGGTAAAGGTGTAAGCAGCACTTCCTTTGTCGTGGTTGCTTGGAAATCAGCATCACACGCAGGCACGTCATTCTGTGCGCATGTTGTGTGTTCCTCCCAGCTGATAACGACTTATCGCAAGGGGAGGAATGACACAGCCCACTGCCTCGAAGAGGTGCGTGGGAATGACCTGTCCGAGGGGGTCATGCCGGAAGTGTCTGTAGGAGGTTACCTATCACAGACTGACCCTTCTTGTTCTTGAGCTGAGCCGCCCGACCAGTCTGTGCTGAATATAAGATAAATCCAAGCAAGTCGTTCCAAGTTGCAACCGATCCATAATCCCCAGCCCATGTTTCAGAATACAGACAACACTTGAAAGCAAGACGCAGACGTCGTCAGCATCGGTCGCAGTTGCGTGCCCTTGCCTCATCCGCCACGAATCACATCATCAGGGCCGGGATGCATGCCATTTGCCTGCGGTGCAACCTGGTTGGTGCTGTGCATTCACCCATCCGAGACCGTGGCCAAACTTAGGGCTTTCTGTCCTCATCCGCTTTTGCTGCCTCTCACGGATGCCAGTCCCGCCATGATGAGGCAGAGTGACGAACTGCCGTCGGCGAGATTAGATCCGATGACTGACAGACTGTAAGATGGGCAAATGCCTATTTTTGTGTCTTGAGGGTCATCATCATCCTCCCTTGGATGCGACCGACGATCATGGCCGCATCCCGTCCGGATGATACCATCGCTGCGTCCTCAGCACGCCATCCCACCCCCGCCCCGCGCAATGCTGCCCTTCCCCAGGCGCGATACCTCCCTTTCTACAGGGCGATTATCTCCAATCGATCGACCCTGTGGTCCGTGTGTTCCGGGAGATAGAGATAAACCTGCAGAGCATGGGTTTTTTTCGTTTTCTCGGCCGGGTAACAAACGCATACATATCTGGATCGCGCGGGGGGGCCCAGTTCTTCCAATTTTCAACTTGTTGTTTGTCGTACAGCACGCACACACGCACGCACGCAGCACGCACGCACACTCAGCCGGCACCATGACAACGATAACGACATACACTGTACCGCCCTCGCTGGACGAGAAGTACCCTCGCGTCTACGACAGCCCGGTGCGGGTTGGGGTTGAGCAGCGCTACTACCCCGAGAACGAATCGATCGAAGCCTCCGCACCAGCCCCAACCCCAACGCCAGCAGCGCCGCAAGCCACTCAGAGCGCCCTGCTCCTCCACGGCATCGGACAGCAATATACCCTCGTGACCGATCATGCCATCCCGTCCGTCCTGGGGAAGGAAGAGATCCTAGTCAAGGTACGTCGGTGGTTCTACGCTGCCATGGATGCTAGAATCTGACATATCCGTAGATCCAAGCGATCGGCCTCAACCCGATCGACTGGAAGGGGCCGTACGTTTCCTTTCGCCTTCCCCCCCCCCCCCCCCCCCCCCCCCCCCCCCCCTTGACACCAGTCCCCCACTGACCTGGCCGCAGAGCGTATAACTTCGGCATCCCCGCCCTCCCCTGGATCAACGGCCGCGACCTCGCCGGCGTGGTCGTCGCCGTGCGCGACGCCGCCCACCCGCGCATCCGCGTCGGCGACCGCGTGCTCGTCCCCTCCACCGACTACCGGGACATCCGCAAGGCCGCCTTCCAGCAGTACGCGGTGGCCACGCACTTCAACGCGGCGCGGATCCCCGAGCAGACGGGCGTGCACGTCAGCGCGGCGCTGGGGGTGGCCTTCGTGGCCTCCACCCTTGCCCTGGGCGTGTCTCTGGGCTTGGACTTGTCGACGATCGCCGCGTGTCCCGGCCCGGATCTCGTGGCGGCCGTGCAGGCGATCGCGGCCGCCGAGATCCCGGCCGATGTGCGCGAGGAGTGTTTCTCGGCGGTGCCGGTGCAGGAGCGCTTGCGGAGGGGCCAGTGGCTGGTTATTTGGGGGGGTGAGTTCCGTTCCCTTTGTCTCTATCGAGTTTTGAGTTTTGAGTTTCCTGGGGGTGAAGGTGAAGCTAATTGTGATAGCATCTACAACCACGGGGATGATCACCCTGCAACTCGCTAAGCTAGCCGGTTTGAAAGTCATCTGCGTCGCCGACGTGGCCCGTCACGGGGCGCGACTGCACGCCCTCGGGGCGGATGTGCTGGTCGACCGACACGATCCCGCCCGCGCGGTGGAGATCATCCGCGGGGTGACCGGGGGAAAGCTGCGGTATGCGGTGGACATCGTCGGGCGGGAGACGGCGACGCTGCTGCAGGGGGTGTTGGACGAGACGGTGCGCGAGGACGGTTCGCATGCGCATCTGCTGGGGCTGACGGGGTTGCCCAAGGAGCGACGCACCGGGATCAAATATCATACTGTGCCCATCAAGCTATTCCATTCTTCGGTCGGGGTGGGAGAGAAGATGGTCGCGTGGTTGGAGGCGTTGCTGGCGTCGAACACGCTGCTGGCGCCGGAGGTGGTGCGCCATGCCGGCGGGCTGGAGGGGGTCAACGCGGCGCTGGATACGCTGCGGCAGGGGAGTGTGTCGGGGAAGAGGATCGTGGTGGACTTGGAGGGTTGAGTGGTTTATCTCTGCTTGGATGTAAATAGTTGCAATAGATTGGCTGTGCATAGGCATAAAATTATACAGATGCTTGAATATACAGGTTATTTCGCTACGCAGCCGGCAGGCTTGGCACTATGTCTTAGGGTTGCTGGCTGTATACAGGGTAGTGTGCCTTCACTTCTGCACTCTACAGTCCTCCTTAGGATAAATGTCCGTCCTTGAATATTCAAATGATACTAAGTGGCAGCTGGCTGCTGCGATTATGCGTGTAACTCTCACGAGTGGCAGGTGAATCACCCCCGTGTCATCATCAGCACCGCATCTGGCGCAATCGAGGGCGCCTCGCACGTCTTCCCGAACCCCTCCATCGGAAGAAGGTCGCGACACCACCTCTCGGGCGAGTCATGAGGGGTAATTGTGTGTCAGGCCCGATAAGAATGTTTATCTTTCTCCAATTCCGCCGTATATAACAAATCCCCGAACTACCGCACACCACCACCAACACCACACCCACTACTGCCCTCCTCCCTCCTTCCTCCCACACCTCATTTCCCTCATCTCTACTCTTACGCACAGAGGAACTATACTCCAGGATAAAGCTTCAATCAAAAAGCCCAACTACACTCGACACAACCAGCAAAATGGGTAGCACAACCCCCCCCAAGAAACAACTCATCCTCAACGCCTTCGCCATGCAGTCCCCCTCGCACCTCAACCCGGGGCTGCACCGCTACCCGCCGGACCAAGGCCACAAATACACCTCGCTGGCGCACTGGATCCAACTAGCCCAAAAGCTCGAGGCGGCCAAGTTCCACGCCATCTTCTTCGCGGACGTGCTCGGCGGCTACGACGTCTACCGGGGGCCGGCCAACCTGACGCCGACCATCCCCGCCGGCGCGCAGTTCCCGATCAACGACCCGCTCTACAGCATCCCGGCCCTGGCCGCGGCGACGCACTCGATCAGCTTCGGGGTGACCGCGTCGACCACGTACGACGCGCCGTACGCGCTGGCGCGCCGGTTCTCGACGGTGGACCACCTCGCGCAGGGCCGGGTGGGCTGGAACATCGTGACCTCGTACCTGGACTCGGCGGCGCGGAACTTCGGGCTGGACACGCAGGTCGAGCATGACGAGCGCTACCGCATCGCGCACGAGTACCTCGACGTCGTGTACCAGCTGTGGGAGGCGTCGTGGCGCGACGGCGCGGTCCACCCGCACGGCGACGGCGTCTCCGGCTACGCCGACCCCGCCGCCGTGCGCCAGATCAACCACACCGGCCACTACTTCACCGTCCCCGGCCCCCATCTCTGCGAGCCCAGTCCCCAGCGCACCCCCTTCCTCCTGCAGGCGGGCACGTCCGGTGCCGGGAAGAGCTTCGCGGCCAAGCATGCCGAGGCGATTTTCCTGAACGGCCAGTCGCCCGAGCTGGTGCGCCCGTCGGTGGACAGTGTGCGCCAGCAGGCGAGGGCGCTGGGGCGCGATGCGGCGGCGGTGAAGATCGTCGCGGGCGTGCTGGTGATCGTCGCCGAGACGGACGAGCAGGCGTGGGAGAAGTTCCGCGAGTATGGCCGGTACGGGGACAAGGAGGGGGCGCTGGCGCTGTTCGGGGGCTGGTCCGGGTACGATCTGGCCCAGTACTCGGATGAGGAGGATTTCCGGTTCGTCGAGGCCCCCGCGGTGCGGAGTATGGTGAATCACTGGGCGAAGACGGTGCCCGGGGGCGAGGGCAAGAAGTGGAACAAGGCGACCATTGCGGAGTATTTGGTGATGGGCGGCAATGGGACGAAGATTATCGGGGATGCGAAGACCGTCGCGGATGAGTTGGAGCGCTGGGTCGCGGTCGCCGATGTTGATGGGTTCAATCTCAGCTATGCCAGTGTGCCGGAGACGTTTGACGATATCATTGAGTATCTGGTGCCCGAGTTGCAGCGCCGGGGTTTGTTTCACACCGAGTATGAGGTGCCGGGGGGCACGATGCGGGAGAACTTCTATGGGATCAAGGGGCAGACGAGATTGCCGGAGAGTCATCATGGGGCGAGGTATTTCTGGCGGGAGGGGGAGGAGGCTCCCAAGTATACGTTGCAGGAGGAGTAATCGGGGTCGAGAGGGAGGTGTTGGTGAAAATGTACTTTATAGGATTGATGCTATTTGAATTGATATGGGGGAATAGTCTGGCACGATAGCATAGGATCGGAGGGATGTTCTCCATTATGATAACGTGCTCTGGCGCATCCGGTATGGTCCGCGGTTGACATATCTATGATTGGGAGATACGTTTGTCAGATGCGTTGCTCGTCCCTCCCTCAGAACCAATACGTCTTCCCCGCAATACTCCCCGGATTCTCAGTCGTCCCCGGCGCCACTCCCACCTCACGCAGCTTGGCTTTCAACCGCGCAGTGACGGCAGCCGGATACTCGGACGACGCGTGCGCGGGACCCTGCCCCGTCGCGGCCAGTTGATCGGTAAGGTGGTTGTCGGTCCTGAAGAACGGCACAGAGAGAACCCCGCTGGCGTTGGCGCATGCCTGATACAGTGTCTGGAACCTGTCCTCGCTGTAGCCCCCGCCAGTGATGACGGCGCGGGGAGCAACGGTGAAGTCGTTTGGGCCGACCTGGGTGTGGAGGGCCGATGCTGGCGGGGCTTTTCCTGCGACAATGAGCGGGACTTCTTGCTCTGCGGCGGGGAGGTTGTGGCCGGCGTAGACAACTGCTGTCGTTTAGTTTCGTATAGGACTATATTTTAAGGCGGAAGGGTGTTGCAGACCGTTGTACTCAGGCAGCATGTGTGCGCGGACAAGCGCTGCGACTTCGCGCTTGGCGCCACAGAGAATCACGGGGATGGCGGTGGTCATGTTGGTGGATTTTGGGACCAAGATTCAAGGTGAGCGATCGCCATTCCTTGCGCCTTTATATGGCTGATGAATAATGCAAGGGGCGTCTGGGATGATTACGGAGCGAGACGCTTCGGGGATGACTTCTGTCCCGAGACTTTGCCACTTCTACTGTGAAATGGGCTGGATTGCAGCTACGGACGTGGTGGACACGATTCCATCCGCAAAAGTCATGAAGTCATCATCATCTTCGGGGTTGAGGTCGACCCCGAGCATGAATAAGCACCCCCCAAACCACTTCGACATATAAATCGCGCATCACCCCTCTGACGGGATCATCGGATTTTCTACTCCAAGCTTTCTGAAAATAGTGGCACCGACAATGTCAGATCCACCCAAGCCCCTCCACGACAATGTCTCACGCACCAAATCCAGCTCCCCACTAGGACGAGCCGTCTTCATCGGCCTCCGCGCCGCCGACGTCTGGTGGCAGTACAGCCTGCTAAGCCAAGGCTGGGCCTCGCAGCTCATCACCAAGCTGGGCGGCTCTCCCGTCGTGGCCGGCGATGTCTGGGCCACCTCCAGCAGCAGTCTGCACCTCTACTACCACCTCGTCAGCCTTCTTTCCGTGGGCAGCAGCATCAAGCAGATCGCCACCATGCTCTTGGTCTCGGAGCAGGAAACCCCCGTCGGCTCCGCCGCGCTGATCGCCTTCTTCAACACAGCATTCAACACGATAAACACCCTCCTCGCCATCTGGGCGCGCACTTCCCAAGCCCCAGCCTCCACCAGCAGGACCCTATGGCACTTCATCCTCGCAAACCCCACCGTAACCGTGGGCTTCAGCGCCTACCTCGTTGGGATTCTAACGGAGGCAGTCTCCGAGTTCCAGCGCCGCGCGTTCAAGAAGGACCCCGCCAACAAAGGCAAGCCCTACGGCGGAGGTCTGTTCTCGCTGGCCACCAACATCAACTACGGCGGGTATACCGTCTGGCGGGCGGGGTATGCGATGGTGACGGGCGGTTGGCCGTGGGCGGCGACGACCTTCGGTTTCTTCTTCTGGGATTTCGCGGTGCGGGGCGTTCCGGTGTTGGATGAGTATCTGGTCGGTCGGGTGAGTGTGCCTTCGCTGGTGTTTGAGCTTTTGTGGGGGTGGGAGATGGCTGACTTGTTTTTAGTATGGGCAGGCGTATGAGGAGATCAAGGCGCGGGTGAGGTATCGGTTGATTCCGTGGGTTTATTAAAACTCTGTCTGCGATGTTGGTACCTGGAGTGGTGGCTGGAGGCTTGGTATCATTACTAGAAGGTGAGGTGTGATGGGCCAGCGAGCTTGGTGGATTTCCCTGTAAGCATGTCGGAGATGACAGGCTTGAGGACACCTGTCATAGGCCTCAATGGCTGTTAGCATTCCCGAGTGCAAAAGATGTTTCTTTTGTTTCAGCGTTGGATATCGACCTAATGTTCTCTTGCACCGAGAAGGGTGCCAGGGTGCAAGGTGAATGTTCTCCGGGACCCTTGTCACTTGCTAGGGATATGATCCAGGAGGACAAGCAATCCTACTTCTTTCTTCGTCATTGACTTTTCGCCTTTCTGTTGTCTGCCATGATCCAGCGACAGGCAAATTGCAAGCTTTGAAAATGGAGTAAGGTCCCCCAGCGGGTCTTGGTGCTATAGTAGAGACAGATCACGATACCTAGGCCGTAGGGTCAGACCCAACTAAAGAGTTGCATAGTATATCGTAACCGTTCAGGATGACGGACAATGTAAAAACAATCCAGTATCCCAGAAATCCAGCACCAATGCAGCGTACAGCTGTCCAAGTGAAAGAGCGTTTGCCCGCCACCGGAGCAGTGAATGCTGTTGCCTGCTGTTAAATCCTCTTTCCCTGCAGGTGAGACAGTAGGAACAAAGCCCAGTCACAGTCAGGAATCGCGATGAGTGTGCTGGCTGATTGGGGCCGAACCAACAACTAGGACGCTTGTTTGAGGCAAAGCTCCTATCGTAATGCCTGAGGCACCATTGCGGGGTATTTAGCCTTGAAGCGAGTGGAACGCAACAGTCAAGACCCTTAGGAAGATCGGATATGGCAAAATCTGATGTTAGACGCTGAGGCTGTGCCAAGTAGCGTACAGTTGGCCCGGTAGCCGGAGGATGTGGGGTGTCGGTTGGCGCCTTGAGCCGCCGGCCTCGGCCCGACAGTTGCTTCGGAGAGGAATATACTGTACATAGTACCATCAACTATATGGTTGCCTACGGGAGAAGACCCCACAGCTCCATTGACCAGTATGATAGTGTAGGTAACCACAAATTTCTGTCTTAGCCTACCTATGATGACCGATCTTGAGCTTGCTACTGGTCCGCGCTGTACATGGCCCGCATACACCACCTGCGCTTGGTGCCGCCATCGGCGACTTAGACTCTGAACACGAGACCCTGTTGGAGTTCATACCCGCTTCAGTCAAAGGGTGTTCGGGATTCTTGACATTTGTGCCATCGCTTCCAGTGGCAGGTTATGATATCAAGGGACATACCATGCATGATGGGCTTCCGTTGAATGCCACCCCCAACTGTTCAATTGGGGTGACTAGACGAAGGGGTCAATTACTTTTCAAAGTTGTATAAGAAGTGCAGTACCAGCGTCTACTCATCTGCGCAGAATCTACTATCAACACACCGAATGTCAGCAACCCCACAGATGGCTATGTCTTGCCCTAAAAGGCCGGTGTTCCTTGGCGATACCTGCCCCTGCTTTTTAAATCGCTGCCTGATATTAAGATCAACTACTATCCAACAGTAACCACAGCAACAACTATAGAACATTTGTATCTGATAAGTAGACCCTTGTAGCCACTACTCTCCAATGCAAATCACCCAAGATCACAAAGACTTCTTATCATCCGCTCTCAAATCTTTCTTCCAAGTGTTTCCCCAAGCAAACCATTCCATCCACCATGCCAACCCTCAAATCCATCGCCGCTTTCCTCCTCCTCACCCTCGCCCTAGGCGCAGCAGCCCAGCCCACCACAGAAATTACCATAGGCAACGACACCAACAACGGAACCACCTGCGCCGTCTTCAACTGGGACCATCAGCCCGTCTCCTGGGATGAATACCCGCCTCTCCGCATCAGCGCAGCCTTCAGCTGCCCCAACACCACTACCACCACCACTACCAACAACACCAACGCCTGCGAGATCACGGGCACAGGGGGGTACAGCACCTACTACGCGGTGACGAACCTGACCGGCCTCGCGGCGGGCCCCCTGACGGCCCTGGTCCAGAAGACGGTCGCGAAGAAACAACTGCAGACGAGCAATTTCAGCGCCCAGGCGACGGTTTACAGTGGGGTCGGCCGCATGCCCCTCGCGCCGGGCCAGTCGGCGTACGCCGCCGAGATCGCCAGCAGCTATTGCTTCACGGGCACGGTGGCCCGCTGCACGGGCGGCAATCCCCCGATCGCCGACAACACGCCCGTGCGGGTGTGTTCGCCGCTGTGGCAGTATGTCCGCACGGTCGGAAACGTGATGACGTCCTCCACCAGGACTGTGAATGTGACTCGCGAGCAGGTCGCCAACTTGACGGATCCGTTTGCCGGTCAGAATGTGACGCTGCCGAACGGGGCGGCGGGAGGGTTGGTTGTTGCGGGGAATAGGTGGTTGTCCGGGCTGGTGGTTGCAGTTGTGGTGGCTGTGATGGTTTAATGTCCTGTTTGTGTTGGTTTTGGATATGATTTTGTGTTGTGAGTGATGAGATGAAATGTTTATGATTGGGCTATGTGGAATGTGGGAGTCTGCCAGCTTATGATGCGACTGCTTCTGATATTTGTTCTTTAAAAGTGTGAAGATAGAGAGAACTTGGTCTTTCCTTTTTTTTTTTCTTCTTCTTTTTCTATCTTTCTTTTTTTCTTCCTTTTTCCTGTTTCTTCCTGCTTTCCTTCCTCTTCTCTCTCTTGCCATGGCGGTGTAGGATGTGTGAGAATAGAGGCAGTAACATAATCTTAAGTTTGTACTGTATGCTTCTACAAATATAGCCTCGCAACAATTGTCTTTCGTTTTACTCGAATATCCAGTTATAGTGTACTATACAACAACATGGACCACCTTTATTATCTTGCGCAATAATTTACTAGTAGTGTTCTAGATTGTGCTGTGCCTATAGGTTATATGTAACAAGGTATACAAATGATTCCTGTCCACACCACGTATTGATGTATTCTTGTTAAGCTTCGAGCTTCGCACTGGCCATTAGCGTTTATTATTGTCTACCAAAGATATGAAACCGATATAGAGTCAACTTTGTGCGAGTATCAATGCAGCATAGGTTCTATCTACCTACCTATCCTATTGTCTATTAAAGCCTTTATCTAAAGAAAACGTATACACATGGAAGATTATCAGACACTAATCTGGGTTGCGATACAAGTCAACCTTTCCCGAAACAGTAAGGTCTAGTCTCTATGCCTTAGGCACCAGATTCGGGTGCCGAGGTAACACTGCAACCATCTTATCCACAGTACTTCCCAATGTATAGAATACACTTGCAATCATGATGCTATACAGTCTTGCCTCATCCCCACATTTCAAGAGACGAGGGCTGCTCTGAAAACAGACTAATACCTGGAAACAGGCCTGCTTGAACCTAAATCACCGGGCAAGTGACCTTCAACCTGTCATCCGGTGGAGATCCGGGGACATATACTAGTGTGACAGGAGTGACCCTCGGTTTATTCTCTCTGGTGCGAAGCTATCGATCTCGGAAATCAGGAACCCTGCCCGAAGATCGAGAATATGGAAGTGTATGATGTCATCACGGGAGTCGATTCGGACGGCCGCGGTTCCTGGTGCGACCAAGACATGGTTAAAAGCATTTCTTCGGCCACTGTTGATCATCTAGCTTGTCAATCACTGGTGCAAGCTGTGAAACATGAAGGCCTTCGCATATTCCATCTTAGCTGCAGTAGCAACATGGCTGCCCCATGATACGACTCCCCCAACCCCCCTTGCCGCGAGGACTAGTGCTGCGCCGGGGAACTCCTCTGCGGTGAACCTGACGGTCATCCCGTCTGGAGGAAATCTATCCAGTCCGTTGCTGTATGGGATTATGTTCGAGGTATATGCCAGTCGCACCCTCCAGCGCGTGAGAGCTGACCTCAGCTGCCCTCCCAGGAAATGGATCATTCCGGTACTTCCCGCCCTCGCTGCGCAGCAACAATGCTAAGATAACCAGGCGACGGAGGACTCCACGGACAACTACTACAGAACAACGGTTTTCAAGGGGCCAATCCCGGTCTAACTGCCTACAAGCCTATCGGGCAAGCAGATATCATGCAGGATTACCTGTACCCGGTGAGCGGTGCTATCACCTCTTCCCTGCAGGTATCCGTACCAGCGAACGGCGCCACGGGCCTGGTCGGATTCGCCAACACAGGATACAAAGGCATTCCGGTGGTCAATACCACATATTGGTGCGAATTCTGGATGCTGGGTGATTACACCGGAACGATCACTCTCCAGCTGGCCGGCTCATCCAGTGGCACGATCTTCGCGTCGCATAACATCACGGTGGCCAGCACTCAGAACAACTTCACCCGACACACGACAATAATCAATGCGACAGCGGCACCGGACGGCAACAATGAGTGGAGGCTGCTGTTCAATGCATCTCGGGTGTCTGGGGGGACGCTGAATTTCGGACTCCCCCAGCTGTTTCCGCCAACGTACAAGTCGAGGTGTGCTTTGTGTGTAGCTGTAGGATGACCAACACTAACATAGTCAAGGTCCAATGGGCTCCGGTCCGACATTGCCAAGGTCATCGCGGATTTGAAACCGTCGTTCTTGCGTTTTCCCGGGGGAAATAACTTGTATGACTTCTTTTCTAGCCCCAGCCAACTCTATATGTGAATTTGCATTAATGTTGGGCAGGGAAGGTCTGGAAGTCGATAGTCGGTGGCAATGGAACTTGACCATCGGACCAGTAGTCGAGCGTCCTGGAAGGCAGAGTGATTGGTTTTACCCCAACACTGACGCGCTAGGTAGGACGCGCCCGACTAATCTGACTGTGTCTAACGAGTCATCCAGGTCTGGATGAGTACCTATGGTGGTGCGAGGATATGAGCATGGCTCCCGTGCTGGCCGTCTGGGACGGCAAGTCTTACGGCGACATCCTATCCGGCAAGGAGCTTGAACCCTACATCCAGGATATTCTCCATGAGCTTGAGGTGAGTCGCCTTGGTCGCATCGATCCCAAAGCTAATCGAGTAGTACCTTCTCGGCGCCCCCAATACCACCTACGGAAGTCTCCGCGCCAAGAACGGACGCGTGCAGCCCTGGCCCATCCAGTACATCGAGATTGGGAACGAAGACGACTTCACTGGGGGCTGCGCAACGTATCCCCGCCGCTTCATGCAGATCTACGACGCCATCCACCAGAGCTACCCCAACCTCACGCTGATCGCCTCCGCCAGCGACCCGCAGTGTCTGCCTTCCAATCCACCCCCGGGAATCATGTACGACTTCCACTACTACCGCAGTCCAGACCAGCTGGTCGCCATGTTCCACGAATGGGACCACCAGTCCCGCTCGCGCCCGGTGATGATCGGCGAGTACGGCTGTCGCAATACCAGCTCTCCCGACGGGTTCTACTGGACGTTCATGCAATGCAGCTGCAGCGAAGCGGTGCACATGATCGGGCTGGAGCGGAACAGCGATGTCATCAAGATGGCGTCCTATGCCCCCTTGCTGCAGAACTTCCCCTACACCCAGTGGTCGGTACGTACCATTCTCCCGTGCGTAGGGGTTGAGACTCCCACTGACCGTTGCGAACAGCCGACGCTGATCGGATTCGACTCGAACCCCGGCTCCCTCACCCTGTCCACATCGTACTGGGTCCAGAAGATGTTCTCCAACCACCAGGGGCAGACCATCCTGCCGGTCAACTCGACGGCCAGCTTCGGCCCGTTGTACTGGGTCGCGTCGCGGACCAACGGGACGTACATGGTCAAGATGGCCAACTACGGCAACGACCACCGCACGGTGCGAGTGACGGTCCCAAACACCACAGCTGGACACGTGGAGATGCTATCCGGCCCGCGGGATGGAGTCAATCTCCCGCACAATTCGACCATCCAACCCGTGATCCAGAACGTGACGGGTAGCAAGGACAGCTATACGATACAGATGCCGGCGTGGGGGGTCGCGGTGCTGGTTGTGCATTAAAGCGCGGGAGTTACTACCACTCCCGTTGTGCATAAGCTAGCATACAATGCTATTCACCTTTTTTTTTTAATTCTTCGTCTCGAATGGTATCATATCAGATACCCAGCGTCCTAGAACCAAATCACAATTCCGCAACCCCAAAGGAGAATCCAACTCAACCCTCAACCCCGTACACCCCCAAATCCGCAGCCATCCCGGACAAAGCATAAACAGCACTCCTCCGCCCGCCGAAAGCACGCAGCGCTCTCTCCCCCCGGTCCTCCAAGCCGATCTTCTCCAGCACCCGCCGACTCCGGGCGTTGTTCACATCGCAGAACCCAAACACCCCGGCCACCCCCAATTCCGTGCAGGCATACTCGACCATCGCCCGTCCGGCTTCCGTCGCATACCCCCTCCCGCTCTCCTCGGGCAGCACGCAGAACCCGATGTCCGGGACCCTGTATCCATCCGGTGGGGTGCCTTGCATCAGGGAGATGGTGCCGATGGGGACGCTTTCGTCCAATGGGGCGGTGGGATGCGGTCGGCGGGAGAGGAGGAAGATGCCGCGCTGGTGGTTCGAGGTGGTGTAGATGCTTTGCAGGCGGTTTGTCAGGAAGGCTGTGGCGTCGTGGGGGTTTTTGAAGGGGGAGGGCCCGCAGGAGGTGGTGAAGTCTGGGGTGGTCCACAGGTGGTGGAGGAAGGTACTGTGCGTGGGGGTGGGGGAGAGGAGCGAGATGTGCAGGCGCGGGGTCGAGGTGAGGATTGGGGTGGTGGGTGTCGGGGCGGGGGTTGGCATTGTCTTGGCTGTTGGATTGGTGTTTGGATTGGAGTGTTCTTTTACTCTTCTGGTTTTATTGGGGACTGTGTTGCGGTAGTGACTGTCGTGGTATAATGTGGGTGAGTGAGGATTGGAATTGTCTTAAAGGTGGTATTATCTCTCGAAGGTACGCGCAAGAGATGGACGGAGAAAGGGCGGCAGATGCAGCTGAGATTGGGTCACGCGATTATCAGTGAGTCAGGCAATACACATGCAACAACTAGTTCAGTACTGTTGTTTGGATTTGAGTGGCCAGAGGCAGATAAGACTGAGGCTAGCGCCAGTCTTTCATTGCTCCGTTGCCGGAGATATCCGTGGCTAGCCCGACGAACATGCGGGTGCTGTTTAGCCATCGCCGGTGCATTGAGAGAGACAGTTGCCTGGTACTCCCAGAGTCTGACAGCTGTGTAAGTAAAAAATAAGCAGTCACTTGTGTTGCATGCAAAACCACCTCTATGCACCTATATCCGCAAGCTCACTCCCTCACCGCGCAGAACCACAGCATCCGCACATTCTCATCCGTAAAGGACACGTTCCGCGTCTTCTCCCACTCCTCCGCCCAGTACAACTCGGCCTCCACCCGCCACCCCGTCCCAGTCACCTGCCCAACATCGTACCAGAATCCCTTGATCGACTCCACATTGTGTCGGTAATGCACTTGGTCATTCATGAACCCGTGCATCGTGTAGTGTCCCGCCAGCCGCGTCCCCATCTGCCGCCCGGCAATCATCACCCCGGGCTGGTCCTTACACAGCCGGACCAGTCGCGCAGCCACCTTGACCTGGGTCTCATAGTCCCAGAGATGAAGTACAGAATTTGTTAGCACGACCTCGATCTTCCCATTCACCGTCTGCGCGAGCCTTCCCTGCGCAAACTCCTCGTCCTCACCCGCGGTAAGATCTCCAGTGACGAACGTCGCCTCCAGACGGTCGGCATCGCGGAAGAGTCGGTACCCCAGGTCAATGAAGATCTGCTCGAGGTCGCAACCGAAGAGCTGGCGGCCGGGGATGCCCTCGTTGGCGAGGTAGCGGATTTCCTGGCCGACGCAGCAGCCCACGTCCAGGAAGCCGGCGGCGGGGTTCGCGCGGAGGTGGTCCATCACCCGGGGATAGAAGGGGAGGGTGGCGAGGTTGAAGGACAGGAAGCGCATTTGGCCGATGCAGGGGTATTGGCAGACCGTGAAGGCTTCATCGCGCTGTGGTGGGTTAGTCGTGCGATTGCTTGTCGTCATCTGCTGGAGGGGCCGAGCTTACCACTGCTAGCACATGGGGGATGACTTCGTCTGGCTTGAGATTGCTGTAGCTCTCGAGTAAGCGTTGCGCGGTGGGGTTGATGGATGTGACCTCGGTTTCGAACCAGGCGGGCTGGACTGGGGGATCCTCGGTTGCGGTCATGGTCACTCCGTCAGACGCGGTTTACGGGAATGCAAAGATTGTTCAGACCAAGTCAGACTGGTGGGCGTGTCTAAGCTTTTAAACCCTAGCCTCGCCATGGGAGTGAGACCACTCGGAGGGGGGGAAGTGGGCTCCCGTTGCGGTGCGCTAGCCCTAATGGCGGGTTCGTCAACGCTACTGTAGAGCTATGGTACTAGCAGGGAGTCTGGGTTAGAAGAAGGGTAATGTACAGTACATGCCGGATTTCTCCGCAGTGCTTGTATGCAAAACTCGTTCATGTCCTCTAATATGTGGCAATCCATGGAACCTCATCTGCAATCTTTGATCAGTTCAAAGAGAAGGCCCATTTTGAAGAAGAGCACCTCATGCGGCAAAGTAGCTCGGGTCTAGATAAGGCTCGTAGTGTTCAGATCTAGGCATCGACATCACCATCAGATCATCAGCCCCCTTACTACGAAGAATCCGGAGTAACAGTCGCAGTCATGGAGAGCAGTGTGCTAAAGGATTACGCGGTTAAATACGTGGCCCACGTTCTCGACAATAGTGCCATCCCCTACTGTCTAGTCGGGGAGTCGGTGCTTGAGCTCTACGGCCTGCAGCGCAAGCTAGGCATATTCACAGGTTTCGCCATCCCCACCAAATGGATGGAGCACGCCCGGTATGCGTTGCAGCAGGCCGGGCATTTTTCGTGCCGCGGCTACTGCGGCGCCCGCACGGGCTACAAGCCCACCTTCAAGGAGGATGTCCCTCCCATCGCACCCGCCTGGCATTACCACATGCCCCCGCCTCCCTTAGCAGGGGGCGAGCATGGCTTCTATGGGCGCAGCACGTTCCTCTGGGGATACGTCGTGAATTTCTACAATCACTCGGATGTGCTCTGGTTATTCCCCGAGCCGCCCCGCGGCGACCCCACGACCGCGCCCCGCCCGCCCCTGGGAGATAATGTGCCCCCGGAGGGACTGGGCGTGCTGTCGGACTACTACATGCTGTCCGATGATCTGCGCCTGTCGCCTCACCGGCGACACGCGCCCGAGCGCTATCCCATCAAGATCCCCACCCCGCACCGCTACCTGGAAACCATCATCTGCCAGATGTGCGTGCATCGGCAGAAGCGGGAGGTAGGGCTCGCCGAGACGTGCGCCGCCATCTTCCACCGCTTGACTCTGCCGCGCCGGCTGAACCCCCAACTCCAGGTCGTGTTGCGGGAGCGCGAGTTGTCCGAGCCCTTCCGCGGCTTCGTGGAGAACCACTTCAAGGACCCCGAGGACCCAACCAAGTCGGATTCTGGGTGGGAGGAACGTGTCCTCACTTTCCTCTACACAAAGCCGGAGATACACATGTTGCTCTCGTAAGTGATGGTCCATCTATGCGAAAGGCATTCCCTGCCTTGAGTACACAAATTTGGTACGTTAACGATAATTGCAGTCGCAGCCTATATGTAATCAATCACAACGCTATGCTTACGCCATACAATGTCAAAAAAAAGAAAAAAGAAAAAAAAAAAAAAAGTAAGAACCCTGAGAACACCACGACGCTTCTTAGACCCCCTCAGCTCTGCGTCTCAGAAACATACTGGTCATTCAGCTTCTTCTCCAAGGCCTGTTCTTCTGAAACCGCGCGCAATTCATCCAACTCCACGAACCCTAATGTCCGCAGCCCGACCACCAAATACCTTTCCCAAACCGACACATCATCCTTCGTCTGCGGACTAGATCCCATGTCAGAATCACACTCAAGCATTACCAAAGCAAGATGAGCAAACTTACTCCCTCAAACACCTCGACCGCAGCGTCACCCACTCATTCAACTGCTTGATATACGCCATGGCCAGCACAAACCCCAACGACGCCCCCGGCACCTGGCTCTGATGCACACTGAACACCGCCGCCAACGGCACCGAGATCGCATACACCGTGCTATCCTTGACCACGCCGCGCAGGTACGGCGTGCGGGAGAAGTAGAAAATCGCCAGCCGCGTCCAGACGAACCCTTCTAATGCGTACACGCTGAGGGTATGGAGACTCGGGAGGCGGAACGCATAGGCCGCTACCGTGGCAAGGGGCCGCAGGCACGCGGCGGCCTGGTAGGGCGGGCGGGTCGTGCGGGGATCGCCGCGGCGGAGCGTGCGCAGCAGCACGAAGCTCGTCCCCGACCAGATCACGCTGCTCAGCACGTCCAGCTCATCGGGAAGGATGGGCTGCGGGTGTGCAGTCTGCGCCTGGGCGAGCCAGTAGCGGAAGTACTCGAGGAGGCCGGTGGCGATGTGCAAGGTGAGGGAGGTGGTGTTCTTGGCGAATTTGATGTGGTAGGTCGGCGCGTGCCAGATGGTGTGATACAGGATCACGGCGGTGTAGACTACGACGCGGTTGAGGAGGGCGACGGTCTCGGGGTCGTCGGGGAGTTTGAGGTGAAGAGGTAGGGGGTTGGGGATGGATAGCATTTTGGTAGGGCTGGTTGATGGATTGGGTTTCCATGCGAACGATCTGGGGCAAGGTGGTAAGGCAATGCTGGTGTAGTCTGTCTTGTCTTTTTATGTTGTGTGGGATTGAAGGTGGTCTGTAGCTTATCAGCCACATTTGTGTGTCAGTGTTTTGTTGCATCATTCTATGGTTCCTAAGAGATATGCATGACGTTTATGTAGTGCCGGTAATTCAGTAGTGTTTCCTGAAGGCACTAAGCTCGCCACAGCCTGCCTCGATCTAATATGTTCATGGTCACGTAGAGCTTCTCCCGTGAGAACTGCACCTCGAATCTTGACCAACACTGGCTAGTTGAAAATGCAGCGATAGCTGAGCATTCTGATTTCGGGCACCTTTGTATGCTGACGCAATGACGTAATAATTGCTTATGGTGCCTATTCTGTAGCGCATGACTCGTATGCAGTCAAGACGTGCAGGAAGGATCTTCATACATCCCTTGCGTCGATCATGCAGGACTGAGCCATGCCTCTTCGCCATTATTCGCTGCACTATAATTATGCATGTCCATCGGCTGAGTCATTCTTGTGTGAGTAAAGCCACATTCTTGACGCCACAGGTCTTGCAGACTATCACATACCCAACTGAGAATCCTATGCAGCTATGACCTCACTCCATTTTACATGCCCACATGGATGTGTGCTCTCTCCTCATGCGGTTGCCTTTATCAGTCAGGCATGTTGGCCTTGACTCGTCGTCGGGTATGTCGCGCGACTGACTGGCCTTGAAATCACAGGATTCGTCATGTAGCAGGAGAGTGTAGACAGCATGGCACACTCCATTGCAAGTACAGAGCCGCCAGGAACTGGTTATCGAAACGGGTAGGACCAGATTCCAAGTAGGTGGCACAGGTGCAGCATGTCTTGGGCATCAAGGGCTTATCTAGGCGTGGCTCCGTCCTTCGCATTCCCCGGCCAATGTCCCATCTATAGGCCATGCAGGGTCTTCCGAAGCTATGATGATTGAGCATACCTATATTGAAGTGTGACCGTGGAAAGCATATCATCTTCACATGAGAGTTTCTGCCAAACATGACTGTGAACCGTCTTCGACTTATAAGTTTGCCACAGCTAGCTTGTAGTTAATTCAATAAAGTCGCCGGGAATTCGTGAGTTGTTTGTAACCTGTGAGTGTCGCTTGTTAGAGCAGACAGTGGAGGAGGCAGACCGCAACGCAGACCATGACTGCAGATCTACCGAGCTTGAAACACTTGAAGGAAGCGATTCCTGACTCATGTTTCGCTCCGTCCCTTTGGACCTCCCTGAGCTACCTTGCGCGCGATATCCTCTATGCCGCAGCTCTGGTCTACGCTACAACTTACATCCCGCTGCTGGAAAGTGGCTCCCTGCGGTTCTTGGCATGGTGCATCTACGGCCTTCTGCAGGGGTTCGTGGGCACCGGCCTATGGATCCTCGCCCACGAATGCGGCCACGGCGCCTTTCTTGTATCCGCTGCTGAACGACACCATCGGCTGGATCCTACATTCCACCTTGCTGGTGCCCTACTTCTCCTGGAAGATCACGCATGCGCGCCACCACCGGTACTCGGGGCACATGGAGAAAGACACTGCGTTCGTTCCACCGACTAGAGCAGATTATGCGGCCAAGCGGCGCAGGTGGATGGACGACCTGGACGATCTCGTCGAAGACACCCCCCTCAGCACGCTGCTGAGATTTGCAGCCCACCAGCTGCGGGGTGGCAGGCCTACCTTCTTTTTTACGCCACCGGGGCGAAAGCATCGATTCCCCGTTCGAATACACAGACTGGCACTCCCCTGCCCCTCTCGCATCTGTCCCCCAGCAGCCTGCTTTTCCATCCCAAGCAACGACCATCCGTGCTACTCTCCGACCTCGGTCTGGCCCTCACCATCCTCGGTCTGGTGCACCTAGGCTCCATTCTTGGCCCCTCGCAAGTGATCCTCCTGTACATTTTACCCTATTTCTGGATCCACCACTGGATAGGTCAGCCCGTCCGTCCTTTCCCAAGAAACACTATGCTAACAGTAAGCTGCAGTGGCAATAACCTACCTCCACCACACCCACCCGCAGATCGCGCACTATTCCCCCGAGACCTGGTCCTTCACGCGGGGCGCGCTGGGCACCGTCGATCGCAGCTTCGGGTTCATCGGGCGGCATTTCTTCCATCACATCATCGACCACCACGTCATTCACCATCTGTTCCCCGGCATCCCGTTCTACCGGGCTGAGGAGGCGACCCGGGCGGTGAGGCCGCTGCTGGGGGCGGCGTATATCGAGTTGCGGGAGGAGGATTTCTTGGTCACGCTTTGGCGGACGTTTCGGCGGTGTCGGTTTGTCAGTGATGGGGATGGTAGGGGGGAGCAAGCTGGTGTTTTTGAGTGGAATGTGGTTGTGGATGGGTGTGGGGAGGGGTTCGGGGAGGGGGTTCGTCGGTGAGGTCGGAGGGAGCATGAGTGGTGTTTTATCTTGCATTGGAGGACAATGATGTATAGAACGAATTTAGTTTCAAGTCTAGGGAGTATTGTTTCAGATGTCCTGGAATACGTCTACTGTATTTAGGAAATACTCAGTCCTTCATGGAAATGTAACAGAATTAGCTGTGACAGATATCAGAACAAGCACTCTCGTAAGAAAGGATCAATTGTCCTACCATCATTGACAGTTATGCTCCATTTATCAGAGTAGGTACAAACTAGCCAGATTTTCCTATTTGAACTACCATAGTTATCTCTGCTCAAAACAGGTCATGGAACCCTCTTGCTCCACTATGGATGACTTATCAGGCCAGCATAAGGCCAAATTCCTGTTTTGGGTCAAATCATATTCACATGGCCGGGTGGTTCGGAACCAAAACAAGGAAGAATCAAGTCCAAACCGGCTACGTTGCCAAGATACGCTCTTCGGTCTGTGGCTATAAAGTCTTCTTGATCTGGAGTATTGTTGCTTTTGAGGCCCCAGAGATGATTCTATCTTCCCTTACTGACTTTCCTTTACTAGTATGGGCGCTGATACCTTCACGGACGAGTATATCCTCGGTCGCGATATCCCAGAAGCAGTCAGGTGATTTTTGACTCGGATATTCTCGCTGCGAAACTCGCTCCGCTAATGACGGTCTGCCAGGCTAAATGAGCAACAGCTCCTGTGGAGACTGCAGACAGGACACATCTTAAGTCCTCTGATCCCGCGGCGATCGGGGATGCGCATTGCCGACCTTGGGACCGGAACAGGGCATGTTGATCCTCTGACCCCTCTGAGTCTTTCGAGATGTATCTAACCGTGTTGATCTGCTAGCATCTGGTGTATAGACCTCAGTCACGAGCTGGACACGGCTGAGATCTGTGGCTATGATATTTCCGACCTCTCCTACCCGCCCTCAGCTACACTTCCGACGAATGTGAAACTGGGCAAGTTGGACGCACTATCCGATCTACCGGGGGAGTATCGGGGTGCGTTCGACGTCGTGCATCTGCGGCTGTGGATCTGTGTGATTAGAGACAACTGCCCGGATAAGTTGGTTGAGGTTGCTACGGCTATGCTGAGTGAGTTGATGTTCTTACGCAAGATAATGCACAACATTCAAGCTGATGGAGATGCAAGAGCCCGGCGGATACATCCAGTGGGAGAAGATCGGACGGGATACCAGCTTGGTGACATCCAGCCCCATGCAGCGCTTAGAAAGCCTCTATAGCAGACAGCTGGAGAGGGAGAGAATCGATCCGAGGTATGTGCTCTGTGCTCTCAACACAAACCTTTTCCTCGGTTTCAAGTTAACGTAGAATCTCAGCTGGGTAGGCCGGCTGCCTGACATCTTCAGGGACAAGGGCTTCGACGTCCTGCAAGATAAACTTGGCCTGTGGGACAGAACCGTGCGCGGGCTGTATTATGCAAACTATCTTATCGTCGTAATGAGCGTCATGCGGTCGAGATATGGGGACAGCAAGGAAAAGTCAACCGATCTGGAATCAATTGCGAGGGAGCTGTTTGACCAGCGGGATGTTGACCATGGGTTCGCTTGGAGACCGATCGAGTTGGTTGCTCAAAAAGCTAAAAGAGCCTAGGACCTTCGCGTCAAATTCAAGATAACTTACTTTTGCCAAGTTGTTGTCCGTATTACAGTTGTAGCAAATGGAAGCGTGTTGTTTACATCGGGTATTCCTTACTGTATAGATGGCTATCATGTGACGGACATGTGACTGACCCCTCTTTCTCCAACTGCTTCCCCTCATCCTTCATCCCTTCATCCACCATCCACACTCACTACACTCACTACACTCACACTCTTTCTTTCACTTGCACCACCTAATCCTCATCGTGTCACTCTTTATAAGTCCAACCGACCCTTACTCCCATCCTCGCCTCATGGCCTCCCGCCCCGTCATCGCCATCGCCGGCTTGGCCTGCGAAACCTCCGCCTTCACCCCCGCACGCACGCACGCGCCCGCCTTCCACCCACGCCGCAGCCACGAGATCCTCGACGAATACCCCTTCCTGCGCCCCGACACTCCCCTCGGCACCGCCGCCTCCTGGCATGGCGCATTAATCGGCCACGCACTGCCCGGGGGAATCGTCGTCCGCGCCGACTTCGAACAACTCGCCACCGAGATCGTCTCCCGGCTCACCCAAATCGCAGCCTCAACCCCGATCGACGGACTATGGTTTGACATCCACGGTGCCATGGTGGTGGAGGGACTGGACGATGCAGAATTCGAACTCCTCACTCGGATCCGCAGGGTCGTCGGACCGCAGTGCGTCGTCTCCGCCTCGATGGATCTCCACGGGAACGTGTCGCGCAATCTCGTCCATCAAACCGATCTGATCACCTGTTATCGTATGGCGCCGCACGAGGATGAGACGGAGACAAAGGAGCGCGCGTGTCGGAATTTGGTGGATCTGCTTCGTCGGGACTGTGCACCCGGTGCGACCGTGCGCCCGCGCCGCCCGCTCAAGGCATGGATCCCCCTGCCCATCTTGCTGCCGGGGGAGCAGACCTCCACCCGGGTGGAGCCGGCCAAGGGACTGTACGCGCTTGTGCCTGAGGTCGAGGCGATGGATGGGGTGATCGACGCGGCGATCTGGGTGGGTTACGCGTGGGCGGACGAGCCGCGCAACCGCGCGGCGGTCGTCGTGACGGGGTGGGAGGAGGGTGCGGTGGCGACGGGGGCGCAGCGGCTGGCCGAGGCGTTCTGGGATGCACATGCGGAGTTCCACTTCGTCGGGCCCACTGGCTCATTTGCCGAGTGCATCGATGTGGCGCTGGCGTCTGCGCCCGAGGCGCGGCCGTTCTTCATCTCGGACTCCGGTGATAACCCTACCGCTGGCGGGTCGGGGGATGTCACCTGGGGGCTGACTCGGTTGTTGGAGCGACCGGAGTTCAAGGCGTCCGATGGACCGGTCGTGATCTATGCCAGCGTGCCGGGGCCGCAGGCCGTGCAGACCATGGTGGATGCAGGGGTGGGTGCCACGGTGACGGTCACGGCGGGGGCAGAGGTGGATGCCGTTCATGCAGGGCCGATCACCTTGACCGGGCGCGTGCATGCGATCAGGCATGGTGACAAGGATGCCCAGATCGAGGCGGTGCTGCAGGTGGGCTCGGTGTTTGCGATCCTGACGCAGCTCCGCAAGCCCTACCATCACGAACGGGATTTTACTGATCTGCAGCTGACTCCTCGGAAGGCCGATCTGGTCATTGTCAAGATCGGTTACTTGGAGCCAGAGCTGTTTGAAATGGCTGCTGACTGGATGCTGGCGTTGACTCCAGGAGGCGTCGACCAAGACCTCGTCCGTCTGGGACACCGCCGCATTCGTCGTCCTATGTGGCCTTTTGATACAGTCTTTCCTTCGCCCCCTGACCTTCGTGCGCGCCTGATTCCTGCTTCGGATCAGACGCTGTCGGGGCCGGATGAGTAATTAATTGACGCAGAGCGTAGTCGCCCCGTTGAGTAGCAAGAAGGTAACTTCGCATAATCTCAGGCGGCATTAACATCAAGAGCATCTGGAACTACGCAAAAACCGGTGTAAATCAAGTCAATCATTACATCATATTGCCACGAGACGAGGTATCTAAACAGTACAGTACACGACACGAGATCAAACATCAAAACTTCTACTCCTTGTTGGCAGCGCCTCCAGTGAAGGGGCAGCCAGAGGGTACCTCCGCATCATCGGCCTTGATCTGCTCGCGACCGCGGGAGATCTGGCGGAACATGTCGAGCGGGTCGAACCACACGTTGATCTGCTCCAACTGGAGGGCCTTGTTGACCTTGGCGACGATGATGCCCTGAATATCGATCGGGCCGCCATGCGCCTCAATCCGGACCTTCTCTCCCTTGCTAAGATTCGCCCAGTGTTAGCTCCGCTACCCGGAAGGAACTTCACGGTGTCTCACTCACTCGTTGAACCCAACATAGTCGCGCGCCATCTCCCCCCAGTGTCTCCACTTGAAGACCACAGTGGGCGGGCCGCTGTACACCTCGGTCACCTCCCAGGCAAAGGTGGGCATCATCCGCTTAAAGCTCTTGTGGCTCATCTCGAAGTCGTTGTGGGCGGGGTCGTAGTACGCGCTCGGGGTCAGCAGGGCGTTGTAGGTGCCCACCTTGAGCATGTACTCGCCGGACAACGGGGCGCCGCCGTTGAGCGTGACGTGGTACTTCTCGTGGTCGATCGTGCGCCAGTCCGCCAGCGAGGTCTTGAAGGAGGCCTCGATCTCCCAGTTCTTGACGAGGTTCTCGACCAGGTTGGGCAGGCTGCCGGGCTCGTGGGATTGTTTCTTGGCTGCAAGCAGAGAATCCGAGCTGTCAGTATTCCAGCCTTGGTAACCGTTGGGGAGCAGGATAGACGGGCCACATACTCCGCTCATACACCGCACGGGTGTTGGAATAGTCCGGAGGGGCGCCATATCTCCAGGCCGCGTCCATGTCCTTCAGGACGGCGTTGGGGTCAAGAACATAATCGGGAAGTGCCTCTGCGTCGCCCATTGTGAAGATCTGTGAGAGCTAAAGTTTCGAAGTGTGGGCTTTTCTTCCAACGGCGGTGCAGGGGCAGGTGCGCCGTTATGTAGGTTTTTTTTTCTTTTTCGGTGCACCGGACAAGATTACAATGCCTATGCCCCCTTCAGGGGGGAACGTGGCCTTTTGCCAATTAGGCCCATGTGATAGACTACATGGCAGGGTTGAGAGTAAGCACTTGAGGCCGTAGCAGATGATTAGTGGTATGAACCCTGGTCGACGAGGTGGGGTGGGGAGTATGGGTTTGCCTCCAACGCCCTTAGCGTGCGACTGGACTCTGCGCGGGGATTGTTTGCGTTCGCCACGCCGGCCGTCAGGATTGATGGACCCGGATTGAACGAGTCAGTCTGCAAGCCTGATTCCACGCCTTCCCTCAAACAAGGCTCATGCAGTCTGGACGATGAGCGTAGGGACCGCAAACAGCATGACAGCTCACAGATCTACATTGTACCGCTGACTGGGGCAGGCGCAGTGCATTGACAGCCCACCCGAAGCGCACCGCAAATACTGACATCTCCGAAAGCAAGGCCACCCCTGCATCTGCCCACGGAACCAGACCCGTCACATTTGGGCCGATTGCAATTCTCCCAGGAACCGTCTCCCGCGCGATCCTGGCTCGATTGCGCGGTATCCAATGGGAGTGGTTGCTTACTCCCGACCTAGTCAGCGACCTTGGCCGGAACGCAGAGCTAAATTCGCTAGGTGAGACTAGGCCGGGGGGAATAGATTGGGTAGGCATCGAGCCGAGGGAGAAATCGCATCGTCGAAGGTGCCGGGCCAAAGGCTGGTCAGGGTGGCTGCTGACATTCCCATCTCAACAACGCCGCCGGTTCTCCCGCCGGGTTACTCCCCGGAGGCCGTGATTGGTGCACTGACAGAGATCGAGATCGCGGGTGGAGTATTGGTTGGCGCCGATTGGCTGGGTTGCAATCTGATCGATATTGGGGATAATTTAACCGGAGATAATCCCTTTGTTTGTTGGGGAGGTGAGGCGGGGTCTGCGGGTTGAGTTGGGTGGTGTTTCAGGGGCAAATTAAGAGACAAGTGATGTGCACAGCTTTCCAGTATTGTTTTGACTGATATGTCCTTTGAACAGATGATCGATAATGTCTAAACACGAGGAACGTGATTAGTAATGCGCAACGCACACGGTTTCGGCCGCGAGGCCCGAGTGTTGCCCGGATGTCGGCTGGTTTTACGAGTCAGTTGTCTCAACTCGACTAATCAATTGATGAGCGCGTTTTTGGTGATCAATATAATCTTCTTTAGCTATAGAAGATGGATGTTAAGACTTTTTAGCCACCCTGCAACTATAGAGAGTTGTTGCTACGTCGAATATCTTCTCTTGCGGTAGATAACGGCAAAATACGAAGTCGATGGATCAACGTTGACCTGTGTCCGCTCCGGTGTGGATTCAAGGGCGTGTCATGTTCTGTCCAGCGGTGCGATAAAACTGCTGCATAATCTTGTGATTCATCTCATCGAGTAAAGTAAGGCCTGATGCATGAACATTGTTCGTTCATTACGTCCAGGATTTATGATAACAACCTCGAATTAGAACCAATGATCCACAGCATCTGAGTCGGAAGATGATGCATGCATAGAGATCATCGCGCCGTTGCGCTACTCAGAAACTGCTGTGAGAGCCTGTGATTCAATGCGATGAGGCCTAACACTGTGACAGTAATATGTGGATCCGATGATCTGCAGTTGGGCCTTCCAAACAAGAACGCAAGCCGGTGGTCACTCAACCTCTTCCGTGCTGTACTGTACCTACAGTAGGGCTCCTAGACCTAAGCAAGACTACATCCACAACCATTCTGCCTGGACCTTTATCACATGATAAAATCGGCATTCTTCCACCCCCTTCACCGAGAGGTCATGGTACCTTTCTATTTCCATAACGTTTTCTATAACTCGCTCTTGCAGACAGCACCCAGCCAACCTCTGCAGCATCCCCCGGCAAATGCCGTCAAACTAGACAGACGTCTGTGTCGGATAGGAGGCTCTCACTCCCACCGCGCCATCAACCCATTCGCCTCGATCTCCCTGTCAAATCCCACCAGATGCGTCGAATGACACCACGGCTTGACGGCCTCCTCCTTGCGAATCACCCCCGCGAAGAAACGGCACCACTTCAGCCGCGGATGCGCCTCGTTGATCTGCTCGCGCGTCGTCGCATGCACCAACCCCTCAAACCCGGACACATGGGGATGGTACCCGGTATTATCGTAGGTCGTCGCCAACTGGATCAGCTGCCCGATGAAGGTGATCGCGCCGTCGACGCCCATGTCCTCGTGCCGGATGATGGCCTCAGCGGCGGCCTCGGCCTGATCGGCGGTCGCGCCGAAGTCCTTGAGGATGGTCAGAGCCTTGATGCCGCCGTAGATGTCGAAGGACATGCGCGTCGCGGTGAGATTTTCTGCTGCGGTGCCCAGGTCGTGCAGCAGGCAGGTTAGGGCCCAGGTCACGGGGTTCAGGGTCGCGGCGTGCGAGGGGAATTGCTGGTGGGTGATTACCATTCCTGTCGTCGGGCAGCGTGAGCTTTGGGTGCTGAGTTGGAGTGGAGATGTATGGTGGGTGGGTGGAGACTGGGCTTACCGTAGTAGTAGACCCGCATGGAGTGGTTGAAGGTCTCCGGGTGCAGGACCGCGCTCGCGTATTCCGTTGTCTTTGCGACGACGGGGTTGTCGGCGGGGAACTTGATCGCGTCCAGTGAGAGGGGTTTGACCTTCTGGAGGAAGGACTGGTCGTTGAAGATCGCGCCGGCGTCGGCTGGGGTGCTGGTCCAGCCGTTGGCTTTAACTTCGTCGTGGTGGCACATTTTGCAGATTGGAGTTGGGTGGCTTGATGGAGAGATGGTTTGTCTCAAGATTGCTTGGGTTGACGACTTCTGTGATCTTCTAGGTCTACCTGCTGGTATTTATACGTGTAGCGATGGCGGTTGTCTTGCGAGGAGTATCAGGATGGTTGGCAACAAGATTTCCCAATCGGGATGTCTTTTGGAGTGGGGCCACGCTGAAAAGCTGCGTCATATCGCGCATAAAATCTGGAGAAATGAGGAGCAAGGCTAGCATATCTTACTCATCTGCCTTCCTTTGCGGGGAGTCTTTTGGAGTGGAGTGCTGGTGCTATCCATGGATCGTGTTCCCGCTCTCTCCGAGCCCGTCCGCAGCCTATTCTCCACGGAAAATAACTTCCTTTTTAGGGTTGTACTTGTACAATTGGGGATGTGTTGAAGTCGTCGCCACGCTGGGACTTTTATCCAAATTGTGTTGCACCCCTCGCTGTGTTCCATGAGACGAATTCTCTGCGACAGCTCAAACTTGTCATCTTTCGGCTACATACCTTTCATCGACAATATCAGATATGAGTGATTCTCCAGAAAGGAATAAGCAACTTCTCGGTCCAGGCATCGGGCCAAATTCGCGTTCGCCGCACCTAGCAAACCCAGTGAGCTTTCAACGTTGCCTACATAATGATCTCATAATAACGTTGAGCTGCAGGGTCCACTGGGATTCGGTGCCTTTGCAACAACCCTCATGACCCTGTCATTCTCTATGATGGGGTTTCGCTCCGTGTCCAACCAGACCGTGTTCATCGCGAACCTCTGCTTTCTAGCCGGCATCGGACTTCTAATCTCCGCCCAGTGGGAGATGGTCAAGGGGAACACCTTTGCCTACACAGTCCTTGGTGCTTTCGGTAAGTGCTTCGCACAATACGACATAGAAGATCGCTGAATCATAGTAAGCATTCTATTATGGCGGATACGGAGTGCTGCTTATGCCACCATTGGGTATCGTCGACTCGTATGGAGGCAAGACTGCCGAGTATTATAACGCGTTCGGACTGTATCTGGCTGGTATGTTTGCGTCTCCGGTATGGGCTGAGAGACCCAGGATCGATTGATTGAATATGGTGTCGCTAACTGCGAAGATAGTATGGTCAATCCTGAATTTCTTTTTCTTCGTCGCGTCCTTGCCCACGTGAGTCGGGTCCTTTCAATCTTCTGTATACAGCAAAAGCACGGGAATCATTCCCGTTACTGATGCTGACAATAGGAACGTCGTCAATATCACGATCTATGGTGCTTTGGAGCTGAGTTACATCTTCAACTGCACGGCGAACTTCATGATGGCGGATGGTCATTCTGCCCTCGGAGACACATTCACCACCATTGCGGGGGCGTTCGGCATGGTCTCCGCGCTGGCAGGATTCTATATGCTGGGCCATAATCTCTGCCAGGATGCGCTGCCCTTTGAGATCCCGCTTATCCCCACCTCTCGCGTGTTCTTCAACTCGCAACGTAGCACGGTGTGGAAATGAGCTCGGTTTCTTTCGGACTTGGATGCTAAATTGCGCCCAAGTATGATGCGTCAAGTGCAGGCCTTTGAATCTACCTCATTTCTTCTCATGTATCAATGAGGATTTACAAGAACACACTGAGAGAGTCGGGCGGCAGTGACCTCAAGGCTCACTGCTCGCTCAACAGAAGCTGGAGATATTGTTCACCTAGCCAAAGAAATGAGTTTCTCGACTTTGATACTCGAATAGACCGCCTGTATCTACCTTGTTCTCAGAACATAGCATACTAGAACTTGATAAGCTTTTCAGCGTCAACATATAGCAGATGTCCATCGGTCTGTAAGCTAGTATCTGGGATTCACTGGAGCCAGTTGCAATAATCAGCATGGATTACATTTCTGCATAGACCTGTGCTACACATCCACTTCAAACCGGTTGCTCTACAGAGCTATTGTCCCACGACAATAGCGGCTTCTTCGTTTTTCTAGATCCTCTTACTTTTTGAGATTTAAAACTACAGTCTCGTCCTATGTTTCCGGATAAGTTAATGTACACTACAACAAACCATTCCCAGCCTCCGCTCATCTTCGCCATGTCATACTATTCAACCCCTCAAACTTCAACCTCCCCGCTACCACTCAATATCGCACACCACGTAGTCCGGAACACACCCCTTCCACACCAGCCACCTCTCAAGCCCCCTAGAAGAAATTAAACATCTCGTACCCCGAAACCCCCTCAAAGTCCACCCCACCTACCGACCCATTCACCGTCCCAATCCACCGTCCATACCCCGGCTTGGCCAACGTCGCCAGGTTCGCCGCGAGCTCGGCCTCGAGTACGCCGCCGCGCTCCTCCCCGAGATCGACCTCGATCCGGAACCCCTGGGGCAGGGCATCGTCCCCTTGGGGCGGGAAGCTCACATTCGCGCCCGTCGGACGCACCTTCATCGCGCCGCACGCGGCGTGCAGGATCTGACCCTGGTACGCCACGTAGCCGCTCGCGTACTCGGTCCGGTTGGGGTCCAGCGCGTCCAGCCAGACCAGTGAGTACGGGCCCATGCGCGCGTGGCCCCAGTACCAGCTTCCTACGGCTGTGGTGAAGGGTTTGACACCCCAGTTCTATCGTGGTGTATTTAGTGGAGTTTTCCAGAGGGGTGGGGCGATTAGGCAAAGGGCGGGTGAGGGGACGTACCTTATCGTGGTATCCAGTCCCAGTAAAGCTCAACGGCGAGCCTTGCACCGTCATCTTGACCGTCACGTCGGCGTCGGGGACGGCGTTGGCCCAGCCGACTCCCGGGAGAACCTCCAAGGGCTGGTTGGCGCGCTTCGGGCTGCAGGGGTAGTGCGGGGGCGCGACCTGCATTCATCATCAGGGTTCGTTGGCTTGTATTCCAGGAACGGTGCGTAATTATTGAGCGGGCACGCTAGGTTAGGAACTACTGACCGAGTGCATCGAGAAGGTTCCCTCGAAGCCCAGGTGACTCGCCTCCAGCGTGACGAGGTAATCGGACAGATCCGGGCTGCCGGCCCAGGACGCCCCCGTGCCGGGCCAGCGCCCGCTCGACCCGTCGCCCATGGTGGCCACGAGAGCCGCGTCCTCGGCGAACAGGAAGTCGGCGAAGGTGGTCCCGTTGGCGAAGGAGCCGGAGATCTGCACGAAGTCCACGTTGGTGAAGTTCTCCGTCACGCTGAAGCCAGACTGGTTCGCCTCGAGGAAGAAGACAACTGCCAGCGAGGAGACCCCGTCGCTGCCGATCGCGTCGAAGTACCACCAGTCGTAGGTGGTGGCATTCACGGCTTGGACTTTGGGGCTGTCGAAGCCGCTATCGCACGAGGTGAAGCGGCCGTTAGCTGGGCCGGCTTGCGCGGTGATTGGGAAGGATTGGATGCCTGGGAGGGGCGGGCAGACTTGGGTTGACAGCACCGGTCCCAGGAGGAGAGGGAGGGTGAGGAGGTAGCCGGTTGATGAGACCATGTTGTCAAAACTTTGCGGGGATGTTTTGAGGTACTGTTGCTCGGTTGGAGAGGGATTTGGTGGGCGAGGATCGGTGCAGCTATTTATCTTCTGCGATGGAGTTCGAGGTCATGCCCTGGCTTATGGATCGACCTATGTCGGCACACGGCAATTCTTGTGATGATCTGCATGAGAATGCTCTGGATCTGAGGTGAGATGGTGCCCAACTCGTTGATTTGACAGATGTACAGTGCATGGCCTGTTCTGGCATATGTCTCTATCGTCAGCCCTGGTCCATTTGTGAAATCTGAGCATACACAAGCATAAAGGCTGTGATTGTTTCGGTTTGATGCACTGCACAACGCTATTAGCGTGGGTATACGTCATATTCCACAACCCTTCCTCAACTGATTGTTATGATAGCTTGTTCTAGAATCTCAATTCTATGAAGCTGTGGCTCAGCTGCGATACTTGCCGATAAAGTTGCCTTATGAAATATGCACTGATTATGCCCTTGTGGTTCGGACAGTGCAGGTGCCGGTCTCTCAAGCACTGCATCCATGGGTAGTTCCAGATTTCCGGGGAGGAAGTAGGGTTCGGGTGAGCGGCCCCCCCACTTGCGAGTCGCAGTTTCGACGTCGCAGACCCACATCTTCGTTTTGCCAGATCCGGGTCAGCATCTGTGTGCTAGAAGTTCGACTTACCATCGACTTAAAAGATGGCGCTGATCCCTACGTAATCTCAGAATCCTCCAGAATCTAAGCACGTCCGCTCTTTCTCGAATACTCTCACACACTACACCACCATGACGTCTCGCTCATTGCTCATCACCGGAGTCTCTGGTTATATGTAGGTCATATCCTGCGCGACAATTAAGAAAGTATCTGAATCTCAACGGCCACAGTGGCGGGACAATTCTCTCCTCCATCCTTCAAACTCAAGAGCAATGGACCAAACAGCTGGAAATTGCCGCACTTGTGCGAAGCGAGTCCCAAGCCAGCACGGTCCAGAAGCTGGGCATCAAGCCGGTGATGTTCTCCAGCTTCGATGAGACAGATGTACTGGAGAGAATTGCCCAGGACTTTGATGGTGAGCTTACCCATTTTGACATACTCCGTGACCGTTGACGTTGAACTAAGCCCACACCTCCGCTCACAGTCATCATCCACGCCGGCGCAGGCTGGCATACCCCCTCTGCCAAAGCCCTAATCACGGGCCAAGGCACCCGAAAGACCGACACCAACCGTCCAGCCCACTACGTCCAGATCTCAGGCACCTCCAACCTGAGCGACCGACCCCACACGGACGGCTACACCGACACCCACCGCTTCTCCGACGAGGAAGACATCTACTCCTTTGAGAAGTACCGCGAGTCCCGCGAGGCATACCACCAACGCACCACCGACATCACCGTCGTCGAGACCGGCGAGGCAGTCGGCGTGACCACCTACATTGTCATGGCGCCGACCATCTACGGCCAGGGCACCGGGCCGTTCAACCGCTACTCCATCCAGCTGCCCGCCATGATCGCTGACGCCGTCAGCTCGGGCGCTGTCAGCGTCGTGGAGCAGGGAAATACCATCTGGAGCCATGTCCACGTCCAAGACGTGGCGGGTTTGCATGTGACCTTGCTGCAGAAGATTTGCACGGGGATTGAGATCCCGTCCGGGCGCAGGGGAATCTACTTCTGCGAGACGGGCGAGCATACACACCGCGAGTTCTCGGAACGGTTGGCGAGAGCAGCTCATGAGCTGGGGGTGTTGCCGACGGCGGACGTCAAGGAGATTACCCTGGATCAGGCGGGGGAAAAGTTGGCTCTGGGCAGTGTCTCGCGGGCAGAGCTGTCTTTTGCTGCGAAGTATGTTTCCCTCCCTTCTGAAATCAATGAGCAGGCATAACAGGTGCTAACTCATGGTTTCTGTCAATTTAGTGCCCGAACCAAGGCTGTGCTGGGCCGTAAACTGGGTTGGACTCCGTTGCATGGCGAGGAATGGGAGACTACCTTCCGCACTGAAGTCGAGGCATTCATCAAGAATCCTCCGCCTGCACGGGAGATTCCGAAGTTTCTCAAGAAATAAGCTTGAGAGTGAATCACTGGTTGTATTTGATGTGCAGACTGACTGCACATCTGTATAGTGTAGCTCGGATTTGCAGTTGCTTCAGTTTCGATCCGACTAGTCTCCTATGACCATTGCCACACTGTACATATCCTAAATCACATGTCTTTCTCTACTGCATCAGGTCTCACTTTCTAGGCTCAGCTATAGTCATACAAGGCATTAGCGGCCTATTTGTATCATTCTATGCAGCCTAGATCACTAACTTGCATAATGGAATTTATGCACAGAATGCTGCATAAGATGTGTATAGCCCCACACGTGATGTGTTATGCAGTAAGTGATCCCAGGATGCCACGGCCAAGACCTTGGCCAACCCAGAATCCGACATCCTCCTCGAGATTCTTCCCATGCCGCTGCTTCGATTTGTATCAGATACAGCGGCTCAAGCTGCAGGTAGAAGTAACAACTTACTTGGATGATCGCAACTCGCTGAATGATGCCTCAACCCTCAACCCCCAAAGACTAGTCGATAGTAACGACAAAGGTCCCTCCTCCCTGGAACCCCTCAATCCATTCTCCACCCGATTCATCCAAGCCCACTATAGCCCATTACAAGATGAGCACCGCCGCAAAAGAGCGAAAGCGAGCAGCAGACCGCGAGGCCCAGCGCCACAATCGCGCTCGAACCAAGGCCTACATCACCTACCTGGAAAAGACCCTGCAAGATCTGTCCGGCCCAAGCGGGCAAGGGCAAGACACCCTCGGCCACCAACTCGCCCAGCAGCAGGAGAAGATCAACCACCTCCAGGAAACCCTGCGCAAGATCGCCCGTCTCGCCCAAGACGCCGCGAATCCACTTTCTGCTTCATTCTCTACTGCTTCGGATCCAGCCGGGCCCCCGACCGCCCCACCTCAACCTACAGTTGAAGAACCCCTTCCCACCAGGGCATGCAACATCCTCCCCGCCGCCACCGGCTTTTTCGGACTGGACCTGATCTGCTCCGACCGCGAGCGGAACTATCTCGCGGTGCTGGGGAGCGCCGTGACGCTGGTGCAGTGCTGTTCGCCTGCTCTCTCGGAGAACCCGATTTCGAGTTCAGGACCAACACGCGATGACGATTTCTGCATTCGCGCCGTCGTCGACGGCTGGAAGGTCGCCACGGCGCGAACTGAGGCCGATGTGGTCTGGAGTCTCCTGCAGGCGATCGACGAGGGCCTGTTCTACCGGACCGATCCCGTGACGCGGATTGCGCTGCTGCGGATCATGAGGTCCATGCTGTTGGTTAGTTCCAGCCTCCCGTCGTACGCAGGTACCTACTTACGCGCCTCAAGCAAAGGATGGGCGTTGCCCAGGAAGCTTCCTCGCTCCCGGAGTATATGTTCGCCACGTAGGTACACCTCTTGTCTGAAGAGGGAGCTTGCAAGCCTAGTTTACTGAGAGTCCTGCAGCCCCGTGCAAACGAGTGTCCCGCATCAGCCGTTCCTGGACTTCTTCCCGTGGTAAGTAACGCACTTTTGGCGCTGACGCTTGAGTCTACGTCTGATTCCCATAGGCCGCAGTTTCGAGATACCTGGATCGTGAAAGGCATGGAGTACGCGGACGAGAACTGCGCCGCGTCGTTTGGCGCCCGGATCCGCTTCGAGTGGCCATTTGAGCTCCGCGATGTGTACAAAAGGAACGTCCTGACTGGGACGGTATCCTTCTCCGCGGAGTTCGAGAGCCGGTACCGAGATCTGGGCAGCTGGAGGCTTGATTCGGAGGGGGACTGGCTGCGGTGGTCGTCGGAGGCTTATCCCTGTCCAGTGCTGCCGGAGGAACTGCTTTCGCTTTCGCTTTCAGGAGATGCGCATGAATACGATGGAACTTGAAGATGGGCAAGCTTGGGACAACAATCGCACACGGTCCCCATATATGTTTAGCTACCAAGCAAGTTCCGGATATCTGAACGTGAATGCCCTACCCGACTGGCCAAAGTGTGCCACTTGGTCCGCCTCTGGATCTCAGGTTCGCTGGGATCTCCATGCGCCGCATCCCTCCGGAGCTCTGTGTCTGCATTCAGAAATGGAATTTGCAGTCCAATGCCGCCCCAACATTGTGGCTATCATCCATGCCCGCAGGCAACCCGGTCCTCTTCAAGCCCTATGTGGTACCTCTTGGGATCAGTCTACAGCCTTGGACCGAATGCAACTCGAGCAATGATCCCACGAAGATTCTAGACAATGCTGTCGCACAAGAAAGGGTAAAAGAGAGAAAGAAATGCAAATTTTTAGATTTTTTGAAACGCTCAGTCTGGGTCAGTAAGCTTGTAGGGTTTCAATCTCACTGCCCATAAGTGGTAAAAGTGGTATTCGACTCGTAGCTGGCGGCGGCCGGGAAGCCGACTATAGGAGCTCTCCGCCCACCTCTATGAAATAGCTTTACAAGATTCATGCTTGAGACTAGATAAATCATTCCCGGGATCTTGAGCCTGATAATGATAAATTTTTTCTTGACTGTGAATTCTAATATGCAGATATTGTAGGTGACAAAGTGTCAGGCAGCCGGGCGCCAAAGCCTCCTTCGTCATGAAATTTCTTTCCGATCAGGACCCATAGGTCGAAAGGAAACTCCCCAAAAGGAATAGGAATTACAACGTCACCCAAGAAGGAGTTCAAAAAGAAAGGGGAATAAGGAGAAAAGACGGGATTCTGTTTCGATACCTGCGAAAATGATGAATGACACCAAACTGGCAAAAAGAAGCGTCCAGGGAGAGGATCGAACTCTCAACCTCACGATTAACAGTCGTACGCGCTAACCAATTGCGCCACCCAGACAACTTGTTGTACAATCCATTGTACCTGCAAACTATATGATTATAATGCACTAGTGACGCCTCAGCGCCACTGTCACCATCTTATCATGGTAGGCGCAGCTCGCGCTCAACTCTATATTTGAATTCGAGACCGCGGACCGGGAAAATACGATCATCTACGCCTACTACACCTCTTGTGAAGGAATACTACCGGGATCGGTGGTGAGGTGATTGCTACATCGTTTCTACGTACTCCGCACTTGACGGAGACTACGGAATATATTCCTCTCGCTACCTGAACCGAGGTGATAATGCTCGAATGCGCGTTGGTTTGATAGAAGACTTGAAGACTAGATTACAATGACAATAAGGATTTTGATCGGGTGCAGCTACAATGTCTTTTCCTCTCAGCTGCCTTTACTCAATGAGAACCTACTGCGATTAGGCCATACCCAGTTGCACGGAAAACATCGCTGCTTGGCGATAGCTCGAGTGTGCAATTGCTAGGAGAAAGTAGTGTACTAGAAAAAAGTATCTCAGATTCAATGGACCTGAATGCCAGAGCCACCGAATTCATCAGGAGATTGCCCGAAAACCAACTCCTACCGAAGTTCCAGCAGCGTGGCACGCAGTCCGAAAATGGAGAACATATTCAGCTCCTCCCGACTCATCCAATGATCTTGAGAAGAGTCCCTCGTGGCTCCCGCCATACTCCTCGTGCAGTACAAAATCAGAAACGGAAGCTCGCAATTCTACCCTCGAGGCTTCTCAAGTGCGCTGTAGGACTTCCGCCAGAGCAATACCCCTCCAAGCATCACGCAATATATCATAGTAGAGTTGTACATACCGAACTGAAAATTACTACGACATAACGCGAGCCTGTTCTTTTCAGCATTTGCATACAGCCGTGCAGGTGCATCGCGCGTCTCTCGCCCGAAGAATGCAGCATGCACACGGGACGATCACTGCGAAGTGTCAGGCTACGCTGACCCACTGCGGTGGACCGCATGCGATATGCGAGGTTAATACTTCTAATGTTCTGAAGCAGTTACGGATAGACGACACGCAGTACTGTACTCCGTCGCAGCGTAGGTAGCTTCAGCCCCGACAGTGGCACAGCTCTACCCCTCCTCGCTCTGGTGAGCGATTTCCGACCGGTCGCCCTGGTGACGGCTAGTGAGGGGCAGGCAGCCCCAGCGGGGCAGTCGGACCCTCTGTCGCTCGATAGTCGATGCGTTAGTCGGTCGATAAATCGGGAGGATCCATTTTTGGGGCTTGACCGCTTCAAAGTGGCCACGTTGAGGTTGGATGCCGCGTTTGAGAGGTCTCCGTCGACTCGTCGAGGATTGAGGGGTGATCGTCGGAAATGGGCTGATGGGCCGATACACCGCTATCTCTATCACAAAGGGAGGGATAAGAAGCACTCCCTGTGTATAGGACTCCGTACGCTCCGTAGACAGCAAAGGCCAAGCTGTGCCGTGTTATGGAGTGTCAGGACTCAGGAGTCTAGGTTCTGGACCAAAATCTGCCAAGCCACCGACCCCTTCGCAGCGAGTCTTCCATGCCTTCCACACCGCTTCGCTGGCCCCATTGTGGGAGGGGTAACCCTCGTCGGGAAATTGGGTCATCTGGCGTGTGCCGATCCCCCTCCTTGCGAGTCAATTCGGAGAATTTGCTCGCATCTGGCATAAGAAGCACACAGTGATGTCGATGATCGCGAGCTCATAGTCGATCTTTTGACTCCGATGACGACAGGGGCAACAAACGATTGTCTCTGTAAGAATGGGCTCACCGAAGCGAGAGTGTGGCGGTGCAGCCTGAGTCGGTGGCTGCAATGGCATCATTTCAGGGGCTGTTGAGGGAGCATGGACTGGCAGCGCATGGAGGGGCCGAGCCGGAGCCTGTGACTGGCTATTGATGGATACCCTCGTATTGAGGATTACCGGCTTAGTCATGCATTGTTGCTGCGAGTGCGGGCTCGAGCCCCACCGACCTCAGCCACGGATTGCATCCAAGACCCAATGAAAGCTGCCAAGGAACAAACGGAGCTTGTCTTGTCTTAGCTTGCCTTGCCAATTCCCAATGATTTCGGGCGTGGTGGACTCTCTGACCGTTCAGCCACTTTCGTTGGTCTCCAGTGGCGCCCAGAATAGCAGCTGAGTTGCTGCTGCTGAAACTGAAGGTAATTCGATCTGCGCCCCTCCATGATATCACCGCCTCATCGTTGACCCCCTCCCCTCCTCCTTCCCCTCTGAAGGAGAGGGGGGCGACCCGAAGCGCCGTCAGAAAACATATATCTACCCCTCTCCCACCCCCCTCCATGCTCCTTTCTCTTTCTCATCCATCAACAACTTCCTCTACTTCTCTACCACATTTTCCACACAAACTATCATCATGGGTTGGTTCGGTACGTTGTCTTGACAGTCTCTGCTTCCACTCAACCGTCAGACACTAATTCCTTCCTCTTCATTATAGACTTCGGCAGCGATCAGCAGCAGGCTCACGAGGAGCTCACCAACTACGGTGGCTTCGACGGCTCTGAGGAGCACAAGGCCAAGTTCAGCCACGAGCTCATCGCCGGTGCCGCTTCCTACGAGGCCATGAAGTCCTTCGAGGAGTACCAGGAGCGCAACGGTACGCCTTCCCATGTCCTAGTCCACCCCACCCGTCTCACCAATCACAACGATACTGATTAATCCTCTGTTTACAGGCAAGCCCCAGAGCCACGCTGAGGCCAAGGAGATCCTTGCCGGTCTCGCCGGTGCCTTCATCGACCGTGAGGTCGAGACCAAGGGCTTGGACTTCGTCGACCGCGAGAAGGCCAAGTACCACGCCCGCCGCCAGCTCGAGGAGGCTTCCGCCCAGGACTACTAAACCGGTCAATCTGTTGCCAATACTTTTGTTAATTGAGATATCCAATCTGAATATATTTTGTTGAAACACACCTTGTGCTTTGCTTTGCTGTAATCGTGTCGAACTTTGGTAGTGGAAAGTAGACTGTAGATATCGCGGGGTTGCGAAAACGGCTACCATAGGGGGAGAAAGAGTCGGCGCGTTCGGAGCCTCCCTCCTTATCGGCAAAGGACTTACCCGGTATACGCTCGGTCCGTACACTGATCTCCTTCAAGGTAATAATCGGTCGATGGTTCTGGAATACCATAATTTGAAGGGCAGAAAAGACCGAGTATTGTTTCAACTACCGATCAACCTGACGTCGCTGAATTCCAAGCGAACAGCTCTCCCGGCCTTATTCGCCAAAGCGGTAAGCGCCGCTGGTGATATGTACGCAGGACATGTCTTGTACGGCGCACTGGACGAGGGCACTTGAAATAGACATTCGCCGCATACACGCACCCACACCTACACGACCTTCATGTCAGAGAACGGGAATTAGTTGGTCTAGCCCTCAGCTAGCATGTTCGGACAATGGCTTACCTTCGACAAGCACCATTGTGAGAACACCAACGCCCGAATCCTGGCCACTTGATTACACACACCTGCAAGCAACAGGAGGGAGAAGCTCAGAGCGCGAATATTGCGGATCCCTGAAGACCTGAGGTACAGTGCAAGGAAATTTCCCCATGGCCGAACTGGTTCCGAAAGCGTCGGATGATACTGATATGAGAGACTCGGAGCTGCGGGGCTTTTTTTCTGAATCTCGGGGTGTGTCCTAATCAGATCTGGTAAGTTGACAGGCAAGAAGTTGATCCTATTGACATAGTTGGCGTCGGATACTGGAGGGTTGTTATGGGTACACCCTGCAACTCTACCCCTATGTCCTGCATGAACTCACAGCGGAGCACAAAAGGAATTAGACCAACTGAGCTTTGATGCTGAATTCTTTGGGTAATTAGCTGCGGTCGGACTAATTCGAAGGTACCGAATCAATCAGGAAGCGGCAAGATGGACACCGTCAGACGCGACGGATCGAAGGTGGTGACGGTAGAAAGGTGCGGAAACTCCGGGGGAACTGACGAAGAGGTTTCTTGACGGCTCGCAGGCCTGACAATCCGAGTGCATGAGCATTCGGGTCAAAGCGGGACCTGCTCCTGTATGATCAGCGACCTGCTGTCAGCTTGGCATCCTCAACAAGCAACGGACCCTTGCAACAAGTTTTGTTCCTCTTCTGGATCATGTCAGGTCTCTCACTGAAAGCATCGGCGCGGTGCCGGGAAGGCCAATTTCGACGAGGACAGGCTTCAGGTGTGTAGCAATCCCAGCTGCTCTGCCTCAAGAGTGAACAAGAGCTTTGCGTGGTATACGAGGAGTAGGAGCGAGACGATTCGAGACTTGTCTGGGTGATCGGAATGGTTCTAGAGCTTGACTTATCAATGCCAGCAAAAGGATGACAGTACTATGGGCATAACCTGGAATAACTCGAACGAGCTTACGTTGTAAGAACGGACCTTCGTACCACGAGGAAGGTAGCTGTGTCACACTATGCAATCACGGAGTGTATCTCATCTGCGGTTGCCGATGGCTGTGCATCACCTCATATGCACATGTCGAAGAGGTAGTCATTTTGATCTCGATAAAGCTCCATGACCTCACCGAGTTGAGTCAACCGCTTAGCCTAGTGCCCGGGATATAAAGTGGAGTCTCGTTGATCGACAGTCGAGCGTTGAGATCATCAGCCTTGAATCATGTTGCATATGGTAACGCGTAAGAGCATGAACTCGAATCATGTCAAACTTCCTTGATTATGAGGTGGTCTGATGACGCGGTTCGGAAGATTGAAGATGTAAATGGAAGCCAAAGAGGAGGGAGGAGGGATTGTTATGAGCCGGGAAGTTGCATGCACTGGGCACATGACTACTTGTACAGTACTTTGCAGTGTTTGACCACTGCCAGATCAGCGATGATAATGTACTACCTGATATAGCATATAGCCTTTTGGTCTTCCAACCACGCATTATAGTATTTTAGTCTGACCATTAGCAATTTCATGATGACATGAGTAAATTGCTACAAAGTGGATACCCACAAGTTGTGTCCCCGTTCCCTGACAACATTATAGACTAAATCGATTCGCTGGATGTCGTAGATAGCAGCGACCCTCTTACAGTACTATACCTCTACTACCCCGGAACATCGCATTGTATTCATTTCCTGAGCTCTGATCACCATTCCCTCATAGGTAAATACTGCTCCGTCAAGATGCATCACATGCGAACCTCATAATCCTTGGTGCAGAACAGCCTTTATGTTATGTGGAAAACAATTCCAAGCTCTATCGTCTTTTTCCCAGGTCAAAAAGGTAAGCCTGGACTTGTGGATAGCCCCAGGGATGCCTCAATCACTTCTATTCTCGAGCACGCGAGCAGTGAAACACTTATTTCCGGGGACTGAGTGAAGGCAGCTGATAAGGACGAAAAGGAGCTTAGAGGGTGATTCGAACAGACGAAATATCGGCTTGACAATCACAGGAAGAGCCACTGAGTTCTCAAGGACTTAGAATGTTCTGACTGGAAGTCGAGCGGAGATGTACTCGCAACCTGAATAGTTGGAGATTAAGCGTCAGTGTTCTACTTTCTCCAGATCATAGTGAAAGGAAAATGAAAGGAAAGAACCTGCGCGAATTCCCATGAAACAGAAACAGCTGCCTTTATACCATGGTCACTGAAGCAAAAGAGGAACACCGTGTTCGACAACTTTCGGTCGGCTGGAAGATGATGAGATGAAGATGAGTTGACATCTCCCTTGAGTGTGGCAGAAAGTGTCTGATCATGCCAGAGGATGTAGTCCAGGCATGTTCTTAGATTCTAGCAGTGTCATAGTCAGCACTAATCAATTCAGTCTCCACCAAGGACTGCCTGTCCCACTGGTGCAGATGATCGCAACACTTCGTTAACACTACTGTGGTAGATGAGATTGTGTTTACTGCAGCATTTCAATCCCAACTGTTGGAGGCAGTGACTGCTCAGTGAGAGAAGAGGCCAGAAGTTACAGTGAGGATGGAGTGAGCGGGAGAAGCAAAGCTTTCGCATTAGACTTGACTCTAAGGGGGTATAAGTGCTCGGCCTTCTCTCCCCACGGTCCCGCGGCCCAACAATAACTTCCTCCTCCTCACCTCTCTCCCTGAGCATCAAGTCTTCCTTCATCTGGAAATCTTCAACCAGCATTCGACGACGAGTTCTCTTCAACGTTTTCATCATCAGCAGCAACCTAATTACTCGCTGATTCCTCATTACTACTACAAATACAATCAAGGCCACAGCCATTTCCATCATCAACACCATGGTAAGCCAGCCTGTTCTTTGACCACCATCTGAAATCCGCCGGTACCATCAGCAGTCTATGATTGCTGAAAACAATAGGTCCGGGGCGATCATCTAACTAAAAACGGAGAGAAGGAGTGCGGGAGATGTCGGGAATTGGGGCACTTCTCGAAAGACTGTCCTCGTAAAGTGTTTTACAAAGGTCTGATGGAGCTCGTAAGTACTTTCGTCCACCATATACTTTTAAAGTAAGCTTTGCTAATGCATTTGTGCTTACAGGGACGTCAAGCCCTCAAGCGTGAACGAAAGCAGCGATACGAGTATAGAAAGAAGAAGGAGAAAGAGCACCGGGAGAAGAACATGAAGCAGGACGAGAAGCAGGAGAAGAAGAAAGAGAAACACAAGAAGAGAAAGGAGGAGGAAGAGAAGGAGAAGAACGTGAAGAGACAGAAGACGAACAAGAGCAACTAACGTCTGCTGCGACTTGCAGAGATGAATTCGCTCTGCTCAGTGGTTTCTCGATGTTCTTCTTTCAAACGGAGATGTCCCGTCGGTACTGTTTTCTATGGAGCTTCAATCATTCGCGACCTGAATCACTGGTCTGAGGCTTTTATCCGGATTGAAGTGAACTGGTTTTCTACCTCAATCACATTTTCCTGTATGATTGAGAGCGTCGGCAATCCTAAAATTGCCCCCATGAATGTCTAATGCTATGGACCCATATACAAAAGAAGCATTGAGAGCACTTGCTCTGAATGTATGGTACTCAATATCAAAATTGTTCGCCCAGCAGCGCGCTACCTAAGAGATTGGCATCCGTAGACCTGTCAGTGATCCAGTCTCAGGTGGCAAGGCATAAAGCTTACCTCAAGTGTCAGGATGGGTCCAGACACGCGAGTGCTGCACTGTACGATCAAAGAGAGAGCTGTGTATTTAAGTATTGCTTTTCTTTCGTAGGCTCTGATGGCAGTGCTGCGATACATATTTTCTGGTGGAGCGCGTGTGGTAGACGCTGCCTTCTTCTAATCTGTTCGGCCCCATCACACTTGTTCCTTCACGCGTCTATAGTTGTTCTTTCACACAATGTTCCCTTCGTTTCTGTGGGAAAATTGCGCCAAGCCAGTAACTAGTAGCGTAGGATGAGTGTAATGATACGTGGAAGGCCGTGGTCGTGCTGGCTTCTTCTAAGCCTCTACATGTCCCTGTACACGATTGTTCCTCCACGCGTGTTTATTTTCCCTCCAAACTGCGATTCATTCGAACAAACCGTCCTAGACGTGGACGTGCTGGGTGGGGTTCGCCTTTCTCTTGACCGCAATTTAGGATGCGAGAGTCTGCTCGGGACAGTGTGTTAGTTTACCAATCTCGGAGAGCAACTGGAACGGGGTTCACGTCCTGTTCAAGATCCCTAGCAGGTAATCGGGGTGGGCGAAAAAAGGGTCACGGTAGAGGTGCAGCCAGGATGGAGCTGAGATCTCAGGCTACACGAGGGATCCGCGTCGAAACATTAGACGCGTGAACAGGAGCCGTGGACGAGATTGCTTATCAATCCACACAGTAAGTTCAGTAACAGTTAGGATGATGAAATCGATAAGCCGGTTGCAAGAAATGGACGATAGGATGATAGCGCGTTGACAGCGAAGCAGCACAAGGATAGGTTGTGGAGTTGGAGAATTCAGGCGAACCTTTCATGCCGATGCATGCGCGAGGGCGCAGAAGCCAGTACTGGGGGCTGAACTGTTGGCTTGAAGGTCCAGGAAGATCCGAAGCCTTTGCTTTGCAAACACACTGCATCCTCGACTTATCACTAGGTACCTGCTGTATAATACGCTCAAGTACAATTTGATTCGTTGGCAACATTCAACGACGCTAGTCGCAGGTCAGCATCTCTTGAAACAAGAGCACCAAACAGTCGTGTTCACCAGAGATAACAGAGCGCGGAAGCAGTGTTGAGAAAGAGTGTGTACCTCCTTGCTCTCAATTAAAAGACCATAACCATCAAAACGCCCAAACGAGAACACGAGTCCAAGATATTTCAGTTCCCAGCTTCCAACTCTCGCTTCATCTTGGCTACCCTCGAATTTCTCCTCCTGCTGCTTCTTTTCTTTTCCCTCCTTCTGCAGTTCGAGTATCTTCTTTTCGCATCTTTCCAGATACTCCTCGTGCTCTCGCTTCAGGCGCTCGTGATCCTATAAGGATAACATATCAATGAGATATGTCTCAAGAGATTGGGTCAATGACCATTTGGTTACGGATACTGACAAGTTGCATCGAAGATTTATAGTCCGGGTTCTCGGCACAATATCGTTTGTATATGACCTGGCTCCTGACAGTGGGCGCACACTGGGCGGCCGTCATCAGTCTATTCGAAATTGCCCTTGGTTCAAAGTCCCGAATTAGCTCTCAATGGTACGGTCGGATGCTAGAATAGACGAGAGATGAGGAAAGACGATGTTACTCACCATGGTGGCAGCGAAGTAGCTACCGGAATAAAGTGAGAGAGTTGATTTGATAAAGTAAGGGGAAGGCTTTGAGGTTCTGGCTTGAGCGTGGGAACGAGAAAGGACTACAAGCTGAGCTGGTGGGAAAGAGAGTATTTGTACTTCCGATGATGGGCGAGAGGAAATCTGAATGAAGGCCCTGCTGCCACTTCCAGGTTACCTTACATTCCCTTTCACATATCTTGATTCAAGGTCTGTCACTTTTCAACATGAGACCGGAGTCTTCTGTCCTTTATATGCACGGTGCATCATCTTATAGCAGATGCTTGAACATGAATTCGGGCGCCTGATGATTCAGGCAGAAGCTGGACGGGGGACTGGTTCAACAGCTCGCGTCGCTGGACCCTGTCGTCGTGGCTGCCTTTTGCATTACACCTACACTGACTCACTGTTGAATGAAAATATTTATAACGAAGCAAGCTCTTTATTCTGTTCGGCTCTTATTATCGACTGAATGTTGAAGTTATCAAACAACAGATTTGTCCAGATCAGAAAGCCATCCCAACACCCGTCGTCGTCCATGCAGCTATTGCAACTCCGAAGGGCCTCTAAGGAAGAGTTGCCTCGAGCTACCCCGTGGAACTTATCTTAACCCACAAACCTGAAGCAAGGATAACAATCGAGAAGGCTTCAAGCCAGAATGAAGCTCATTGCTGAATTCCCGAGTCCGGGGACTCTTCTCACCACCGCTATCACGATGTCCACCTGCGGGAATTCTTCTAAGGGTAAATTTACATCGTTGGCCTACTACTGTGGTAGCCTACTGTTAGCGGGCACGGAGAATATTTTGATTACGTTCATCTGTACAACTATCGATGTTGATGGGCTAAACTGCCGTACTGAAAATTGTGGCAAGCCATGTTTCTAATCTGGTGCCAATTATCTAGGACCTGGCTGAGAACGGAAAATTTGATTGTGTCGGATGGCTATAGTGCTGCATAGTGTCACATCATGCCTAAAGCTGTGGGCTCTACGGAGCACACGTTTTCCGAAGGGGCAGGCTTTCAAGTCACGCTTTGTATTGACGAAGTTCTCCGTCCAAAAGCTTGAGATAAGTAAGGGCATTTGTCTTGATAGCAAAAGTTCCTTCAACATCCGGAGCTTTTCCCGATAGCAACCGGGGTATTGGGGCTTTATGCTAGACAGCCTATTATATAACCCGGGCAAATAGCCTCCCATGCTGAAAGACGATATTTGCAACATCGATCCAGCCGGAAGAAGTCAGCGACCACTCTGCAAGACGCAGGAAATCAGACCCACGTCAGACATTTTAACCTCCCACAAGGCGTCGAGCATCATGACTTTTTACAACGATCACCTTTCGGAGCTTGAGGAGACGTGCAGTTTAGGGTCTAACGAGACATGCGTTGTGGGACACGGCGACAGATACGTCTCAGAGTACGACGAGACATTCAATATGGAGTATGAGTATGACGAACCATACGATGTAGAGCACGGTGAGGCACGTAACTCAGGGTACGAGTATGATGTGAGAGACATCGGAGAGCACGATGAGCCATACGCCGAGCCATACGCCACGGAGCGCGACGAAACACACACCCTAGAGTACGACGAGACTTCCACCGCAGAACGCAACGAGACACTCGATCCAGAGTATGCGTATGAGACACACGTCTCAGAGTATGACGAATCATGTATTTCAGAAGATGCCTATGATGAGACATACGTCGGAGAGCAGGAAGAGACATACACCACAGAGCCCGAGGTCACCTGCAACCCAGAGTATACGTATTGGTATGATGATACCTCCGTCACCGGAAACGTCGAGCCATACGCTCCAGGACGGTTCAACAACAGATTCCTCGAAGAGCACGACGCGCCACCCAACTCAGAGTATGAGTATGACGAGGCATATATCTCAAACCAGGAAACATATTCCATCGAAGAAGAAGAGGAGACCATTCCCCCAACCTTCTCACCGCTAACCATCCGCGGGACTCGCACCGACCGAATTACCTTGGTTCTGCTCCCCATGCATGGCTGGCCCGATTGGGACTTTGTGACCTACCTCGTGGAGGCCCACTGGCAGCGCCAGCGGGATAACAACAACGCGTTAGATCCTACCAAGTCCCTAGGCGCTATCTTGGTCTTCCGGCTTCGCGCGCACATGCTCACCGAACTACTCGACAACCACCGTGCCCATAAGTTCGAGTGTAACGGGCAGGTTACGTGGAATTATAGGAGCCCCGCGTATCGTGATGCGCTGATTGCTTTCTGCCGCCACATCTATCGGGACCATCGCTTGCAGTTCAACGAGCAAGATACGCAGCCTCGGTTTTATGCGACTCATCGTCAGCTAGTACGGAGTAGAAGTAGAGGCTCATCCGCTTAGCTGGTGATTTGTGCCTTCAAAATCACTGAAATGAGAAAGGTCAAGATGGAAGGCATGAAATCAAAAGAATAGTAAACAATGTCATATCAAATGAATGGTCTCTACGACAGATGATTTCAGGTATATGCCATCGGGTAGTTCGGCTGCTGGAACGGGCGCAGCCTGCTGGGCCTGGTAAAGCTCTTACAGTCTGTACAGCATAGGATCTAACGACAGAGATATGCGAGGTTCCATCTTATGTAGTCTAGAAAACAAAGAAAAGCAAGAAGAATAGAAAGCAAAAGCTATCAATAGAATAGAGACTGCCTCACAGCAAACCATATAAAGCACAGTAAGTAGTGAGTGTCTTTCTTCTTCGCAAAGTTGTTTTCTCTTGGTGTCTATGTATCCTGACACTCATTTTTCCCAATCTGTTCATCTCTGGTTCAACAATGTTGGCTCATCTCAATCTGGGTACGGTCATGTCACAAGGCCTAGGCCTGATTAACAGGGCCATGCTAGAGATTTGATTGCACAATTATGGGTATGTCTTTAAATTTGTTCCGTACATACGACCACAGGGTGTGGAAAACAGGGCTTCCCGTCCGCTCAGCCGTACTTAAGCAACACGCCGGGAGGTTAGTAGTTGGGTGGGTGACCACCAGCGAATCCCTTCTGTTGTATGTTTTTGCCTTTTTGCTCAGCAAGCTATTTATAAAAACCTTGTCAGAGATTTTCAATAATAAATACTCGCTGTTCTTGGTTTTGATCTGCTGTAAGAAGAGCACCCGTGGCAGCTCCGATGAGCAGGTAGAATCGTTTGCGTGAGTGATGGGCCGCCGCCGGCGGCATTCCCAAGACAAGCGGTCAAGATGTTTGATTCCATGCAAGAGAAAACCCCCTCATCGTTCCCACTGCAGATTACTCAGGCAAGCAAACAAGAGACTCTGGTCCAGAAGAAGAAGAGCATATGAGGAGCGAAGGGTTCAGCCATAGAGTTTGGAAGCCAGTATGGCTCCAATATATGCACCTTTCTCAGCAATAGTTGCGGCGATCATGTATGACAAATTGATCAAATTGCCGGATGAGTCGTAGCCTTATGGGTGTGTCCCGATGAGGTGACAGGTGTTAGGATGGGTCATGCGTGCCACTCTTAATGACCCCTACACAACAATATGCAACTTTGGAGGAAGGTTCACCAGTTGTCCAATTTGTCCATCAGGGCTCCCAATGTGCCGGAGGATTGGTATTTCTCACACCCCGTGATTCTGCCACTGGCATGGCTCGGGGGATGATTCTGGACGCCAACGGTACCCTTGCATGGAACAAGCGGAATCGTTGAGGGGATTGAACCAGAGAATTCAGCATTTGAAGGCTCAGAAGTATCGAGGCGAGACATACCTGACTTACTGGATGGGGAATAATGAACTGGACCCCCCTGTCGGAGCAGGATACATGGTATGCAAGTCGTCTCCCTCTAACTGCAACACGCCAAGTAGCATTTTAATTCTAATTCAGCCATGCAGCTTGACAATTCCTATCGGGAACGGCATCAGATTCAGCCGGTTGGCTACCCAGCAGCAGACAAACATGAGTTCCACGTCACTCAGGATGGCACTGCAATCGTGATTGTGTACAGCCCCGTCTTAGGGGATCTGAGTCCGGTTGGGGGGACTTCTGGGTGGGTTCTCGACGGAATCTTCCAGGAAATCGACATTGAAACCGGAGCTTTGCTGTTCGAGTGGCACGCGCTTCAGCATTTTCCGCTCAACACCACCTTCCACGACCTCGACAGCTGTGGCCACAGGCGATGCGGATCGGACCCCTCAACCGCCTTTGATTTCTTCCACATCAACAGCATGGACAAGACCCCGACAGGCGACTACCTGATCTCCTCCCGCCATACCCACTCAGTCATCAGCATTGATGCCTCCTCGGGCGCGGTGCAATGGGTCCTAGGGGGATGCTGACCGAACTCGCGGACATGTCCGGGGGAGCTGCGACGGACTTTGCATGGCAGCATGACGCCCGGTGGCGCGTCCCCGACATGATAACCCTATTTAACAACTCCGCCAAGGCCGAGAACGACCGGATGCCAGAGGCACGGGGAATTGCCCTCAAAGCCGATGTCCCAGCCCACCAGGTATGGCTGCAGGCCTTCTACCGTCATCCTAGTCATCGCAAGTCCGGTTCTCGAGGCAATGTCGATATCTTGCCCAGTGGCAATGTTCTTGTCGGTTGGGGCCACAGTGCCGCCTACACGGAGTACACCGCTGATGGTACAACCATCCTCTGCAGTATGCATTTTAGCGCATTTATTCTATTCTCAGTGGGACTTACCAACTCCTATCGGATTTTCAAGGATTCAGGGGTCGGGCAGCCGCTTACAGACCCACCTGCAGTAGTAGTGGGGCGGCAGGTCTTTGTCAGTTGGAACGGTGCCATGGAGGTTGCGAAGTGGAGGCTAGAAGTCCTGGATGGCTCCGATCAGCTCACGTTCCATCCGGTTGTCACAGTCCCCAGGCAAAGCTTCGAGACGGCGATCGCTCTTCCATCTGGCTACGAAGCCAGCAAGTTTCGTGTGGTCGCTTTGGGCGAGGGAAATGAGGAGCAGGCAAAGTCACGGATTTTAGAGACTGATTCTTTGCCAAGAAGGTGCGCCACTCATCGTTATGTAATGACATTTGGTGTCGTACTAGTCGTCGCTAAAGCTTTTTGCTTATGCTAGTTTCTCGATTTCAAGGTGGATTCGCTCAAATTCAGATTCAACATCATCACTGCACGTCTAGAGATGAGACATCGTGGCCATACATAACTACTTATCACTTTCAACCTGCAGAGTAGTTTGGAGGCTCTCATACTAGTGGGTTTGTGTCGGCAGACGAGACTTCTCTGGGTTAGGGCTGATAAAGCCGTCCGGGAAAGCCGTCTTGGTCCTCTTTCAGACATCGCGAGCGGCCTTTGCCTCCTCTCCTTGAACAACATAGGTAATCTATGAGATGACTCTGGGTGGAATGAGACTCCGTATGCCTGTTGGGGTTTTCGTAATGTCCCCGGTGTGACCCTTCATGACCAATGTTTAGCTGCCTTGACGGTCGAGGAGCAGGAATCTGCCAGGAATGTTGGGTAGAGGATATATACTTCTGCACTACAACGCAGCTCAATTGCAGCCAACATCTGGAACCATACCACTGGGCTTATAACACACTGCTTCATGATGACATTGTTTCTTGAAAGTGTTGATACTAGACTATATTGGTATGGAATCTCGTTTACAACAAATATTGAATACTTACAGTGACGATTGAATCATAGACATAGTACGGAGTACAAAATGCGTTGTGCTCAAACTCAAGACAAACAAAAAAGCATGAAACAGCAAGCAGGGTCGGTAGCTCAGTGGTAGAGCGCAGGATTGCAGATCCCGAGGTCACGCGTTCGATCCGCGTTCGGCCCTTCATGCTTTTTGTCCTCCGCTCTTGCGTGTCAAACTGCCTGCTCTTGTCTTCGAGCCTTCGTCGCTCCGATTGGCTTGGTTGGTCGACACAAAGAACTTTTGCTTCCCCGTCCCAGTGTGCTGTATATTGTAGCTACCTCCGTTAATACCCGTCACCAACGCTGTATAGTGCCCGATGACTTTCAAGACACATTCCGGGTTCTTGAGGATGAATTGAGCTTTCATTCTTCAAAACCTGTCGCCCTGCCAGGCCCATTTTTACTAATCCGCATCTGGAGTAGAAGCATTGCTACAAGGCAAATTGTTAAACCCAATATGCTGCCTGCCCTGCATGTTGAGCTCACTCGACCCGAGCACGGCCGGCATGGCGAAGCGCAAGCGGAGTGTGGAAGGAAAGTCTTAGCGAGCACCCGATCTATACAACCACAACCATACACATATGCGCAGTTGACAACATAATTTAAAGGCTGGTTTCCTCCTGCCGATTAGTTTTTCACTCAATCCATACTCACCGACAAGATAACCATCAACGGCAACAATCCACATCCTTACAATGTCTTCCCCAGTCGACCTTCGCAACCCGGGCCGCCCAGTTCATGTGGGTGTTGTGTTGCTGAACACGTACGTGACCTGTGCAACTATCTGCCAATGCTTTCAATCCTAACATAACATGTTTCGATCTACAGTGTCACCGAACAACTCGACATCGCCCCAGTAGGCTTCTTCTCCGGCCTCGATCGCAACTTCCTGAAGGACATGCCCACCGAAATGGTGGACGATGAGTCCAAGGCCCAGGGGCTGGACTTTGTCTATCACTGGGTCAACGAGGATGGCAAGACGCCCGCCAAGCTGACGACGGGTATGAATGTATTGCCCACGGTAAGAATGCCCTTATATTCACACTGAATAGCATCCAGCTTACAACCTCGCCAGGACTCCTTCGCTACATGCCCGCCACTGGACATCATCCTCATTGGCGCAAGTAGAATGGGCTACAAAGCCAATGAAGCCGAGATGGCGTTTCTGCGCAAGAGCTACAATGATTGCACCGCCATACTCTGCGTATGCGGGGGCTTCGAGCCGGTGCTGAGTGCAGGGCTCATGGAGGGTAAGACCGCCACGGGACCGCGGTTCATGCTCCCGATGCTGCGTGAACTCGGGCCTGGAGTGAACTGGGTCGAGAAGAGATGGGTTCAGGATGGGAAGATCTGGACTACAGGTGCGCTGCTGAGCGGGTTCGATATGGTCGCTGCCTTTGGACGAGCGACTTGGGGAGACCGTCCTTTGGTCGATAACTTCATCAAGAAAGGAGGATTCCCCGAGCGCGACATTGATTACTTGGAGGGTTGATTTGATGCATGTTTGTGGCTTATGCGCATCGGGACTTGATGATCATTACATGGACGCTCATGAGAGGGCTGCGACGGCCACTGATCGTGTTTACAAGAGCTGTACCGCTACAGGAGCTTTTGCAGAATAGAATCTCTCTATTTTGTTCGAAAAGGGACTGAGATGCAAGGGGAAGTATGCGTTGTTCAAGCCGAAGTGCTTGATAATGCTTATGCGACATTCACAGACAAGGGTTATTGTATAAGAAGGATTCGGCAAAACCTTCCATCCGCAGGGCGGGTTGTCGCTTGCAGTTTCCCCCGCTTTCCGCCGCCTTATTAATACCCAGCCTACCGTAGCTATCTTAACTACAGTGACAGTGAGAAGTAGTAACCACAGCAATTGGAAGATGTCAACAGAAGATGAATATAGATTCACATGTCCTCGACCAAGAAGCACGCGAGCTTGCGATAAATGCAGATCACGCAAAATTCGATGCCTGCCATCTGAGCAACCGTCGAGCGCCTGCCGGAGGTACGACCGCAGCATGTCATCAACATCTGTCGGAGCTATACTAACGGAGAAAGATGTATCAAATTTGGTTACGACTGTACTCTTACCTCGAGCCACTATCCTACCGGCAATGATCATTCATCTGCAAACAACCCGTCGAAGAGCGGCAGCAGCGAGAGCCAGAATGAGGACGTAGTCGCCGCACTTTTCAAACACGCGCCAAAACACGGAGATCAATCGGTCCAGATGTGTGAGATGCACCGTCAAATAATGCGCAAGCAGCTACTAGGTGACGACACCTCCCGCGGTGCTCAGGGGACGAGTCATGGTGCTACTACGCCGCCTCCCACTCCAATCTCAACATCTAACGCTGAGTACAAGAGCCTCCGTGTCAGCATGAAAGAGGCAGATGAGCTTTTATCTCACTTCCAGTCGAAAAAGGTGTACTTCCCGTTCGTGGATGTACCGGATAACCTCACAGCCGCTTCCATGGCGAAAACCCGTCCCTTCCTATTTTTAGCGATTCTCACTATATCAACAACGCAGCGGCCGCTACTACAGAGAAAGCTCGATGAGAGATTCCGGCGGGTATTGAGTGAAAGAATTGTTCTTCAAGGGGAGAAAAGCCTGGACTACGCTCAGGGTCTGCTGGTCTATCTTGCATGGTTAGCAGACATGGGACTTTCATGGTGCGTGCAGTAGCTGACCTTGCTGTGGCTTAAGGCATCCTATACACATTCGACCATTGAACAATCAGCTTTTTCAGTACCTGCAGATACTTCGTAGTATGCTGTCTGATCTGCGGTTGGACCAGAAGTTACACGAAATGGCCGCGCGCAATGCCTGTCTCGGGTGCTATAACCTGTCCTCACTGTGAGCTGTCTTTATCTCGGACAAAGCCAAGCTGGCTAATGGTTCGTAGCCTTTCTCTTGGCTTTCAGCGACGCAGTGATTCCACGTTCTATGACAGTATGAAGTCTGCCATCGATGAAACCACGACAGAAGACAAACATCACAGTCATCAAACGTTGCTTTCCAGGACCCAGATGCTGTGGGAGACTGTAGGTCGAGCATCTGAGCAAGGAAGTGATGATCTTCCGAAATGCTCCCTGTCATTCCACCTGCAGATCCAGGACCTTGAGGGCAAGATACGCTTTGATGCCCCCGAGGCAGGTACGTCGGGACAGATGCCTGCAGTCAAGCATATTTGCTGACGAACGCAGCTTCGCTACGTATCTCTATACTGTCACTGAAAGTGGTTACAGCCTACCTCCCTTGGACGGTTCATAGGCCAAGCTCCAGCCATAGGTCATCTTCCGAGCCCTATGCACCTCAGTACCAACCAGCCGAACACTTGAAGGAAGCACGATCATGTTTGGCGGAGATTCAAGGCTTTTTCGACTACTTTCTCTCCATACCCCCTGATAAATATATTTACTTCTCCCTTAGGGAATGGTGTCAGCTAATCCTCACCATTAGCACTGCCTCACAAATATGCTTTCTGACTTATCCCTTCATGGATACCCAATGGTACGAGTTTCAGATCAAGGCCCGATCGCGAATGCAAATATACTTGGAAAGCCTCTTACACCGGATGTCGACCTTATCCGTCTCGAAGACTGGCGACGCCCCTGATATCTTTAGCATGTTTCAGTCGGTATTGGATGTCGTTCTGGAGACATACGCTGTCGCCAAGATCAACTCTCCTCTGCAGTCGATTTCAGATCACTCGGGTACTGAAGACACAGACTCTCCGAGTGTGGTTGAAACGAGCACGACATCCAGACGCTGTCCCATGATGAATGGGACCATCAAGCAGACGGAGTTCTGGGAGGCAGTACAGCAGAGTAATACCCTCTGTAGGGGAGGTACGGAAGCCAAAAGCAGTGGCCGGTATTCGGGGGCGTTTGGGGCCGGTATGGATGGACTGTTTGACGATGCTCAGGATTGGCCGAGTTTGTTTTCAGAATGGGTCAGTTTTACTTGAATCCATGATTGATTGCGTGCTGTATGATCCTCGAGACTCTAAATTGGAATGCCAAGGGTTACGGTTACCGCCTTCTATAGAAGATACATGGCACACCCGGAGCTTCACGAGTTCACATGACATGACTGGTTATTTCGGGATATTGTCCTGCTGTCGGTTCTGATGGCAACATTAGAGGGCGAATATCAATCTACAATAAGTTCTGGAGGTTGGAGCTGTAATATTCTATGTGACGTATTCACCGCAACCACGTCTACCTGCCGGCTGTGGCGCCGCACATAGTCGTTCCGGATACCAACATCAAAAGTCATATCATGTGTCGTTCTCCAGCTCGTAGTCGTTGATTTCCGAGTCACATCCGCCTAAAACGAGATTAGCAATAGCAATCAAAGGGCTTTCAACCATTTTCAATCGAGCAATGAAAGAGGAACATAGTAGGAAGGAACTTAGCCGCGTCTGTCTTCTCCTCGCAAGTCAAGCGAGAACCCCCTGCAGATAGCATCTTAGCTGCGTCTGCAACATCCTCACCCCGACGTTCATCACCAAAACAGGCACTGTGCGAAACTTTTCAAGGAGCTTTCCACAAACCATAAGCAGAGCCGCATACATTCCAGGAGACGTCCTGCTGGATGGGCTCGAGGAAGGACTCCTCCAGCAGAAAGTGCGAAACATAAATAGAGCTCCGACATCTTGACACGTCTTGTCGATCCTTTCATGCAAACCCCTCCATAAGGCGAAGAACTCCTGTAATCTGAAACACGCAAGCGTTCAAGCCTTCCTCACACTTAAACCCCTAACCGAACGCCATGGACCAAGACCGTTTCGTGGTCACGACCCTGGAGCGTGCGGGCATTCCCTACTGTGCCTTCGGGTGGACGGTGCCCGACGCCTTCGGAATGAACCACACCATCATTGACCTCATCGCCCAGCAAAGCCTCGACTTTGCGGGCTATGTGATCCCAGACCGGTACATTCCCAACGCCTATGCGGCCCTGCGCCGCCGCGGGGCGCACCCCTGCACTCTCGGCCGGGACTGCATCTCGGTGATCGGTTTCCTCCACCCCCCCACGGACATCGTGCACTGGCACACGCCCAACGAGGAGCCACTAATCCGCAACGGCGCCTGGCCTCGGCTCACTGTGCGCATCTATCGCAAGTCCATGTTCATGTGGCTCTTCGCGGACCCGCCACTTAACCCTCGCCCCGACGATCTCTACTACACGTGGTCCGACCAGATTCGCATGGCCCGCCGCCACCACCGTCCCGGTACCGGCTTCGTCATGCCAACTCCGGCCTGCTGGACCGAGGCCCTCGTCGTCCTGCATGCGCGCGACTTCTGCGAAAAGGATCGCTACATGCTGACCCGCCTCTGGCACCGCGAGCTCCTCCGCGTCTGTCTTCAGTTGCTGCAGCCTCTGCGCCAGGGGCGCCGCCCGCTACTCCTGGAAGGTGAGCTGGATCTCCACCTCGTCGGGGTCATCAAGGCGATGCGCGCCGCGCTGGCTGCCGGCGATCCCGACGCTCATTCCGACCTGGTCGATGCTGAGATTCGCATCGTGCGCGCGCAGCTCCAGAATGATGAGCCGCCTTGCCCTCCGCCCCAGGGGGTGATCTACGACCATGAGGCCGAGGTGGCTTGGTGGGAAGCGTGGGTCTCTGATGAGCACTCAGATGATGGCGGGAATGCTGACCCCATTGCAGACCCTAGAGTTGAAGAGATTGGTGTTGACGACGATGACGACGACGCTGAGGAAGATGAGGATGATGAGGAAGATGAGTTGTCCGAGGAGGCGGAGTAAGTTTCTCTATCCTGCCTGATCCTCAGAAGCCTCGCTGGAACAAAAACAGAAAATACCCAAAAAAAACCGCATGAGAATGGAGCACTTTAAGCGTGGCTAATTCTTGAAAAACACCACAACATGAACCACAACAAAAAAAAAAAAAACCCCTAATACAATAGAAAAAATTAGGTTGCCTTGAAGAAAGTTTCAATCAAATTGGTTACCACAATGACAGTTCCTCACCCCCAAGGCAAGTAATCCGATCTCCAAAAGAAATTCAAAGAACAGAGGCATGCAAGCTAATGAATGAGCTAAATAGTGCAGCTATAGGTATTCGGGTGGTGCATTGCAAGAAAAGCCTTTTTGACAAAGATCACTGTGTACGCACTGGTGTGGCTTTCTTCGCAGTCCCTGCAAGGCACATCCACATCCAACCTGAAATATTTCACCGGCTAGCCCTAACTCCACCATCTCTGAAACACATCCATCCAACCATGGTACAGCTTCATAGTAATATCAATCTCTTATGTTGTTAGATTGCATTAATCTCCTTTCTCCGCACTCTATATCCTCGTGCCACATGTCTCATGTGGGGACCGAAGATCCCCCAGCTCAGCACATTCACCACACGTTGGCATAACAAAGATAGATTGAGATAGAAAGTCCTTCTCCCTAATCACGATGTCTCTGAACTTCTTCCATAAAAAACCACCAACTCTCCAGAAACACCCCCGAACTCCCTTCCTTGCAGACCATATCCAACATGCTGCGAGATTTCCGCGCACTGAATCTGCTGATACTCACCTTCAGTGCCGTTTATGTCGTCGCTATCGGCCTCTTCACGATCAGTCTATTGAACTGCCGACCCCAAAAAACCCATCAGCCCACAGAATGTCGCAACCTTATCCAGGGCTATCGCTTCCGAGCACGCAAGAACTACCTCTCGCCACACCGCGCGCGAATTCGGCCAAACTCCCGACTAGCCTTCGTCTTTGGGATTGAAAACGCCTTTACCACCACAGACGAAGAGTACGCGACTCATTTTGCCAGAAACGCAAGGCATCTGATCAACCTCAAAGCACAAGTCTGGGAACGACTGGCCAAAAGGCTCCAATCCTCAGCTAACGAGCTTATCAGCACAGCGCACCGTCTCCACCTCGCCGACGTAGTCCAGTCCCTCTCACTCCGGATTATCCTGACCACACTGCTCAACGCGGAGCTAGACACTCTCCCCGACACCGACAAGCACATGGTCTCCCTAGCGCAGGCCATCAACCGCGCCTGGGTATCCTCCAAGAACGACGTCGACCTCATCGAATTCGCCCATAACCCCGACCTCCAAGCACCCCTCTCCGCCCTTTTCCCCACCTTTGAAAGGACCAACCCTCGTGATAACCCACTATGCTGGATCCTCCCCGGCTTCGGGATAAGTTGGCGTATCAACCTGCGCATGGTCCCGGAACTCCTGCTCAACACGGGCCAGACTCATCCCGACTGGACGGCCACGATGATTGCTTTCGCAGAAAACCCAACGAAGACACAGTTCGAAGCCCCGGGAGCAGACGACATCTCCGCCAAGGATCTAGTGGCGGGAGGATTGCGACTGTACCCCCCGACCAAGCGGATCTACCGCGCGTTCGAATAGGAGGAGAACGGTGCGAGACACTCGGAAACCTTCGCCGCGGACGTAGAGGCCTGTCATCTGTCGGTGGAGTCTGGGGACAAGATGCGCTAAGGTACAATCCGCTGCGCTGGCGGGCTGTCACGGGTGTGCAGAAGCAGGCGTACTTGCCTTTTGGCGGTGCGCCGTTTGAGTGTCCCGCTAAGGCGGTCTTTGGGCCTAGGATGATTGCGATGGGTGTTGGGATTTTGGTGGACATTGTGCAGGTGTGTAACGGTTGGAGGGTGGTCAAAAAGGATGGAAACGGGGTGAATGATGTGTTCTGGGGGGAGAGGTTGAAGAATGATCGTGGCTCGTATGAGGGGTTGTTTCTTGTTAGGGCGGCGGGTGGTGTCTAGTTCAGCTGATGGGTGTAGTGTGATCTTGGCATGTTAGGGTGGTCTCAGGGTTGCGTGTATGTGACCGTGTTTTGTTTTTTGGGGAGTTGAAGTGTTAACAGATAGTCTGATTCCAAAGCCTGAGTTTATTTTATCATGTGCCTTGATTGGAGTCTTATTTGAACAGTAAAGCATCTCTATCTCGCAGAATAGCAGCCGCACAGAGTAAGCCCTTCTGTTGATCCAACCTCCAAAACGAGACCAACAACCAGATGCAGTATTCCAGATATAGCGTCCAAAGAAAATCTGCTGTGCCGGGTCGTGGTGGATGGACATGCTGGGCTGTGCACGCATACGCGTCTATACCCCTGGCAGCACTCTCCAATCGACAACCTCAGCACTTTCCCCCTTGTCACCCACTCCTGGTCACTCTCCTGAGATAAAGCTGGCGACCAATAGTGTGCCACACAGCCATGACTCGCTATCATGGCTAGTGAGGCGCCATCAATCTATCCACAAATGACAACATCGCGCGGATGCAGGGGTAGCTGGATAGCGGCTGTTAGGACTTACAGTAGTCTCATAACCCCCCTGCAACTCGACAGCGGACAAGGCCGTGGCTGGGCCACCCTTCACTCCCAGCAATTTCTTGTTCTAACTTGGCGCTTAGGGGAAAATTTAAAGTGAGAAAATTCCCGCAATTCGGAGTGCGGATTTTCGCAGAAGCGAAGGGAATGATCTCACACACCCGGTACAGTACCCTCCCGCGACCAGAAGGGACAAATCGACAATGGGAAGAGTGCGTCATTTCGTGGGCGTCGAGAGCTCGGAGCAGCTGGCCTTCATCGATGAGCTTCAAGCGCTTGGGCTGAGTAGCACTATCAACCTGCCGGAGGTGAGTTCAATCACATGACAGTGGAAGTTGTGACAATCGCTCATGCCGACAAGCTGGTGGTGGTTGGCGACCAAAGCACGGGGAAGAGCTCCGTGCTTCAGGCCATCACCGAAGTCTCTTTCCCTGTCAAGGCCGGAACGTGTACTCGATTCCCAACGCAGATCTCTTTTCGACAAACCTCTGCGGCCAAGGAGTTCCCGATCAAGGCCACGATTGTGCCAGGACGGCAGTCGGAGGGTGACGAGGCGCTGCTCGCTCGCATCAAGGAGTTTGTGATCGAGAAGAAAGCGCTGGAGCCGGAAGACATGGCTGAGATTATTGAAAAGGTTTGCCTCTATTCACAGAACTTCCTTGACATGTATGCGAACGACTGATGTACTGTGTAGGCGACGGAGTGCATTTTTCGCGACCACCGCGGCAAGAACTTAAGTCTGAGCGATGCCACCCTGCGCATTGAGAGATCGGGTCCGGACGAGATGCACTGGACCATTGTTGATCTCCCGGGACTTATACGGAAGGATAACAAGAAGAAAGGCGCAAAGGAGGATAGAGTCAATAGGCTCCATGGAGAGACCGAGGATGAGAAGCGGATGAATGCTGCGGTCGCGTGGGAGCTGGCTCGGACCTACCTTGAAAACGAACGGAATATTGTATTGTAAGTCTGACCCGTCACAGCTTCACCAGGGTGACGCATGAGGCTGAGCAACCGACAGAATTGTTATGGACAACGTCGATGTCGAGCGACATCGAGTGTGGGAGGTGATGGAAGATCTCCCGGGGCTGGAACGACGCTGTATCGGCGTGCTGACGAAATGCGACCGCAAACAAGAAGGATCTGATAATTGGGTGTGTATCAATTGCTCTCCGCTACGGTGTACATGACTGATTATCCTACTGCAGATGATTCAACTTCTGCAGAATGGTTTGTCGACAGTCCCTCATCTGGACCACGGGTGGTTCGGACTGCGAAACCGAGTCCCCGTCGAAGCGCACATCACCGACGCGGAGCGAGACGAGCGGGAAAGAACCGAGTTCGCGAAGAAAGACTGGGAAACCGTGGCCAAGGACCGGACCGGTATCCAAGCGCTCATGCAGTATGTCGACAGGGAGCGACGGGCTCAGATCCAGGCCGGGATCCCTCAAATTGTGGCGGAGATCCGACAGAAGCTGCGCGAGTGCGAGTCAGACCTCAAACGCATGGGCGATGCACGCGACGAGCCCAAAGCCCAGCGCTACTTTGTCTTTCATTTCTGCAACGACATGCAGCGGATGGCCCAGGCGACGCTGCGAGGCCAGTATCAAGACGTGCCGTCTCAGGACCCTCGGATCATGCTGCGGTATGAGGTGCAACGCCGTCTCGACCAGTTCTACAAGGAAATGTCCGACATACAGAATATGCCATTGCCTTTCTCCGATTTCGACAAAGACCTCGCTGTCCTGAACTCGACGAGTTCGGACCCTGAGGTTTGGGAGGACATAGTTCGTAAAACCCCGGGTCTGTACGCGGAGATCTACAAAGAGGCGAAGATCAGTGAAGGCCGCAGTCTGCCCGGCGCGGTGCATCCGGATGTTGAGGAAAAGATCTTTCGGAGGCAGTCGACGCACTGGGAAGCGATTGCCCGACAGTTTGTCGACGATGTAAAGCAACTCGTGCAGGCCTGTCATGAGGTACTTTTCCGCATTGCCATCCCAAACAGCAAGGTGCGCTTGGAGGTGAGCCGCTTACTGGGGAAGACTATGGACGAGTGGCACAAACACATCGACACAGCCCTTGGGGAGCTCTTGGAAGACAACCGAGCGAGGCCGTTGGTGACTCGCAACCCGCAGTTGCTGTTGGACACGATCTCTGCGGATCAAAGTCGAGGGAGGATCCTTCTAGGTCAAAAGGCGAAAGCCACATCAGAGGATCAAAGAGCCAATGGCACTGACGACGCGCAGACAGACCGTCCACAGTTTATATCGACCATACTGAGCCAGGTGCTTTTTGTGCGTGCAAGACTTCAGTCGTACTACATGATCGCCTTGCATCGTTTTATCGATAATGTGGCCATGCAGGTAATCGAGCGGCATGTCTTGGGTCCAAAATGTCCGGTGCTGGCGGTGTCAGCCGAGACGTTTGCTAAGCTGGACGATGATGAGCTAAATGCTATCGCCGGGGAAGACGAGTCTGACGCTCGCATGAGAACCAGGCTGGAAAGACTGCGCTCCCGCTATACCGAAGCTCTTCGGAGATGGGAGAGGTTGAGAATTCTGTAGAGAGCCTTGCACTGCGAGTTTCTGGACTTTTCCTTGTGCTTCCAATTGGTACGAACTCTTGTTTGATGCAGAACGATTGCGGTGTATAATTCTTAGCTTCATAGTATTTATAGCTGCCAATCTCCGGAGGTCTTCAGTAACATGTGCCAACACTGACTCCGGTCATATATCAAGAACAAGATGCCAAGTTTCAATCACCCTGCTTTGCCTTGCTCAAGTACTAAAGCTCCTGCTGCAGTATAAAATCAGAATGGGATTCATAAGCGGGGTAGACGGTCTGTCCGTTCTGAGATTGAGGTAGAGCTTGGAAAAAATGACAATTTACGGTCAAAGCAAACCATGTGGAGCAAATGAAGCAAAGATAAAGAAATGATGAAGAACAAGTCACCTGACAACCAAGACACCGAGAAGCGCAGTCAATGATATGTCTTCCAGCAAAGAATTTGCGTTTGCATCCATAGAGATACCAATAATTTCGAACAGAGGCAGTAACAACAATGCTGCGTTTGCTCAACACAGGGTCAATTTGTGCCATTTCAAGAGTATTTACGGTATGATTCCAGAAGGGAAACATAGGCTCAGTAGCGATAAACAAATACCTAAGAGTAATCACAACCAACCCGATATGCGCTAAAAGGAAGCAGTGAACCGTGGTAGAGCAAACGATCAGTGCCGAGAACAAAGAGCCCATCAATGAAAGTGCCCCAAACTGTGCATTCACCAGGAGCAGATCCAGACGGAACGCGGTGCATTTCGCCTTTGTCTCGTTAGACTGTATTTTTCTCTTCCCTCCTGGCTGAGACGTATTTCCTCCACCGCATTGCATCCCACTTTCTTCCACCCCTCACCCCTCACTGGCTGGATGCACGTTGCGCATAGATATGATTAAACCGCAGAGCAGTTTGTCTCTCTATTTTCTCCATGGCAGTCCTATTCTCTACGCCGTCGCCATGCTTGGATCATATTGGATATCGCTCATCTTGGCCAGTCTCTACGGCGGCAATACTGCGAGCGGACCCACGGCCGTCAGTCTTCCACAAAATGCCATCGTGCAGTATGTGACCGACCAGCCGCACCTATGCAGTGCTGTCATGCAGTATGAGTCTCTTGGACGTCTGGGCAGCCAGGCAGAACGAGTGCTTCTGTATCCTTCGCACTGGGACCTGGAGGGCAGTTCTACAGAAGGCAAACTGCTGCTCAAAGCGCAAACCGAGTATCATGTCAAGCTTATACCCATTGAAGTTCAGACCAGGAAAAACGGCGATGGTAAGTGTAATGGCTATCATTGGTAACATCCGAAGTAATACTGACGAGGGACTCAGTGGCATGGCCAGACAGGTTTATCAAGCTGCAGGCGTTTAATCTAACCCAGTACAACCGCGTTATGATTCTGGATTCAGACGCCATCATCCGCCAGGCATGCCGCACTCTTCACCACCGAACCTCGATACAGACTTTATCCCCGCTAACCCTGATCGCAGAACATGGACGAAATATTCCAGCTCCCGGAATATCCGTTCGCATCTCCCCGCGCCTACTGGCTGGAATTTGGAAAGCGCCCGCTGACCTCATCCTTCATGCTCGTGAAACCTTCGGAGAGCGAGTTCAATCGCGTGTGGGAGGCGATCCAACAGGCTGGCAACGCCGACTCCGACACGAAGATCCTGAACGACCTCTACCATGATTCCGCGATCGTCATCCCGCATCGTCCGTACCACCTCCTGACCGGGGAGTTTCGAGCCAAAGACCATGCGAATTATCTGGGAAGTCCCCACGCGACTTGGGATCCCGATGTGATCTTGCAGGACGCGAAGTATCTACAATTCTCCGACGCGCCCGTGTCGAAACCCTGGATTAAGACCCCAGCGGCGGTGATGGAGAAGACACAACCGGATTGTGAAGTGGATACTGAGACGGGTATTGTGGACTGTCGGGCTCGTGACTATTGGTTGGGGTTCTACAAGGATTTTGCAGAGAGACGAGAGGTATGATGTTCCTACTTAGTGTTCTGGGGCGGGTCCGAATAGGCTAATATCTTGGTCATAGATGATCTGCGGAGCGGAATTCGTGCCCCAGCTTGACGGAGAGGCTGAAAGAGCATGGTTGTCGTTGCAGAGAAGCAATCATCTTGTTTCTGGAACACAGAAACTCATGAACCAGGCTTTGGGAGGTTCTCGCAATGTTGTGCTCTGGATCCACGATCGCATCTGGGGTTGAGAGTAGCGGCATGCAGGTCTACTCAACGACAACGCCTCTCAGCCTCTATGCCCAAGAAAAGACACCTCCTTGGGTGCACTTTTTGCATCACCCTTCAATCCCTTCAAAAGCACTACATACCTTCACAAAATAGGTATTAACTTCTTTATCACTTCATTTGCAAGCTTTTCTGACCTTCATATTCATTATACTGCAGAAGTCTGGTAATCGATGCTTGGCAGGACATGGAATTTCCATCGAAGCGGAGTCTATAACCAGGGCCAAGAGTTGGGAAGCGTATAGGTGACAAGAACGTTCCAAGAAAATTATACAAAGCAAAACTCTGCGAGTAAATGGTGCAACTATGAAATTGGATTCTACTGGCTACCCTAGAACGTCAGCAATGCATTAGAGCTATTCAAGAAATCATAGAAGGATGGCTGTGCAACAGCTATACGAGCTGCAGGTGGATAAGCTTCTCGTTACAAGCATTAAAAAACAAGCTCTCGTATCGAAAAACCGAAGCTCTGGCAACTTGCGGAAGACCATTGCAGCTACTCGGCAAATAAAACTTTTTCTACTAAGTATCCTCAAGTAACTGGCGGTCTAGCTCGTACCGAGCTCGTATTACCACACTTGATCTACTGCGAACGGAAAAATGGCACTCATTATGCATAGGCTGTGACTGTGATCTCTCAAGAGGCCAGAGCACTGAATCTATCAGTTTCGCCACCCCCCCTGTATCGCCTTTAGCATGTCTTTAGAAGCGGTTATAAGTAGCCACGCCCGGACGCCGAAAGCAGAATGCGTAGGATATCATTCGACTCCCCCTCACAACCATTTCTACACTGCATATTGTCTCTTAGACAGCACTTTAACACAATCTATCTAAAGCATCATGCTCGTTCCCCAATACGGTATCTGGGCTTGTAGGCCCACTCGGTATGTTTCCCAGCGACATGGCGTACGTACTCCATACATCGAGCTTTATTTCAGAGACGACGACTCCGCCAGGGAGCGTAAGGCTGCGATTGATATTAAATCCAACGGAGAAAAGTCTCGCTTGGTGTTCTGGTCTGCTGACAGCTTTACTCATCCTACCACAAATCCACTTTCCCAGCTGGACCCGAGCTTTCATTTGATTCCGGACCCCAGTGGTCGTGCCCGAGATTTCGTGGGGCTCAACTATCTTCGACTGCACAACCTTCTAGATCTCTAATATGGGCGAGTTCTGCCGCGTGATATTCCTGGTCGTGCAAATGATATCTTGGATGTCGTCTGGCCGATTCTAGATCGAGCAACCAGGGGCTCACCGACGGTGTATATATTTGGCTTATCATTTGGATCCGGGCATATGTCCATTAGAACCAGGGTTGTCTTCCCCGATACGATAATGACGGTTATCAGGACGGGGGCCTGCTGATTCAGTTTGACGAATATCATTGGGAGGCAGGCAGTTTTCCTGGCTTTTGCCTCCCAAAGGATCCCCACCGAAGTTTGTTGCAGATCCTGGCTCTGTGAGAAGACAAGCTTTATGCCAAATCGGAATGCTACGTTTTATGCAGGTATTATGATGCAGTGAAATGCGTATCATGGTAGTTCAATTGTTCTTAAGAAGCCACTTTCAACAGTCCAGCTTACGGCATGGTTCGAATTCCGAGGCGATTCCATCAACGATGATTACCCGGGACCCGTCAATCCATCCGCCAATTGGTTCCAAAAAATGAATTCTGGGCGACGGGACAGAGGAGCCGTCGTTGTCAATCACGGCCCGCGAAAGTCCGAAGATGGAGCTGCAGTTATATCTCAATCAGTACGGCAGATGGTCAACATTTAGTATGAGCTTCAAACACGTACATTGATCGTCGATTACTATCATAAAAGGTTTGCTCCGCCTCCGGCATATACCAACCCCAGCCCCTGCATCGCATATGTCTATCCCATTCGGGAAAGAATTTGTCAGTTAGTACAAACGGCCAAGGGAAATAAGCTCGAAAGCAAGCTTTAATATAGTGGGGACTCAACTCTATAGCCTTGATCATCTCTTCTTGGATGGTTCCCTTGTCGAAGATACTCAGGCCCTGGATATCGATGACACTTTATGCCATCTACAAGTCCCATCGCGATTGCACGGAAATGTCCATTTTTGTAGACTGGGTTCTGGCTCGAGGGTAGCTCCTCGCTGCCATAGAACCTAGGGGTGAATCCAGAGCCCGAGAATGTCCTGAGCGCCCGGCACTCCAGCTCGTAGCTTCGCTTGGCCAGCTTGTCTGTGGCTTCTAATTCGGCCTCGCTGATTCCCCGAGTCCTGTTCCTAGTCTTGAGTTTTAGCGATAGATTCCAAATTGTGGGAGCTCGGACAAAAAAGCACGAGAAACAGCAGAGGAGGAGGGGGAGGGCGAGAAGGAGAAAACGCATAAGACGTCCTTACTCGTACCGCATCTTAAGAGCATATTTGCGGGTGGAGCCTGTCTGACTGTCATCAGGACATGTAGCTTCATAGACAGCTCATTCTTCATGGAGCTCATCTTTTCGATTTTCGGAGAGAATTTCGTCGACGCGATAGTCGCGGCCATCAATCTTGATGACATTACCAATTTGGTCATCCGTATCGAGGGTGAAGAGCGCGAGAGAGCGAGACTGAAGTACGAGCAGGATTTTGAGGACGACGAGTATGAGATTAACGACTGGATCTTTGGAGTTGAATAGTGTATTGCTAAGGCGCAGACGTCATATTTCACAAGGATGTGATGAAGGTGGCGTCAGAATCGGAAGTGAATTCTGAGTCGAGGTGGGCGGTGGGTGGAAAGAAAACACGTCAAAGTTTGATAGAGGCACACCGTTCTTGGACTACCACTCACTCAGCTAGTCATTTATCTTTTTTATAATATATTTTGTATGTTGGGTAAGGGTTGAGATTGGTCATCAGTAAGCCTGTTCTTGGTATAAGCGGTCAATACTAGCTCCTAAACAGCAAGAACCGAAACAAGCAGACAAGAAGGCTTTTACACCTATGGAGTAAAAGAATAAAGCTGATACGTTTCTCAATATAGTCGTAAAGCTACATACATGCAAGGAAGATGACAGTGAGGATGAATGACAACTAAGGTGGCTACCTTCATCACATGACTACCGACCAGGAAGTAGACACCTTCACCAAAAACCAGCATGCCTGGATCATGCACTAGATTTGATACCATCACTATAAGGAGATAAGATAGAAGAACTCGCTGGTAGTCAGCTGTCAGTAGCTGTAACAGGGCTCCCTAGTTACTAACGCGGTATTCTTTCTGCTAGGCAATGGCAATTTCTCATCGTATGACCACAACGGGAAGGTTTCTAAGCCCCACGCGCAGAGCAAGCCCCGGCCAGAACTAAGGATTGCTTTCCCTAGTTCCCATAAGACCCTGGCCCGGTCAGTGTCTTGTCGCGCAGGGACGATTATGTCGAAGTACCGGGACAGCAGAGAAAACAAAAGCCCTCTTTTCTGCCTGGTTCATCTTAGGTCTTTATATGTTAATTAACTTAGTAGACATAGGACACGAATACGTTGTTGTAAAAAGTGGGTCTAATATCCAAAAGACACTTTTTGATACTATTAGAATTCTTTTCGTAGCATCGCAATGACTTTCCAGACTCCAGCTCTCTTCACCTCTCATCTAAGCAGGAAGTTAGTCACTACAAGCATCAATATACAATATACATATTGTTGGGGGAGGACCCGCAAAATGTGAATAAACCAAGTTTACTCAAAGTTTCTCAGAAAGTGATACCTCTAATCTATCAACCGGCCAAACCGGGCTCACCTGGAATATAATGGACCATACCAGAGAAACTGGGCTAGATTCGAATCAACTTTCCTTTAGTCAGTGGAGTGAACATCCAGGATATGTACTAGGAAGTTACTATGATACCGAGTAAGTGGATGATCGATGGTCCCTAATGGATTTGGTGGGTGCCCAAATAATCACTACTTTTAGTAAGTTTTTCTCATTCCCGTGTCGTAGCACTAGTCTTAACACTGCTTTCTGAACCATGGCTAGGCACAATGCAGTGCACATTGGTTGTTATATTCTTCTCTATGGTGAATTCAAGCACATACGACCACAGGGTGTGGAAAACAGGGCTTCCCGTCCGCTCAGCCGTACTTAAGCCACACGCCGGGAGGTTAGTAGTTGGGTGGGTGACCACCAGCGAATCCCTTCTGTTGTATGTTTTTGATTTTGCATGCAGTTGATGACCCCAGTATATGCAATCTTGACCTAGTTTAATTGCTGGTTGAGTATTTCTTATCAAAATGGTAGGGATATATCAGGGACCGACCGTGTCGGGAAGTCTCCTTATTACTGTACGCAGCGCTCCCTCCACCGAAACCTGCCTACGAAATGTCATGTATCAGCTTGCTAAAACTTATCTCTTATTGTGAGGCCCATTTTCTAGCAGAATGAGTAGCGACAGAATCAAGGAGCACTTGCATTAATTGAGTGCATGCGAGAAATGGGAATGCCACGTCACGCGGCTTCTCAACAGCCGGGAGGAAATTATAGCGAGGCCTCCGAAGGAACTATGTATGCTTCGGACCCACTTTGAATCCTTAGGTGACCTTTCTAGTGTCATATTTTCAATGATCGTTCTCAAGTTATATGCGGGGTGTATGTAGTATATTTCCGGACTCTTTACCCCCAGGATTTGTCAGATTGGGAGCCACGAAATTTACAAGTATGCTGAATCACCCATGGATGACACAAACGCATTCATAAATAAGCTTATTTCTCACTCTGATTCTCCTCTTCTCACAGCAGAAATCTAAGAACTATATAGAAAGATCAGCCAGATTACGTAGGGTCCACTCCAGCATAAATGGTAGATAAACAAAACTTTCCACATGTCCTTACAATATCATATCACTTAGTTTAGCAACCTTGAACAAGATTATTTGAGATGAATCTCGCCCTCGCAATGGACAGCATGCATGAAGTTCGCTTTCAACGGAGTCACACTAAAAGCGATTAGTCTTACTTCTGACGACAATGAATCAATTGGCGCGTACCTGGTCTTTCCCTCACGCACTGCCCAGTCATCATCTGCATCCGAGGTGCGGTCCATACTACCATGGATGTCTGATAAGTCTGGCGCCCATCGCAGTAGCAGCGACGAATCGGGGTTCTGCTCAGTTGCATCCCCGGACGGTGAAACGACTTGGAACGGACTAGCTGCGAGCCAACGGTTCGGTCGGATCCGAGTATACATGACCTTTCTGTCTCCGCTGGGGGCAGATCGCAGCGGTATGTTCACGGAGTAGAGTTCTACGCCTTCGTCCCAACTGTGGTACAGATGCTTGATCAGATGCACAGCATGTCTACATGCATCTGTAATCTGCACCGGATTGCAAACGTCGTCTCTGGCCACTGGCTCGAAGGAAAGAGCAATAGACCTCTTCCCACACAGCACGGCCTCCATGGCCCCGCCGATCGTGCCACTGGAGAGGGAGAAGAGAGCCGTTGCGTTTGCTCCAAGGTTCGGGCCCGATATCACCAGGTCGATCGGGATGGGCTTGCCTTCCTGCTGGTAAGGGTGGTAGTGATGCAACCCGATTTGCACACAACCAGCGGGGGTCGAATTGGCGAGCATCCATGGGCGATGGTTCTGCGCTCCATTGCTGCTGCTGTGAGTGCCATTCGACAGTCCATGAGGGGTTTGGTGCTCGGTACCCTCGAACCGAAACGGTTCCCCAGGAGAGAAGTACGTCGCCTTGACCACTTCCCCGACGAAGTGGGCTTTTCCGATCCAGGAACGTCGCTGGTTCGGCAAGACCACAGTCACGATGTGTCCTTGGGTCTGAAGTTCGTGGACCAAGGAATGCACATACGGGGATGTATCCCGCGAAGGGGGCCCGTCATCGTTCACAACCTGGCAAGATTAGCCACTCTAATTTATCTACCCTTCCCTAGGTTGAATAGTGCTCACGAGGATATGCATTGGATGTTGACTTGTGGTTCAGAGCAAGCTTTGGATAAGAGTGCTCACCAATAATTGGCCGAAAGGAGTCAGTTGACTAGAATCAATTCAGAGAAAGCAAGAAGAAGGCCATGAAATAGAGAACTTCACCAACATCTTCCATGGCGTACGCGGGATGTGGTGGTGTTTTTTCTGCACTGGGCACTGATTATCTGTCTGTGGGGGATTACGTCATATGGTCATGGTGAGCAATGTTCCCGAGCATCGGCGCTTTCTCCAGGGAAATCTTTCCAAAACCGGACTGAGTAGAGAGAAAACCCCGAGATGTCAGAGAGCGAGAGGGTGTACGGTGTACTGCTCAGATCGCAACAGAGACTTCCTCGCACTGATTTTACCTCGTATCTGTAAGAACACTAGCCAGTCCTTCCCAGTTCAGCTGCTGTCGAATTGCCAGATATTCGTGTGTATCTCTGCCGAGCAATGTCCGCATGCGTCATACGTAGGTTCTATGATGGTTATTTAAAGATTGTACGATGGCTCGCCCATCCATCTTCATGTTAGCAAGCTTATGTAGTACAAGCTGCAAGATCTTAGGTGAAGCTCCTGGGGGCACACTAATATGTTCAAGTCAAAACTAGTCCGGTCTGTGCTGAGGTAAGGAACTACTTCTCAATGTCGAATTTCGTGAACGCTGTTGACTAAAACCTTCTGCTACCAGAGTGGATCAGTCCTGCATATTCATCCCAGATGGCTCAGCGACACCAGGGCGCATAATCACCGTTACTAGGAGATTATAGTTGTACGTTTTCAGAACCATATCTGTGAAAGCCATCAGCGTTAGACTAGTCGGGAGCTTGAGAATGTGAATGGGTGAATCAGGTGAACATAGTGTAGTTACAGAGTATAATCTGACTTACCTCAGACCGCGGGATGGCAACTCTACAAAGTCTTGTCAAGGAGGCATTACCTTTGCGCGCAGTCAAACCTTGGCCACGTCAAGAGACAAGTCATTCGTCTTGCCACGAGGGATGTATGTGTTGCCATTTGAGTTACCGCTGAGCCAGGATATGCCGGAGACTGTCACTGGTGTCGGTCACAAGTATCATGCATATGAGGTCCAGAGCATCATCTTTCATCGACACTCTCACCTAGACACCATGAGTGCACATCCCATTCGGCTTTATCGTCTTCCTCGCGTCCTACAAGGTGATCTGCTGGATCAAGTTATCGCTGTGTATCCGATCAGGTTGTCCACACTATCAGTGTCCAAACTGACGGACGTCAATCACTGAAGTCAGTAGACGGGCTGATAAATGAGAGTCTGTGGTACCGGGTGTCGATGCCCAGTGCCCAAACCCTTTTCGGAACCAGCTTTCCAGTTCGGTTTGAGTTTCATTCGTTGCAGAAGCATTTATACCCTGGCAAAATAATCCTTCGGATCTTGGAGACACACCTTTTAGAGATTACCTCCACGGCGTCCGACTCCATCACATACAACAGCGTCTTGTCCGCTATCGCAAGAAAGGAGCATGCGATACTCTGCGAAACGCATGAGAACCTCCGATATACCAATGCGCAGTCACCCGATCTTCTGGACTCCGAATGGAAAACCACAGCACATGTTCATCTGCCGCAATTTTTCTACGCCTGCACACAGGACCTGCATACAGAATTGATCCGGTGCATAATAAGCTGCAGTTTGAAGTCGAGTTTGAGACCAAGCGTGCTCAAAGAAAAAAAATGTGAGCTGTGATCTAGTCCCCTCCATCTATCTCTGGTCATTGTTTGCGGTGTCGACGAATTGTACACTGACCCTGAAATTCGGCAACGTTACTTAGGTCGTGGGCACCATCCCTTTTGAGATCTACATATCTCCCTGTACTGTAATGGAGCATGATCTCGGTTACCGACAGAACCTTGAAGAGCTGGAGATTGGTTTGGAGCCGCTACCCCCTTACCTAGAGTACAAATCCGACATAGCAATTCAGTGCTAGATCCTCAGAACCAGACGTTCAACACTCTGAGGGAGGATGTCAATGTGCTTGACTCTTACAGACGCAACGAGGACATATGTATAGCGCGCCAGTCACAGTCTGGCTGGCAATGATAGCCGTGGATGAACGAGGTTACGGAAGCTCAGGCATTGATATAACTACAGACTATGCGGAGAGACTCGGAAGATGTTGATACATCTTCAGTGCTGTCAGTATGGACTGTGCATCCATTTACTTTCATACCATGTAACAGAAGAACTTCCGTGTTATAGGTTCTTATCGAATGGCCACCATTGTTGTTGAGTAGGGTTTATGAAGAGGGAAATAACGTGCCCTGAGGCCAATGACTGTTGTCTTATTAAGATCCTTATGATCTTTTCAACCCATGTCTGCGATGATATGACCACCAATGACTATATACATCCCGCTCCCCATCCCATCAACCAACCCGCAAACTCATTAGCTTAGAACAACTTCTTCACGGACCGCAAATACACCAGTAGATAGACAACGGAGTAATTGAAGACCACGTAAGCGAGAAAAATGCCAAAGTACGGCCAAATATCCGACGAGTCTAGCCCGAGGTTCGTGAGATACTGTTACCCCACTGTCAGCAGGACTACTCACAATTTTGTGGCGTTGGAATCTCACCTCGTCACCGGAATTATAATCGCAATATCCGCAAACCCCATACGCATCCGGATTCGACAAATACCCGACGCCCTTCTCGGCCAGCCACGGGCCCGCGTACTCGCCGCAGGTCATGTTCGCCGGACTGCGGAAGTAGCTCAGCTCATCCTTCTCGCAGACGACGGGCATCCCGCGCAGAACGGAGGTCAAAACACCTCCAATCCAATAGGTGAAGGGGGTCAGATAGTACATGGTGTACTTCCAGAAGACCGGCATCTTGTCGTGCGGTTGGATGATGCCATTGAAGAGCTCGCACATGGTAATGAAGAAGGGCATTAATGTGGCTGCGATGGTTGCGTCGGCGCTACAGTCGCTGTTAGTCCCGCTTTTTAGGCCGCATGAAGGACGAAAACTCACCTGAGCGCGGCAATCCACTGTCCCCACGAGGTGGCAAACAGAAAGAAGAGGAAGAACATGAGAAAATTGTATCCCGCGGCAAAGCCGTACGGCAGTCCGGCGGTAAAGTAGCAGATTAAATAGAACATCACGCCGGAGCCGATGGCCAGCGGCATCTCACAGAGGATCTGCGCCGTGCTGAACGCCACCCAGCCGTACATGCCTGCGGGTCCCTCGCGGGCGAGCCAGATATCGCGGTTCATGACGAAACGCATTGAGATGGCGTTGATAAATTCGGGAACGAGCATCAGACATAGAAAGCAGAGGAATGCTTTGGATTCCAAATCGGTGGAGCTGTTGCCCAGCTGGTAGAAGGTTAGGCCGTCGAGGAGGGCATGCGCGAAGGAGGCATAGAGGCGCGAGTACGGGTATTCGGGGCTGCGCCAGTATTGACGGAGTGTCCGACCAGTCAAGAGCTTGACTTGGCGGTAGAATGATGGAGAGTTTGGATTGGTGATGATGGGTGAATTTGCTGTGGCTGTGCCTTGCTCTCGGATGGTTTGGATCTCGGCCCTAACTGCGGCCGCTTCGGTGGAATGATTCCAGACCTCGACCCAGTCGACGCTCTTTTCGGTGTCTTTCATGGCACCGACGACGACCTCAATGAGATAGTCTGCTGCATTGGTCACGTTTTCGGGCTGGTGGCCGTGTCGGCCGAAGTAATCGAAAATTGCACGGCCTGAGGCTCCAACTTCGCCGAAATAGTAGGTGTTACCACCGGGACTTAGGGCTAGCACGCGATCGAACTGGTCTCATTAGTACCTTCACACCTGTTTCGTCGGGAGAGAACCTACCTCCTCAAACTGCTCTTGATTAGCTTGATGAATGGTGCAAAGCACAGCTAAGCCTTGGTCGGCCAGCTTCCTGAGCAGGGCCACAATACTTGAGGCACCCTGACTGTCAAGACCACTAGTAGGCTCATCCAAGAACAGTACCAATTCCGGTTTCGCACAGAGCTCCACGCCAATTGTGACCCGCTTCTTCTTCTCAATGTCCAGACAGCCTATCACGGCATCCTGCAAATCGATCAAGTCCAGCGTGGCCAGAACAACATTGACATAGGCTAATTTCTCCGCATCGGGGGTATTCTGATTCTGTCTCAGCAGAGCAGAGAACTCAAATGCTTCACGGATTGTACTTGTTTCGTCGTGAATGTCCATTTGCTGGCAATACCCGATGCGACGGTTGTAGGATTCGTCGGTCGGATGTCCATCGACGAACATCGTGCCGCTCAAGTCACCGGAGCTCTGGCGTTGGGTGAGTGCCGTTAACAGTGTGGACTTTCCTGCGCCAGACGCGCCGACCAAGGCCGTCAGGCTGCCTGGTTTACAATACCCGGAGACCTTGTTCAGCAGCCTCCGCGACTCCTTGCCTATCTCCACGTGGAGCTCAAGGTTCTCCCATGTGAACGTCGACTGACATGCCAGAACGGCTTGTTCCAGGGCCTGGTCTGGATGAGGAGGTTGGCGAGCAGCTGGCACACCCTTTGCGCCTGAATGCGCACCACCAACTTCCTCATCCTCAATCGACTGAGTTTTCCTCGCTTTCTTCTGGGAGCCCTTATATTGAATTGGTCCTGCACTGGAGGATTCCCATTCAATAACCTCGCTAACCCAGCACGTCGCAGCGATGTAGAACACGGTGAAGAGGCACAGGATGCCGAAGTTACGCCACACATGGTGGTAATAGAAGCCGAAGTGAGAGGCCATATAATCGTCCCCGGTGATTATCGTGGTCCCGATCCGGCTTCCGTAGTATGCACACGTCTGGTAGGTGACATCGGTATAGTTGGGTCCAGAAGGAACAATTGATCCGGGAGAACAGGTGAAATCTGTGTTATGGAACTCGGCAGCCATCATTGATTCGAAGGTGTAGATGACTGGCGTTGTGTACTGTGAGACGTGTTAGTACTTCTCGGACGGCCAGTGCAGGGCTGCGTACCGCTATCCACCCCACCCAGGGGACGTTATCAATAAGTCTGTCCAGCGAGATGACATAACCTCCAAGGACGATACATGCCAAGACGGAAAGACCAGCATAGCGCAACGCAACCTCAAAAGTCTTCGAGAACGCAGCGAACAGTCTGAACTGCTGCGTCAAGCAGATCGCGCAGAGGAATATGAAGAGGAAGTCGATGAAGAATGAGCCGGCCTGGTATAGTCAGCATCAGATATACAGAGCGGTCAAGATCATACTTACATTCGTCTTCAAGCCCGAAAGAAAGTAAACAACAACCTGGAACAAAGCACTGATGGTGATAAGAAGCACGACATCAGAGAACAAACGAGCCAGACACACGGCGCTGGGACGGACAAACGCAAACTTCTTCTGACGGCTGAGGATGTCTCGTCCCTGCATTGCGTCTTCCAGCTCCGACATCTGCAACCAAGCCAGCATCAACGAGGAGTAGAAGATGACACCGCCGCGCGAGTAAAGTCCATCACTTGTTTGAGGAATATCATAGAATAGACTGCCGATGAGCAACCCGTAAACGACAGCCGACATCAGCTTGATGTAGATAGGCCCCATGTGGTTCTTAGTCTGCCACAGCTGCCGTCGGGCACAGAGCACAATCTGCCGGAAGAGAGAAACTGTGTAGGGTGACTTTGGCGAGACGAAGCGCGATTTCTCGGTCTGCACGGCCTTCTTGAACTCTTCCAGACTTCCTGCATCTGAATCATCCGACGAAGTCTGTCCGCCTAGGCGCTGATCCTCGTAGTTCCGAATATCTCTTTCCACAATTTGATAAGCGCTGCTAGACCTAAACGCCTTTTCTAACTCCTCCGCTCCCTTTGGTGTACGGCTTTCCCAACCCTCTTTGAATCGTCGTCGTTCAGGAATGGACACGCTTGTCAAAAAGTCGCAGGTGGTCTGCATGGGTGCGCACTCGTAGCCAAGATCCTCGAAATAGCGCTTTGCGTCGCGCGCAGGACCCTGGTAGATCATGCGGCCCTCATCAATCAGCAGGACCTTGTCCACCAGATCATAAATAGCGTCGGAGGCCTGGTACAACGTCATCAAGGTAGCCTTACCGCACGTGTTCGTCATGATGCGGAGACTACGCGCATAGTCCAGCGCAGACGACGCGTCCAAGCCTCTCGTCGAGTTGTCCCAGCAGCTGATCGCAGAGTTCGTGGCCAGGGATTCTATGATCGAGATGCGTTTGCGCTCGCCGCCAGACACCCCGCGGATGAATTCATTCCCGACCAGCGTGTCCATGGTGTGCGACATGGCGAAAACACGTCCGTAGATCTCCAGGTAGCGAGGTATCCGGTCCTGATACCGCTTGGGGGTCTTGCACTGCAGCGCAAACTCCAGCGTCTGGCGGACGTTGAGGGTGGGAAAGTGCACGTCGTCCTCTGGGCTGTAGGCGACTTGACCGCGGTAATGGGTCTGGGCCTCCACCAAACTCAGTCCGGAGTAGTCGACGGACCCAGTAACCCCAAGGTAGGAGGAGTGATCGCCAGCGATAGTCCGCAGAAACGTCGAGCATCCCGCTCCTGGTCTCCCTAGTACACTGGATATCATCTCGGTTAGCTCAGTGGCCTATCTCACCCAAGGTCAGACCCGAGAACAATGACTCACAGCATCATCTCACTACTCCGTACCACGCCTGAGAAGTCCCGAATCAACTGCCGTCCACTCTCCGGCTTCTTCCTCGACACCCACGGCTTGATGGTCCACTCATAGACATCCTGCAGGGTCAACGTCCGCCACAGAGCTGTCCCGAGAGTCTTGACCTTGACATGTTCTTCCCCATCTCCCCAGGTTGAGAGCAACCGGAAGCAAACCCCGAGGTTGGACCTCATCTTTCCAGCGCGCACCTCCTCGTCCAGAAACTTATCAAACGAGGAATGCGGCTCCGCATATTCCGGACGCGCATCCTGACGGCTTTGTGCGGTTAAAGTGCGATGGATCTCCGCCAACTCCCCCTCGTCCTCCTCCGACAGAAATACATGCGACAAGGGAACTCCGTCATTGTGAGCCCTGCCTCCCTCCGGCGAGGCGGTGGTAGAGGACTGCAAATGTGGTACAGGGTGTGGAGGCATGATCCTTAGCCCAGATCCACTTAGAAGCAATAACCAGAAACCTGATCCGACTTCAACACTCTTACTGCAAGATATTGGACTCTATTTAAGGACAGGTTGAAGGAGTTCAGCCCGGGACCCGCGGGGTGGTGGATGATTTACATACTCTCGGTCCCCGGAGCCCCAAAACGGAAGCCAAGACACATTTGGTCTAGGCGTTGTGCCGGCGGCGATAGAGTTATAATCTTATTAAGTAATAAATTATGATTTGCAGCCCTAGCCGCAGCAGAATTCTATTCTCTGGCTGGCCCAGAGAAGCCTGCAGAATAACCAGGGAATGGGAGCCATACTTGCAGTCTGAGTTTTCTGCCCACTCGGAGTTGTGATTGGTTCACAGGCGCTAAGCGGGGAGTTTTAGCGAAGTTGGCGGCTAACAAAGATGGGGTCAGCAAAGTGCGGCGCCATTTTTACTAGATTAGGAAGCTCGGGGGAGAAAAAGCCTTTTAAGCCGGAGACCCACCGGCCCGTGCCTGGCTGTTTGCATACGGGGGATGGGTGGTGGGAGACGAGGTCGATCACGAGAATGTGGTGCATGATCTTGCATGCATACTGTAGTGCGGGTATTTGGCACCTGTGAGTTAGTCGAGGACTCGACATGTGTGCTCATGACACAGGGCATTGATTGATCACGGGATCAGGGGACTCCGATCTCCGCGCCGTCGGTCGATACATTGCTCCTCGTCATTTGCGGCCACAGCTGCTTTTGATGACTGCTTGTGATCTCGAGACTAATCAAAATGGTCCTTCTAGGTTATCTCTCCGGCTAGCTTGTCACTTTTTTGTTCATCGTGGGAAAGGAAAACGGACTGATATTGAGGGAAAATCGATCGTATGTCATCACGTGATTGGGATGCGAGTATCTACATCGCTCAAAGAAAACTGTGACCTGTATATGACAATCAATCTCGTCGCTTCGAGACATTCTGGATTCCTGCTTTCGGGTGAATTGTGGTAATCCTCCTCCAAAACAGTTTCTCGTGGTCGATGCCATCAATCACGCACCTCCTAGCTACGAAGCAGAATTTTTCGACACATCATTCTCCAGGCGTTGGAAAAGGTTAAGAAGAGAGCTATAGAAGAGTGAAAAGTAGCTAAGGTCTCAAAGCACTGGACCACATCCCCAACTCTTTTCTTAAGGACCGTTTGAAACACGATGTGCTTTTGTAGCTCGCCACAAGTCATGACGTCATTTTCAGACTGGCGGCGCTACATGAACCCAGCCAAAACAGAGCAGAGCACTGTAATTATCCCAAAGCCGGTGAGGAAACCTTGCCTATACAAGATTCAAGCGAGTCTAGACAGTATTCTCTATATATGAAAAAAGTGATAATATTTCACTGTAAGCCACAAGGGCGGAACCACAAGGATATCAAATCCCCGCCAAGCTCAGCTAGTGGAGCCCCATCTCTATGCGAATAATTGAACCTCTAAGCTATCATGTATCGCCAAGACACCTATTTATTCAGCTAGATGCAAGTCCTTTGCTAAGTCCGGTTGCATCAACTCCTGGTTGAACTCCTCCGACGCAGGCAACTCCAGATGCACATGCGTGTTAACCGCGGCCTTCAACTCGACGTCCTCAGCCTCAAACTCCAGAACATGTCCACCAGCCTGGCGGTCTGTAGATAGGAAATGTAGATGGAAGCCGGCGACGCAGATCCCGTTCGTGTACGGCGGGGAATAGAACCCGAATAGCGTGCCAGCGACGTTATCGTACGTCTTGACGACCTGGCGCTTAGCCAGTTCAAGCAGCGGCTCCCGCGGGCAGATTTGCGGGCCCCCGATGCGGTACACGATCTTTTTGAAGGTGGCGTCCACGCGGACAGCGATGAAGTTGTTCTGATTGGTGGGGAAGAATGGATGCAGGGCTTTCTGGAGGGTGTCCATGCGCAAGGTCTCCAGAGACTTGGTCAACGTGGGCTGAAAGTCCGTGGCGACGATCATTGGCAGATGATCTGTGGGTGTGAGCCGGTGTATCTGATTGTCTGGGGTGAAGTGGTAGGCCTCGCCGTCGACGATGACGATCTCGCCATTCAGGCCGCAGACGGTGCCTAAGCCGTGGTTGCATCTAGAGAGGACGTTGGAGACGGTCGCTCCGTCGGAGGAGAAGCCCTGCATGAGGGCGCTGAAGACGCCATATTGATAGATGTGATTCATTCTGGGACAGAATATGAATTGTATGGATGGAAATGCGGTAATGAAAGATGCCGTCGTTGGGTGACATGACGATGATGCTCGCGCGGGGTTATGCAGGTTATCCCGATGAATGCGCACTAATCCATTCTAGGAAGCCGATACCGGTTCCCGAATGCCGGATGATCCCACTATAGTCAACTCCGGCTTTAAGGCCGAAGAGGTTTGCTTCGAAATTAGTGAATAGTAAACTTCCCGCAGGAATAAGAGTATCTAATGATATATTTTCTACTTTGGGCCAGTCGCTTGCTGGGCTCTTGAGGAATTTGCGCGGTAGATATGGCCAGGCCTCAGGCGGAGCGGCCTGTCTTTGAGGGTCAGGGCTTTGAAGGTCATGTGTAGATGCACCCTCGGCTGGAGGATCGGACATATCCTGCTATAGAGACCTTCTATAACTGACTCGCGATATGCCTTCCGGTCGCTTAGATTAAAAAGCGCAGCTCCCATGCCTCGAAGACGAGGGGTAAATCTAGTCTCACGTGACTTTGAATCAAATCCAGGAATCAAATGTGTGGTGTAAAAGGAAACCATTGCGGCGGACTAAATCAACAGGCTAGCACACAAGACGTTTCCTTGGGTATCACAGTTTCATTGAGACCACTTCTCACTTTGAGCGATATACCTCGTATCGCCCAGCTTGAACCTATGGTAAAGAACTCCAGAGCTCACTTGTTCATGGAGATGATGCTTGTAGAATGTTTATTTGGTCGAAAAGGAATGGAGGCAATGGGCGGGGCAGAGTACTTGCTGAGTATCCGTACTTCCCAGGTATATTTAGCACACAAAGGCGGGCAGCGATGGTGCTGCCACAGAAAATACGTCGTAGGGCTGGCTCACCTGGTCCACTGCAACCCGGCTGTACGTCACATGGCACGTGCTCTACAACACTCCAGACGATTTGTCTCAAGCCTATTCTAGGATTTTAGTGGGTTCCTTCTAGGATAGAGTTCGATGCAGAGGTGTTGTTGTCATTTAGTCCTAGATGTTCTATCAATGTTGCTCTTGCTTCTGCTTACCCGCCAGGTGGCTAAAGATCCTTCAATGAATGAGCGGTGAGTCACCTCGTTTCATCTAATTATATGAAAAAAATTTGCATCTGGTCGGGAAAAGTCGCGCTGAAGATATTGCACGCAGATTCTGCACACCTAGGTTCGTTGAGGTTGCCGCATCAGGGTCCAATGGTTTCATGCCCTATGGCTAAAGTACGGGAAGTCCCGGACTGGCCCAGTAAAAAACCGAGCCAAAATCAATACCGAGCCATCTCCGGCACTCCGAGATATTTCCCTTCACCGAGTGAAAACCGAAGCGCTTACTTGCCATCTATGAAATATCTGACGATGCCCATGGGTTGGATATATAAGCGTAGCGCAGCCTTATCTTTCTCTGCTATACATCAAACGATTCAGTCTCATTTTGTCAATCCGTCTCTTTGTCTTGGAAATCTTAATCTACCCAAAATGAGTACCAGGTCGTCTTTAGAGGTCAAACTCCTGGAAAAACCACGACATGTCTCCATGAGAACAAGGAGCAACCTCAAATCTCGGCTACGAGAACACTGGGAGCTTTGGAAGGTTGGCCTAGCTGCAAAGGAGCACTGGGATGACGAATACAATTTTCCGCCAGGTCGATATTATGGCCAGAGCCACCCATAGATGTGAGTGAGGATTCGCCATTTCGTTGGTCTAGGTTTCTAATATGTATTGCTTTCAGTTATACCTGCCATTGGATCTCGTACAAACTACTGGAACTCGGACCAATCAAGGCAAAACGAACGATTTCACGAACGCAAGCCCCAGAAGAGCCACACAAACTTCCCAACACGGCACCATGGGATCTCATGATACCGACGACTTTTCTTTTCGCATTTCAAACCCTCAACTACCTCCTCAGCCTTTTCCCATTCACCATCTTCAAGCATCAGCGCGGCGTTCGCTTGATATGCATGTTGCCAAGACCACGCAAGGATATGTCTCCACCACATGGATATGTCTCCACCATTTAGTTCAGCGGGCAATGATCGCGCTGCATGGAATATGTAATGTTTGATTCACATCCCCGAGAATCGGGGACCTCTCTATGTTTATTTCGTCGATAGATCTCTATTACCTTGACCATCTCCACTTAATGAAAGCTTTCCTCCGCTCCATTCTCAGTCAAGTCTTACCTTACATTTGAGAAGTGTCAGCGTCGCTAATCCAGCCACGTGATCCAAAGGCCTTTTACATGCGGGAATGTAGCTTGTTCCAACCACAAAGAAAATCAAGAAACACGTTCCAGCACCTTGCCTCTGAGACCTCAATATCGCCGATAAGAAGACTTGGTTAACTGGTCATCTTTTTATCAACCTGGTTGCCATAAAGATGTATCAATCGAGGGTTTGTAGCTGAGTTCCCGCATGAGCAACAAGTTTTCCCTATTCAAGACTACATAACGCGATATGAAGGTAGGAAAAGAAGTGTTGGGCATCACGACGCCTTGGCTCGCCATACTTAAGCGACATATCAGATCCACTGAACATAAGAAGGTCTACTTGAGCATAGAGTTGCCTGTAGGATTACTAATCGAGCACAGCACTCCCGACAACTTCCCAAACCGGTTAGACCCTCCTCTCCGTTGACCTTCCTATTTAGGCTTGGCCACATCCATGCCCTCATTTTTATACTCACGTAGTCGTGTTATAAAAGAGGATACCCTCCTTGTCGAATACACGCGATGGATATGAGTCCTTGCTTTGTGCAGATAGGGAAATGTCTCGCTACTTCACAGAGCAAGACAAAACGCCAGGTGAGGGCCCCGGAGTGATGTCTTCCTCTCCTGCCCAACTATCGCCCGATATGCACCGTCGACAGCCCTCGTCACCGCCACTGGATGCAGCTACGATAGAGAGATTAGGGCGAGAACGACCTCCGGCATTCTCGAGTATTTGGTCTGAGATGGCTTTTTGCTTTTCCATCATTATGTGTCAAGTTCTGGCGGTACGACCGTACCCCCGGTGTCCGTTGCATAGCCTTTGAGATGTCTGACATGCAGTCGATTTAGGAGTACTACATTTCCGGCTCAAATGTCCTTCTTCCAACTCTCCTTGAAGAATTGAATATTCCCCCGGCACTTTCAATCTGGCCGTCTACCGCTCTCTCCCTCGCGGTGACGTCTACCCTGCTTATCAATGGCCGCCTCGCGGACATGTACGGCGGGTTCATTATGTACTTTGGGGGAATGGTGTGGCTGGCTATCACCTCCCTCGTTGCCGGATTCTCTCACAATTGGATGATGTTGTTTGTGTTTCGTGGTTTGCAGGGGCTGGGCTTAGCTTCCTTCTTACCCTCCAGCATCATGATCCTCGGGAAGGTCTATCGCCCTGGGCCGCGCAAGAACCTTGTCTTCAGTGTATATGGTGCCTGCGCGGCCCTGGGATTCTTTGCTGGGATTTTTTTTTCGGGCCTCGCAGGCAGCTTCCTCACCTGGCGCTGGTACTTCTATATCGGCTCGATACTGTCTGCCATCACGGCTCTTTCGTCATACTTCTCCATTCCAAATGATTATTCCGCCACGAGAGCGTCGTCAAAGGCTTCAATGGACTGGATCGGGGGAACATTGCTTGTTCCCGGGGTTTTACTATTTGTCTTTGCGATCGCGGATAGCGCGCACGCGCCGCAGCAGTGGCAATCACCGTACATCCTCGTCTGTCTCATCCTCGGCGCTGTCATCTTAGGTGCATTCGTCTACGTCGAGGGCTGGGTGGCCGATAAGCCTCTGCTGCCCGGAGATTTGTTTTCTGTAAAGTACATGAAGCCAATCGTGATCAGTCTGCTGCTCATGTACGGCAGCCTGGGGATTTTCCTTCTTTATGCTGCTCTCTAGTATGTCCTCACCCAACCCCAAGCTTCATCTCCATATCGCCTATCTACGCATCTGCTAACTCCACATCAACAGCATGGAAGGTATAATGGGCGCATCCCCACTTCAAGTCGTCGCCTGGACGACCCCCATGGCTGTAGGGGGCCTCATAATTTCGATAGTCGGAGGCCACATCCTACATAGCCTTAGTGGAACGCTTCTCATGATTCTTTCGGGCCTGGGATACTTAGGCTCAGGCCTTCTCTTTGCATTGATTCCCAGAGGAGGCAACTACTGGGCCTTCGTGTTCCCGGCCATGATCTGCGGGACAATTGGCATCGACATCAGCTTCAACGTGACCAATATCTTCATCACGACGAATATGCCCGGGGAGCGCCAGGGGCTGGCCGGGGCACTCATCAACTGCACCCTGCATATGGGCATCGCCGTCATGTTGGCCTTCGCGGACCTCATTCAGGTCTACACGGAGGAGTACCTGAACACCAAAGAGAGTTATCAGGCTATTTTCTGGTTCCAGGTTGGACTTTCAGGGCTAGCCTTGGTCCTAATCGCACTTTTTGTCCGGATCGAGCGCGCCAAGAGTGACCTGACGGTTGATGAGAAGCGGAGGTTGCAGATGGAGCAGGAGGGTATTTTAGAGGATCCTTGATCCCGTTGATGAATATAACGTGCGGATGATGATGGGATCTTGGGAAGCGTGTCAGCATGATATAATGGCCTAATCTCGCATTTCTTACATCTATCTTCCCTGTATATAATGATTCGATATAGCATTCCGACAAGAAAGCTCCTTGCAGGGAGGTGAGGAGCAAAGGATCTTTCGGGTTAGAAATAGAATCAGAAAGAGCTTAGACCATTCGAGAAATGTACAATAACGTACGGTAGTATAAATAAGAGCACCTGAGAATAGCTTTCAATGAACGCGATTTGGTCTCGTTCAGGGATGCGCCGCGGCAGCTTTGTCCTTCCATTCTAACCCTAATCGGACGGACTGTATACTCTTCTCTTCAACGAATTCGGCCCAGCCCCAACTCCACAAAAGTTGCTATGTATGTAATAAAGTATAGGTGGTGGGCTTTTCGTCCTTTTTCTTCTTCGATGTGATTATCGTTTAGAGAAATGTCCGACCACCATCGGATAGTCGCAGATGAACGGAGTACAGTGTAGATTAAGGTTCGAGGGCAGAAATAGGAGAAATGCGAGAGGAAAGCTTTCGCGCAGGAAGCAGTATGTGAAATTCTGACTGAACACATATGACATACGAGCCCAATGTGAGCGATTACGTCCGATAAGGGGTTATTTGTGCTACTAGTCGAATTACTCCTCACTCATATGATGGGTATCACGCTGGTTGCTGTCTTTGGCTAAGATTAATCTGATATGAACCGCGTATCAAATATGACGTCAACTTAATTTGACAGTGAAGTGAGTTATACTCGATGGAGATTATGCAAAATCTGATACCGGTAGAGCTACTTCCCTGGAAGATCCCTTCATTTCTAGTATAAATTTGAGACGGGGACGGAGGACGAGTGGGAGCAAGGTGGGTGGAGTCCTGGAGATGCTTTAACACTTGAGAGGGTCATGAACACCAATGTGACCTGTGCCATGACCAATTTTCTCCAGTTTGCATTAGAGGCTGATTGCCCCGTTCCGGATTGAAAAATATGGATATGATTTTTTGATGCCATTTCTCGGGAAGTCTAGGTAAGCTCAGTCAATTTCTATCTGCGGTTTGATAACATCTCAAGAAAACTTATGGAACGAAAAATACATTCTGCTTACAAGGGTAATTTGCAGTATGATGACTGACTCTTCATTTACAGGCTACTATTACTGCTTTATTCGATCATGCCTTGCTATAGGGACTATCCAGGGCCAGCTGAGCTGACATGCAAGAGCTTTTTGTTATCATTCCACACCGGTGGGTCATTTTCCTAACATGTTGAAAATCATCCAATACGGATGTACCATCAAGGATTGTCCAGATCGGCATCAATAGTAGAAACAATTGCCTTGTAAATTGATCAAGTTTCTCATTGACACGTAAGATGTAGATTTAAAGAGTATTTAAGCGGGTGAGATCCCCCAATAGGCAGCAACACACCCACAGACTCTCTGTCATGGTTGAAGTTCTTTGTTACCATCACCACTTCCAGATATCGTAAGAGAGTATTTGTTTGCTCGAGTCGAATCTGGACGAGTGCATGAGTGTTGCAATTCATGAGACAGATGCAGGCCATTGTTTGCAGAATGCGCTTGATGATTGCCTGGAAAATGTAGCTGATACCCCTAACGATGCCCAAGCATGCTCTGAAACATATGGTGTTTATGACAGCGCGAAGCAAAACATATCAACATGTCAAACCATCCAGGGACTTGAAGTTTGGATTCTCTTTCCGGCTAAGCAAGCAATTTAAAATCAGCCGACTATCTGAGGGTAAGGTGAGGGAGAGAGAAACACGCCGTGGTGCGGATCAGTCGGTTTTAAGTTGACATTTGTTCTCGGAGGACTGTTGGTGCAAAATCCTGCGTGTGAGTGAGTTGAAAATCATGGTAAATCTTGTGATTTCTTCAATCCAGCAGATTGATCCACTAGAGTCGATTCCTACATATCCTATGGTACCGGTAGTCGGGTGCCATCCGAGGAATCTTACCCCGCATCCGTGATTCGGATTGAGGATCCGAGGACCCGAGATTGTGTAACTATGCATCAATATAAATTGCATGTTCCATCCATTCACACCTCCCTGATTTGGGTTCGTCTAATCATTCTCCTTGCCAGTTATAAAGACATCATAGCTCTTGATAATGTCCAACCCAAGACTGCAAGTCGACCCCGAGCTTTACCCGATCCCCTCTACCAGACACTCTCCCAACTCCCCCTTTCCCGTGATCGTCTAACGGGGCGTCCTTCTTGATCGTAATCCAACCGGTGCCTTGGAAGCCATAGAGACATCTGAATGGGTCCACGGAGGTCACTGGAAAATCGGTGGCGAGAAGGTCGCCGCGACACCTCATTATCACGGCACGACCCACGAAGCCTACACCGTTCTCCGGGGAAGTGGAACCTATCTTCTCGGCCGGTCTACGTTGGACCCTGAGACAGATTGGAACGGGAACCCCGTGGGCATGAAGTTTGTCGCTAGAGCAGGAGATGTCTTTGTCTTTCCGGTACGTAGTTTCAATCTACTCTCTTGGTAAGAATTTATGTCTCAAGATGGGGTGGACAGCAGGCTGGAGTCACGCACTACGTGACTGAAACGGAGGATGAGTATGAAATTATCGGGTTCTATTCCTTGGTGAGAGGCAAATCGGCCTTCATTCCCCGGCTGCAGACTAACTAGTGGTAGAACGACCGAAATTCGAGAGAGAATCCGTATGATATGGAATATGCCTTAGAATCGGTCGAAGAAACGGAGAAAAAGCGGGTGTTGTGCAGGCAAGTGCCGGTTCCACTCCACGATCCGATCTACGGTACGGAAGGGATTCCGAGGATCTGGCGAGAGGAGTGAGAGCATGCTGACCATATGTCACAATTATTTAACACAACATAACCATCTGCACCAAGATCTTGTTACCCAGGAACACTCGCTGGTGTGCGTTTTATCTTCATGGCTACCAATCACATTCTCGAAGGAGAACCAAGGCATTGTACTCGTAGCCCCCGAGATCTCTAATTACCAGGAGGGCGGCTCGACCAGGCATAAGACAACATGTAATCAAACACGAGATCCTAAGGTCAACAACCAGATAAGTAAAGCCTTTACGCAGACAGTTTGGACTTGTGAAATGAGGGTCAAGCGGTGGAGGTTCGTATTCGAGCTGGGTCTGAAACAATTGCGGGGGCCGAAGGATTGGGAATGCGCGCCTAAATTACCCAACTACTAATCATCATTTTCTGTTCTAGGCATTAGCTTCAGGGTTCAGAGTGAAATGTGCCGTGCTCTCGGGAAATGAAACATGCGTCAGCAGTATTGTTGATTTTGTCTCACAATGTGGTTTCTCAACGGGCATTGCAGTCTATGTACAGTATAAAGCAAGGGGATCCCATGGCTCTCACATGCAATAGAACATACATTTCAGAACCACAAACATGTTATCTATATTACTAATTCTGGGCCTGAGTGCCGTCACCAACGCACATGTCGCCGCCTGGGCGAAAGGGATGTACTGTCTGAACGGCACCTCCGGCACTGACGATCCCAACACCAACACGGCCGTCAACCCCTTATACATGCTCGATCAATCCGACTGGTGGTTCCAGCATGACCGTGGCTGCGACAGCTTTCCTCCAGCAGACGGCGACTTCCTCGAGCTTCCTGCCAATGGGCAAATTACTGTGGAGCTGGCACACAACCGCGCGCAAACGACGCTCTCGTACAATGGCCAATACGCGGGCGAGTGGCCCGACGGCAATGAGCATCCTGAAGACTGGTCGGGTCCCGGGAACCCGCCTGACTGTATCCAAGATGACGGGGCGATGCACACGCAGAACCAATCCATGGCCGCGGGGACGGCGTTCGCGATCAGCTATCAGAGCGACTTGACCCAGGTGACGATGGAGAACCTTGTTGTGTTTAGTGTTTCAGAGCAGTAATCATCCAGTCGCATTTCGAGAAGGAAATAAAGTGACTAATATGTTTGATGAAGCACCCCGTGGAAGAGACTGGCGACGTACGACGTACCGGATCTTCCTACCTGTCCGTCTGCAGGCTGCACCTGCGCTTGGCTTTGGGTAAGACTCACATACATACATGCTTCCTCGCTAGACAAGTCGATTAACAATTAGTCATAGGTTCCCAACGGTTGCGGACAACCTAACATGTGAGCTGCACAGACCCTCCCTTGTGAACCAAGGACTAACGTGTTCCAGGTACATGCACGGTTTCAAATGCACCGTGACGGGAGCCAGCTCGACCAAGACTGTTGCTGCGGCACAAGCTCCTGTCTACTGCGGTGACGACTCATCGAAATGTGTCAAGGGCGCCAAGCAGATGATCGCATGGAACCGTCAGTACTCGATCCGTTGCGTTGCTGCCTCATTGCTGACAAGAAGGTTCTACAGAGAAATCCGGTAACAATGTGGAAACCTCAGGTGGGATCAGTCCCGCGTACAGCAGCGTGTTGGGGTGGGAGAATGGTAAGATCATTTCGCGCATCAAAGAAACATTTGACTGACCACAAACCACACGCAGGTGCTCAAAATGATATTTTCAACTAGACATTCAAACCCCTGGGTGATCACTTCGACGCAGGCTGAGTCCAGGCTTTTTGTATTATATCTTCGTCAATGATTGAGTCTTTTGGATTGTGGCATTCTGAATTTAACTGTAGCATACACCCTCTGTCGGAGACGAGTCTTATCATTGATCCCGTCACAATCCTTTCTAGAGACTGTAGCATGAGAAAGATCTGTGATGGCTGTCAACATTGTCGAGAGCGAAGATTTCGTCTGTTCTCATCAGAGTAGCATGGTCATATTGGTAGACTACGGCATCACAGAACCCGTCGAGCCACGGAGAGAATATGATTCCAGGTTTTGCGGTCGGAACTCCTCGTGGTCCGTCTGGGACACACGACTCCGTGATACTAGCCAGGCATTATCCATGGGAGCCACCTCAAAAGTGACGTGATGCACGAAACTCACTGCCAAATACGAGAGGCCTTTTTAAAGTGGTAACTTTCCATCTGCCTGAGTCCGCTATTAGGGACTCCCCTGCTGTCGATGAGCTCTCTGACAAGTGATTTTCATAGCGCCAAAGCTAGCTTGTAGCTTATCTAGCTCAAAGCGACAGACCTGGGATTGGCATGTCTGCCAATACGATATGCTCAGTGTTCGCGGCGTTGACGTAGGGCATCACGGCTTCTCCCAGCCAGAAGGATCAGTCGCAAATCAGATTGTTGGACAGTAGCAGGAAGCCCTAAGCTAATTGGATCGATTACAGCAGCTCGTCTACAACTATGGTTTCGTAGCACCCAAACGATCGTTAAGGCCTTACAGGCAGGCAAATGAACGACAGAACTCCTTAGCATCAGATAAGATGAAATGTGACGGAATCTCTCATTCCTGAATGCGCGATAAGCCCCGCGGGTCGTGGAGATAAGCTCGAGGATCCGTGGCTATCCGATTGGCCATGACATGAACCTACCGCCATCGCGACCGGGCAGGATCACTCATCGACGTCACGGGGATGAATCTTCCAATACTCGTCCAACTCTTTATCGCTCAGACCGGGGACAGCATCGTAGTGAGTGAGTGGCGCAAGAGGAATGCCCAGCTCCTCGAATTTTGCAAGGCGTTTCTTGGTCAGCTCGTGAGTCTTGTTTACACTGTACACCTTGACGCGGTGCGCGGAAGACGTGACGTGCAACCCCCAGTTCCAGGTCTGACGGATTCCGATAGGTTCAGTGTTGAGGGCGTTATCCCATGTTCTCACAACAAGCTCGATCCATCCTTCTACATCGCAGGGAATATCGATCTCCCATGTTCGCCACGTCCATTTGCCCTTTTTGGACAGGCGCTCTTCGGGGACCGCGTACCAAGTGAAACCGCCGTCTGCTGATAGCTCGACACGCTCTGGCCAGCGTCCACCGCCACTGTAGGCCCATCCCTTGCATGCGATTGACCCGTTGTGGAAGATAACTTGGTGCTGCCAGGGTGACATGATCGCCGAACTGACAGGCATCTCCTGGATCTGAATCCCGTCAATCGGGCGCTGGTTGTACTTGCCGACCTGCTGGTTGAAGTAGAGATATTCACGGCTTTGAACTGGAGCAATTGAAGCATTTTCGATTGCCTTGATTCTGTAAAGCCATTTGACTGACCTGGCCCCTATGTAACCGGCAACCATGACCCGTAAGGGGTACCCGTGGATTTTCGGGAGAGGTTCACCATTCATCTCCCAGGCGAGCATGACTTCATTGGCCTTGACCTTAGACCAGGGCACGCTGACCACGTAGTTCATCACCTCCAAGTCCTTGACGTACGTTTCCGCGCCATATAATTCGAGATGTTTGGCCCCGTCGATCAACCCCCCGCAATCCTTGATGACCTTCTTCAAGCTGATACCGACATATCTGGCCGTTCCAATGGCTCCTTCAGCCCAAGGAGCTTGTGGGACCTCGTCCCCTTGACCAGGATATAGAGTTATCTGTTCGATTCGACGAGTTCCGGAGCATTGCATGGTGATAGTTTTCTCCATGCGCGAGAACCGAGTCTCGTCCATCAGTTCGTCCAGGGTGTATGTCTTTGGGTTTTTGACTAGTCCGTCCAGCTTGAGTTCAAACTTATCCTTATCGATAAGCGGAATACCACCGTGGTTGCGCACGAAATGCAAAGGATTCGGAGTGATGGGCTTCGACGTCACCAACCGCTTGGGCGGCTCTCCGTTGTACGGGAACTGCAACAGATGCAGCATATCAGGATGCTTCTCCCTCAGGACCGTCTCCCATGAGTCATTGGCCACGGTTGTCAGCTCGCCGCCGATGGCAGCATGCCAGGCTTTGAAGTCGTCTCCTGACAGCACGGGGTTGGTGCCGGGAATTGGTCCGAATTGGTAGTCCGGACAATCCGGAAAGGTCTGAGACGTAAGGATCTTATGCGCCTTGGCCTTCTTCTCTGGGTAATCTTCCCATTCCACGTATCTAGCGATGAATAAGCTGCATGGTAAAGGTGGATTCAGTGGGTGAAATTACATACCCAACCCAGCCCTCCCGCTCCCGAGCGAACAGTTCATCGCGATCTCCAACCGCCTCAAGTGCTTTCCTGTCCTGCTTGACCTTGGCAGGTGGGCGAGGATATATATGGATGGTCTCCTTGCCGGTCTGGTCGAGGATGGGCAGCTTGTGGCCCGCCATGCCCTGCTCAATCATCCACTCATCGGGACGATTTTTGGTATCTGATTTCTGGCTGATTTCCATCGTGAGGGTGTTTTTGCTTGAGGTACAGAGCCAATTCAACGTGCTGAAAGAGTGGTAGGGCTGAAGGTTCGCCGAGGAGGTGCGTTATCTCTTTATCTACTCGTAATGGAGGAGGGGCAAGTCGATCAGTCAGATTCGGGAATTGGTGATTGTCCAATGACATCTCCCAATCCCGTCCAGGTGGCTGTCTCATCGGATAAGGCGGAGTCAATCACATTGACTTCTCGTATTTCTCCCCGACCGGACTTCCTGGGCTGGCTTGCAGGGGTTGAGAGAGGACAAAGCCACATACCTAATGCATATTCCACCTGCTTGCACAAGACAACAGTCCCAACATGGCACCTTTAGAGTGCTCCATGCATTTTGCTACCATAAGATGGCCTGTGAATGTCTCAAATGATAGCCTATTAGGATCCTGGTTGCAAATGATAGGGCAACGCACCTCGTGTCCGACACCAACACGTCATACGAGTGCGCCGTGGTTGCATCGCTCCGTAATCCCACCAATCAATGCGGCTCAATTACTCCCCTATGTGCAGAGGTGAGAAGCACAAACTGGTGCACCTAGTGGCCGTCAACTTACAGGTTCTGCCATGGAACGAACGTTGAGGGAAGTGGGGGGAGATCATCCAAAGCGCCACTCGGCCCAAACTCATCCGGCAATTCCGAGCCTAGACCCTGTTTCGCATTCGCCCAGGCATGTCAACACCACCTGCAACGTCCTGAAGTTATGAGCTCATCAAACCTTGTCGCATCGTCTCTGCCGCTGATAGTGTTTTAAATAGCTTCTTTCAGACATTGGCGATCTTCGGCCCCGTGCCAGAACCCTTGTCAAGCTATTATGCAGCTGATGCGACCGTGTGAGTTGACCTTAATTGGAAGCCTGAGGCAGGGCGCGTCGGAGGCCCATCTGGCAGAGTGGTCGCTACCGCTTTAATTGTCCCTATCGTTGTACAGCCTCTTTTACTCTTGTGCTCAGGAATTTTGGACTCGTTCAGGTTTCTGACAAGTACACAATCTAGTCAAGACCTTCGACCGAAAGAAGCATATTGCCTGTGACGTGCAGCCTGAACAGCACAAGGTACTCCGAGTTTATACCGAGGTCAGGGGAGTACAGAATGAGTGCAATCTGCACGATACTCTCGGTTTCTTACTACGTATTGATGAGTGTAGTCTTATCGGGCAAGATCTTCCTCTACATTCATGGTCGAGAGTGTATGGAAGCTGCGGAGCGCCGGCAGTGTACCGCAATATATTCTACCCACAGGGCGCTTCAACCGAGAACCCTCAGATCGTCATAGACTTTGCTTCTTCTCCACCACAGACTCTGGATACGGCGATAGGAAAAGTACAAGTACCCGGCTGATGCATCTAGTGAAACAAATACGTCCGACAAAGGGATGAAGAAATTTAGTATACCTTGGCGAGGTGGCGTGGTGAAACATCGGAAATCAGCTGCAGTTTCTGGCAGCAGACTCCGACTCCTAAACAGGTATGAAGACCGGCATATTGCATTGCTGACTCATCCAGGGTCTTTATGCAAAGGCACTACTTTTGTACGAACGTGTAAATCGTTCTGTAATTTATCCCGATATGAATGTACTGTACATCTTTACCATCTTCGAACTTAAGCAGTCACTCCACTCGGTGATCCCCAATCTACAAGATACAACTCTACTTGGACTTCAAAATTGAACCTCAGAAGAATTTTCGATTGAACAGCAAGCTGCGAATAAAGTAATAGTGAGAAGAAGTGCCGGATCTAGCCCAGCTTCGAAGGAAAGTAGAAAGAAGGTACACAGAGCACTTTATACATGGGCTTGGCGAGGGTTAGTCATCGACAGAAAGCGAAGCGAGTCATGTGACGAGTAAGATTGCTGGCATCACTTGTCCATGTCCCACCAGGACATGTGCCATAGACAAATACGCCCTTGTTCCATGAATTTTTGCAGAGCGTCAGCTGCTTAGACGTGGCCAACACCGGCGTTGGCCATGGTCCAGGCGGCAATGTTGGTAGGTGCCTTGGCAGGGGCGATGTTCTTGCCCTGGAACTTGCTGAGGATGCTGGTGTCGGAGCCGCTCATGGAGCCGGAGGATCCGAAAGCGTTAAGCTGGCAAGAACGGCCAAGGTAGGACTGGCACAGCTTGTTGGTGTTGGCGTCGGGGGAGCTGAACAGGGCGCCCTGATAGGGAGACTCAACCACGGTGTCGACGTTCTGGAAAACGTTACCCTCAGCCAGGACGTAGCCACCCTGGCCAATCTCGAAAGCGTGGCCCTCAATGTTGTGGAAGAGGTTGTTAACCTATCAAATTTTTTAGTGGGATCCCGGATTCCGTAGCTTCGCGGATACTTACGGCGTGAAGAAGGGTGTTGCTCTGAACCTTGGGCATACGACCGGACAAGTAGTAGAAGTAGTTGCCCATCATCGTGATCATGTCGTTAGATCCATCGAGATAGATTCCCCAGTAGTGGTGACCGTTACAAGTGGCAGAGTAGTCGGAGCGGCCGTCGATCAAGTTGTAGGAGATGGTGACGCGGTTATCGGCCTGGGTACCGAGGACAATGTGCTGACGAGCGATACGGGCAGTGGTAACGTGATCAATCCAGACGAGATCAGCGTTGTTAAGGGTGATAGCATCACCGCCCCAAACGTACTTAGGGTTGATATCAGTGATGGCGATGTTCCTGATCTGTGTCAATGGGGGGGTCAATGCAAGTAGTCTGAGTGGTGGACTCACTGGATAATGATGTTCTTGGCGCCGCTGACCATGCGGATACCCTTTCCTTTGATACCTCCGGCAGAGCCCTTGCCGACAAGACTCTTGTTCGAGTTGACGGTGATACCGAGGACACCGGCCTTGTCACTGCGCCACCTTGTCAATATTTGACCCCTCAACGGACACAACGAGGTCAATAGACTTACTAGGTGATGGAAGAGACCTTGGGAGCGTTAGGCTCGTAGTTGTTGCACCAGTTGTCCTTGTTAATGGCCTGTTGGCACGTGCTGCCCGTACCCCACGGACTGCAACCGCTGGTGGTCTCGGTACCCTCAGTTCCAGTGAAGTCGAAGCTGTATGCAGATGGTTGGTTAGTCATGTTGCTCATGGACCGTCTTGAGGGATGAATGACTTACATCTTGTCGAGGACAATGACACGGGGCTGGCTGTCGCCCAAGTACGAGACCAGCTCGTCATTGGTCTTGGGGTAGACCTCAGCGGCGCTACCACCACCGGTCACACCCTTAGCAAAACCCTGGGCGGCACCAACGACACCAGCGTTGACGCTGTTCGCGAAGACAGCCGCGGCGGCGGCGAAAAGAGTTGTGTACTTCATGATAAGAAGATGAAAAGAGTGTAAAGGAAAGACAATGAATGAATGAGGATAAAGAAGAAAAAGAGAGTGGTTTGATGGTTGGAATGAGCAAGACAAGTTCATATCTTATATAGAGAACCCTGGGTGTCCTGGTGGAGTTGAAGGAAAACCCCTGTCTGCACCTGAGACAAGCTTACCCAATTCATCAAGGAACTGGAGCCAGGCGCCGAACGTTGGACCCGTTCGCCCATTGCAGCAGAGTAGAACCGGAGGTCCATCTGCAATGGGACATGCTCCACCCTGAGCAGATTCGGGGTTCTTGGCAGCACCCACACAGGCCAATTGTTTGGTCAGGAACAGGATACTATCCCCGTTCCACCGGACTTTGATCCCTTCTAGAAACCGTCCCTTGGCAGGACCGGTTCTATAGCATCGTTAGCATGAGTGAAAATGGATCCAATGAATGAGGCTTTTTCTTTGCTCCACCCGCAATTTCACGGCACCCTACGATAAGAGGTCAAGTTTGGGTACTGAAGAGTGCCCACCAAAAGCTTACAGGTGAAGATCGGAGGAACATGGAAAGCTTGGTTTTAGATGGACGAGCTGGATTCATACGACTGAGCGCTCGTGAAGTAATCGAGAATGAGGACTGTACGAGCTTACGAGGGAGTACGGAGAGGGGGTTGCTGCCTGCAGACCCTGACCGCAACGCTCGGACCCAATCGCTTTCCGCTGCTGCCGAACACCGCGACGGTCACGTGGGCCGTCTAGACCTAATCACATCTCACGTGAATTTTAATGCAGCAGTCCTGCCAAGCCTCTTTTGTCTCACCTCAATATCTGCTAAAAATCTTGGTAGGAGCACTACCGTATGATCAAATAGATTGAATTCCCACGAGGTTTAGAGATACCAAGACTCTGAGTATCAACCGGCTAAGACATTTTGGTCGCTGGAACCTGTACGCTGCGATTCCATTAGCGGATAAAAGCTGTTGAGTATGAAGTACCGATGCAGCCAAGTATAATTCATCTTGTCGTAAGGGTTCTCTGCTGATTTGAGTCCCCGCTGCTGGATGAAAAGATGGCGCTCCTCCGAGTCATGGTGGCTGAGGCCTCCGGGGACGCCACTACACAGTCGCTGAGCACGATTGTCACCTTTCTATGCTTCACTATGTTACGATGTCAACTGAGCCGTCCTCTCGATCGTCGAGCGTCTTCCATTGATAAGATATTACAGACGTCTAGTAGCTTCATCAAGTGTGTCATGAATGAGTGCACTTATCTACCTGAAGTTTACAAGTTGCACCGAGCTGTGGGTGGCAAAGTATGATTCCTAATCCGAGCCCCTGAAGTTCACCACCGTGTGGGACTCTACTACGATATACTCCCATTCTGCCGGAGCCGGAGCCTAGACATCCGTTGAGCAGAACGCTCCAACGATGAGGTTATCTCTGTTACCTCAATACTCCCAAGCATGGTTCTAAGCAAGCGAGGCAGTGGGGCACCTCTCTAAGCACCTTTCCCAGCATTTTGCCCCGGCATTGTTCCAAGTAAGCGAGGTACACAGCGCCTGTCAACAAGCCATCCTTTGGCAGAAGGCAATCTACCGGTAGATAATCATCTCGCCCTCGTTACATGGGACTTATTAAGTAGGTAAGCATGTAGGAAGAAGCAGATATCTAACGGATCGCTTCAACTATGAATGTATGAAGCTCAACCAGCCACTGCCAAGAGAGCATAGGAGAATGCGCCCGTTCGTTTGATTCAGCCTCAAGGTATTCAGGAGCTCAGCTTCTACCTATTGATCACCTCATCAACAATTTATGTTTTGGGATTACAAGAATCAATGATTTGTAATTCAATAGACTTCAGGTTGCAGGATCCACACCAACCCGGGGCAAGGGTCCAAGCCACATTCCCCCCTGCGCCCATTCACGTGTCCAATGCATGGTTTTGAAGAGTCATTCCATGGAATGTGTGCTTCTATGTTTAACAGAGGTGCGCCTAATCGACCTGCTAAATTGGGTGGGTATAGCTTGTCTCTTTTCCTGGAACTTTTTTTGGGGGGGCCTGCGGTGGTAGTATCGGGTACAGTACTTAGTGTTCCAACATCTCGTACTATTTACCTTCGTTTCACCGGACCATCACTTGAGCCTGGTTTCATCTCTCACAATATTATATCAGTCTCTGCCGAGTTTGATCTCAGTCAAGGCTTCCTATCAAATATTGCTGCAGTCCCTAGATAAGATCCTCTGTTACCTGCATTCAGGATCTCACGATCGCAAGGTCAAACAATACCTCGAAAAAGCCACACAAGGTCTTGTCTTTGATTGATCACTCACTGAGCACAGACTAACATCGGGCTAGAGTCCATCGAGCATGTCCTCCAGAATGCACTACGACCCATAATCACAACTGAAATCCACAATCCATGGACAACATTCATATATGAAGGACTCAGACCGTCGACGACGCTGTAGGATATGCGCCCGCCACACTTTCTCGAGCCAGCTACCCTTGAAATCGAGATTGGACCAAGAAGAGTCTGAAGAACCACATTGAACGAACCCACCCGGGTGCTTTGTTCTCCGGCAATGCGATCGATTTATTGTGGAAGTGTTTCTACCTCTTCGCCCATTATCCGTTACCATGCGAGTTCAACAACAAGACAGCCAACGAGAAAGTTGACGCAGATGCCTTTCGACGAGCAGTAGCCTTGCTCGTGCACCGAGGTGCCGAGCTTTAAGGAGTACAAGGGGCAGGAGATTATTTTTGGCGACATGATAAGTTGTTCTTTCACAGGGCTAATTTTGACAGGTGACGGCGGCCCGGTGGTCTTGCCTTAGGCTGCCAGCTCACCGCCCACCCGGCTGCCTTAGGTGGAAGATGCTTGGATTCTGACTACGTTTCTCAAAGGCGTCATCAACAGGGTGCTGAGGAGTATCAATCATCTGGAGAGGACAGAGTTATGATTCGCTTTCGAGTCACCAAATCATTGCCAGTCTGTCCTGGATGATGCTATAGATGTGCTGGTTACGATAGAGCCATATTCTGTGAACCTAGCTCCGTCACCAGCTCAGCTGGAAGCGGCTGCGAGGAGGCTTCTCGCAGAGGGCCCATCAAACACCACATACCGACTTAGTCAGACGAAGCTCTCGACTTTGCTCTTCTTACTGCTCCGACTGCGGATTTTAAATGCCAAATGGGGTCGGAATTACGACGCTGAGTCGTTCGCGGATGAGGATCCAGCGGATAGAGAGTTGACCAACGCGATGGCTGCAAGACTCATCGGCAGTGATGAGGTAGATATGGACAAGGCTTTGGATATGATGATGGATGCGTTGGTGAGCGGTTCGCTACCCATCCATCAACTAGGATGCCAACAAAAGCAGCCTAATCTTATGTCACGTGTTCATCAACCATGGACAACTCTTTTTCAGCCTCTGATGTCGAATGATGACGTTAAGTTCGAAAACCCGTCAAAGATATGCTATCGCGGTTTTTTTGGCCGCCGTTTGTTAGTTTGTTCCCCTGCCTGAGGCATCAACACTTGTAGGTCTGTGGGATAGACACATCAATTATGAAAGACTCGAGACGTCTGATGACGAGATGTCTTATCATTGCCGAGTCTTTGATCACCTCTACACAAGCTCAGATTCTCACCTTATCTTGGCCACGAATCTTCATGATCCGCATGCTCCAGCAACCGTGATAGGAGCCTTCATCACCAGTCTCTTGTGTGCAGCGTCCGACAGCAGCAGCGGAACCCGAAGCTGCAAGACTGGAGACGCACACCTTTCTCTTCCAGCTACGCCAGACTTCCGACTGATCCGATGGCGAAAACCGCACACGCTCTTGAAGACCATAATCAAGACTAATTACGAGCTTACCTCGCCCCAAGCCGTAGGTGCAGAGAGCGGGCAACAGACGTGCATGAAACGGTAATATATTGGGGACTCAAAGGAAGCACTGATAGACTGCTTATCGATCCATAAGGGAGGTCGGTGGCCTTGCATGGCTCTAAGTGTCTAAACACTACAGCTGTGGCAGGATATAAAGAGGTAACGAGGCGTGACAGCAGAGGTGAGGATTCGGAGGTCGCCGTGCAGCGTTCCAGAGTTCTTATGTTCGCAGTGGTCTAGCTATAACTAAAGGCTATAAGCATCAAGCTTTACCATCAGAGTCATCGAGGTTAAAACAGTCGATATTCCGTACTAAATGTAACTCGCAAATCTTGTTCAAATTCTCTGCGTCGCTCTCCCCTCCCCCGCCGGCGCGCTCAGCTTATATATACCGGTCCCAGAATAGTGCTGCACCAGCCAACACTGCCATGGAGGTTTCAAAAGCCGCTACCGGCCTCCAGTTGCCGCCATTGCGATACATGACCCACGCAGCCACCAGACGAGAGGGTATCGAAGAGACCATGATCAGAGTATCGCGCTGGTATGTCGAAATGAGATAGTATGTGCCAAGCGCAAGAGAGGTCAAGCTAAGAGAACAATTAGTGTAATTCGGAACTTGAATTGCAGGATACAAAGACCGACCCAATGCATTGAACCGCGCCTTCGGGAGTTCCGGTCAAAGATGAGCCTTCGAAGTGGGCGACCGATGATGGAAACAGGATAGAGTAAAATGCGTTTCCTAAAAGAAAAACGCCCTGGGCAGCGAACACAGCGCTCGAGACGCCGCCCATGCGGAGACCAAGATTGTGGAAAAACATGATCGAATTACTTTGAGGTTTGGTGTATATGGTAATCTGAGTCAGTGAGCTTATGCTTGGGTGCGAGAGGCTTACTATTTTTATGGCAGGGGGTTCGTGGGGCCCGGGCTTTCCGGTTCGCTCCGATCAGCCGCCGAGTCTAAGCGTCGCTGCGGCCCCTCGGGAAAACTTTCATGCGATCGTTACTAAACGTCTTGGCAAGGGGGGAAGAGAAGTGTAAGGAAGAATCAGAGAAAAGAAACAGAATGAGCAAAGCAGTAGCTCAAGTAAGATGGTGCTCTGATATAAGGGGACCATGATACCTGTGGGAGATGCATCCAGATATCCTACGAACTCAGGCCAGCAGACTCTCTTCAGTGACAAAAAGAGACGTATCAGAATTCAGATTGAATCACTTAAGCCTTAAGCACTGTTCCACATGCATGTAGAATGGGGAAGTGAGGTTGGCATGACCAGGATCAGTGCACCTGGACTCAAAATACAGTTATGGAAACAAGTGGAGTGACTCGTAAGTACAGAAGATTCAGCCATAGACAAAGAAAACAAAGAGCGAGATTCGAAGTACGTGCCGGAGAGTCAACCCAGGTTTTCGTCGGCCTACTCGATGCGAATGTGCCCGTACTCATCGAGATCGTCATAAGATTCAATCAGAACCTCTTTGGCAGGCTCTTTGAACAAGAATCCACCCTCGTCATTGTCATAGAAGGCGCTGAACCTGCACTGACGCTTGTCTTCCTAGCACATGATTCGGTCGAGCCTTAGCCCTTTCGCTTCTTCATAAGTCACTCTGCAAGCTCGAAGGATGACAGAGAGTCTGAAGCGGGCTTCAGCTTACCGGAAGTAAATCGAGAGAGATTTCTTTCACCGAAACTAAGTCGCACGGTGGCAAAACAATGGGTGTAAATCAGGTTGCGCAGCTCGCCAGAAAGTAGCAAGAGCCGACTCGAACATTCAACAGGAGCGCTCACAAAATTGTCCTTTGTTGAGCTGTCCATGATGACGTTCACAACTGTTGTCTTTAGGGTGGGAGAGTTGAAGAAGGAAGGTCGGACGGGAGGAATAATGGATGGGCACAAGTTGAGGCTGTATGTTCTTTCGAGGTTGTTTGCTGTCGTGCTACATCGAGAATGTAACATGAGCTTGACTTTTCAATTCCATATAACCAAATAAAGCGGCGCGAAGGGAATAGAAGCCTGGTATCCATACTCAGATGCACATCCTTCCTAGACGTAATCGTCTCGCTCGAGATGTAAGTTTTTATGATCTCATTACTAATACGATAGTATGTTTAGGTGGTGGAGACTTGCTAAGGTGATGTCCACGTAAGCATACTCGATCCAACGTGGCTCGATTCATGGAAAGAAAGGGAGCAGATTTTAATAAATCACAGGAAATTCCAGTCTCAAGATCCAGTTCTACGCACGATTCGATCCCTGTCGACGAATCTGCGCCGCCACCTTGATAGGCTGCATAACCCAGTTCTGCCTAAAGTCCCAGGAATCATCGCCCTGGGAAATGAACCAGACCACTTCAAACCCTAGAACGTTGGCATCATCCGGAAAGGCAAACTTGGAGATCTTATCGGCGTCCGCGTTCCCAATATAGAACGTATCGCTCTCGGAAACAATGACCCGGTGACCGCGGCGGAGGACCTCTTGCGTGACGCCTGAATGCCAAGTCTGAATGATCCAGTCTGTCGCCAGATCAATCTGCTTTCCCGGATCGGTGAGGGGGTCGTCCTAGACGATAGCAGACTTGTTGGGGCGGAGACACCGGAGCCAGTGCAGATAATTCGCAAAGAGTCGGTTATCATCGTCCGATCCCCAGATATATGCGACTTCATCGGCCCCGAAGTGATGGTAGTGCGGGGACTGGAAGTACTGGTCTACCGTGGTGACTAAATCTGCGATGTAGGCGTGGAGTTGGGCATTGCGGATGTCGAGTTGGGCAACCAGGTGTTGGAGGTCGGGTGTGAGTGCCCACGACTAGTTCTCTTCTCCAGAGACCCCTGTTCATTTGACTCAGCGAGCTGTCCTGTACTTTGAAAGGGTTTCTCGAATGCATGGATGACGATTTCTTCTGGCTCTGACACATACCATATATCACTATGACCGGGCATGTCTGTTTCCGGATAGACCTGGATGGCCAGACTCTGGGCATAGTTGACGACCGTCTGGATATCCGAAGGTGTATAGTAATCCCGAGTGTGGCTGTACCGTATGCTCGTGTCCGTCAGACCCCGATCAGCCGGCCAGTGAAGGGGGAAGCTCTCTGCATCGTAAATATGCCAATGGAAGACGTTGAAGCGGTGTTCGTGTAGTACGGTCAATAGGTCGAGAATCGCATTGACTGGGAAGAACTTCCGGCCAGTGTCGAGCATGAAACCCCTGTGAGGGTAGAGATCGGAGTCTTCATCCATGCAATCGACCATATCGTATAATTAGGGTTATGTAGCCTAAAGACGGGAAGAGAGGGCGGACACGCACCTTTATTTAGCCTGTGGCAACACAGCTAGCTATATCAGTGGTATACGTACAGCACGGCAATACCCACAGTAATACATACTGTAATACACACTGTAATACATACGGCATCACATACAGTACGTGCAACCTGGAGATAGTCATGCAGCGCAGTTACTCCGCACCGCACACCGCACCTACCGCAGAACTCTATAATAACCGGGATGTTCGGGACAGTACAGTACACACATTCCTCATTATGACGATATTCAATGCAAACTGTCCAAACATTCGGCAAGGAGCCCCAAGAATTCCGGCCTTCCCCTATTGCATCAAACATTCATTAATCAAACGCAGATATATCCATCTCTATCCACCCCGCGTTTTACCCCACTTGATATTATCCTGCTTCCACATCGAGTATAACGGAATGACAATGCTAAACATGGCTATCATTGGGAAAAAGGGCTCATAGAAGGGAACGTACTTCCAATCATTGCAGAGCACGCACAGGACAACCGGCAACAGACAGAACGCCAGCAGGATCGCCCACGCGTAGGGGGTGAGCAGGATGGAGATCATGGCTACGACGACGCCGGCCGGCAGAGCGAGCGGCAAGATGAAGACCATGAAGAGCTCCCAGCCAATGACAAACAGCAGCCGCAGCCGGCTCCAGAGGGAGGCTTCGAAGGGCAGGACGCTAAGATGCGCGAAGTGGCAGTGGATCAGGGAGTTCGTCCATCGGTGTCGCTGGTCCAGCAGCACCGACAGGGAGTCCGGCACGTTGGTGGCGCAGATGGCCGCTGCGAAATATCGCAGGCGGCAGTCCGACCCAAAGTAGCGAATGACCAGGGTGGACAGGTAGCGGTCTTCCCCGATGGAGAGGAGATTGTGTTCATGGAGAGTCTTTTCGTAACTGCCTGCGTAGTCTTTCAGAATGCCTGGCAGCAGGATCGCTGGCTGATTGTCAGGCCACTTGAGCCGATAGATGGTGAAGCATCCGCTGAGCACTAGGACATTACTGCAGACGCTCTCCACTGCTTTGAGAACGGCGTGCGTCAGCCAGTATTCGAAGACCTGACTGCAGGTCACCAAGTTGCTGAAAGGGTTGCTGTCGCTGGTGTAGCCACAGACCCCGATCAGCGTCGGGTCTTTCTGGAGTTGGTGGACAAGGTATGAGATTCCCGTGGGACGAACTTCGGTGTCCAAATCGACGACGAGCATGTACATAGCCTCCTCCGGGTTGATGTTGAGACAGATTCGCATTTTGTTCTCCATATACGCGAACAGCGAGTTCCCGAATCCGCGGTAGTTGACGTAGTGGAAAAAGTTGTACACCAGGAGCTGCGAATCCCGTTTGCCCCGATTCCCAGGCTTGGGCTGGTCCCGCTCATCTGCGCGCCCAACCTTGACAACAATCACATAGGGTACATCGCGGAAGTAACCTGTACAACAAAATGCAAGGTTCTCCGACGCACCTTTTATATCAAAGGAGGTGTAGGGCCGGGCATTGTCATCGATCCCAGCCTCCAAATCAGCTTGATGGTTGAAGATATCTTCCAGCAAGATCCGGTACGTTGGCTTCTGGCCGGGAGCGGCTACCGTTCCATCTGTCACAATGAAAAGCAGTTTGCGTTTCTTCTCATAGGTGGAATCGATGCAAGAGTCAATGGTCTTGCGAAGAACGGACTCGTCTTCGTTGTAACAGGGCACATGCATGACCAGTAAAGCGTCATGCTCTTCGAAAGCCCGGCTAGTGTAGCGAACACGAGCCGCGCAGACCGCAACCAGGAGCGTGAAAACAGCTCCCATGCCCATACAAGTATAGATAACCGGGCGCACCACCTGGCAGAAGGAGCTCTGGCTCGGAATCGTGCCAAGGCGTATTTTCAGGACGCAGCTGGCCAGGGGCTGGATAACGAAACAGTAGCTGAGAAAACCGTAAATGACTGCGACCAGGAGGCAAAACAGCACCTTCTGTCGGAAGACGAGACGACGCCTGAGGTCGTTCATCTTGCACACATTCTTGGTAAACCAGGAAGGGACGAAAAAGGTCAAGCAGCGCGCCAGCCATATCCATGATTGTCGATATACTCCGGGCTTAATGTGCTCGGCAGTGCGCTGAGACGTCTCCCAGGCTTTGAAAGCCGCCACCTGCGCCTCAAGGGTCTTCTCACGGATTTTCCCGAGGAACCTCTGCGTTTTGGACCTTCGCTCCTGCTGAGGCGGGTGGAAAGCCGCAGGCGGCGGACACACCTCGGCCGCCAATTCCCCATCGGTGCCGGTGAGGACTGTTAACTTTTCAGGACACTCGGATTGAATTTCGACAATGGTGGGAGTAGGATCTGAGGGAGCCGCGGGGATGTCAGCATCATTTGGGGTTGCCCGCTGGCTTTCTCCCAGCTGGGAGTCTTTCAGCAATTCGGACATCACGGACGGCAAAAAAGCCCCGAAAAGTCGAGCAGAAGGACTTGTAACTTAAAGTCCCTCTGAGAGTTGGTCCGCGGCCTAGGACACCTTATATACCACGATGCCATAGCTATGCGCCCAAGTGAAGCGTGAGTGTCGCCCCCAAAAATCAACACGGAAAGTCTAGACATGATAAAAAATCATTGCCTCTCGTAGATCGGGGGCTAGACTCCTCGTTTACCGTGCCTTCGACGTTGCTGACTTGGTGAGGCGTTCTTGAACGGTGACAACGGCGTACCCAGGCGATTGGTTCCCGGGAGTAACCCGGGGTTGGCTGAAACAATCTCTAATCACCACTAGGTGAACACACTCTCTGGACTATACGGGAATCTGATACCTGTTTCCTTGACAAAGTGAACAGCCCTTCTGAGCTCCGCCTCAGAGTCGTAGCGTCGTGGGTCTCTGCCCACAACTAGCAGATCTGCAGAACAATGAAGATGTGCAGAGGAAGACAGTCTATCGAGATCGCAATAACCACCCGGTAGAGTTAGAAGTGGACCTTGCCACTTCTCCTGCCGCCTCCTGTACGGTCAATGAACAGGAATAGACCCGCCCAAAGTTCCGAGAATAGGAACTTTGCATTTCTAGCTCGATTCTGAGTGGTTCGGCTAAGACACGTGGGTGTTCGGACCTTAAGTTGTGAATCTGTGATAAAATCCAAGCGCCCCACATACCTACACCGTGTGCTCGGCCGCAGGGTGGGGCCCGGGGTATCCGGAGCCGAGGGCACAGGATGATTAACAGAATGCTTGGAACCTTTGGCGCTAAGTCGCTTAAAGGCGCCATATTCTCATCGTGCTCCGTTAAGTGACGATCTCCTCGGTCTAGTCGTCGTTGTGGATCATGTCTTGATGCTTATACACGAGAACTATATCGGAAGAATTGTGAAGGGACCCGGATTTCTACCTCTCGACCACGTGAGCAACGTAATAGCCATGTAATAGCCATGGCGGCATGCTGCCAAAGCCAAAGGGATATTGTATGCTATATAGACTTACGAGAGAACCTCCATTTGAATCCTTGGCACAAGCAGTGTCCTGCATCAGGAAAATGTTCGTGGGGGCTTGGCAAATCACGTGTCCCATGCGTCATGTCGTGCACCGCACCCACCTGACAACGGTCGCCCGATACCGCATATGCTGTATATGACCCGATGCCTTGAGTACTTGAACATTATTCCTGGTGTCTCCCTTACATACCCCAGAGGCGAGAAGTATCTTCGGGCTGATTACTACTTACCCTTGCTCGCATTCCTCCGAGGTCATTAATCACTGGCCTAACCCACTTGCTTCTATATGGGCCTCAACAAATGTTGCCATGGGATTGAGATTTACATGTCCTGGCAAAGTGGTTCAATCTTGAAAGCTCTTAGATTGGCTCTATTGCCGTCAGATTTGTCCGAATCACAAGACCGTCTCTGCTCCGTTAATTCAAGAGATCCTAGGCATCCGAACCAGGAAACCAGGTTTAGGTGATCAAGGGTGATAGACACTTGGGATCCGGTGTGGCTTGGCCAAGCAAGTGGTTCACTATTCAGTTCCAGATTAATTGAAGGAAGCATAGCCCCCGGTTGTTTTTGAGTCGCACAGATGTAGTTGACCCCGTTGAACGTGTGGACTACGGCATTCAAGCATGCATTTTCGCTGAATGGCGCCAATCAAGCTACTTCGCTCGGATCTCCGATTCTCTGGACATACACATATGTCTGTCGGTGGTAGTTTGGACTAGAGCGCGATTACAGAAATAGGAGACAGGGCGATCAAGGTTAACTGGCCATAAACAGACTAATAAATGCTTCAATACGTTCTCTTCCAGATTGCAACATCAAGATATATCAAGCTGGGTCGGGACTATGAGGTAGCAATTTATGGATGGAATGAGCGCCGTCTTTCATAATGTCGTCCGTACCTTTGTGTGCGACCATCACAACAATGAAAAATAGCATGATAGGCCCTGGCCACTTTCCCTAATCGCATCATTGAAAATCTGTGTGCTAGGGCGTTGCTCAAACGTACTCGAGCGAGAATACCCTGGCGTCGGATCTCCTATGACCGGAATCCAGGTCAGTGCCCAACTGTCGCCGAACGTCTGAATTAATTAGTACTGGCCCATCGAAGTATTGAGATCTGGCGTATCCGAGCTTCTGTTGATGTTTGTCGTATAGATAGATATAAAACTCCTCGTCATCTTCGATATAATCACCCGCTTTACCGAGGTCCTTAGGCATGAACATGAAATAGCTCGCATTCTCGCCGCTACTACCAGCCCAGACCATGATCTTATCTAGCGTGCCAGGCATTGTGGGGTTCACGCCTAGCCATTGCTCCTTGCCATCGGTAGTGATTTGGATCTTGTATTCGTGGTTGTATTTTAGCTGCGAGGTTGCAGGTCAGCTCGGTAACACACACAATACCAAGGCATTGTAACACAGCAAGTTGGGGAAGAGGGATGCTGAATTGGGAGCGCAAAGGGTGGATACGCGACTAAGTACCTTATGGTCTTCGTTGCTCTCGGTAACGATGCTGAAGTCTCGATTGGAGCCTTCCGTGGCGTACCAAACCTGCACGGGCACGTTGCCAAATTCCTCGTTCTTAATTCGATCCAGGAACTGCAATCGCTCCTCAGTTATCATGGTGAGCCCTTCTTTGATCACTCCATTGAGCATACTCCCTGTAGTATCGTTAGTATTTGACCAACTGAACTGGGCCACCGAAGGGCTTTAAGGAGAATCTCTCACTGCGAGCATGGTCATAATTCGCCCTGGGAATGAACACTGCCTGGCTCGAAGCTTTTAGTCGAAACTTGATTGTCTCTAGCTTCAGGGCTTCGGGCGTCTTGGTGGCCAGCAGCGCCGCAAATCTCGTCTTAGTATCTTCGTACCCCGGCACCATAGAAATGACGGCTTCAAGCGGCATAATTTTGGATTGTTGAATGGGTCTCCAGTTGTAGAACGAGCCAACAGTGTACGCCCAATTGGGAGGGCTAGTTTAAGATTCGAGTTAGATTACCGACACGTGCCAACCCAATAGAAGATGCTGAGGAACAGGCTGGAGATACGCACTTGTTGCACTGCAGGGTATCGCCGCCCTGGGCCTCCCAATTGATCGCGCTGTATGCTGAGACATCCCTTTTCTCGGAGCTGGAGTCGGACGAGTTGCTATGGCTTGCACTGGCCGATGCCTGGACCCAAGGTGAGGAGAATGAAAGCGCTGCGGCTGCCCTCATCGACTTGGCCTGTTTTGCCGTGGCCGCGGCGTCAGTGGATTCACTCTGTTCCGAATTGTGGAGACGGCCGCCCAGTTGAACCCTGGTGGTAAAAAAGCGACCTGAGGGGTGTCAGCGCTTCGACCCTTTTGCTTTGTTGGATCGTGGGCAGAATTGGCCACCTACCGTATTTGTTCTTGAAGACATCCACGGCTGCAGCTGTATTGACTCGCTCCAGGTCAAATTTGCATTCCTCGCTCAGGTCAAGGCCAGAGGGCTCGAAGTCAATGACGACTCGAGGGAACTGCCGCGGTATCGAGTTAGAGAAGGTTCCGTGAACGTTTGAAAACGGGGAAAGAAACGTACATTGTAGGTGATAGTCATCACGCGACTCTCTTGAGTGCTACTGGAGGTTGACGATGATGATTTGCTCTCACTGTAGCTTGCCGACGCGCTGGCGCTGTAACCAAAGGCGCCGCCTTCACTGCAAGCCCCCCGCGTCTTAGTCTGAATGAACTGGTGCCTAAGCTTGGGGTAAAAGAAAGGACCTTACATAGCCAACTTGGCATCAGTCTCAGATAAGGACGCTTCAGTCATTGCGCGGGATACCGATTTCTTCGTTTCGAACTGTCTGATATAAGAGTCGTCGTCAATGCGGAAGCGTGGGATCCGGAGTAATTGCTGTTGCGTATCAGCCAAAGCACAGAGACAGGAGGAGTAGTTACGGAGCTTGTTTCACCTTTGCCTCCCCAATCGAACCTCTGCCGTCGCACTGATCTGATAGTTGAAAAAGTAGCGTGGTTTCAACACAAAGCCTACAATGCGCCAAGTAAGTTGGAAATCGTTGCCCAGAATTTGCGAGAGGGTACTCACTGGGATATAGTGCGCGTTCGACAAACTTGTTTCCATCAACATCTACCACACGGTAGGCATGAAGCAGTCAGTTGTTGCGCATCACCACGCTCCAATGCTTCTCAGACATATCAGCTGGATGAACAATACTGAAAGTCGTGGCCGGATTGTAGAAGATATTGTGACTGAAGGTAGTTGCTTCGTGGGGCTTGGTGGACTGTCGAGTGACCGGGAAATCGGCGGCACTCTTCTGTAGCATCGGTCAGTGGGTGGTGCCGCGAGTTAGCGTAAATTAGGGCTTTCTTACATCCACCGCCACCTTCTCTCCTTGGTTGCGCAGGCCATGGATATGGCCAGTTTCGATGATTTTCTTGGAATTAAGATACACTCGGTAGGTGTCGGCATTGTCTTCAGTCCGGTCCTAGCATGATTGTGAATTTTTCAGCTTCGAGAATTGATAGGTGGACAGACTCACCCCAAGCTCGCTCGACTATATAGCGGGTAGGTTAGCGTCATCTACCCTCATCCATCAACCTCCGCGCCAGGATTGAACTGACCTTCTCATTGAGAATCTGTAGATAGGCCTTAAAGCTGGTGGTGTCTGCCACCTTTGCGCCGCGTTGATTGGTGAATGGACTCGAGAGCCTGTTTCACGCTCAGCATAATTTACATTAGGGGTGAAATCGAGGTCTCCTTTACAGTCTCGGTTCCGAAGCCTTTTCGCTGATCAGTAATTGACGAATGTCCGAAAGCTTCAACCCTCCGTTGTCTGGGTTGGTAAATGGAATGCAGGCTTTCTCCTTCACGACTCTGGTATCTCCGTCAAACGAGTAGACATGAAGGATCTCGGGTGTGCCTTTATCCAGGACTGCAAAAAGATCAGTCTAGACATTTTGGGATGCTCTGAGTCAGGCAACATACTTTCGGTAGCTGCTTTCTGTTCGGCAGCTACAGTAGACGAGGTGTCCTTGACTGCTTCTTTGTCTGTACCCGTGGCATTGGCAGTGTTGCTCTCTGTACCTGTGGTCTTGTCCTGGTCCAGGCCTGACAAGAAAGGAAAGTTAAATCTTGCAACAGGGTAATTTCTTTTGTTGAAAATAGTATGACATACTGACAGAGACCTTCTTCAGGTTGTCATCAATCGCAGAGGTCGTCTTCTCGGCTGTATCCACGGCACCTTTCGCGACACTAGCGGTGGTATTTTGAAGGAACGAGTCCATTTTTGGTGCAAAAATGTGCTAGTCAGTTCTTGTGTAAATTCTGAAGTATACAGATAGCCTCAGAAGATTGTGTAGAGGGAGATTAAATGGAAACATTGGATGGGTTGTAAGTTGTATTTATAGCGGATTCCTTCGACCAGGGTGGAAGCTACTTTGGTCGGCGGAAATGGTAGCTTTTCCCTTCAGCAATACTCCCATCCTCTCATGCCTCTGCTTTTTTTGGTGGAAGCTCGTCTGAAACTGGGCCACTAACGAGACCTCATATGCCACACTTGGCCCACAGGAGCTAAATGCTCATCTTGTTACCATCAGTCTGATTGGGGCGATTGAGGCAATCCTGTATCAGGGTAGATTAGCCTCGGGAGCTTCATGCACAATGACATCAACTTACGTTTTGGGAGACCCGATCTGAGAGAGCAATCTTGCTAGATAACCGATTGTGTCATCCTACTCCGGCTTTAGGGTGAGGCAGATCGCTTGATGTTACACGATGGCGAAGGAAATGCAACTCGAGACCCGCCTGTGCGGGGTAGCCAATCTATTTAGATTTGATGAGGGGTCGGAAAGCAGCAAAGGTTGATGTGTTCATCTGCAGGCAGGGTGTGTTGGTCGCTGCGCGCGCTGTGGAGGCTTTACAGGGTGATGGTTCGATTGCTGGGGATTTTCATTGGGGTCGGCCCGCCGGGGGCCCGCTTCAACTCTCCGCGCTAATGTCGCCCCTAGCCCTAGCTTCATGCATTTAATCAATCGTCAGCTGATCGGCACAGCTCCCTCCGCGCAATCTAGGGTGACCTTCTGGCCCCTGTGCATATGAGCTGGTTTCACAGAGAGGGGTTCTTCACCTCAGCATGCATGCGAACGATTGATTGCTTGGCTCCCATACCAAGTATCATACCCTCGCCACTTCTTTGCGTCCAGCAAGGAGCAGCGGTTGTACAAATAGTCAAGTTATCTCTCTATTGCGCCATGGACCTTTCGAGCCAATGTGAGCTGATGAGCCGATGCGGGTCCGACCAACCTTTACCACCAAAACCTGCATGCAGGCTTTGAAGTCTCGTACACGCCCGGACATGAACCTTATAGGCGGCATATCAACGTCACCATCCGTGATAAGCATGAGACCTGCCTCACCCGGTCCGCGTGCTCGTGTTGGGTGCCCGGTTTGCAGCCACACTACTGCACGGCGCGACAGACCGGGCATTGTCGTGACTGAGATGTTGGCTACGTAAATAGAGTGTTATGCCTTGTGAGTTCAGCCTTACCTATTCTTCCAGGTAGTTGAGCGAACGTGGAGATGATCGGAGTATTGCTGAACAGCACCTCCGCCGTGGCGCGTGGCAAGGAGCATGTGTATTGAGGGTACAAGCATGGGGTCGGTCCCTCCCCTTAGGTCCGATCAGGAGCAGTGCAGGTCTGTCAAGTCCGATTCAATCGACCTGAACTAAGCTTCATGTACTGTACCGGGTATTGAGATCTTGTTCCTCTGTGTTTGTAACACTTGCGAGGTCTAATGCTTACTACAATGCTGCGTTCTTCCGGGCCTCCTTCTCAATTCGAGCATGGACTCAAGGATGCAGGGTGTTAGCAATGGCATATGAAGGATGAATGATGAAGCAGAGTTGAAAAAAAGGGATTTTGGAGTGATTGGCATAAATACACTACTGTAGTCATGTCAACAGGCTATATTTTCATGGATGGTAGAGAGACGTGGAATAGTGGTATGTTCTGCTACGTGAGGCTATCTCCGGAACCAGCCGAGGTGGGCGGTGAGCGGCAGCCTGGCCGACTTGAGAGTGGCTTTCGCAGGGAATTGCAAGAAGACAAGAGAAACAGAGAAGAGAGGTTTAAAGATAACCGCTCTTCTCTTTCACGTTGTACGAAGGAGTGATAGTAACCGGAAGCCAAAGGTGATGATAGAGAGCAAAAACATACAACAGAAGGGATTCGCTGGTGGTCACCCACCCAACTACTAACCTCCCGGCGTGTGGCTTAAGTACGGCTGAGCGGACGGGAAGCCCTGTTTTCCACACCCTGTGGTCGTATGTGCTTGTTGGAAACACCGATTGAAATTATCAGACAAGCGCGGCGGAAAGTAATTGACATTAACAAAAATCTCCGCTTAGAGTTGAAGACATATGTGCACAATCCCGGTATGTCCACCACAAAGAGCTAAAAGAAAATGGCTTTGATGGGCCAGACCGCTACCAGCGACGCATACTCAAGTCTGACTCGTCTTCATAGCTGTCCAAGGTATGTCCATGTTTCAGCCCGCCGTATTCCATTTCCACCATTGTGACTCGGCCAATCCCACTCCTCGGAGGTGCAGCAACCTGCCGCTTGTACCCTGCAGGCTTGGAAGCATTCTCCTCGCTTTTGGTCCCTTTGTCACTCTGACAGTCTGTTCGCCCGTCATTGCAGGAAATTAGGGGTGGCTAATACGTATATAAATTGGGGTCCCATACTCCGAACGTGACCGGCCACTTTGGCTCTTCCTCGCGTACAGAATCCGTCAGCTCATAACCCTCTTGTTGTGTTCATTGCTTCCATTAGCCTCTTCCCAAGCCAAAGGCCTCTCGGCATGCCCTACAAGGAGCTGTTGACTATGAGCTTGGTCGCCGGCGATGCTCCCAGCTCTACACCTGACCAGTATACCAACGGTCGCATGCCCGCTCGAGTTCAGGTTGCGATTCGGATCCTTGATAGCGACGATAGCCGGTACGAGACAACCGATCTGTGATGTTGGAAGTACGTGAGCTTTGTCGACTACTACAACAGCGGACGCCGGTATACTGACCGAATATGAGACTTTCTATGTCAGGACAGGGAAACTGGGTTCGCGTAAATTTGATGGCAAGTTCCACTACAGCAACCGCGGCAGTGATACCAAGGGGGTGGATTTCCGCGCTGTCAAGCCTCGAAGCTACAGTACCAAAGACCTCGACATCGAGGAAGTCGAGATGGACAGCAAAGACTTCTTTGCCGGGACCTACTGGGTTTAGACCAACACCTACATCAGTAAACTTGCCACCGACCATCGTTTCGTCAAAGTCCAACCCTGGAAATACCACTTCGATAGCGACGAGCAACCCGGGTGGGGGTACTGCTGGATGGTTTAGGATGGCCACAAAGAGAGCATGACCACCCGCCATTGGTATACGTGGCCAACGGGGGAGACCAAGTGCACCGTCGGGTCGAGGACCTCCCGCAACCGCCTGATCGCCGACATTTAAGTCCTATGCCGCCTGCGTCACCCTCTTCGAGACACATCCAAAGGAGGCGCTACTAGTGGTGCCAGGTTGGAAAGAAGAGGGCCACTGGATCAAAGTGTGGGACAAGTACGGGAACTTTGCAGCCTTCACTCTCGGCACCAACGACAAGAAAACGCACCTCGTTGTGAAAGGCCGCACCGTCACGGCGGAGGTTGAGCCAATGGTTCTCCCCACAGACGAGATGCCCGCTTGGGTCAAGGACCTCCCCACGGACGTCCAGCGCCGGCTTCCTGAGCTCAGGTCCTAGGAGCTCACTGATCATTTGCCTCCCGACCATTCTGTTATCGAGGAATTCCGGGCGAGAGCCCAGAGGAAGAAGGATACAGCCTAAGCCTGTATTCTTGGTGGCATTTCGTACTCACACGGCGCGTATGGGGTGAGGTGCACGTATTCCGTACCGCATAAGGTGCCGCTGCGCAGATATGATCACATGATAGAAAAAGCCATGTAAAAACCATTTTTGACTTGCAGCTCAAAGCGAGAAGTTATTTGACCCTTGTCCGACTCGAGATGAATGGATTGTAGTTAACCCGGGAACAAACGCGTTGACCAACAACTTGATCCCACTTTAAGCCTTTTTCATAGGATAGTAAGATATAGTGATGGACGGACCCCCTAATCCCTAAATCTCGCCTTCGTTAGGAACACCTGTCCACCAACCCCGAAGATCTCGATACCAAGACCAGCCCCCCAGCGATCCCCCGAGGGCCAATCCAGCAATGAACGCCGTCTTACTCATCTGGGTTTTGAAGCTGAAATCATACTTCCAGTGCCTCGATTCTTCCTCCTTACTGTGGGTGTCGTTAGAGGCCGTCTCCTTGTTGCAACGAGCCGAATGCGACGAAAATGCTGCTAACGCGCGAGATGTCATCGTAGCATGTGCGCTGCGAAGGAAGCCATTGTTGTAAAGAGGGGCGCGTGTTGGGAGGCGGCGCAGTATTGTAGCCATGAAGATTAGTGCGCAGTCTAAGCTGTTAAGGTTAGTTAGTATTGTATAGAGAGCATGAGCAAATGGGCTGAGGATTGGTTGCTAACGTTGTGAATTTTGCAATGTGCGATCAATGTGAACAGAACTAATAGGCCGTGCGGCTGGTAGTCTTTATACGTATATTGGTGAGCCAGACTGGGCGTCCGGGAAACATTCCGGTCCGCTCTGAGACTGAACGGGAATAGCGGCGAGCGGGGCCAAGCGGACTAGCCCGCAATGACCCTAAAAATAGTACGTCCCTCCCGGCCTCGGATGACCGGCTCGGCTGTTCCGATAAGGCTGGACAACTCCTCGGCGGTTATCTTTCATCTTCATATCACCCTTGTCCCAGTACTCCACCATCACATCATCATCTCCCTTGTCAACGACCTAGAATGTTACCCCTCCTTCCTCAATGCTAGTCATATGCAGTTCGACTTTCCATCTGACGGTATTATCTGTCTAAAAGACTGTACACACGAGCTTAGCCATTGAAGCATGTGGTGGAAGACCATGGGACACAGGGAGGGAGACATGCTATGTAGGATCATAATTTGCTCTCTTGTACTCAAGACAGTGGAAAAATCTGCTACCTCCCTCCAAAGTAAGTCTTGGGGCTCCGGCGCCAAATTCGACGGATGCTTTCAATTCTATCCACTGCACTGGGGGTTTGAACTTGCAATCTGCAACGCTCGAGAAGGAGCCACATTGGCGTGTGGGGAACGGGGACACACCATCATTTTCAACCCACACGTGGTCTTGGGATTACCAGGGTTTTCCGCTTGCTTTCCTCTGGTCAAATGGAGCGCACTCATTACCCATCGATCTGTCTGCGACTGGTCCTGCAGCCAATAATACTCGTCGTTCCTAGGGCTATCTTGGCCAACGTGAAATTAATATCCGGACTGATACGGCATATCAGCTGGAGTGCCTACCCACTCGGCGTGGGGCTCCCCTGGGACGGGGCTCATGGCCAGGATGAACTCACGCAATACTGGTAGCATTCACGACCAGAATAGCTTGCGGCGCATGCAGAAATAGGTCATCTGAGCGTCTACAGCCCGGTAAGGGGACTGCGCCCTCCGCAGGAGGGGTCTTGAAATCTGACGTCAGGAGTTAGGAAAGACCATTTGAATCCTAAACCATCCCTAGTCGGGCCGCTGCTGTCTTTTCCGCGTCGGGTAGCAGAGATCGTCAATAGCCGTGGGAGGGAATGACGGCGTGTAAGGGTTGAGTCGAGAATGAGGTCAATGGATCATTAAACTCAGCTGTTGTGACGGTAATGCTTGTTTGTTGGGACCTACGCTCATTACCCCGTGCTATTGTCACGTTGGGCTGAGAACCCCAGTACATTGTGGCCGTGTAAATGCATTCTGTCAAGCCAATTCTGTATAAAATTGATCACGCTGCCTAGGGCATCAAGACTCAGATCATCCAAGCTAGGGCCACCGAGGCTAGTCAGAGTCTCGTTTATCTGGGTGCTAGCTGTCCCAAAAGGCTAGCCTCATTGACACGCAAGTAGGATTTCTGCTTACATGGAAGCACCAAAGAACAGCTGCGCAAGGGAGAAGTTGGAGTCTGACAGCCCGGCCCGTCATTTAAATTGCCTGTACTCATCTGAGTCCTTGGAGAAGTCTTTGCAATCAAACTTCAACGTGTCGTCAGAGTCATCGCTCTCATACATCTCCATTCTACCTGATGTCAACGCCAACCGGAAATATAGCTGTAAACCCTCTACCTTCCACGTGCAACTCTACGGAAGGGACCACAACCTCTCTGCATCGATTGCCTTTCCGTGAAGCGTCCTAAAGAAATGGTTCAGTAGAGTTTCGGGGTTTTCTTGCGCAGTTTTCCGCATATTCTCGAAACCTTGGTTAATTATCCTCTGGGATAGCACGATGTTCTAATCATAGGAATTGCGAAATATGAGGTATTTTTTAACATTTTTTAGTATTTTGATCCCCATCGCGCTGCTGGCGTTCCAGTTCGCCGGGTCAATCATTGGGGCTTGTATCGGACATGTAACCGTCTTAAGGGGGGTCCATTTTTGTAGTGTTTGCCCTTGGTGAGAACGGGGTTCTCAATCATCCCCCCAACGAACCGCGCACCCACCAAGATCGACTTTGCTCAAATCTCTGCCCTTTCCCCTTAGGATGTTCAGGTGCAGGCATTCGCCGTGCAGCAAGCGCCCGACTCCAGCTTAGAAATCTGTATCGTGACGAAGGCGTCAGAGACAAAGTTGGACTTCTTCCTGCTGCATCATGACCCCCTAGACGCGATTAAAGCGACAATGCCGTTGACCAAAGTGACACATAGGTTGTTTCTGACTGTGGACCACATATATATGGTTTGTATACCTCTCAAAGCATCTTTCACTAGAGGCAAAACCTACAATTACTAGAAACATGGCACAAGTCCAACGAGGAACAGGATGCCTTACCTCTCGTCAATGGTTGCCTCTCAACGTTACGACCGGTTAGCCAGCACGGAGGGCTTGAGCTATGTGCGCTTTGCGCACGGTTACCATCTTAGTCACGCCGTAGAGCTTGCCCGTCACCCGAGGAAAATTGTGGACGCAACCCTGGTGACTTGTGCTCTCGGAGACGGGGTCATGGTGCTTCAACAAGGCTTCGATGCGGACAAGCTGTGCTTGGTTTTCAAAGTGCTTGACACGATAACACCGGGGACGGGATGGCCGTCTCGGTAGTTTGCCCAGAGAGTAGGCCGTCTCAGTGCCAAACCCGCCCACATCACCACTGCTAACACTTTGCTACAGACGCAACATGTCCCGCCCCGTACTTGAATCCCTCCACGTCCGAGACAGTGGTCCTGATCGGAGGTGCAGTTCATCACGGCCTTGACAAGCAAACAATACACCTCATCCCTAGGAGGGCCCGGAACAGTCATTGAGGCAACGAAGAACCCTAAAGACTTATAGATCTTGCCAATAGGCTAGAATTCACGTCTGTGGTATAATACATTCATCGACGCCGTGTATTACTACACCACAACAACAACATTGCTGTCAGATGGCGTTGTGAAGCCATTGCTGGCGAAGAACCGGGGTGGCCGGATATGCTGGTGGCCATCCCAGCCACCTTACTCTATGTAGTACTGAAAGACACCGATCCTTATACTTTCCAGAGCTAGGTTCTGGTTGGCGCCGGATTCCTCGCCGGCGTGATCCTGAACAACGAGGCGGAGAAGAAAAGTCTCAGCTGTCCCGTGAAAAAGCGCTTCAAGGCAACCATGATAACGGTGACGTTCGTTCCCTCTCTGAGTTTCGGCCTCGGCGTGATATAATGGATCAGAAAGCGGGCAGCAAGCAAAATTGGCTATTGTCAAGACGCGTATCGAAACGGCTGCTGGGTTCGGCGCGAGCTGGGGAGGTGCTGTGGCTCAGTGGAACGATGAGTTCGAAAACGCTTTGATGTATATCGGCTTGGCAGTGGCCTCGGTTTGCACGTTGGTCAAGTCTATTGCCTCGCGACAGACTTTGTGTGTATGACACGTTGCTGGGACGACAGTTGCACTGTGGTCTTCTGGTCTTGGAAACGGCAGTATTTTTTTTAGACTGATGTTTTGATTATATTTCTCCTCTGGTAAAAATGTGTGGCATGTATTCACCCAGTGATGCAATGAGGCGAGGGAAAAGGCTCTATGGAGGACTCCTACTACCGTCACGGAGCCACGATTGGCATCGAAAGGCCTTTGCAGCTATATGACTACATTCCGAGACATCCAATACTGAAATCAAATTTCAACTGTTCCTAATCTCCAAAAAATGCAGTTGGACTACCAAGACCGCGATACTCAAAGTAAAGACAGCATAGTGCGTGGGTCAACACACGCAGTGTGAAAATCCCCCAAAGACTACTCATACACAGGTCCTAGTGGCTTTGGCAGGCGTACCGAGATCCTAGGGCATCTCGAAGAACAACCCTAAGAGCACCCAGCAAGAAAAGTAGTCTGGCGTTCACATATCCCAGCTAAGCAGGAGGAAGCGCCTCTTTGCCCTGCTTCCACTCGCGCTCGTACTTCCACTCAGTCACACCAGTAACATGCTTCCCGCTCTGGAAGAAGATACGAAGCTGGACCTCCCTGCGACTGAAGGCGAGGGCTGCGACCTGACTGCCGGGCACGCATTGCTGGCGGAAGCCGCCGCGCTGCCACTTGTCATCGTCACACGCCATCTCCATCACCTGGTTATCCTCATGGACGAAGTAGACACGGATGCGGTCGTTGTGGAAGACGGTAGCCGCCAGATCTGTGCGAGGCGGGGCCTGGGAGACGGAGAACTCTCCGTCCTTCCACTGGCGGCCGTCGTACAGCTTCTCGCGGAGCCTGAGGTCGTCCTTCTGGTGGTAGACACTATGATTGGCTTAGCATTTGACAAGGTGGCAATAATGTGGAGCCAGTTACCGAATCTTCATGGCGGAGTCGTGCGAGTCGGAGCTCCTAGGGCTCACGCAGGCGAGGCCGCTGCCGGGTAGGGCGCGGCCAAGGTTGGTCATCTTCGACCAGCCGTGTTTCTCGTCTGTTGCGGATGAACTTGTTAGATAAATGCGTGCGCGCGACCGGAGAAGGCCGACTCACCATCCTGACCCAACTCCTGGATAGTGTTATCCTGCATCTGCACATAGACGCGGAGGTGGGTGGTGTCCTTGCCGCGGTGGCAGCACGCCGCCATCATCGAGTAAGGCGCCACCTTGATCTGGTGGCGGTTGAGAGATCCCTCGTGCCATCTTCCGTGGTTGTCACGGTAGACCTCCCTCACAACGCGGTCTTCTCCGATGAAGAACAGATTCACCTGGTACTTTCAGTAGTGCAATGTAAGGCAGCTGGTAGGGGACCTGATACTCACAGTGTCGGAGGTCCGACAAACAGCGGCGATAGGAGATCCCAGGATCGCCTGCGCGACCACGTCGTGCTGGGAACCACCGGACCACTGGCCGTCGTGGAAGCGAGTCTCGCGGATACGGCCGTTGGTGTCCTGTGTGTAAACCTGGAAGTTATCCTCGGACCCGACAGCGGCAATGGCGCAGCCTGGTTGCTGTTAGCCTATGTGAGCATCACAGATGATAGGGTGGTGGTTTCGGAAGTGGGGGGCACGGACGGAAGCGGATCTCCTGGGCACCGGCGTTCGACATGGCGAGGTGTCTTGACAAAGATCGGTTGGTCGGTTTGCTGGTTTGAATAGATACTTGCGCAAAGCAGAGAATGCTTGGATGCTCTGTACTGAGAGTGTGTGCTGGTCCGGGCTTGTTAGTCCTCTTATATCTGGCCGTGGTTACACAGATGTTTCCTGGTAAACGCTCTGACCCTCACCCCACGGGGATGGATAGCGTGGTCATTGTGCCACAGTGACAAAGATGCGGAAGGTCCGGGATGGAATTATCAACGTTTTCGTTGCAGGTCGCACCCATTTGGCCCGCTTCGGAGGACATAACGCGCAATAACTGCGACATGGTATCGCACAGCCCTCATCTCATCGCCACACATAACTTCCTTTCATGCAACAAACGGTTTTACAGAGTCCAATAATTGCGGCACATTGACTTAGCAATAATGGTTCGTGTGTCCGAGTGTTCAATTGGGAGTCATTGTGCTCTTCAAGCATTGACGAGCGGGTCAGTCGGTGGCTGCCCTCCTTTACATTTAGATACTCGGCGTAGTAGTGCGCCACTCGAATCTGGCTTGATCCCTATTTTTGGTAGGATAGCTTAAGGGGTTGGCAGCATGCAATCATCAGCTTTGTCAGATCGTAGAAATTTACCTTGCGCAGTAGCCTCAGACAACGAATTAGGGCAAGGAAGCGACCGTTTCGGGGCTAGCGCACCCGTGTTGGTCTTCCGTACTTTGTCTAAGCCTTGACGCCTCCAGGCTGTCTATTTATTCCTTTACCAGGGCTTTAAGCAGTACTACAAAGGGCAATGAGGCGGTAGATCGAGGAGAGTATGGTGTCTCGTGGCATAGCTTGGCACGTTTTTAGATTTTTGTGTCGCCAAGACGAGAAGCACCCAAAGCTGCGAGCTTTGAGCACGCAAAAAGATCATTACCATGAGTTCAACAATGGGGCTTTCAAAAGGCCTTGTAACAAGGTCTGCTGATAGATTTAATGTGTTATCAACGTCTGGGCAAATGGAGGATCTGTTTAACGCTGTATAGATACACCATCTGCCTTCTCCAATGGCGCCCACCCATAGTTCTCGCCACCCGCCCTTGCATCGATACGTAGACTCTTGACATATCAAACGCTACCCATTGCCTACCATGTCCCCCGCGTTGCATTCTTTGCGGCAAGCTCAATCGCCATCATCCCCGCCATTGCCCCCGCAATATACCAACTCAGCGTCGCGATGGAATCCTGCCCGGGGTGACCTCATCTTCCCTGATCGCGCGATGCAGGCACAGCCCGACATTATCGCCAAACACACGTTGGTGGTCGATGGTCGCGGCTCGGAGTTCGGAGCCGCGACCGATGTCCCAGTTAGCGGCTTGTTTTGTGGCCAAGTCCACCGTCACATCGTGCTTGGTGACGAGGGCTTGGATGATGTAGGTGCGGACTTCGTCGGCGGTCGCGCTGTCCGAAAGGCTGGCTTTGGGTGTCATGGTCAATATGGGCTTTTGGTAAGCACTTTGCACATGTGTTGCAAGCAATGGTGAGAAGTGAAGCAAGAGAGGTTTGATTGGGATCATAAACGGGATTTGTTCGATAGTATACTTATATCTAGGCGGAGCCGATGCTCTCTGGCAGGCGGCGCAGAAGGCTCCGAAGCTACTCAAGTCTAGTGAGGTATAGTGCCATGGACGAACGATAGCTCTGCCATCTAGTCAATGTCCCTCATATTGGCGTCATTCTTGGTATGCTAGCACGCTAGAACTGTGGGTCAAGTTCAAGGGAGAGGCTTAGTGTGGGCCTCAGCCTCACTGGGCGTCTTGATCCCCGTGCCGCTGTTCCGATGCGTGAAGAACATGCCATGCCATTCAACCCCGCTAAATTCCCGCGGTACCTGGCCGCAATGCCTATAGTTTCTTATTCGTTTCATCTCCCGGGAAATTTATACACATTTGACTACGATGCACAGAGTCTCAAACTGTAGGTCACATTTTTTGTTATCTTGTCATATTGTCATATTTGTAAAGAAAGTGTTAGGATACGAGGGTTTTCACGATCTCGCCGTGGCACGGAATATGTAGACGGCGCCAGCCCTAAAAGAGGACAGCCCGGGAAAGCCGGCCAGGAGTATAGTCACTGAGCGCAACCCCGCCCGAGCTGTCCACGTTGATCTGGAGTAGCTTATAGGCGATGGTCACGGATCCTGCCTCTTTTGCGGATCGTTCCGAAGAGGCGTTTCCGCTCTCCCATTCTGTGATCTTGTAGGACATATCATGCGCACGTTGTACCCCGATGACCATGTAATAGGTTGTCTTGCTCGACAGCCACGACGTCCAGTGGGAAGATCGGTCGCGGTCCTGTTCAGATTTCGAATCCTCGAGGCGCCATTTGACTTCCTCCGGAGATGGGAAGTGCCGGAGGCAATGAACCTCTACGCGGTCGCTGGAAAGTTCAATATCCGTGCCCGTGCGCGGAGAGTTGGGAATCGGGACGGGGTCATCCCAGAAATGGTTTCCGGGTTCGGGCGCGTCCCAAAAAGGATCATTCCCCCATCGGTTGGCTCGCGGATGGTCAAAGGGGCTGGACCAGGGCTGGTGTCTCCCTGAAGGACTATACCGGAGTCCACCGAAGCTTGGCTCGGCTGGGTGCATACCCCTTGCAAAAGGACGCTGCATGAATCCACCAAACTCAGGGGTACGTGGCGGTTGCGTCCCCACGGAAATGGAGAAGCTCGTCTGGGGCCTGCTTTGAAAGATCTTCCGGCTCCAGGCCGTTTGAGTGACTACATCGACCGCCGGGTACTTCTCCTGCAGGTCTGCACCACTGACACTGGAAACCACCGTGGTCCCTGGCGAAAGAGGGTCTGTCACGATCTGGCCGAGCTCGCATGGGCTGGCCGCATCGGCGCCAAGTGCGCTCAGATGCAGGATATAAGAACCGCCTCGCGGAGACATGTTGGGTAACTCGAAAGGTTGGTTGTTAATCGATCCGGTGTGTTTCCTGGGTGCTCTGAGGTAGAGAAAAAGGATGTGGGATTGTGAGATGCCAGGTAGGCAGAGAGGAGAAAAGGTGCGGCCTTATATAAACCTGACGGATGACCCCTTGCTTTGTTTTCTTAGCTGGCGTCGCCGGTCGGATTTCTTTCACACTTGGCGGGGATACTCACTAACTGACGTGCATATATCAAAGCTCCTTTTGATTACATAAAAGTTGATTTGCTTGGTCTGGACATCTCCTTCACGCTGTAGTTGCCCTCCGTGATGAGCGGATATAATACAATGAAATGAGACTCACATTGGAGGTGATTCTCAGAGGATACTTGCAATGTTGGTGGAGAAAAGAACTCATTCGGTTTGCAAGCAGAATATTTCTTTGCACATCAGGGTTGCGACAGTAGCAAAGCCTAAGGAGACAGCTTTGTCGGGGCTTGCATACAATTGCGCCAGCCTTTGTCTACCACACCATGCTCTGCAGTACAAAGAAATGGCTATGAGGATGGAAAAAGACAAAGCTGACCAGGCCAGAATTCCATTCATGGAGTAAAAAGAGATAGAAGGAAGGCTAACTCTCCCTTCGCTTTGAACTATCTCTGAACTATGGATGTACATATAACTTAACGTAGACTGCCACGTATGGCTTAGTCATCTGTGGCTGGTGACCCGACGGGCGCCTTCGCCCGTCAAGCAACGCCACAACGGTTCCTCATCTGCATTGTGTCTGCCTGACCACCTGGTAGCTCGGGTACAGTACAGTCCCCATCCACCCATGCGGTATCAATACGGGTACGGGTGACCTCTGACCCAGCTGGAGTTGTAGCTCGGTGACAGACGCGACAGACGCCTTGGCGGCCTGTAAGGCATCGGCCCACGAGTGCCTGGGGCACCCATGACACCATGCTGGTCAATATGTACAATAACTACATGGTGCGGAGGAAGGCTCTGCGCAGAGCCTGCCTACATTGTCTCACTCTATGAATGGATGTCCTTGTTTCCCATCACTAGCGTAACCTATCCTTTGTATTCTCCCACACGTTGCTCGATTCCTACCACTATAAGTTTTCATGCCTTTTCCTTTGTCCGAATTGGTTGTGTGTACTTGGGCTGCATGCTTAAGGGGTGCTGTGAGCTCGCGAGGATGGGGTATTCCCGCCTTTGTGGCCCCGCTGGTCCGCCTGCTTGCCGCCCATCATGGTGATGCTGAGCCTCTACTTTAGAAAGCCTCACGTAGCCTGAAATTATCGTTGATCCACGTCCCGGAATGGCTTTGTGGACATGGTCGTTACACTGAGTGTAGTAGAGCTGGCTGCAGGCAACCTGCCAGGTTCCTGAGATCATGATACCTACAGGCTCCTCTGACAATTCAGTCAAAGGGCCGTGGCCGAAAACACTAATAAAAGGGAGATATTCAAAGACCTGCAATGGATATGTGCTGGTTCTTGGTTAAAAAGGACTTTCGGGGAGAAGGCATTGCCGGGGGCTCTTGGATTTGGAGAATCACCTTCGTAGCGAACCGCACTAGGCCGGCTTCACCACCGCTGGACCTTCGCGATTGAAACTGCCTCGCTATCTTGTTGTCGTTCTATCCCTGACCGCGCGTGACTAAAACGGGCTAGGCTCGTTTGTCTTCTTCTGTATATGAGACTCCCGAGTTCTCTTCTCCTATCATCTTTGCCTATCCTCTTCGCCTCACGGACTTCTCTTTACTTTCTGTAACCATCACGCTCTCCCTCTGTCCCTCTCCTAGCGGAAGCGTCAGCACTTCCACACTCGCCATGCCCACCATTGTCTTTCCAGTTCTGGCTATTCTCGTTCCTTCCGATCACCGCGCTATTTCCCCCACCGTCGAACACGTCATAAGGACACTGAACCACCTGGCCATTCTTATCGAAGAGACGACTGCCGTTTTCCACACCGTCTTGGAACTCTTTCAAGCCGGCATCAGGATTTTCGGGTTTGCTGGCGGTCAAAATAGGTATTCGCTACAAGAAGTGACCTCGATGCTGGTATTCGAGGTAAAAAGATGGACCAAGCTGCTCTTTTCCAATTTCTTCAGATGATTCGAGCGGGTGACTAATGCCTCTTTCTCCTTGCAAATTACAGATCCGTCCGCGCTCAGTCTACACCGCTAGAAAAACGAGGACGGGATGGCTGGGATGGCTGGGATAATTCGAGACAAGGAGATGGGTTAAGCAGTATTAAGTTATTTATTCTAGATATGACCGACTTTTCTGATTAAGTAAATCAATTATACTATACATGTCCGCATACGCATCAGCTACGTGACCGGCTTGGTTTGCCGTTGGGAAAGGCGGTGGCAGACAAATCCTGTTTGCCGGTAGCCTAGTCGGTGCGCCACCAGGGCTCCCTGAGTTCATGCAAAATGTGGTGGACCTCGATAGAGGTGCGTTGTTTCGTTCTGTTGTAGAACTGGGCTTGCTTCGCACAGGATTCCTGTTCTGGGTCTGCTGGTCACATACTTAGTATGGGAGGGGTGTATGCCCTAACTGCCACGACTTTGCATCAACGCTGTAACGAGTACCCCAAACCAAGGCCGAGCAACACTGGTGGTAAAATTCTAGAAACACTATACATACTTTGTGATACTCTCGTGACCCAGCAAGCGAGCCTATAGCGTAGACCGGGGATTATCTGGGCTCTCCGATATCGTCACCTTGCAACCAGCATATTGTCGCCGTAAAGGTGGCCCATACGAGGACGGCGGTTACGTGGCAGGGAAATCTCGGAGCCAGCCTCATTCTCCCCACCACCACTTGATCCACATAGTACCATTAACACGTTCGTTGAGAAGTCAAAGAGCTTCCTTCCTTATCGCCCCTCACTATCAAAGCCACTTTTTTCCTCACCCATACATTATCGGGAAAGCTAACCCTACGGGAGCATTCAACTTCTCATTAGTGTCAATGCCCCAGCCCAGCCTTCCACCCCCGGTGCCTACTGTGGCGGCAGGGAGGAGGAGGTGGTTGGCACCTTTCTCATGGAGCAAGCGGTTGTGCGGTGGCGCCATACCCCTTCCCTCTTTCCCTCCCTCTCTCCCTCTCTCTTTTTTTTCCTTGCCTGAATAGCCTCATAGCCAGCAGTCTTTTTAGGCAACGAAATTGATACTGTTTCATTATCCTTCCTCATCCCTGTACGGGACGTGGTATCCTTCCAGAGTGTACGAGCGAGTCCTCGGGCTTTTCGTCTTACTACCTACTTATGAAGCAGTCACTGTACTGGCATCTCAACTGTCATTATGGCTTCCTAGAAGCCTGCGTAAATTGGTATGATATCTCTTTCGTTCTTGATGCACTCTAAACATTGACGATCCTCCCCGTCTTCGATTCTCCCAGCCACCGGGGTTCGCTACGCGCCTGCTCCAGCTTCGGCCCCCCTGAAATCCCCACGAACTTATTACACCACGCAAGTACGGTATTCCACCAGACCAGACTATTCTCCCGACCGAGCACAAAGTGATTCTCATCCGGAAAATTCAGCAGCCGCGTCTCAATTCCCTTCAACCGGCACGCGGCATACGCCGCCCACCCAGCGGTACTGGGGCACCGGAAATCCTTGTCGGAGTGAATAATGAGCATTGGCGTCGACCAATTGGTCAGGTACTCAACGGGATTCCACTTCCGCCAGAGCTCCTTGGCGCTGGGAGGGTCTTGATCCGCCGAGGGTGCATCGGTGAAGAACGGCGACCCAAACGAGCGGGTGAGCTCCTGCTTCTGCGCCAGGTCGTCCCCCAGCAGCTCAGCGACGACGTCGAAGACCCCGTCGTGGCAGACGATTGCTTTCAGCTTCTGGGCCAGCGGCTGGCCCGCCACCCACAAAGCCATGTAGCCGCCGTAGCTGGCGCCAGCGGCCACAGCTCGGTCGGTGTCGCATTTTGTGGACAGGTTGTTTTCGACCCAGCTGAAGCAGCGCTCGATGTCGTGGTAGGGGTGGCCGCCCCATTGGCGCGAGACCGCGCGCGTGAATTCCCTCCCGAAGGAATCCGAGCCGGTGAAGTTGGGAATCGCGACGATGTAGCCCTGTTCTGCGACGAGGGCCGCATTCCACCGCCAGGTCCAGGCGTCTTTCATGGCGGAGCTGGGGCCGCCGTGCATGAGGATGAATAAGGGGTGCTTGGTGGGCGAGGTGGGTTCGTAATCGGAGGGCTTCAGGATCCAGCACTGTACGGGGGTCTCGCCGTCGGGTCCACCGGCGTAGGTAATGGATTCGACTTGCTTGGAGGAGATGCCGAAGTAGGCACCGTAGTCGGACGACGTGTAGATTATTTTGCTGTTCTCGGATTGGCCATCAACGCCGGTCAGAGGCGTGACGATCGAGAATAGCCCCTGGTCGATGAACGAAGAGGACGTGGCCAGTAGGCGGGTTTCGGTGTCGAGGTCGCTGAGACGATACAGCGCGGACACCGAGCCAGGTATGCTTAGCTCCCTGGGGATGACGGTTTGATGCTTCTCTCGGGAAGATAGGGGAATACCCACCTGGTAGACCCGAGCCCGAGCTTGGGAATTGGCAATTAGATACAAATTGGTGCCGTCGTTCGCCCACACAATCGCGTCCGGGAAGACATCCCACTGACTCCCATCCGCGAGGTCGACCGTCTGTAGAAGAAAGATGACGCTCAAAGTGTCGACGTCCACAAGCCCTATAGTCTTATACGACCATTCCTCGCTGTCCTGGTCCACAAGGAACGCAGCCAGGGGGCCCTTGGGCGCGAAGGTCGGGGTCGAAACCACGTTCGCATGACCTGGAACACAAATCTTTCTCAGGGGCGCGACTTCGGTCTCCTCAAATGTTGACAATGGGAGGAAATATAGCGACCGCTGCGTTTGGATCCATTCCGTATTTCCGGGCTCGCTTGTGGCGAAGATAATCCCATATGTTGAGATGCTTAGCTCCGCGACGCTGGACGAGTCGGCATAGAAGGGCACCGCCAGCCCGGTATCTCGTAGCGCATTTATTGGGCCAGCCGGAGGCAGGTGCCATTTTTTGGTCTCGTCATCTAGTTTCAGCACCGTGAACCAAATGACCGAGCGATACTGGTCGACATATGTATCCCAGCTTCTGGGACGACCATGCGCCCATTCGCGAGCAGTCGTCGGCGGTTTCTCGATCTTTGCTGTGTTATATAGGTTCTGATCGGCATCCGCCGGCGCGGTGAAGACGAAGGCAATGTCCCCGTTGTCCAAGACTTTAGTTCTGACGTCCTTCAACTTCGCGTCGATGCTACCGGCGAGATAAGGTCTGGATGGGTGACGACACCACGTTCAATACTCTGCTTTCTTGATGGCTCACTCGATAGGATAGATTTGAACCGTACCGTATAGTGCTGTCAGCGTCGCCAATCCACAGCTCGGTGTCCTTGTTCTTCTCGCCCTCCCGCTCCCACAGCAGCGACGAACCCCGCAGCCAACGGAACGAACTTTCCTTGGGGTTGTTGCTGTATCGAGTCGACTTTCCTGTTCCCAGGTCAAGTATGTTGACGTCTGTATAGCTGGTGTGTGTTGCGAGATCGTAGGTCGAAACGGTGTAGAGCGCGAATTCTCCGTCATCGTTCGGAACTGCTTCCGAGGTCCTTGGAGCGGTGACTAGGAGTCTGTTGGGCGGTCCCGAAAGAGTTAACACAATTTTGCTCTCCAATTTACACTTGATCACGGCAAGGACATACTCTGGGGTGAATTTCTTCAGGGCTGGCATTTTGGAGGGGGGGTCGGTCGAGGTGATGCTACGCCAGTCAGCGATGTGTAGTGAGGGGAAGTTCGTCTTAAATAATAGTTGCCTGGCGGCCATCGACCGGAGCTCCGACGCTGATGGTCTGACCGTGCGGGGGCACCTGGCCTAACCCGAGTTAGCGAGCTATATGTAACACCGCGAATGCGAAGAGCATGCATAATCAGCACTTGTAAATTATGCAATGCAATGATGCCATTCTGTTCCCGTGTGGCTGCGGCGCGCTTATCAAGCTGCGCGTGCTGCTTTAAGCCTCGAACGATAAGGTGTTATCGGTATCTTTCACGTGACACCCATGGATCTTTCCTGTCCCCTGCTATAAGCATAATACTACGCACGAGTCTCCCACAGCAAGCACAACAGAATGTCTCTCAAAGATGCCTTCAGCAAGAAAGAGCATTTACATGTCTTCAACTGAGAGGTAATCGGAGAACCAATGCACTGCAACCGGTGCGAGCAGGCTCAGGATTGCCAGCCGGTTGCCCACAAACCACGTTGAGGAAACCATACTAATGTGATTCCGTGGCGTCTAGGAGAAGGTTAAATGCAATCCTTGGAGACAGTTCGCGTGTTTGTCGGTAGAAGAGGCCCAGCAGTCCTTTATCCAGCTAGTTGATACGCCCAGGACACAATATGAGACAAAGTGGTATCGAAATTGTCAATGTGAGGCGGATCGGTATGTTTGAGAGTGGTAATCGTGGCGGTTGACTTTCGGTATGATATACCTGTTTGAGGTACAAAGACGATTGATGATATATTCACCATAAGTATCAGACTGTACTGAATCAACTGGATTATGCTATTGGCTCTCTCTCTGTTCTCATCGTGCAACGGAGCCCATCAAGGGAAGGGTTTATTCTTGGGTGTATGCTCCGAATATAGGTACCATGGGGAACATAATCAAGAAGAAATATCTTCAGACATTTGTTGGGCAAAATCCCGGCGAAAAGTTCATATGCCGCTCTGTTCCAAGTCCTTCCCGCTGATATTCACCATAAAGTTGCCCCTGGTCTTCCGCTCCTGCCATGATCTCATGGTGGACGATCCAACATTCCGGGATCGACAGTCCATGCGAGGAATGCTTCAAAACAAAACACAACTCAGACACAGCAAGCTATAAGAACATCACCACTTCACACAGCCTCTGGCATACAACAACCATTCCACCGTGAATATGCATCTACGCGCACTCTCGACACTGACGCTGCCACTGACCCTCCTTACTCCTCTCACCACATCTCAAACCCTAAACATTGTAGCCCACCAAGATGACGACCTGCTCTTCCTCTCGCCAGACCTTCTGCATACCATCCATTTGACGACTCCTTCCACCCCAGCACGCACAATCTTCCTTACGGCCGGCGATGCAGGGGACCCATCCTCCTACTGGACGTCGCGTCAAGCCGGTTCCCTGGCCGCCTACGCGCGCATGGCCAACGCCCCCAACACATGGACCGAGTCTACTCTTTCCGTCCCTGACACCATTCACTCAATCCCGTTATACACCCTCGCCGCAAACCCATCCATCTCCCTCGCCTTCCTTCAACTCCCCGACGGCAATCTGCACGGCGAAGGTTTCCCCACCACGGGCAACGTAAGCCTCCAACAGCTCTGGCAAGACAAAATCCCCTCCATGTCTAGCCTAAACCCTGCTCAAGAAAGCACATATACAAGAGACACCCTTGTCTCGACCCTCAGCGCGGCCATCGCCTCCTTCAACCCCGTCCGCGTGAACACCCTCGACTTCACTCGGGACTTCGATGCCACCAGCCCCCCGGAAGGTGGTTCCTGGTCGGATCACAGCGACCATCTCGCGACCGCCCGGTTCGCGCAAGCAGCCGCGCAGGACTGCGCGGCCAAGGGAAAATGGAATACGGAGGTGGTCGGGTACATGGGGTATCCGGTTCTGGACGCACTGCCGCAGAGTGGGAATGTGCGGGGCGCGGAGTTGGTGGAGAAGCAGTTGGTGTTCTATACGTATGCCTTGAGCGATTGGCGGACTTGTCGGGACGATGGGGGGTGTAAGGGAGGTAACGAAGAGGGGTGGTTGGCGAGGCAGGTTGTTGTGTCATCGAGTCCGGGGACAGTGGTTGCTAGTGCGCAGGTTGTGGCCAAGGACAATGGGGCTGGGGGGCTGGGGGGCCGCTGGGGATTTGTGAGGGCCGGTGAGACAGTTGAGTTGACCGGGGAGGGGAGTACCGGCGCGTTGCAGTATCGTTGGAAGCAGGTGGAGGGGGTACAGGTGCAGGTGGAGGCTGCTGAGAGCCCGAAGGCCACTGTCACAGTGGCAGGGGTACAGGTTGGCGAGACGCTGGGGTTTGAACTGGTGGTGTTCGGTGATGAGGGCGTGGAAAGCACGCCGACACGCGTGAGCTTGTTTGTGGTGCCGGGGGAGGATGTTGCGCCACGGGCGAGCAATATCACGGCTTCGTCGGAGAATGCTGCAGGTGAGCAGTCGGCTGCTAAGGCGGTTGATGGCCGGGTTGGGGGGTATCCTGGGGATGCATCGATGGAGTGGGCCACGGTGGGTGGGAGGGAAGGCAGCTGGTGGAGACTAGAGTGGGACTCGCCGCAGACGATCTCCCAGGTTTACCTGTTCGATCGACCGAACACGTTAGATCAAGTCACGGGGGGTGTGGTGGAGTTTGATGATGGCAGCAGTACTGCCTTTGCTGCCCTCTCCGACTATGGTGAACCGAATCGGGTGGATTTCGAGCAGAGGTCAGTCCACGCTCTGACAGTCAGAGTCACTTCTGTGAGTTCCACAACAGGCAACGTGGGACTGGCAGAGGTCAAAGTGTTCTGACGTGTTTTGGGCACGATGAGCATCCTGTACTTAGGGTTAGAACGATAGACTCCGTCCCTCGACTCGATGGTATTCCGGATCAACATTTGACGTCAGCGCTTCACTCTGGGGATATATGACGTCTAACGGTACTCCACGTCCCCATCGGCCTTCCTGAAAGGGACGGATTCAATAAGCATCGCGAAAAAGAGAAGTATTGTTGGTAAAACTAGGCAATTGTCAAATTCTTCACAGGAAGGACTGTATTATTTGCGATTTATTGTAAAGTATAGATTGAAAGGACAGATTCCGTTCTTAAAGATGGGAAATGGGGAATCCCTGGGGCCTAGAAATCCCACGGCAAAGACTCCACCCTGATCTTCTCCCCGAGGTCTCCGGTGACGCTAAGTGGAAACAGGGGCTCCTTGTTATAAGGCACTTACCACCGAGTCCATTGGTTCAAGCTCTCGTCGTGGAACTTCAAGTCGAAGGTAGATAGCGGCTGCTCCTCCGGATCGGTGTCATCGTAGCTTTGGGCCATTCCAAAGACCAGGGTGTCCTCGTCCAGGCTCTTGACAGGCGCCTTGGCGGCCTGTCAGGTGGCTAGCCACTGGTGCCTTGGGCACCCGTTGTCCTATATATATACTTAACTCCGAGCGAAGGCCCGCAGGGCCTTCCTCTTCCCTTTTCTCCCCAAAAATGGAATTCTTGCCTGGTTCGATCATCTCCCTTTTGTAGCCTCACAGCTGCCCGGTGAGGAACACTGAGAACGGACCTGGGCGCTGAACCGCGTGCCAACTGGCGAACGCGGCGGCCGCCGGTAGGAGAACGACACGCCGCAAGGTAGGTATAGAGGTAAAGTATGCCCGGTGGCCACCGACGCCGCCAGTTAGCTACGCGGGGAAGAAATCTACGTGGATCTATAGACTACGTGAAGATCAGGATTACAGAGGAAAAATAGGCCAACTGGCTAGGCCAACTGGCCAATTGTTTTATTTGTATATAGACTTGATACCCCGGCCCCCGCCGGGCCCGAGCGTGGTGGGCAAACGCTCGGTGGTCCGGGCGTGATTCCCAGGGGGCGCCCTCCCCCATACAAACTGGGCCTCCCCGCCGCCGCCAACTGGCCCCCCCCGCTGCCGGTGGCCACCTCGCCGCCACCCAAGGCCTTCCACGGGGGAAGGTGCGACCCGCCAACTGGCCTCCCGGGGGATGGTGCGACCGCCATACGAACTGGGCCGCCCCGCGGAGCCAACTGGTGGGAGGCCGCCGCCAACTGGCCTCGCAAGGACGCAAGC